CCAAGAATTTTGGAAAACTTTGTATATGACTTGTTCAGTGCTGGAATCAATGACAATGACTCGGCAACGGCACAACGCATACGACTGAAAAAACAGCATGCCTTTTCGAATATCAATGATATAGTAGAGGAATCTTACAATGCGGTAATTGGTCGATTCGCTCGTATGTCAATCGAACCTATTGCCAGGACCATCAGGGCTCATTCACACACAGATTATGTTAAAGCTTATTTTATCATCAATGATGACGACCAATCATGGACCAATATACTGCCAACTGGACAAGAATCAAGAATACTTTTTCATGAATACTGTTGGATCTATACATCTCATTTGTGAAACTGGCGGATACTTTTTGTCTGAAGGATATGTGATAGACTTGCTTCTCAATTTATTCCGAACAGAGTTTCAACAGTTCAATCTGTTGTCATCGTTGGATCTTTTGAGCAGCATTGCTGGCACAAAAGGTAAAAAAACTACAGCCAAAGGAACACCATTCGAAGCCGTCATTTTGGCTGGTATGATCCAAAAAAATGGACCGCATCTTTCAAATGTCCTATCTAGTTTTGGTGTTTCGATTGCTGGTCTTGATGGTTTACAGTTGCCAACAATAGAGCGTAAGGCTGGAGATGGCACAATCATATCCGATAGACCAACAGGAGTCTTTTTTCGTCCTTCAAACCAGTTTCGACCAGACATCCTTGCGTTTTTATCCAAACAAGTCTGCGTGTCATTTGGAATCAAGCTATATACATCAAAAATTCCTTCAGCAGTGTCTGCCGATAATCTTGAATCTACAAATCCAGACTTTTTCTTTATTAAAGCAGATCGGCCAACGAATAACGAAACGTATTTGAAATGGCAGCAGAGTATATCTGATACCCCGTTAAAGTTTTCAATAAGGTTCTTGATTGAGCTGCCTGAACCACTCAGTGCTGTTTCAACTGAAAATACTTATAACAGCGTCGAGGGAAACCAAAATATCGTTGTTGTCGTTTCAAAGAGCAATATGCGCAATATTTTAAGCGAGCAGATTGCGTCGTTTGTTGAATTCATTACCAGTTCCTGATAATAAATATTGAGCTAATTTGAATATTGGATTGTGTTTTGTTTGATTTATTATATTCAACAAAAGATGCCACAAATCACTTGTCAACTTGATACTATGCAACAGTCGGTTGTTCTTGGTATAGATACAAATTGAACTACCAATAATGGTTATTGCACACAAAGTCACCCAATATCCTGCCAATTGTGATTTTGATTGTATTCCACACAATTCTAGATTGTAATCACAATCACAATTACCGTGTTTGATCAAATGGTGTTTTACATTGATCATGGTATCATACATTACGATACTGCCAGATCACTGCACACAAGTCATGACCAATACAAATGCATTACTGATTGACACTGATCGACACCATATATACAGCCAGACAGCACAACAAACCACCAGCATGCCATTGACCGTGTTGCAATACAATTGTCCAACATATCATGATGTGCTGTATCGAGTCACGACATACAACAATATTACTGAATGAATACAGGTCACAACTGCAAGTATTCATATGTTAATCGACTGACATTGGTGTTGATATCCAATTGATTGACTAATCGATCATCATCAATTGCATCAGTGATTGGTATATGCAACTGATATACACCATGTCCGAGTCTGATATATGTTGATATATTCCTGTCAATCAGCAATGCAGATTTGTGGCCATTACAGTCGAATGTGAGTCGAGTCGATCATTAAACCAACAAATCAATGATTGCACTCTAAATATGGTGCGATTTGATGCGACATGACAATATATTGTTCAACAGGTTCAACATACACAGCACCGATATCCAATACATCACACATGAATACACTGCATATACAAGCAGTAGCAATGACCAATCCAAACCAACAGTGACAGAGTTACTCATCAACATATACTCGATCATCAGTCGAGTCTGCATATATCAACTAGTTGCAACATGTCATAATCAATGTGGATTGTATTGTCCACCAATCGATCATGACAGCTAATCGATACCAATCATGTAGTCAATACAATCACCAACATATCGATGATTGTTGACTTGCGGTTACAACTCGTCAATTGCATCCAATGTTACAGGTGATGCACATCTGATTACTGCAAATCAACAACTTGTCAATCATATCATAGTGTGCATTGCCAACAGACCATGCAACTACAAATCAATGTATACGTGATCAACATTTGATATTTGATGGTGATGAATCAACCATGATTGATTGTATCATACAACTAATACAGTTGCACTGTCTGGTATTGATGATCGACCCAGTCATGTCAAACAATAACTAATGTGTGTGTATCGAGTTTGGGTTGCATGGACACATCAAGGTGTTTGATAACGAGTCCAACGTGATGATACAAACCCGGCATTATATGAATATACAAGTTGATGAATCAAGTCGAGGTTTGCAAAGTGTCAATGTCAGATCAATCAAACAAGTCAGTCAACCATTATATTGTGACTAGTGATGACACGGTTTGAATATCAACGAGTTGGACAGTCGATAATATGGGTGATTGTGATTTGGTCAAGCCACAACATTCGCATATCACTGAGTTGGTTTGGTGTGCGTGGTGTAAACACATACTATTGGATTGGTGCAATACGATCATGTCATACTATTGTATTGGTGACAATGTGATGTTGAACAGATAAGATCTCGAGCGCTTGCAATATAATTGGTGTGGATGAACAATATTGCTTGTGTACCGTCATGTGGTGATATCACCTGGAATATATTGTGTAGCGACATCATAGTGCGGCAAGTATAGTCGTTAAACTTGATATCAGGGTTTAAATCAAGCAACAAATCATAATATAAAGGGTGACCCTTTCAAAGTTACCTTGACATTGGTAGTAAATCACTATTAGCCCTGACAACACAAATCCCTTAGAGCGGTCATCCAAGGAATATGCTTTTAATATTATCCGCTCAATAGTGGATATAAATACAATATAAAAATCAATGTGCTGAATGACAATCATTACAACTTGCTCAACCAAACCAATATAATGAAATTATCAATCACCATATTATCATCAATCTTGGCTGTCTGCTCAGTTACTACAGCTAGTCCAGTTTATCCCAGTTCTACCATGAGTGCTGAAGCTAGCACTTTGACAGCCTCCCCAAGCGCAAATCCAGCTGGTGGAGATGTCTATCCGGTTTTTCCTAGCGCATATAATCTTGAGAAATATTGCGATCCATTCGATACTACTGAAGCGTCGTTGATCAAAGAAATTGCAAAAGCCCATGTTGGAATTGACGTGATGTCTACACAACTTGAAGGCCTACATTATCAGTATGACTTTCAAAAAGGAGTGATTATTAAAGTGGAGCAACAACTCGAAACTCTGCGTCAAACTCCGGGTCAGGAGTTGGGTGCTGCTGAAGCCAGGCTTAAGATGCAGTATGAGGTTCTTGATGGACTCAAAAATGAGCTGAAAGAACTCGTTAAGAAAGCTTCGGATATAATTAAGAAAGAAGAGAGTTTGGAGAAAAAGCTTACAGAGCACTTGTCGCCTGGATCATCAGCGAATGGCGGTATCCTAAAATTAAAAACAGTTTCCGGATATAAGAAATGCTACGAGTTCTTCTTTGATCATTTTTCGCAGTGATTGTTACAATCCGAGCATAGTGAAACTCTCCAAGATTCTGGTATTCAGCAACAAACTCCTCAACCAAACTCATCACATTGTTGGAGTTGAGTAAACTATCAACAATCTCATCTAGAATATACTACAATACAGCGTGTATTGCATGTTGGTTTAATTGTTATTTGCCATGCATCCAATGTCATCCATTAATAAACATCATGTATTGTTAAACCATAGTGTATTATATTAATGGTTTGATCATATTGCACCAATCAACCACTATGCATTGTATTGATCACTGCAGTGTCATTGCTGGATTCATGCAATTGTGTATATCGTCATTTTGGGTTACCAATCAACCCATTTCATTTGACACCAACTCATTGGTACCACTATACTATTTGATCCAGATGATTCGGCTGGTTCTGACAATTTGACAGTATCCACAAACACATGTTTAATATTTGCACATATTCCATTAACATGCTACAAACTGACATTGAACGTCACATCACATTGTTTTGGTCTTGAATGATACGATATGTATCAGCCGATGTTTCGTATTCACATCAACATCCACATCCAGTATATACAACAAATCTGTCCATAATTCAACATATCAACCATATTTGATTTGACAGTCATTTGTCACATTGTTGTGTACTTGCAATGATCAGTATCAATCATTTGTATGTAGTCAGCTGTCTAGTGTAATGTATGCAGTATGATCACATAACATGTCATCTGGTGATATAGCATACACTACAACCACAACCGGAAACATCGATCGTCAATTGTCGTCCCAATCAATATCAACAGTTGCATCAAACAAATACACAAATGCACGACTCGGCAAGTGTAATGCATACAACTACAACATGTGTATACGAATACCGATCGTGTCCAACTACAAACTATGTATATTGAAACCATTGGATAGTATATCCGACACGTCATTGACATTGATAGTCAAATAGTATTGTGAGTGACCCTATGCATGCAACAGGTTAACATGGTTGACATGTTGGTGTTGGTTGTATCAATGTGACTATATCCCAAGAACTGATCGGACACGGCTCAACATCAAGTTTATTTCTAGCAATGGGTTTATTGTGGTACCAAACATCAATCACAGTTGTTGATTGTTCAAAAACTCGCTGTTGGAGTATTATTGTCAGCTATTTCAGTATCTGGAAATACTCGGAATATCTGGAAATTCGTGTTGTTTGCAATTGAGTTCATATTACTTGTGAGGATTGTGAACATATGATGGCATATTGATGGTTGTCATTATTGTCAAGTGTGTTGCAGTTGATTGAAGATGTGATGGAATGAATCAATATTCGATTGTGTTGTTTATTAACAAGAAAGTGAGTGTGTTTATAAAATGGAAGAAACCAAGAAGTCATGTGAATTCCAGTTCAAACGTCATTGTTGATGGTTTTTGATTGTTAAACTATTCAGAAATGTCTCACATTCACACACTACTAATGTCTCACACAATGCAAGTCAACACTCTCACACTAGTAATGTCTCACATTAATGAGACATTAATTCTAGTGTAAATTTGACTAATTTCCAAATATTTCAATCGTGTGAATTGTCTTGAAATATCCCAAAATTTTGTTATTTTGACTCGATTAAAAAGTCGATTTTTGTTTTACAATTTGACAAATAAATTGCTTTTTTACTCTTTTTCTTTTCATAAAATGCCAAAACGATTCCTCAATGTTGAATACGACACTATTTCTACTGAAATCGATGTGACAGACTTTGAAGACCTGAGTGACGTTCAGGATGCTATCAAGGCAAAGTATGGTCCTGCTATTCCTGTCTCACCTGCTTTCATCCAGCTATACGACCAGCAAGGCCAGCTTATCGCAGACTTGGACGATATAGCAATTGAAAAGACTCCACAGTACTATCAGGAACTGGCTAAAGGTGGATCTTGTGTTGTTATTGGTTGTTTACCACTACCTACCAGGAAACCAAGCAAAAGTACCATTTTTGATGCAGGTTCTACTTCTTTATCAACAGCAAACCATCAAGACTTTTCTCCTAAACGACAACGTATCGAACCCAATGATTTGACAGCCCAATTCAAGTCGTTTGCAAACGCCCAGCTGATCGATGAATGCATACAGTCGACAGATCATGTCTTTTTCCCATACACCCAAGACAAAATACAAAAGCTATATGTTAGAGAGTGCTATCATGATGTGTTTGGCTTGCTCCTGGATCAAATTGATCGTGGCATGGAATCATTTGCAATATCTGGAACATCAGGCATCGGAAAGTCACTGTTTTTTGTCTACATATTGCATCGCTTGATGGATGACTTTACCACGAAAACTCTGTCTCTAAAGCCAAACCGAATTGTTTATCAAGTGGGATCCTCGTACAAATGCTTTGACTTGCAGCAACAGCTCGTCACAGAGCTTGGAGTTGATGCGGAGGAATTGGTTTGGAAACAAGATACATTCTACGTTATTGATGGACGAACGTCTGAACCACTCATTTCGTCTTGTATTGTATTGTTCATGTCATCCCCCCGTTCGGAATGGTACAAGGAGTTCGTCAAACAAAAGATGGCAAAGGAATGGGATTTTCCTGTTTGGACTTTGAATGAGTTACAGGCTTGCCGACGTCATTGCTATCCGGATGTACCCATTGAGACTACCAATGAGAGATATCGCATGTATGGTGGTGTAGCTCGTTCTGTCTTTGATATTGTATCAAATCCAATGGAGGAAGCTTTGGCTGATGTTGATGCAGTCAAAGGGGTACGAAACATTGGATTCACAATCAAACTATCTGCAAATACTCACACTTTGCTTCATACCATTGTGTCAGACGACGGACAGTACGAATTCCTGCATGTTGATATTGCTTCAAGATATATTGGAGAACAACTCTGGAAACGTCATTCTGCTCAAATGATTACCAATATACAGCAAATGTTTGATGGTATTCCAACCAAAATTTCAAGACATTTGTTTGAGATATACGGACATATGGTTTTTTGTACTGGTGGACAAACTCTCAAATGCAGATGCCTGGAAGATGGTACAGTGAAAAAGATCACTTTGGATGCACTCAATGGCCAAAGAATTACATTTGGAATAAATACTATTCCTACTGCAGCAGCACTTGATGGCAACTATTACGAACCGACAGATGACGATAGTTTTGCAGCAATTGATTCACTCAGTCGACAGGGAATGTTCCAATTTACAGCTGTTGCTGAACATCCTATTTGTGGAGTTGATATTCTTACAAAACTGTGCAATTTGTATGATGAACCCAAACTTTATTTTGTTGTTCCGCCTCACCAGTTTAAAGGGTTCAAAAAGCAGACTTTCAACCCAATTGATGGCACAGAGCAGGTACAACCCATTCATGGATTGAAGCAATACGTTATACAACTCCCACTAATACAACCAGATTTGAAGAGTAGAAAGTGATAGTTGTATTTTACAACTGATATGGCATATTTTCAACCATTCCAACCATTCCAATTATTTGATAATTCAATGTTAATAAAACTGGCATTATACAATTGTGTACATTCAAGGGATTGAGATGCATTTAGCATGAAAGTCCAAATTCAAGTTTACTATTGTAACATACGCTTTTTGACAAATAATGGCTCTGTTGAAACATCCTTGTACCATCTAATCGTGTCCGATTGAAGCATCAAGTATGAGTTTGGCAGACAACTTGCAACTTTAATCAACTTGTATACGGTAAGCATTTTGATAATGTCGGCATTTGTCAGGATATCACACCTGACAACTTTGAATCGAATTTAGCAGTGATTATAGGTGAAAACACCAATCTAGCACAACAACAATTCCAGACAATCCGATTCTGATTAGTTCTAAAACCAGAACTCACATTGTAACCACAACCCAAATGCGTTCAATATCAATCACAATCATCATGGACGAATGTATCAAAGTATGTCGTCAACTTTTGAATATTTTAGCAGTCTTGCTTAAAACAAGTGGTATCATCCAGTGCACTACATATACTACTCATGGTCATTGACAACTGATTGTGTAGTAATAGTGTTAGTGTATTGTGAGCAAATTATTGATGATGGAATAACACACATTTTGGGTATGATACTAGAAACACACAAACTTCAAATAACTGCGCAACTATATGTTCAAACTCTGCTCCAAATATATGTTGTTGTATACAGCAAACCTGGTAAAATGTTATATTTTGTCATGGCTGCATTGTTCCGAGACATAATTCAAGGCTTGTTACAATGGGTTACTGGATTTGATATCCAATAGATTTGATAAAAGTGTTGCAATTGACATTTATGTTTGTGGATAACAATATTTTGGAATCAACTCGTTCAACTTGGAAATCAATTGGATTTCTTGCTGATATCAATATCAATGTCAGTTCAACTCAATTGATTGGAGTAGCACTCGAGTGCTTGCAGTATTGACTTTGGTTCAAACAGTGATTCACAGTGACACACTGATTATCATTTCAGCAAAAAATGATACAGAAATGATCATTTCCAAAACAAGGAATCTGAATGACTGAAATACTGCGCTTATTATGCTGATAATCCAATACATGAATTTTGTCCAAATTTTACAGAGCTTTGTGATTTGTATAAATTGTAATAGTAGATAAGATACAGTAAATATAATATAGTATAGTATGTAACTGCAACTGTAACTAGTTATCACAAGAAACCAAATCAAAAGTGTAATGAAAGTTGCACAGTAATCCAAGATCAACAGACTTGGTCTTTTCAGGAATAGTGAAAAGGTATAATAAAGTAATTAAAAAGTCAAAATCGTTTAAAAAGTTGTTTATTGATAAAAAATATCTTGGCTTCTATAGTAATTGGTTGTTTGTGGCTTGTAACACAAACAAGTATAATGCTTGATAATAAGCAGTTGTAACCAAAAGTAACTATCCAATGGTATCGATTCCTGTGGTTGGTCATGTCAATGTAATGTCATTATGTTACCCGCTAGTGGTTGCACGAATCCCAAAAATGAGGATAATGGAGTCGAGGCATATGGCTTAGTAGTGATGAAGAGTTTAATTTGAAGATTTAAAGTGTGCGCTACTAGAATTAGTTTTGCCACAGGTTACCGCTTAAAAGTATGTCTGGCTATTCCAACACAGTATGATCAAGTCATTAGTCTAATACACTATGGTTTGGCAATATACGATGTTTATTGAATGAATGTAATTGGATGCATGACAAATGACAAGTAAACCAACATGCAATACACGCTGCATTATAGTATATTCTAGATGAGATTGCTGATGGTCCACTTTGAACTGCAGCAATGTGACGAGTCTGATTGAAAAGTTGCATCATGCTTGGATTATTCCAATTCTTCTATAAAATGATTAAAGAAATAATGGAAGCATTTACTATATCCGGAAACTATTCTCAGTGAGGAATCACTACCCATCAATGATTTAGACGAAAGGTTCTCTATAAGCGTTTTCTTGAAATTATTTTTTTCCTCAGCCATACCCGAAGCTATCTTAAGACGTTCCTCCAGATGTCCTTCAAGTTCTTCAAGAAGTTCTTGATGCAGATTATACTCAGCTTCAGCACCATTCAACAACTGACCCGGAGTTTTTTTCAGAGAATCGACTTTTTGCTCCGTTTCAAGAATCACTTTTCTTTGAACACTAACCTTATTACGTACGCCTTCAAGTCTTTTCAACATTTTGTCGAGTCTAGCTCGAGTTTTTGCAATACCAGTGATCAACGGCACTTGAGTAGTATCGAATGGACTGCAATATTTCTTAAGCCCATCTTTTGTAGGAAAAACCGGATAGTTAGATCCACCAGCTGAAGTGCTAGCTTCAGCATTTGTGGCCGAACTGGGATCGACTGGATTGGCGACAGTAACCGAGCAAACAGCCAGGATCGATGACAGTATGGTGATTGATAGTTTCATTATACTGGTTTGGTTGCGCAAGTTGTAATGATTGTCATTCAGCACATTGATTTTTATATTGTATTTATATCCACTATTGAGCGGATAATATTAAAAGCATATTCCTTGAATAGCCGCTCTAAGGGATTTGTGTTGTCAGGGCTAATAGTGATTTACTACCAATGTCAAGGTAACTTTGAAAGGGTCACCCTTTATATTATGATTTGTTGCTTGATTTAAACCCTGATATCAAGATTGGTGACCAGAGTATATTGCCGCACTATGATGTCACTACATAGCACATTCCAGGTGATATCATTACATGACGGTACACAAGCAATATTGTCCATCCACTCCAGTTATGTTGCAAACACTCGAAATCTTATCTGTTCAATATCACATTGTCACCAATACAATAGTATGACATGATCGTATTGCACCAATCCAGTAGTATGTGTTTACACCACACACACCAAACCGACTCAGTGATATGCAAGTATTGCGGTTTGACCAAATCACAATCACCCATATTGTCGACTGTCTAACTCGTTGACATTCAAACCGTGCCATCACTAGTCACAATATAACGGTTGACTGGTTCGTTTGATTGACCTGACATATTGACACTTTGCAAACCTCGACTTGATTCATCAACTTGGATATTCATATAATATTGGGTTTGTATCATCACGTTGGACTCGTTATCAAACATATTGATGTGTCCATGCAACCCAAACTCGATACACACACATTGGTTACTGTTTGACATGAGTGGGTCGATCATCAATACCAGACAATGCAACTGTATTAGTTGTATGATACAATCAATCATGGTTGGTTCATCACCATCAAATATCAAATGTTGATCACGTATACATTGATTTGTAGTTGCATGGTCTGTTGGCAATACACACTATGATATGATTGACAAGTTGTTGATTTGCAGTAATCAGATGTGCATCACCTGTAACATTGGATACAATTGACGAGTTGTAATTGCCAGTCAACAATCATCGATATGTTGGTGATTGTATTGACTACATGATTGGTATTGATTAGCTGTCATGATCGATTGGTGGACAATACAATCCACATTGATTATGACATGTTGCAACTGGTTGATATATGCAGATTCGACTGATGATCGAGTATATGTTGATAAGTAACTCTGTCACTGGTTGTTTTGATTGGTCATTGCTACCGTTTGTATATGCAGTGTATACATGTGTGATGTATTGAATATCGGTGTTGTATATGTTGGACAATATTCATGATTCAAATATTGACAGTCAAACATTGGTTAACCAACAGTTGTACGATTATACAACTGACCCGTGTATTGACAAGTGATCAACCTCGATCCAGTCATAGTTGAAACGATGTATCACAGGACTCGAAAGTTGACACAGTATTGTTATGGTGTAATATTAGCAACTACACACAACTTGACATGAATGACAATGTTGATGTCGAGACTGACAATGTATTACAATGTATTGGTCAACAGTGACTGCAATCAATGATAATATTGCAGTCGATCCAATACAATTGTTGATTGGAACAATCCACATCCACTTGTCAGATTCAGCATGTAAATGCATGTTTTGTGGCACATTTACTAATCCAACAATTGAATGATTAACAATAATTGAATATTAAAATGTTGAATAAAAGACTCGAGTCATTATATGAATGACGTAATCAATTGTTGAGTTGAATTGACACTTGATTGAATAATACAAATAAACACATGACAAATGAATACAATTTGATTGTAATTCCACACAAAATTGCTTAATTCAAAGTGTGAATTTGTCTCATTCTTCACACGCCATTAAATTTTGGATTTAAAGTCCAATTTCGTCTCTTTTACAAACTAAATGGAAAACACTTTACATTCAATACCTCAACAACCAACCAATGGAAATAGAAACTCACTTTGATGGAGAATTGGATATCAAAAGGCCACTTGGCGATGTTTCAACACTAATTGCAGCCTTTCAAGCAAGACCAGGGTCGCTTCTCGGTAACACTGACTCGGAACTCATCACTCCACTATGTGATGGATGGGGTGGAGACCAACTACAACGCATGGGACTCGCTTGCTGCACTTGTAACAAATGGGACTGTTGGATCCAGTCCACTCATCATCAAATCCAAGAATGATGTTGGCTCAAACCCAACAATCACTGGTTCATACAATTATTTCAAGAAAACTATCCAGATCAATGGTATCAATGTTTCTACAAATCATCTCAAAAGACCTGATCAACTTGACAAACTCGTATACTTGGTTTGAGTATCGGTTTGTCATATTGACTTGTTCATCTGATTCTGCAAAACCTATATTCATTAATATGTATCAACATAGTCTCAAACAAATGTCATTTGGATTTGTTTCTTGGACAACATTGCACGACACTTTTGTTGGAAATGCATTGATTATTCCAAACAACAACGGATAGAATTGGAAAGGGTAAAACTGTTGTTTCTTGATGATGCTCAACAGTAATTACAAGACACAAGTTTATGGAGACTTTTAATCAAAGCATCGCTGAGTTGGTTGTCATTAAGCATGCGATTTATCATTGCATCAAACCATCTTTTTGTTGGAGGAATTTCAAGTCCTGTTGAACTCGGTAGTCTTTCAGGTCTTGAAAAGTGATTTTCTACTTATTCCAGCCAAACTCTGTGAATTCCATGAATTCCATGAATTTCTGGATTTACTCGTTATTGGGTTGCCAAACAACATGAACAATGAGACCTTGAAACATGTTCTTGTAACGGAATGTGATGGTCTTGTTGGTGCGCTGTGTGTGTCGATTGATGATCTAAAAACACAATGTTTAAACAACATTGAACCCACTCGAGCAGATCTACTACAATACTGTCTATCAAACAATTCCATGTTGGGTATGACTCGTTGTTTTGGAAGCGAGCATTCAGATCTGATTAGAAATGGTTTTAAACTGTTACTCAAGAAATGCCTGACAAAAATCATCGATTGGACAACTTGGAAACCCAACAAAATATGGAATCTTATTCATCACTCAAAAGGCTGGAATATTGATGGAGTCGTCCGATCTTGAACTTGCTTTTACTTTGCTGTTGGTCAAAAAATACTATTCAAATGGACATTCACAAACTGCTTTCCATCACAACATTTGTCTCTTCAAAAACTCATACGCAATGTTGTCTCATCAATATCGACCAATGTATTGGAATCTGTTTCGTCATGCGGTTTTCCAAATGAAACAACTTTACAGCACATGTTTATGGAGATATTGGTTTACTTGACTAAACCAGACTGTTCAATCTAACCAAAACTATCAAAAGTATTTCCCAACAACTCGAATGTGACGGACACTATTGCTGGTGGAATTGATTATTATTTGGACAATGGACTAGCAATCAATCAACACATTGACAGATTTGTCATTCCAAATGGAAACAACGACAATCCAGTTGTAATCCATATTGAGCCTTGAATTCAAACAGTCGTGAATCAAATCATTAATAAACTACAAAAACAGTCCAATATGACAACTCGCATTTATCCACAACTCGATACGTGATGTTCAAATGTCTAATATTCAGACTGTGCTGATTGCAATTGTGGTTGTAATTGTGGTTGTGTGTAAATATCAATCCAATACTCGATTCAATACTTGATTCAACTTGAGCATGTCCAGTTTTGTAGTAATCCATTTGATCACATTGACAGAATCAAGCAATGATCTGATTCAACAACACCGAATGATGCATCCATATCACTTGTATCAATCAATTGTACACAATCAGTCAATATAATCAACAATCACTGTCATGATTGACATGATTGATTCAATTCATTCAATTTATTCGATCCATTTAATTGCATAGATCTGACTGGCATTGCAAATCATTGTTGTAAAATCACAACCTCATAATCCACCATCAATCACTATACGCCTGCTCATATATGTATTTGTTGTATGCTCTTATGATTCGAGTTCGGTCACTTGTCAATTCATCTCGATAGCGTTTGGCTTTAGCTGGTGATTGAACACCTTGAATATACTGCGTGGCATCATTCCACAGTTCAGGCAGTATGGGTGTCTTGTCAAGACTCGAGTTGTACCATTGTGGTTGTTGTGGAGCCACATGCGCAGTCGAAACAATCCGACATGCTGGATTCACTACAAAAAATGTCAGAATCTTGCAATGTCCTGGTTGAGTTGGATCTGCAAGTTCAAATGATTGTTCTTTGTGTTGGTATCGATTGGGATAAACTACACATCGACCATTTGATACTTCAAGCGATCCTATATACTGATTCTGTGGTGATTCTTGATCAATGTCATACACATCTTTCCAATACATATCAGATGCTCCTTGATAATCAAAACAATAAACAGCCACGCGGAAATCGAGTTTGGGTGTGGTGATATTTTCCACGTCGTAGTAATACAGTCCAGTTGCAACAATCGATTCGTTAATTGGACCTTCAATGTGCCAGTTTCCCTCGTCGTATTTAGGTTTGGATGGTGTCAGTTGAATGTTGGTGAGTTTGACAATGACTTGCAGATTACGACCACGCAGTGATACTGGTTTTGCCGATTCATATTTGGATTCAAAATGTTTCGGAAGTATTGGTACATACACGGGACGAATGACTCGAGTGTCTGGCTGCATATCATCATGATCTGACTGGCTTGGTGGTTCATATCCCTTTGTGCCATTGCGAATATTAATATACTTGAACATTGGATCCATCGTTCTGAACAGACTTTCAAACATTGGGACAAAACATTTGAATATTTTGGCAATGCATTTGTACATGTCTCGATGCCATATCGGATTCAGATTGTTGATGTATGAGTTGATGGTCACACTGCCATCCTGTTCGACACGGAATTCACTCGGAAGCCATTGGAACTTGCGTGATATAAACTTGGAATCGCCGTCAATGATGGGCATATCTGAAACAAGTCGAGTCGATAACAATATATCGCATGGTACCATTGTGGTGTATTTGAGTCGTATCCTCAGTGGTGCAATCATCGTTTGTCCATATACAACACTGTACATTGATGCATCAATCAGATTGTGCACCATTTGACCAGTGTTGTGATTTGATCCATCTTCAATATCCGATACATTTGTCATCAATCGCGTGTATACATTGTCAGGTATGCCATTGTCCAGTATATACGTCAGTTCAACAGGTCCTGGGACAATTGTGCCCAATCCATCACTGCCACTACAAACAAGCTGTTTGACAAAAAACTCGAGTTGTTCCAATGCAAGATTAAATGTTGATGGTGATATATTCTGACCGAGTGAGTCGACCCTCCATTGCTCCACAATATGCTGGTTTGTGATATCGATCCACCACATGGGTTTGCAAAGTATAGAATGAAGATATTGGATATACCGCATCTCGACAAGTGTGCGCACCTCTTCTGTGTATCTCCGGCCATTCCAGACCTCGTATCAATTTCGGCATTGTCGTTGTATGGCCGAATACTTGAACTAGCAACATGAACCCGATGCTGGAAACACGTTTCAATGATCTGGCCAGCAACCCTTTTGTTTGTGTAGTGAGTATCATCCGATTTTGCAACAGCCATTAAACTTTCAAATATCATGCCTTGATCCAACTCGGTACGTATTGAACTGTCGGGATGATTGTCGGCAAAATCAACAAGTGTTTTGAGTAGGTTTACAATACTAGTGTCACTACCATAATCATATAGATCTATATTTCTACGTGAAAGAATAGTGTTGAGTTGCTTTACAATTTCATATTCTTGAAACACCTTGATCATCTCGGCCTTGTTTGTAGATTTCTGAATCATGTCGTTGACATGATTCAACAGGTACAAAGAGTCATCCATACTGAGATTGCATATTGATATCGTCAATTGCTCAAAAATCGACGATCGTGCAAGTGATACAGGAAAGTCGCGCATTTTGGATGCAACTCTTCCAGCTACTTCGATCATGCGTGTTTTCAGTTCAGAGTTGTCGCTGTATTTGGTATACAAGTCGCTAAGCATTTGAATCAAACCCGATCTTATAAACTCGGCTGAAATCACTTCACAATTTACATAGTTGCAAAAACTCTGAATAGTATCGATACTTTGATCAATCACTGCTTGATCGACACTCCTGTATTCATGTCATGTCAATCCAACCATGTCAAATTTACCAATTGTAATGACTGGACACACATTCATGCATAACACCACATACCTGAGCGTATTGACTATTGCTGGAATGATGCCACATTCTGCTGCTTTTACTGGGTTATCACGATGAATACTCCGATACATGGTTTGAAGATTTTTGATAAACCCAACAGCAACTAGACCATTGGATGATTCCAGTCGTGAAACAAGTCTTGATACCACGATGCCAAACTAATGATATTGTTCAATGTCAAGTATACAATCAGATCAACATGACGCTGTCCAAACTGATCCAATATTGTATCATTGTAAACATACATTTTCATCATCAATCTCATGACAAACTTGCAAGAACAGGTCAATCGCCAATCTGAGCATTTCTTGATCAGACTCGTGAACAATAATCTCAACCATTGGCTTGATGTCAAATTTACACTCCTCACTCCAGTGTCTACAATTGAACAACTTTTTACATGCTTTTATCGCCTATATGCATATCGACACTAGATGAGTTGAATGACAATCATTTGATCAAGATCAATCATGACTTGCCATCATTTTGACTTGACGGTTTGGTGATTGCATGAGTTGTACAATTTGGCTGTTTAGTCGATGTGATATTTTGAACTCATGATCATAGTACACCACAATCGCAAATACTTTAGTAAACTTCATTATTTGGATCTACACAACACATGTTGATTAGTTTAGTCATGAACAATCCATTATTGTTACAATATATGAATACCTGTAAACTGGGTTGATTATACTCCAAATACTTGGTTATGATATCTTCCAATTCAATCCTCTGTAAGTGCTGCACTACATTTGTAGATCATGCCATTTCAAACCAACACAAAGTCAGCAACAGTTTGAATTCATCAATAATCCAACTGCTATTAAACTTACTGCGATTCTGTTCTTCCAACTCCAATAGCAATACAAGCAGTCTGTCCCATATTTCATCAGCCTTGTCTAGTTGATCATCTGTTGTTAACAGTTCCAAATCTTCCAGGTGTTTGATAAACTCTTTCATGATATCAACACAATCCATGTTTGATAAAATTAGTAAAGTTGAATTTTGATTTGACAATTTCATTCATGCGAATGTCCAACAATTTCCAACAATTGTTCATGTTTGGATTGTTGTCAAACACACAAACGAGTTGTTCCATTTTAGTATTGTTTTGATCAGTTTTTTGTAACAAAATTGGATTGTTATCAAACATGCATTTAGAAATACTGTAAATTAATATTCTGAATGTGATCGTTGTAGATTTGGTTTAATAAACAAACTAGTTTACTACAACACATGGTAATGGATTACTAAACATCATCATAAATCAGATGGACTGGACTGGAATGAGATGAGATCAATGACAATTGCATTACAAACAGTGTGTGGTGATTAAACCATCGAGTATTTCCAAATACAAACTTGAATGAAAAGTCTTGCCACAATACTGATCAACTGTATTACTGTTTACACTGTGGTATTATTGATGTATTGGAATATTTGGTGTTCAAATACACAATGATAATGGTAGTACAACTCATGGCAGTTGTACAAACCAAACGTGATTAAAGCCAATAATAATGTCAGACAAGATTGGATAATGAATTAGCGTGTAAACCATCAACATTGACCAAGATTGATTGAAATGGTGAGATTGAGTTGGATGGTGATGAACACAACAAATGTGTGTACAGAGTTGTATTGACAGCATTGACAGTCAAACACAATACATGAATGTGGGTTCAAATTTGGTGACCATACAATGTATGATTACTAAGAGTGTACAAAGTGTAGATTCAACACTATAGTTTGATTGTGTGTCATATGATGATGGTTGTTGTATATTGAACAAGTAGTTAATGTGTAGTAATCATTGCATATTGCAATGTAGAATACAGTCACTGCAGAATGAATACAAGTGATCCATTTTACGTGAGTACAGTTGTAAAACAAAGCGTTTGCGGTTACACAACACACTCATGAAGGGTGTGCTTTTCAATATACCTGATCAAAGGGTCGTAAAAGCATAATCTAATCAACATGATCATCAAATTGATCAATATAATATTGTGATTAGGGAGCAGCATACTGTCTAGTTTGATAGTTGCTCATTACAAGCAATCAAGTAACCCTGTATAATTGGTTAACCTAAAAGGGTTGGTTCGATATACAAAACATACAAATACAATCAATTGAGTTCAATCCTATAATTGACACCAATCTCAATACTCTACTTTTGTATTAATAGTTTGAGCCCATTGACCAGTCTGATGAAATTGGTTGATATTTTACTTGTACTGAGTGCGGCAGCAACCACTAATGCAATATTGATCCCGACTGATAACGATGGTTCACTCCAAGCATCAAGTACTTCGAGTCAAGCGTCTGATCCAACCAATGAACCTAATACAGGCACTTCCGAAGACTGGCAAAGTATAATTGATGCAGTTAATTTAAGCATTCTTGACGAAGACTGGAAATACCTATTTGATTCGATTGATCCAAACACATCTGACCAAGACTGGCAAAATACGGTGAATCAACCCAGTTCAAGCACTTTCAGTAAAGTATCTGATACAGCTGATAAACCCGATTCAAATATTTATAACCAAGACCAGCATCAACCAATTGATGAACCCAGTCCGAGCACTCCCAAACGAAGTCGAAAACGGCCGATTGATGAACACGGTTCAAGCATTTCCAAACAAAGTCGGAAACAATCGATGGATCAACCCAGTCCGAGTGCTTCCAAACAAAGTCGGAAACAATCAACTGATGAACCCGGTCCAGGCATCACTGACAAAGACTGGCAACGCCTAATAGATGAAGTCAATTCAAACACTTTTGAAGACTGGCAAGAACTGTTTGATATAGCTGGTTTAAATACTCCCAGTCAAGTTCCTGACCCAATTGATCAAGTCGGTCCAAACACATCCGACCAAGACCAACAACAACCAGCTGATCAACCCAGTTCAAGTATCCCCGACCAAACTCAGCAACACCTAATGGATGCAACTGATTTAAATATTTCCGACAAAGACCAGCAACAGCAGATTGATCAGCCCAGTCCAAGTACTCCAAAACGAAGTCGGAAACGACGAATTGATCAGACCAGTTCAGGCACTTCAAAACAAAGTCGAAACGGCCAGCTGATCAGACCAGTTCAGGCACTCCCAAACGAGGTCGGAAACGGCCAATCGATCAGACCATTCCAAGTACTTCCAGTCAAGACCAACAACAACCAATGAACGAAGGCGAGTCTGCTAATACTAGTTCAAATCAAGTGACTGGATTGAGCAAAAAAGATCGAATAACTTTTGATGGTCTAAAACAAAGGCTTGTAGAGTCTAAAGAATTACGAAACAAAAAACACAAAAAATATTGTGATTATGAAGCCATTGGATTGAAGCAACAGTTAGCGCTAGAAAGAGGGGAAGAAATATCAGGGCTAGAGTACGACCCAAAAATTCAAAAGATATCGAAACAAGAGTATGAAAAGTCGTGCATAAAAGTATATAATTTCAGACAACAATTGAAAAAGTTTATGAAAAAGCATGGTTTAGAATTTCAAGAACCGAATTAGGATTCAGATTGATGATTTGTCGATGGATTTGGTTTTGAATAAATTTAAACTTTCTGATGTATTGGTATTTGTCGAGTATCGTGAATGGTCAACAACCATATCATTGATTGTGTATTGTGTTGGGTATTACATCAACAGTTATTGGATTGTTGATTGATACATTGACATGACTTGTTCCATATGCATCAATGACATGATAACAACCAGTGTTGATTGTGTGTAACTATCAGATATACTTGCAATCACTTGCCAGTTGTATGATACCACAAACTGACCATGTCGTACATTGTACAACAAACGGAGCAATACACTTGTTCAAAGTCTGTCACAAGCAAAAGGTGTTTGTCATGTCACTGTCAATGTTGGAAATCACAACAGACAATGTTTGATTGAAGGATTCAACACCCCATTACAAAACATCATTGCCTTTTATCAAGAATATACTAAAACTAACCAATACGTTAATGTCTTGCAAGGTATTGTGTTTGACTACAATCACATCCATCATTGTGCAGTTGGTGATATTGCTGAATCAAGATATGAAAGTGATTCATCAAGTGGTTCAATTAAAACAAACACTGCAAACCATTCAATCAATGTTGGAAATTGTGTTGGAATACTGAATGGACAAACCTTTGAGTAAAATACAAGTCAATATACAGTAATGCTGTGTATACTATGTATACTGTGGTTAGTGGGAATGATTACTCGTATCCAATTTCAGATGATGATCAAATAATTCAGACTTGCAAGTATTATGAATTTGAACACATCCAAATTGCTGAAACGTTTGTTACTGAATCCAGAAACCCAGATCCAACAATGACAAATAAGCAGCGTCAAAACAGAAATCAATTGGATGCATTATCAACAATTAGTGAACATGAAAACAACAAAACATATGACATATGACAGGACATTTCAAGCAACTTGTTTTCTAGAGCAACTATAAATGCCATTCATTGACTCGATCAAAAACTACAACAATTACTTGCAATGCATCAAAATTTGACATCCAAATTTGGCATCCATATCCAGTTCAACAACAGAAAGCGTCAAACAAGTGGTATCATGATTACTATTCACAAAACAAGCAAATCGGACAACAGCGCTGTTGCAACTATTATGCTTTAAACTCGGAATCAGAAACGATGCAACTGAAAAAAAGTACAAAAAGTCGACGAGTATAGTTTATTGAATCATTCAACATCAATGTCATATACTTGAAAATCAATGACATCAATTCCACCATCTACCAGAAACATGTTTGTTGCGGTGTGTTATTTGATGTGAATTTTGCACCAGTATGTTCATGTCTGATACAATTCATGGCTGCTATTGGACTTTGTACGACTGAACCATTGTTTAAATGTGATGATGTTTATGCCACTGTTGTAAATCGAATGGGTGCATATTGAAATACACGATATTGTTGTAATATATTGTAGTATGTCTTGTATGCAAAATACGACAATCTCTCGAGTTTGAATTCATTGTAAATCTACACCAGACATTCATCAAACTGAACCTTTTAGTATTTTTGCTTGCTTGAAATAGCTCCAGCAAACAAACAAGCGTTTCTGCAATGCACATTGTGTATGCTACACCAACAACATCATTGATGGTCAATACACACAAGTATTGTTGATGTACACTTTGAGTTCCAAGACTGTATTTTTTGTAGCGGGAAAGTCGTGGGAAAGCTGCACATTGAGTTGCACTGTTTTGAGCTCCACTTTAAACATCTGGTCAGCAATCAGTTCATACTTTTGACAAGCTCATGTATGAATGATGGTTTATCAGTGTTTTTATCAAGACACGGTAAATTGGTTCATGATCAATGGTTTGAGTTGGTTTCAATGTTACTGCATTGATGTCATTGAGTGCATCTGAAACAGCAACATCATCACTTGATTCGAGTTTGAAACGATAATTATTGACTGTGTTGGTCAAACTGCAGATTCACTGCTATTGGATTCAGACTCTGTAGCAATACTTTCTGTGTGATGAAACAGCATCTGAAACTGCACCAATCGTTTGATTTCCAATAATATGAGCATCGTCCATAATAATATCATCAGCGGTTTGTGGTTCAGCATTTACCATTATACGAATCCAGTGAATATGTTGATTGTAGGTTTGTAAACAGAGACTACAAGCCAGCAGTGACATCGTTTGCAGACTTTTGACTTTGAAAGCATTCATAATTTCTGATGTGTTACTATCATACAGCAAGGCACATTGCAGTTGCTCAATTTGTCGACTTTTATTGGCAACCTATTATGTACCAGCCACAAATCTGATATTGCAGACTTGTAGATGCTTAAAAATGGGGTTTCAAATTGACTTTTAAGTTTGAGGATCGTGAACATATGATGGCATATTGATGGCTGTCATTATTGTCAAGTGTGTTGCAGTTGATTGAAGACACGAAAGAATGAATCAATATTCGATTGTGTTGTTTATTAACAAGGAAGTGAGTGTGTTCATAAAATGGAAACCAAGAAAGTCATGTGAATTCCAGTTCAAACGTCATTGTTGATGGTTTTTGATTGTTAAACTATTCAGAAATGTCTCACATTCACACACTACTAATGTCTCGCACAATGCAAGTCAACACTCTCACACTAGTAATGTCTCACATTAATGAGACATTAATTCTGGTGTAAATTTGACTAATTTCCAAATATTTCAATCGTGTGAATTGTCTTGAAATATCCCAAAATTTTGTTATTTTGACTCGATTAAAAAGTCGATTTTTGTTTTACAATTTGACAAATAAATTGCTTTTTTACTCTTTTTTTCTGCTCACAATGAACACAAACGACCTATTCCTCAATGTTGAATATAACACTATTTCTACTGAAATCGATGTGACTGACTTTGAAGACCTGAGTGACGTTCAGGATGCTATCAAGGCAAAGTATGGTCCTGCTATTCCTGTCTCACCTGCTTTCATCCAGCTATACGACCAGCAAGGCCAGCTTATCGCAGACTTGGACGATATACCACCTGAAAAGACTCCACAGTACTATCAGGAACTGGCTAAAGGTGGATCTTGTGTTGTTATTGGTTGTTTACCACTACCTACCAGGAAACCAAGCAAAAGCGCCATTTTTGATGCAGGTTCTACTTCTTTATCAACAGCAAACCATCAAGACTTTTCTCCTAAACGACAACGTATCGAACCCAATGATTTGACAACCCAATTCAAGTCGTTTGCAAACGCCCAGCTGATCGATGAATGTATACAGTCGACAGATCATGTCTTTTTCCCATACACCCAAGACAAAATACAAAAGCTATATGTTAGAGAGTGCTATCATGATGTGTTTGGCTTGCTTTTGGATCAAATTGATCGTGGGAAGAAATCATTTGCAATATCTGGAACATCAGGCATTGGAAAGTCACTGTTTTTTGTCTACATATTGCATCGCTTGATGGATGACTTTACCACGAAAACTCTGTCTCTAAAGCCAAACCGGATTGTTTATCAAGTGGGATCCTCGTACAAATGCTTTGACTTGCAGCAACAGCTCGTCACAGAGCTTGGACTTGAAGTGGCCAATATTGTTAGGAAACAAGATACATTCTACGTTATTGATGGACGAACGTCTGAACCACTCATTTCGTCTTGTATTGTATTGTTCATGTCATCCCCCCGTTCGGAATGGTACAAGGAGTTCGTCAAACAAAAGATGGCAAAGGAATGGGATTTTCCTGTTTGGACTTTGGACGAGTTACAGGCTTGTCGACGTCATTGCTATCCGGATGTACCCATTGAGACTACCAATGAGAGATATCGCATGTATGGTGGTGTAGCTCGTTCTGTCTTTGATATTGTATCAAATCCAATGGAGGAAGCTTTGGCTGATGTTGATGCAGTCAAAGGGGTACGAAACATTGGATTCACAATCAAACTATCTGCAAATACTCATACATTGCTTCATACCATTGTGTCAGATGACGGACAGTACGAATTCCTGCATGTTGATATTGCTTCAAGATATATTGGAGAACAACTCTGGAAACGTCATTCTGCTCAAATGATTACCAATATACAGCAAATGTTTGATGGTATTCCAACCAAAATTTCAAGACATTTGTTTGAAATATACGGACATATGGTTTTTTGTACTGGTGGACAAACTCTCAAATGCAGATGCCTGGAAGATGGTAAAGCAACAAAGATCACTTTGGATGCACTCAATGACCAAAGAATTACATTTGGAATAAATACTATTCCTACTGCAGCAGCACTTGATGGCAACTATTACGAACCGACAGATGACGATAGTTTTGCAGCAATTGATTCACTCAGTCGACAGGGAATGTTCCAATTTACAGCTGTTGCTGAACATCCTATTTATGGAGTTGATATTCTTACAAAACTGTGCAATTTGTATGATGAACCCAAACTTTATTTTGTGGTTCCGCCTCACCAGTTTAAAGGGTTCAAAAAGCAGAGTTTCAAACCAATTGATGGCACAGAGCAGATACAACCCATTCATGGATTGAAGCAATACGTTATAAAACTCCCACTAATACAATAAACCAGTTGATGTATTTTTGCAAGTCTGTTTCATTTGTTTAATCGATTTGAACGTTTGATTCTGGCACGGAATATTCAAAAACTTACACTTGCTCCCTTAGCTTATTGACTTGAACTACGATAAATAATGTTTTGAAACTGTAGCAGATTATCTATAATAAATGTGTGATTCATCGTAGGTCGTCGATGTGAATTGTATGTTGGATGATAATTTCCTTGTTTTCGCTCATTTTATATATCTACTATAGATTTTAATATTTCTTAATCCGACTTCATAGCTCCTATTATACATTTAGCGGGAATTCCGGCTGGAAACCAAAAACGGTATTCTTCGGTGCTCTACCCTTACTACTTAACTGCATATTCAACTATACAATCAAAGTACATCAAAACTATTGCAGTTGGTTCCGTGATCAAACACTCCCACAATGAACACTCTTGCATTATACAAGAAAAAAGCTTAATAATGCTCTAAGCAAAGTAGCATCCCTTACTTTGGTGATGCCAAATCATTGGAATTAACGGTGAATGAAAAACATTTGAAGTTGTTGAATCCAAAAATAGCCAATACCAATTCAATAATCAAAAACTGAATCTGCAAATTAAAAGTCAAATTTCAACAACTCAACCTAGTTCAAAAAGCAAATACAACCAAATCAACAACTTAATCAATAGTCAACATGTATTGGAAGATCACAAGTGTACATTTATCATCGTAAATGGCATTGTATACGCAATAAATAACCCTGTCAATTTAGATGAACCCAGCCAAGTACAAGACTATGTTGCTTCAATTTGGAAAGATCATCAACTGTTACACTCTTGATGGTTGGTCAACAACGACTCCAAACCAAACTGTTGAATATTTTATGCAACAACTGCATTGACAAAATATTTCAACCGCGGTTTGATTGAAAAAGGGCGAGTAAGTTTGACATAAATGATTAAACATAATACTCAATAACCTGTGATGAGCATAATAAAAAGTTGACTGAAACAAGTCATAAAAACCAAAAGTATGAAAATCACAATCAACAACTGGCAGTGCTGATTTCAAGCTATTTTTGCAATGAGTTTACAGCATTCATTTTGCATGATATTCACGATACAGCAAATGGTGCGTGCAGGAGTTTGAGCAAGTGTTACACGTGTGCTGAAGAAATCGGTTGAACCAATTCTTTGCCATTGACCTTCCCTGCGAGGTCACCAACCATTGCGTTACATAGGCCATAAGCAACCATCACCATTCATTTCAACCACATTGTCTGCTAAAGCATGGGTGATGCGGTAGAAAGTGTTTTCATCACTGATGTTCATGGCCATGTTGCTCTTGGTGTGGATTTAGTTGCAGGCATTTTTGGAGGTATTCACTTGCTATTTTATATTGGTTTAGATTGCGAATTCACACTTTTATCTGATACCAACTGGCTAATTTTATAAATACTTGTATAGGGTAATGCTGTATTCTACGTCCATACATATCAGTCTTTCATCATTCAATTCACTACTCAGTCGTCTGTTTTACATCCCATTCACTGACTTGTGATTGCTTTTAGGTCGGCTGGTGTTTTGGCTGGGCATCCATTGGTGAACATCATATTGCCATGCTCAATCACATGTGAATTGATGACTATATTAACCACTCTTTGTACCATTATTATATCTACAGGACACGATCAAGTAAGTAATAGCAGGTCTCGTGACATGTCAGGTGTTGGATTTCAGTTTGTCATTTCCATCTAGACTTTCCAGATTCAGATTGCTCATCTTATATTCCCGCCTGAATAGAGTTCGACTTCAAACACAGTCGTCTCATGGACCCAATCGGCGGTATACGGGTGTGTGGAATTGTTTCAAAAGCATCGTCCGTGAAGAAAAGGTAAACCAAGATACCTGCAAATCTCATGTTTTGGAGGAATTTAAAAGATTTATACCGAATCAATGGCCACTCACAATTTTGACTCGTGTAATGACTAGGTCAGCGGACTTTTCAAAGGAATGGTTTCTCCGCTGGTCGGCGTCGCCTTAATCAATAGGTTGAAAACTGTGTTTAGATCGTGTCTATATGGATGGATTGTATAGCTATTGTGCTTGGCTTACGTTTTAATTTTCATTGGCTAATTTCCCTATAGTATCCTGTTTGGTGTATACGGATCTGCTTTGCGACATGTTGCAAAAGACATTGAAGCACCAACGGTATCAGATATTTTTTGGGCAGGATCTATTTCTGGGTTTGTAAATGGCTTTTTTAGTTCACCTATGGAGCTAGGTGAGTATAAATCGAGTCGAATTTCATGCTGATATCATTTAAAGCAAGATACTGATTTTTGTACGATTGTTTCTAGTAAAAATTCGATTGCAGAATCAAGACAAGGCGAGTGCGCAATTATACAAAGGACCAGTCGATTGCTTACGAAAGATTGTTGCAAAACAAGGCATTCGTGGTCTTTATAAAGGCTTGGGAACAACTATTGTCAGAGAAACACCGAGCTATGGTGGTATGTAGGGTTATAGTTGTACCGTTTGATAGACGTGGCAGATTGTTTATTTTTCATCCTGCTATTATTAATGTTGCATTTACTTTGTCATGTACAGCATACTTTGCAGCGTATGAGCTGATGACTAGAATGGTTTTACCCAAAGATGCTGATCCCACCGAGCCATCTACTCGTCTTTTATTTGCTGGTGGTATGGCTGGTGTTGTAGGCTGGCTATCAACATATCCAGTGGATGTAGTAAAAACTCGCCTTCAGTCCAGTAAGTCAATCTTTTTAAGCTTTACATCAACTCAAAACCACTCAACTAACCACCCTGCTTGTGTATGTTGACATTAGTCGAAGAAGATAGGACAGGAAAGTATCGAAATTTGATTAATGGGTTTAAAGTGATTGCTCGTGAAGAAGGAATCCGAGTGTTTTTCAGCGGTTTGGGTGCCACGGCTATTCGCGCGTTCCCTACAAATGCTGCTACGTTTTATGTAGTGGTCTGGGTCAAAAACATGCTTCATGGCAGTATTTCCGGCTCTGAATAAGTTATACATAGTGTTTTGTCCAATATAACAGCACTGTTTAAATTCTGCAATTTGGTTTAAATACTATTTGGGAAATCAAAATGATTGTGCATCAAGTTAAGAGAATGAAATAGAGTTGGTAGTTTATTTGAATTCTTCCCGTGTTGTATCTGCCTATTCGTTCAATGGCTTAAAACCATGTATTTGAATTCATTCCATTACACGAGATGTTTACAAACTTTCAATTGCTTCCTTGAGAAATTCGTTGTCAGCAATGGCAGATGCAAACTTTGCACCAAGAGTTTGCATTGCCGTATGTATCATGTCCATATTAGATCCGTGCTTTTTTGCGAGTATAGATGCTTCAGATAAAAACTGTTGTGCAAGTTCGCTACCCGATTGGATTGCTTCGTCCGAACTGTTCCATACACGTTTGGGCTGTTCGTCTACATTCCATCCCATCCAATAGAGTGAATCTAGTTATTACTCTTGTTTATCGTATAACCAATAAGATTGATACGTAACACATTTGACATACCATGATGACTGAAATCCTCCAGTTCGGCAGCTTTTCGTTTGGCAATCTAATACACGATAAAAGCTTGGTCAAATTTGAAAATGATGTGGCTCATTCAATACACTTACCTTGACAACTGAATCAGGAAATGCAGCAAGTTCTGCTACATGAATACCAAAACTTTGATCGCATACGCCAGGCATCACTTTATAAAGCAGCGTCAACGATTTGGGTCCAGACGAGAGGGTTGATAACAATGCAGACACATGCAAGTTTTTAACAAAAGGTACTTGGTCAGCAAGATTCGAAAGTTCGTGAAAATGTGTCGCAAACAGCGTGAAGCAGCCAATATGTTTTGCAATATGCCTGTTGAATCATACATGATGCAATGGTTTAGCAATATGAATTCAGGATATGAAAAAAATAATAATGGTTGCGTTAATTTACTCTGCAATCGCCCATGCAAGTCCAAATCCATCGTATGTGCTGGTGCCTCGACCCAGTTCATCAATAATAATCAACGAATTTGATGTGGCAGCACGCAAAATTGAAGCAGTCTCAAGCATTTCAGCCATAAATGTGGATATGCCTTTTAGTTGACTATCATTGGCTCCCACACGTGCTAGAATGGAATCTACAATCGATACGGATGCCTCTTCACATGGTACAAACGATCCAATTTGAGCCATAAGAACAATAACACCAATCTGACGAATATAGGTTGATTTTCCTCCCATGTTGGGTCCAGTGATAATTTGAAAAACACTGTCATCTAAATCGTATGTAGAAATCAGTCGTGAATTAGCGTGGTATTATTGAATTTAAACCTCATATACTACAAACACCCTACTCACTTCGAACCAAGTCAACATCATTCTCAATAAAAGAAACATCGTCTTGAACTTCTACACACGGATGCCTGGCCTTTTTAAGAATGATATCACCTTGTCCTAAAAGCATAATTAAAACCAAAATTGACACTTGAGCACATTAAAACAAAAGTATAGATTTGGATCTATCCATACCTGAAAGTAGTATGTTGGGACGAACGTATTGCATAGGTGCAGAAATGGCAACATCTGCAAAACTTTTAAAATAAAAACACAAGACCAACGTGTAAATACAAGCCCATTTGTAATGCTTCAGTTATTGACAAAGTATATACCTTACTAACACATCGATATGTGCAACAAGTTGATTAAGCAGTTCCAGCACTGGAAAATACGAACCTAAAATGAATATCATTTAGTCAATTGTTTTGAAAACTAAATAGGTTCAATGCATCGTCAAATTAAAAAAATGATATACCGGTAATAGAAATCACATCTTTGGATAGGTTTTGCTGTAAAAGTTCATATGCTTTGGTCAACTCTGCAAAATTGTTGCTAAGCGTCCGTAAATTTACAGTGGTAAACAGTACGCCTGCTTTTTGAGTCGACAACTCAATATAGTCACGATTGCCACGAATTCGGTTTGCATCCTAGAATGATCATGACACAACATTGCATTGGCATGACAAAATCCTTGATTATATACACGACATTCTTGCTCAATCAACGCCAATAAAACTTACAACTCGCGATAGTCGAAGATGGTACCCATATTGACTATTTTTTTCAAATTTCAATCGTTTTTCAAACTCGATGCCCAAGTCAATAGCCACCTACAAAAACAGCACGACTGGTTATCAACTCATTCCACAAACATTTTACATCATCTTGATAAACTAAACAAACTCTTACTTGTTCTGCTTCAGACTGAATTGTATTCAGTACGTTGTCCATGCTGCTTCGAGTTTCAAGCAACTCCCGATGAAAATCGGGTTTAATGAGATATTGATGGTTTTCAACTGCAGCCAGATCAATCGTTGTTTCCACAAGCTCCTGTAGTTTACAAAGGCTCTCGCTATATTCCTAAATGATAAACAGTACAAAGTAAAACCTTGATCAGTTGTGGAACAATCAACAGAAACAACTACACAGATCTACCTTGAATTTTAGTGTAAATGTTTCAGAAAATAAATCCATGTATTTTCCACTGTAATCTTCAAGCGTTTCAACCATTGCAGGAAGACCTAGAACCACTTGATAGACTCGAACAACGTCTTGGAGTGATGCACTTCCGCGCTGAAATTTGCGTGCAAGTCGGTGAAGATCTGGAAATGTTTTGAGTCGCTCGTCCTGCAGTTATAATGCATGTAAAGTATTGGTACGAATAGATTCAAAACTTGTCATTGCAGTGTAGATGAATAAGTTTTTACACTACCTGAAGCGCCTGACGAAGCTGCGAGTCGTCAAAAAAAACTTGTACCAAGTTTTGTCGATTCACTAAAATACCAAGATGTGTACACAGTTAGAATGCATCAAATCATGACTTGACAGTGTTCAAGGTTGTGTACCAATATCAGAAATGTTCATGAGTGGCTGTTTGATCCATTGTCCAAGTAATCGCGATCCCTGGGCAGTTTTGCATTGGTCTAGCAATCCAAATATACTCGCTGATTTGGGTCCAGATTGACCATTTGGCACAAGGTTGAGAGCTTTGACAGCAGCCGCGTCCAATCGCATATACTGTGATAGATCATGCTGCTCAATAGTATATTTTCCAAAGTTGCTTTCATCTGCCAAGAGCTGTTTCAATACAGGTTACATTATTCTTGATTGTCTCGGTATGTTTCCAATGCAAACTCGACAACTTACATCAAGATAATGGATCAGCGCAGCAATACAACGCATGGCTGTTGTCAGTTCCATTTCAGCTAATTATCAAAATAAAATTTAGTGTTAATTTTACTGGTTTGTTATATTTACAACACATTCCACTTGTACATACGCAGAGCCGATACAAAGATATCGCTTTCCAGCAGTCTGGAAAGATCTTGTTGAATGTTTTGTATATTAAACTCGCTTTTTCGTCGTTCAGTGATGATGGCATCACATCGAAGCACAATAGCCTTGATTTTTTTGAGATCATAGTTTTGAGAGTCGTCTGGCATAACGACTTCCTTGACTCCAAGCTGAATCATAATCGACTATGTATGGTTTAAAGAATAAGTTTACGCTAATGGGACTACAACACATGATTTGAATGGAAAGCAACATGTGGCATACTTCAAAATTGGTAAATGTTTCGTTATCAACGAATTCACATATTCCCAATCTACGCATCGTGGTAGCATCCGTGTATCCAACACCAACAATCTTGTCAGATCCTTTGACAGTGACAGTTACAGCAAGCACAACAGGTGCAGATCCAACGTCAGTGTTTACAAAAAGCATATCCTCGACACTCTGAAGATTTCCTGGCGATGCCTAAAATTGAAACTTGAGATTATCCATCAAGTTGTGCAGAATGATTTGCATGATCAACGCACCTGTTTAGAAATCTTCCAACTATTGTTTTTTCCAGAGTCTGGACACCAAATCTCGATGCGATACTGTTTTTCCGTGAGCAATTCTTTTAAAAACGACATTGCGTTGAGTTTGGAAAGAGTGCAACTTTGCAATCCAGAACCTGGTCAGTGTGTAGTTTGTTAGTATTAAAGACTAAAAGACAGAATGTGAATCAAGAGTTTTACCCAGTTGCTTCAGCACAGTAGCTGTCCGATACACATGTTCGGACACAAACACTGCATCTATGCCATGCACGCTGTAGTAATCTCCACCGTTTCGTTCAAACAATCGCAGAGTGCCTTGAGTCTAGATGATCAACGAATCAGCACATATAAAAATGAATTTAAATGATTACAAATCTCGAGACTTGTAGAATCTCAACTCACTTGAACAAGACTTTCAAAAAACCGACAAAAACTGGTTTCTGAAGACTTGTCTAGAACATCAAGATGATTGTTAGATGCGTTGATTTGTCATGAAGATTGACTCTGAAATGAGTGCAGTTTGGACTGTAAATCCAGACTGTAATGAATTGAATTGGTTACCAAGAGCCATGTCAGGCTGAGAGAAATCCTTGGTCATGATTGATACGATGATTTAATGGTTCAACTTGCATTGAAAATTCATTTGATTTTGATGCTTGAATTTGCCCAAACTCACATCCAACTTTGGCTTACATTCTCAAGCAATTCATGGCAATGTAATTTCATTTTTAAATCTGTTCATTAGTCTACTTTTTTGGGTAAAGTTTTGGGAATCCAAGGAATGATCATACTTGTGCGATCAACATATTCTTGATACTCTTGATTCCCAGCATATCTTTTAATGGCCATTTTCTCTTGAAGTGGAATCCCACTTACTTTTAAAAGTAAAACCGAAATAAACAATGGACTGATGCTCATCATGATAGCCATTGCAATCCCATCCAATCTAGTCCAATCCAATGCATTCACTGCACAGATGTAGATGCCTATCCAGACTAGAATTTCACCAAAATAGTTTGGGTATCGTGAGTAGTTCCATAAACCTCGAGTATTGACTTGCGAGAAGCGTTTCTCTCCCAATTCGATCTGCCATTGTAGCTTCTGCATATCTGCCACGCCTTCTATTGCAAATCCAATCATGAATAAACTTAAACCCATACCATCCAGTATACCAAGTGGATACGTTTGCAGTGAGGTGGGAATAGACAATACAGTGTAGATTGGAAGTGGAACAAGAATGGTCCAGATTGCTTGCATCAACCATACAATGGCAAATCGGAATGGCTGCATCTTGATGGTATCAAACCGACGATCACCACCAAGAGCATGAACCCTGTAAAACAGAAACACACCAAGTCGTATAGCCCAAACAAGTACTGCTACAAACAACAAAAGTCTTCTAAGATCCATCTCAAACATTCCTTGTAAAAAAGTTGCTGGAAATGGAATAGCGTTCCATAATGAAAGAAGCGTGCATAAAATAAACGTAGCAGTTCCAGTAGCATCGTAAAATAGTTCAGTTTGTAAATAAATAGCTATTGCACCCATGATTCCGTTGATGCCAATTGCCAACAATGCAGGTATACGTAGCGTATAGATGACTGTCAAGAACATGATTTAAATCGTTTGAATTGGCAAGTTGGATTACAATCTGATCGACTGATGGTTAGTTAAAACATTTGTATTGATTTTGGGATTTTTGGTCAATTTAGGAGTAGATCATTTCACGTGACTGACAGTTGATTATGAATTTCGACACTTTTATCTAGTCATCCATTCTACATGAATACAACTGTAACTCAAAGGAGAGCTGACAGGTCTGCTTTTGTCAACTGTCCTACTTGTTCAATATAGAGATTGATATGCAGAATAGATGTTTTTGGAAATTCTAGATGATTGCTGACTGTATGTTATAGTTCATTATCCATGGTTTGAGTTAGATGGGTTCAAGTGTAATAGACTTGGATCTGGTCATAGGCTTACTATTCAGGACATTGTGCTTGGTGCATACAGTCTTGCAGTTTCACTCCAAAAACATCTTTTTACAGTCGTATTCACGTAAAATGGAGTACTTTTAATGGTCTTGTGATTTTCTTTGTTGTAGAATAGCAATGATTTGTTGTTTTACACATTGAGTTGATAGTCTTTATAGACACTGTCCATCATATGATGCTCACGGAAACAAACTATTATTTTTTCTTGATTGATAGTCGTACACTAACCAGGAGAAAACTCAGTCCATCATGTCATGAGATTGACGGTTTATTATGCACATTGACTCGACTATTTAGTGTTCCATTTACATGAATACAACTGTATATCTGATCAAACTTCAAATGTACAAGACTGGATCATTTTACATCAATATGAGTGTAAAGGCATGTAGATCTGAATGATGATCTTTAGCCAAATCTTATTCTTTTTAAAAAAGGTGATGATCAACATCTCTCCTTGATTACCTGAGATATACTAATCCGTCGCACATGATGATTTTGATCTTTTCCTGACACTAGAAAATAGTATTGCATGTACCTGTGTTACTTTTACGTTTCTCTAGTTAACAAATGTCTTTGATTGTGGATATTCTTCTCAATCATAGTGGATGTTTGAAGGATTGGAGCGTCATTGAAGACCTGGTCTGTAAGATCTGTTTTTTATGGAGGTTTGAATATTAGTTTTCAATCTGATGCGCATCAACTTGTACTATTCTTTGTGAACAAGATTGATTTTATCAGATATTTATGCTTTTATGATCTCATTTAGAATAAAAGGAATATCAAGGTGTATATGAAGATTTATGATAGTACTGGAGTGGCCTGTTTCTGCAGTGCAACAGGATTAGTTACAAACAATGGCAGACGGATTGCAGGTCTGAGTCTAGTAGACAGAAACACATGGCCAGGTCCACATAGTCTGTAACTGCCTCGCTGTCCAATAACCCAATATCGCACTTGATGATTTATAAACTGCATAGCTCGCTGTAATCCATAGACCATTTGCTGCATTGCATTCTTGACAAGATCTGGTATCTGTCGATTCTGTAACCATTGAGTTGGTTTTTGTTGAATTCCAGTCATGGGGAATGCATCTCCAACAAGAGGAGACACTGACATGGAACTGTCCCATGCCACCATATGCTTTGGATTAACAATGGCTTCTTGTCCTGGTTCAAGCAAGATTTGCACTAGTCCACCATATGCTGTCATGGCAAGAGTGCCTTTACCACCAATGGTGTAGTTGAAGAATCCACTGTCAGCCAAACCAAATCCTCCAGTGGATAAACCCACTTCCAAGTTGGATGTAGCTGCAAGCAGTGCAGATTGTCTGATGATAAACTCGGACGATCCATCCAACTCCACTGTTGCAATATCCCCAAGCTCTTTAGGAGTCAGAATCACTATTCCATGATCATGATCTGTCACTGAAAACTAATATTCATAATAGAATGAAACAGTTTAGTCAAGATGTGTGATCTTCAACTGTTGGATTCAATGGCATGCAGTCTAGAGTCGACTTACTTTTTCAAAGAATAACGATCCACCAGCAAGACGACGAAGTACTGCGTCTCTCATGGGAGCACCCACTGTCAACTCACTGGTTGCATTCCCAAATGAGCCAGTGACTGTTCCTACAGCTGCTAAAACTGGCTCAGTAGATGCCAACGCAACGTGAAGTACAGATCCCAACCCAGTATTAATGACTTGGAATTCAGTCGATAGATTAACATTCTTGTTAGAACGAGCAGATCGATCTACAGTAGAATGACAATGTCAGTAACAACTCAAAACAGTTGTTCGTTGGTAATCAACTCAATGTCATGTTCAAACTAATCTCAAGTTTGTAGAGTCGGTCATGACTAGAATGACATTACCTGAAACTGAATGAGATGAGAAATCTAAACCAGCAGTTGTATCTGATTGTTTGGTTACTCTCATGGACGAAACACCTTGAATGGTTGGGAATGCATTTGGAAGTGGTTTGGACTGAGTAGCTGACGAGATGGTTGTCATGGAATGCGCATGCAGTCTTAACAGTCGAGTTGACAGTCCATGTCGAGTCAATTCATACCGAAAAGAACTTGCTTGGAAAAGAAACTGTCTTGAATGGCTCATTCTCATCAATCTAATGTTTGCTGAACAGCTGGTCAACTATCGCATCTTCAAAATGGCAAATAGAACAAATCGTGTTGAATTCACGCATCAATCCAACATCACAACTTGCCATTATCTAATCAAGTTAATTCACTGTTTTTATTTTTGTTCCTCAACCAATGCTTGAAGTTCCGCTAGTCGCTTGATGATCTTGGGTGCTTCGATCAACTCCTGTTCAATCGAATTCTTCTCTTCCTGCAATGCAAGTCTTTTTTCTGCATCCAGCTTGGTAAACACATATCCTCCTTGTCCATCATATTGCAAAATCCAATTATGATATTTCCACAACGAAGGTCGATGAGATACAGTCATGAGAGAAATACCCAATGACTGTGCATGGGTGTACATGATACGCTCAATATCCATTCCCACCGATGATGTGCACTCGTCCAGAATGGCATAACGGGGTCGGTGGTAGAATAGTCTGGCCATGGCAATCCGTTGCTTATCACCACCAGCTAAAACATCCTTCCAGTCCTTTTCAGCATCCCACCCACCTTCGCGTGCTACAAGAGATCCAACTTGTACCACGTTAAGAATGTCGGATAGATCGTCATCTGTGATGCCTTTGATTTCCATGTCTTGCCGAGTGTCAGGGTAAATCACCTGGTCGCGTAGTGTGCCTAGTGACAGATAGGGTCGTTGTGGAATATAAAAGACTGACTTGACATTGGGTTTGGACACTACACCACCATATACGGGCCACAATCCTCCCAAAATACGAAACAGGGATGATTTTCCAGATCCGTTTGGTCCTACAATCAGTAAATGCATGCCAGGATCTACATGAAAGTTCAATGCCTTGACCAAGACATCTCCATTCGGGGATACAATCGGTACATTTGTGAATCGAATGGATTCAGAGTGTTCAATAGTGCCTCGTTGGCTTAGAATTTTCACATCAGCATTACTGACCATGGTTTTTTGAAACTTGTTGGCAGCAATATCGTCAAACACGGTCAACAGTTCAGAAACGCGAGCTGTGTATCCAGCCAACTCGGTAATCTCCCGGTATGAATACATGATACGACCCAAAGCATCCGATGCGCCTACAAGCAGGCGACGGTTGGTAATGAAACCCTGAGTACGACTACCAATGTCACCGCCACTTCCATTTACTGCAGCCTGCATAGAGTCTACTACAGTAAGAGCGTCACCCATATTAAAAAAGGCAGGAATGGCACAAAGAATGTATCCACTAGTGCCCCATAAATACTTTATAGTGAAATCTTCCAACATGCCATACCAAATGCGAGTGACATAGATGCGATTGACATGCTTGAGCAAGCCATTATACGACAGATCCAGGAGTTGGCGCTCGGCATTATCACCAGAGTAAAGAGCAACCTCTTCAGCGTTTTCAATCAAACGAGAATGAATAAATCTAAACTCGCCCTCAAGACGCTGCTCTTCAGCGACCATTCTGCCAAAGGGAGGAGTCATGGCACGAAAGATGGATCCAGTAGCGTGTACAAATACGTTCATGATAAACACACCTTCAACACCAACATTCTGAACAAGTTGCCAGTTATTAAGAGCCATATCCAACACAGGTTTTGTGAGATTGGCGTAGAGGGCAGACACGCTGTCACAGAATTTGGAAATGTCCTGAGTAATAAGCTGATCAGCATTTTTAATGCGATCGTCCAAGTTGGCGACTTTGTAAAATGTCATATCGGAAAGGTATTTAGAATGCATGTGTTGAACCAAACGAGTTCTAAACCCAATGGCAAGCTTGTTTTGCAAAAAGGTCAACATGGAGTTTGTATAAGTAGCGGGAACAGCAACGAGCATCCAGTAGACAATATGTAAAAGGAATTGACGACCATTGCCACGTACAAGTGCACTAACAATCTGACCATCCAGCTCAGCGACATAAAGCGACAACATAGTACGAGCAACCAAAAATCCAGAGAATATATTAAGCAACCAAAACTCTTTTGAAGACACTCCAGGAATGATGACACGCACTAGACGAACCAACCGTTTGAGGAAAACAGCATCCACATCAGCACTCACACCCGATCTAAGTTTTCGTTTTCGACCCTTTCCAGCAGGAACAGGTTCAGGTTGAATAGCATTCAAGTCTAATTTTGAATGGCTGATAGATCCAGAAGTGATGGGAGTTGTTGCTGCAGCTTTTCTAGTGATTGCCAGGGTAGAACGTAGACGAACAGCAACAGCAGCCAAAAACACAACCAGCAAACCTCGTTGAACAGTTGATTTGTGACGAATGTAAGAGCGAGCCAAGTCAACTACAGCACGAGGAAGACGCAAACCGAAATCATTTTTATTGCTGGTCATGACAGTGTTGAACTCGGTCAAGTCAAAATCCAAACTTGGCACCTCAAATCACTTTCCTCAGGAAAGACAGTTGATTTCAAGACTCGAAATCAAGTCAAAAAGACTCAACTTCAAGACTCGACATGTCTCCCGTTCAGCTCATGCGTTTGTCTTGTCACAAACTGGTTTCTGTGAATTCAGTTCGTACAACTCGTATTCCAACTCTCACTTGCACTCGTTCATTCATCAACTTTCCAAAGAAAATCCCTTTGGTTCTGACCAAGAGAGATGTTGACATTCAGGTGTTGGAACTGTTGCACAACTATGCAAACGACTCTGACAAGGTATGCTGGTTAGAATTGTCTTGCTTGGAACCACCAGTTTAGGCTTTTTGTCAATCCAACCATCATTCTGGTCAAGAGTGTAGCTTATACATGAATATCTGGTTTAGGTCACTATGAATGCCAACATGATCAAAGATTTACTCATGGATCGTTATGACAGATTTGGATTCTATACTGATTTGATTGAAAAGTTTGATATTGATATCAATCCCAGCAGGTAATTGGGTTTGCTTTAAACACTTGCATGTTGATACTTTAACTGATTCTTGTTCTATCAGGAGATTCTCTAGAGATCTGGCTTCTGCACGTGAAGCTTCTGACTGGGCCGCTTCTTTTCTAGAACAAGATGGTCGTCTAATCTTTTAAAACAATCGCATATGCGATTGAGTAATACATGATTTAAAATCAAATCTACTCTTGTCAATCTTTAAAAAGTGATGGTCATGAGAGCATTATCTTGACTGTCTTTTACATGTACTCGTCCAGAGTGGAATACTGATACTGTACATTCATCACCTTATTAAGCCAGTGTTGTGGATTCATGAGAATGTGAAGAATCGCACAATTGTTTATAAAACTTTATACTCGATTCAACTTTGAATAAACACTATGAACACTGTGGATATCGAGGTAGTTTTCTGCACAACTCATCCAATTGTGTCTGTGAATCCACTCTAATCTGGACTTTCAATTCGAATCTAAACCAACATGTGTGTGTAGTTATTGTCAGTTATCACAACGACCACTATGGAAATACTCGATAATTTACATTCTTGTGGTAAGCAAATCGGACTGTTGGTCATTCAACTCGGCTTTAGATTCAAATGCACTGGTTTCTATCCGTAATGCTAATTCAAACTCACATTCTCTAGTCAGTGACCACTGCATGCAACAATCTCAACTAAAACAACTTGTGCTTGGACTTTCTTTAAAACAAGTCTTGCAATGGTCGCTATGGTTTGAATGTAAGCATTTCAAGATGGATTTTCAACACTTCCAACTCAACATTTCAAATGTTTTCTAGCAATCTGTCTGGCCAAACTTTCTGTTTTGATATCAACTCAAACAAAACATTATCAAAATAACTCATCCTCATCAGATGATTCTGATGTACTATTACATCACATCAAACATTTTCTTGATGAATGCATTGCTGGATTCGATCGTTACTCTCAATTGGCTCATGTATTGCCAAATGGAACGTGAGTGCTTCATACGTTAAACTCAATTTCAATCCGTTGTTCTTTTATATTCATCTTGACTAAATCTATTCATCTCAGTCAGGTATTCATTGCACGATTGAGAATAGCGTATCTTGCTCAGGTTCAACACGCCATCACCACCCAATTCAAAAATGATGTTGCTCATCAATTTGATAGATTGATTCAATCTGCGCTACCTCATTCTACCAACATGGTTCAGGATAGATCTCAAATTGAACAGGATCGTTTTGAAATCTTGCAACATCCTTGCATTCACGAATTGGAAACATTGTGCAATCTGCTTCAACAAGCAGGATTATCCTCCTGTTTTCAAGACATTTATAACAGTGTATTGACTCGACATATCAAACAGCATGTTGTCACTTTGGCAAGACATTTAGAATACGTTTCGGTATCAAATCAATTGCAACAATGGCTTAAAAGTCATATTTTACATTTGTCACATATCTTGGGCAAATTGGATTCCAATCAACATGCTCCATCCAGGTAAATTGACTTGTATAACCATAGATTCGAATCAAACATGCCAATACTCACTACACACTCATTCATGACGTGTATCTTAGAGAAAAAAAGTTGGAGTTTTTTGCTTTTCAAACATTGTGTGTTACTCGGTATGTTTTGGATTTCAATACATCTTGTCATGTTAAACGTTGCATGTTCAACTATTAAACATGTCTTGATTGGTTTATAGAGTGCAGGATGCATTTGAGATTGTTCGAGATTTTCCAGACTCGGTTCCAGCAGTAGAAGATTTATACGTAAAATTAAAACTGACGACTTGTATTCTGTCATGTAAAGCCATATAACCCCTGACTAATAATGAATATTGTTTTTTGTAGATTGCTCTACAAAAGTATAATAATATAGGTGCATTGCTCAAAACCCTTGAAACGTCGTAAGATTACATGTTTTTATTTATCACATACGATTCAAACTGTCATGTATAGGCGGTTAAATCTTTATTTTACTGATACTGTAGGATTGGAAAACGATTAATTCATTGTGGTGCATTTACACAAGATATTCTTTCGTTTTATATTGCCTTGGCACAAGTGCTGTGCATGCTGGAGTGCTCAGAGGATATAGTGAACGGCATGCTGAATCCTATTCGACTTTATTTAAGGTGAAATCATGCAGAGATGAATGGTTTGATAGTTTGCATTTAAGCTTAGATGGTTTGAAATAATGTATAGATCGCGTGGTGACTCGCTTGAGCAGATTATCACGCAATTGGTCAATCAAGATACAGAGGTTATACTCCTTGTTGATCATGCCGTATCTCAGCGTCTATCAGCAGGTATGATATGTCAATAGGCATCAAATCTCATATCGATAATTCCATACTGATACAGTGATTTTTTATGTTCAATCATTGTCAATCTTTTTCCAGTGCGTATTCCACAGCTACTAAACATTTTCCCCAACAAGGAAGTGTATGCAAAAACGTATATTGATTTACTGGCCACCCGATTACTTTCTATGCACGATTTTGACTTGGACGACGATGTAAGCTACTCAAAGTAAATGATTCATAACTGTATTGTTGTAATCCTGACACTGTCTTGAACACAACTGCCATTAGAAAGCAAGTCTAGCCATGCTAGAGCGACGCATTGGAAACAAAATAACAACATGTGCTCAAGTCATGATAAAAGATATGCAAGAATCGCGACGATTTGCTATGCAGTTTCATAAACAAACCATTGATGCATCTTATTTTAGTGTGTTGGTGATTTCTGCACGGTTTTGGCCAGACGAAAAAATCCGCGATGCGCCTCTTACACTCCCGCACTCTATTCAACAGTATGTGATTCAACTCTTTATGCTAGTATCGTTTCTAGATTGACCCAACCTATCAATTATGATTGATTAGATTTCAAAAGGTGTATCAAGATTCATATGCTTTATTAAAGGCACGTCGACTCAAGTGGCGACCGATGCTGGGATCAGTAGATATCGAGATTGGACAGGGTGATTCATCCCTTCGTGTTTCTGCTACACCCGCACAAGCAACACTTGTTTCCCTGTTCTCCGACAAAGGTAAATGGTTTTTTAACTCGGGTTGATTCATTCTTGTTGTGGAGGTTTTATCGCATCAAATGGATCAGCAATAGGGTTTATTAACGTGACTATCATGGGATGTTGATTTTGTAGATTCTATATTGGTTTCTGAAGCGATCGAAGCAACACAACTCTCCAAAACAGCAATGTATCAAGCTGTTGGGTTTTGGAACCATCATGGAGTACTTGCACTCCGTCAAGACCATATTATAAATATCCACAATACGGTCAAGGAACTCACCCAAGATAAACTCGCTGCAACATCAGTAACAACTCCTATGCAAGATGTTATTCCTGTTCAAGACCCAGCAGCTGAACGACTCGAAACACTTCAAAACACAGTATGGCCATTTGTTGAAGCTGCAATGACTGCATTTGATCGATTGACTGTTCATGACATTCAAAAACAGTTGGCACCTTTTGGATTGGGTATGGATGAGATGGAATTGAGAAAGTTGTTGGAATGGGCTATTGAGTGTGGTAAGGCAGACAAGGTTGGTCAGCACTACGTTCCTAAATTAGCCTAGATCTAAAAGGGATTCATTGATGCATATTGCCATTCTATACGAGTCTTATAAATTCAGTTATAGCCCATCAAGTACATTAAATACGTTCCTTAATTAGTGTATGACGATTGAAGCAAAACAAAGTTTATTCAAATTCATTACATTCAAGCAAGGTAAATGGATAGAGTTGAACAAAAAGACAATATTGAGATGATTCAAACTCCATTATGGTGAAAGACGCTTGGGATCACGAGGAAACAGGGATGTTTTGCGAATGTTGCCAAGATCGAGGTAAAGCATGACAACACGTTCAAGACCTACATAAAAAGTCATCAGAGTTTGACTACATATTTCATTACACCAACAAAATAGTGACAATTCTTACCAATGCCACCACCAGCATGAGGTGGAGCACCGTACTTGAAGGCATCAATGTAGGGTTGGATAGTGCTGATATCAACACCATGTTCCTCGGCACGCTGTTTTAAAAAGGCAGAATCATGGATACGTTGAGCACCAGACAAGATCTCTTCGCCACGAACAAAGAAATCATACGAATTGCTGTACCCCTGTTTTAAAACATGCCAACCCGACAGAGTAAATGAGTTGGTACGTTAAACATTCACGGTTTTTGATCGTTACAGACACGTGTACATGGTATTCACAATAGTTTGACTTACAGGCCGAGAAGGATCAGGCATTGTATAAAAGGGACGAACAGCCAGAGGAAATTTGTCCAAAATAAAAAAGTCGGTCTTGTATTTTTCCTTGACAAGCTTGCCTAGTAAACGCTCTTGAGCAGTGCTAATAAGCAATGGATATATGAGCAAAACCAGAATATTGAGACTGCAATTTTAATATAGAAACTCAACTTGAAATCATCAAAGTCGCCAATTTCAACACCAGCACCACGAAGCATGGCAATAGCTTCTGGGAATTCCAAACGAAGCGATTTTTCAAGAAACATAAAAGGCTCATAAGGATACTGACGCTGGATAGTGGCAAGTTCTTTCTTGTAGCGAGATTCCAATCCTTGGAAAATAGAAACAAATAGTCCATCCAAGACATCGAGCACTTCGTGGTAGTGTTCCTGGAATGCCATTTCCATATCAAGACCCATAAACTCGGTCATATGACGATGCGTCTGCGAGTTTTCGGCACGGAAAACAGGTGCAATCTCATAAACGCGCTCGAAATCGGCACACACCATCATTTGCTTATACAGCTGAGGAGACTGGGCAAGAAATCCGCTTTCTAGACACAATGAATTGAAAAGTCATTCAAGATAGTTTCAAGCATGAGAAAATGAACATGAATAAAGGGTATCGTATCAACCAACCTTTAAAGTAAGAAACACGAAACACATTGGCACCGCCTTCTGATGCTGCACCAATGAGTTTTGGAGTGTGAATTTCAACAAAGTCTTTGTTGTCAAGAAATTCACGAAAGAGTTTTGAAACACCGGCTTGAATACGGAAAATAGCCTGGTTGGTAATGGTACGCAAATCAATGACACGATTGTCCAGACGAGTTTCAAGATTGATCTTGCTAAACCCAGACTCTTCGGTAAAGTCTGAATCTGGACGGGTTGCATCTTCCAATGTAAATGGAAGACGAGCGGCCTCACTAACAATAAAGATCTAAAATTACATTGAACATGAGTAAAGATAAACAAGTAGCCAAATGGAAGAGAAATGCACATACCTTTGAAACCTTGAGTTCGTACTCTTGAACAGTGCAGCCAGTAATGAGAACATCAACTTTGATGACCTCACCCGAGATCAAAACCAACGATTCAGGAGAGATCGATGTAGCAAACTTGAGCATATGTTTACTGACAGATTCAGCATTCACAGTCAAGACAGTTTGTAAAGAGTCGGTGCCTTGACGAAGAGTCATGAACAGCATTTTTGAGCCTAGACATGATAATTGTGTGGAAACAGAAACCCAAAGAATTATGAATAAAAAATCACGAACAAGTTGATGGACGAGTCAACAGACGAGTCAGTAGCAATTCAAACCCAAGCGAGTGATTACCTGTAGGCCTGACAGTCTGTACACGAGCAGAGAGTAGAATAGATGAACCGACATGAGAAGCATTGACTTCAGAGATAAGAGTGCGAGTTTCATTCAAACGAGCGACAGATTGATTCATGGGCAGTTTTCCATAACAATCCACCGAATAATCCTAAAAATCACAGAATACATTCTGAGATGACAAGTGAAAAGTAGATGATAAAGTGACTGCAAGACTTACAGGCGATGCAGCATCTCGAGCAGCCTTTTCTGCAGCCTAGTTTTAGTATAAAAAGAGTAAGCCAATGACAGTGACCATCACAGTGTTGAATGATCGCACCAGTTTATCAGCAACTTCCTGCTTCCTGCGATCCTTCTCTCGTTGTTTTTCTAGTTTCTTAATAGCAGCCTTGGACAATGGTTTTCCATCTTCACCAATCATCAGTTCTTCCATAGTATTAGAAATGTCCTTTTGTAGTTCAGTCATGTCTGTTGATGCAGTAGTAATGGATCGCGAGTGTTGATACAGAATAGGGAAAGTCCATGTAAAAACCGATCGATGAGCATTCATGACTTGCAATGGCCAGTTTGCTGTTTGACTGTTTCGATTACAATTCAATATTTCAAGTCGATTCATTTCATGTGTAAATGTGTGCCATGTCAGCACTGAATGTGACCAAATGGTCTTGACAAGTCTTTTTTGACTGAGCATCAACTTGGATGGTCTCAAGTCAACTCTTAATATCTTATTTAATCTTTCAAGATTCTACTTTACTATTCATTCATCATGCTTCGTTCTTGCTTTTTTTAGGTCGCGCCTGAATCATTCAACCGTTTTACATGTTAGATTCATCTCAATCGTCATTATCATCATGTCAATCTTACTTTGGGTCCCCAGTTTGCTGTTGGGTTCTCTTGGTGTCGCACTAGTTGATACTTGCGTGAATCTGGAATCGCTTTGGGGTGTTTCTCAAAGTTGGCTACAATCCTACAACATTTCATATACATTCATGAATCTATTCTGATAATTGCATCATTTTATATAAACAGTTGTCAATACATCACTCACTTGGGTTCAATCGCAAGAAGTGTTCGTGCTGGAGAGTTTGGTGACATGTTTTTCTCCGAAGGTGGATGTTGCTTACACCAGCAACGCATAATATCCCAAATCACTTCTGCTGGTGCATCTGTCTTGATGGATGCTTGTGCTGCATGCGATTGTGATACTTTGTATCCTGCATGAATCACTGCAGATCTATAGTTTCTCCATGATTTAAATATAAGTCATATTGCTGACACATTAACAAGACTATTTTCATTATGCATGCTTTGCAAACTTACACGAAATTAATCAAGGCTGGACATTGACAGTGAATCGCTCCTGCTAGTGTAGAAAGAGTGTAGTATAAAGGAATGGGCAGTTCCTAAAATGGTAGATCCAACACGGTCAGCTGCCGACAGATAGATATTGGTTTAACCCTGACTCACCTCAAACTGAACAGTAAGCATGCCTGCCATACGAGTATGAGTCCCATACTTGTGCAATCCTACATTGCTAATATGGTCCAACATGCGCGCTATAAACTCGGGATTGTGGATCGGATCAGAGTAAAATGGTCCTGCCATCTAAACATCATCATGCGTAAATAAAAATATATTCTTGCTTTTTTAAAAACTTGAATCTTTTAAACTTACATGGCAAATACTTCCACAATGAACACACATTTTGTCCATAGATGGCCCAACTGCAGGGCCATAGCGAATGCCTTTTGCTTTTTGATTCAACTTGCCAATAGGCTGCAAAACAAAACTCCTGCAGCCTGAACAGTGAAACACCATTGATGTTTTGCTATCAGGCACCAAATCACACGCATGGTGTTGGTATACACGTTCTATTCAGAATCACGTCAATCAACAGATGCATAGTTTTACCTAGCTGCCTGTTTAACTAGAGCTGCAGAGTCACGAACACGAACAAAAACTCGGACATAGAAATCAATACTGCAGCTCAACAATGGCTCAATGGTACGGCGGTATTTAGCTGCAGTAGATTGAATCGAGTGTAAAAGAATTCTCAATGCCTGAATATACAATAGATTGCAATTTAGTTATAAAAATTCAACATTGACTAAATTTTCAATCTGTAAAAAGTATAGTCACCATTTCGTGAGTATAAGGAGCTCCAGGAATATTAATGCCTCCATATTTGGACCAACAACTTTCTGGTTGGCTACCAGCAAGTACAGCCATGTCTGTGCATGTTATACAAAGCAAACCTATATTTCAAGTAAAACAACAATTTGTTATAAAATCATTCAATCCATCAAACTCGATCACGCTCTCCAACGTAAACTGCCATTCATGGCATAATCTTGATATTACCTCCGTCGGAAACTGACTGAACTGCACCATCTAGAAAAGGCGCTGCAGAGCCATACGGATCTAGATCAATAACATCGTAGCGCTTTTCAGTCCCAACAGTACGGTACATGACTTGACTATCATTGAAAATACATCAACATATCAGATCAATGATTGGTAGGATAAATAATGTCAATACTAGATTCAATCTATACATGCATATCAAAATGATCGCTATACTTACCAAGCATCACCTTTGTGAGATTGAACAATGTTTTCAACTTTGTTATGAATAACGTTGCGCTTGATTGACTCAACAGCAGCATCCAACAGATCATTAGCAATAATTTCAGAAGCATGTTCAATTTCTTTGGCATAACGGATGGAGCGCAGACCAGTGGCAGAAAGTGCTTCCAGAATATTAAATCGTTGATCTACATAGTCTGCATGAGTCAGATCTACAGCCTCAAACTCGATCGTAGATGCGCCTCTCTTTAATGCCTTCATTTTGTTTTTTTCACGCTCCAACAGCTTCTCCTTGGCAGACAGCTTGGTTCCAGAAAGGTTTGGTTCCTCGACCATTTCAATTGAATTGTTTTGAGATTCAAGATCTTCATTTTGTTTGGCTTCATCATTCTGATCTATAAAATGAGCTCACAAGTATTACACATCAGCAAATGTTTTGATACATGACACATTACAGCTTGTATAATCTGTATATCCCACCTGGTAATGGTTCAGCTTCTGCGTGTCGTTTAGCTGCTTTTCGCTTTATTTTGTTGCGTCGTTCAAGGAAAAACATGTCCCTCCAAATACTAATTGCCGCAATAGACTAAAACAAATATGCATTAGTCTTTTACACTTTTATCCAACACAATGATATTTAAATACATGCACCATGTCTTACCATATCTCGGTTGAATTGCTGAGAAATTGGGCCAAAAAGCCATGTGCAAAGCAGGATAAAGTGGAATTAGTAAATCAATACAAGACTTGTATTTAAATATAAAAAATGCACTTTTTATATTACCTGGACTGGGTTATAAAAAACCTCTTCATCAAAGATAATTTCTGTCGAGCCTGAATAAATTGATGAGCATCAACATTGTGAAATTAGAGAGATCACATTGATAGCTTCCAAGGCTTTGAAATGGTGATTTGACATAGATGTAGCAATGTTTTTACAACTACATTGTATAAGGAGAGCCAGTATAAAACAAGATACCTTCTAGAACCGATTTCGTGCCATTGCTGTTCACTCGAAGCCAAGATGGTTGTTCTTCAGTTTCAAGCCTCATTCTCTTTTGCTTCACAGCATTATTTCCTGGTCTTTGAATTTTTTCAATATGTGTAGTATCGGGAGTGACGGTAGTCATTTTGTTGATAATAATCGATTGAAATTCAAGTTGTGAAGAATTCAAAAATAGATTTCCAATTTATGAAATTATTTGCAGTTTTGATTTTGCTTTAAAATGCAATTCAATATTCGGGCAATTTCTACAAATTGGCGGCTTCATTTATTATTCAATCAACACTTTTCATTTGAAATGTTCACACATTACATAATCACCAGATTTGAAACCAGATTGATTGAAATTCAGATATTTCATTCGACTATTCTCAAATTCCATTCTAAAATCTTGGATAAATTCTAATTCAAAAACCCAAAAATCGCAGAAATACAATTGTTTTCAGTCAACTTTGTCAGAATTCAAAAAATAATGCTATCCAGTAATCCAACACTCATCATTTTACAAAACTGGCTTTTTTATTTAATGTTCCATTTACGTGAATACGGCTGTAAGAGTGAATTCATGTAAATATCACTCAATTGAAAGCTTATTTGAAAAATGATCAACAATAATATCTGTATGAGAACAGAAAAGTAATCAAACATACAAATCAAGTTTTTTTATTCATCAACCGTCAACACCTATGGGTTGACATGAAGCTCATTTTCAAGTCCTGCCACATCAACAGAGTCAAGAAAATCGTCATACATGGATACTTGCACCAACTGTTTTTGAGGATTTGTTTTTGACGATCGAGAAATTGAAATTAAAGTGAGATTGCTTGTGGTGTCTGTTTTATCTGGCACAGTTTCTAATGTGGCGTCATTATCGGTTGGATCAGATTCTTTGGCGTCAATTCTGACATTGTATTGAATAAAATGGGATTTAATATAGGAAAACTTGCCAAATAATGTGCACAATATAAAATGCAGTAAAACTAACCTGTTAACAACATGCTTTGGTGCCGTTTTACGCCTGGCAAATGGATCGTAAGCAACAGTGCCTAAAAACATATTTCAATACGTCATTACATTTTAGTCAACACAATCAAAGCCATATACAAATGTGCAATACATTATCCCAAACCTTTAGATTTCTTTAGTTCAAGCAAATTCTTCTCTGCTTCTCGTCCTTCAGTAAAATTCGATTTGCGATTTCGTTCATTCAGTTTAGTGAATGCTTCCAAATGCGATGTGTCTTTTTTCGATTTTTCTTCACCAAGCTGATTCAATTCAAAAATACGATCACGGTATATATCCACTTGGGCTTGATCACCCTTTTCCTCAGCAACTTGAAGAGCCTGTTTGATTCGTAGTTTTTCAAGAGTAATGTTGGCAGGCACTTTGATCAATGTTTTTTTGCGTTTGATCATTGTGTTGATTTCATCCTATAGTTATGAATAGCCCAGGATCAGTAAAGTCCATAAAATCTACATTAAATGTAGCAGAAAAACGTATCACAAGCAACAAAGATGCAAATAAAATAAACATACGTTGGTGAAAATATGCTCTCGTGCCGACTGCAAATCACGCTTCTTTCTTCGAACCTGATCTGCCGTGATCATTGACTGCTTTTCTATTTGCATTGTTTGCTCATATCTATTCCACTCGGACTAAAACATACACCAATTTTAGTCGAGTCAGAATAATTACAATAAACATTTACCAAAATTATGCAAGGGTTAATGAACAAGGTATACGCACCACCGTGAAAGGCCGGTTTGAAACAATGTCCATTAGAAATGTTTTAGTGGCTTTTCCATGGGCAATTTTAAGTGCAATTTTTGTCAGAGTACCTGCAAGTCGATATACTCGATGATATGCAGGTGTCTCTGTTTTATACAATAATCATGACATCAATGATAATGTAAACTTATAAATTAATCAACTCTTCGAAATTCGTAACAGCAGTCTATTATGCGTTGGAAACGATAGCTATATTATTGTAACCCTACCTACAACTCGGGCAAGCCGGTATACCTGCTCACGAGTATTCGGATCATTCCCAACACCAATACGAACAAAACAGCCTACAATCAAATACACTTAGTACTGAAAAGTTGATGAGCTGTTGTAATGAAAAATATTACCAATAATTGTACTGGAAAAGAAATCTGCATGAACCCATCGCTCAAGCTCATCTCGAGTTACCACAATGCTTCGAATATCTTCAATATTAGCTGCAGCCTAAATAATTAAACACCAGCCATTGAGCAACACATAAAGTGTCAACAACTTTAAACTGGATAGTAAATGCGCTAGATGGATAAACATGTGATTTAAAAGCAACATACTGGAAGTGATGAAGCTAAATTTGAACCAGTTCCTTCGTCCTCGCTGTGGCTACTATATGAAGGAGCTTTTGAACGCTTGTAGCCATCGTCACTACCATTTTCATCCTCATCGTAAGTTCGAGCCAATCGTTCTTTTTCACGACTCTCTCGCTTTTGTCTAAGAGTATCAAATGTCTTTTTGCCTGCACGATCACGCTCAGACCGTTCACGTTGACCGCCTGTACATGAGTTGCAACATTAGATGCCTTGGCTGATAAAAAGTAAACGGGCGTAAGCTTTAAATGACTTACGTAAATCACCACTGTTGCGTTTCAGTCCTGACTGGAGATTTAGACGTCGCCTTAATATGGTACGTTCTCGTAGCGCATCCAACTACAGTAGTATAGTAGAGTTTAATCAACATTGCAGAATTATCTGTGGATTACACAAGCCAAATGGATGATTTTACCTTTTTTTGGCGATCGGCTAATACCATTTCCCTTTCAAGTTCTGATAGCATCATAAGACTAAAATCCAAATCCAATTAGCTCGACAATGTGATATTTGAAATATGGACTCGATCAGCCAATTTTATATTCACAGGAATACCAACTGCAGCGTGACAATCTGCTCAAGGCAGACTAAACAGAAGAATCACTGCAAGTGCAAGACATACTAGCTGATTCTTACCGCTTTCGATCATCTGCATCGCCCATTAAATCAGTTGTGCTCCAAGTCCTAGCTTCTGACCATTCTGGATCCGAAGCATCGCCATCGTCGACATTATCGACATCTTCATCAAACTCATATCCTGGATTATATTCTGCAGGCTCATCAGAATCATCAAAATCCTGTGCTTTGCTTTTCGATTCCGATGCAGCTCCATTCCGACGTCTGGCATTCCGGTCTGTTCCTTGCTTACCATATTCGCCATCGCTGTCAGAATCAACATTGGATGTCCTAGGTTGATATAAAGATAAATCAATAAGTTGGTATTGTCATTGCACATCTGAAGCGTATTTGTAAACACATGTCCAGTTATATTGACGATATAATTGTGCATGCAACAAGACTGTTGTGGAATGCTAAAGAAACTGGCAAGTCAATCACTGCAATGAATCCACCTTCGACGCTTGCGACGCTTGACAGTTTGCTGGTGTTGGTCAGTATTGCTCTGATGACGACGAGGTGGATCTGATGCTGCTGCTCCAGTACTATTTTCCTCAAGATCTTCAACTAGTGCCAGGATTTCACTATCAAGAAAATCCATTGCGATGCTAACAATACAAGAGTGGATAAAAAGCGATTTTTTAAATATTTGTAGATTCTCGGCAATATCGCGATTTTGGTCAAATCAGAACGAATGACGAACAGAACAAATCGTGCGATCGATTTAAATGTTGTTTATTGCGACTGGACTTGAAATAACAAAAAAACTAGTAAAAACCAGTAAAAACCAGTTGATGTAAACAGTAAAACTCGTCTATTAAACGCAAGAGTGCTAAATAAATGACCAGATTCATTGAAAATATCAACGTGTCGTCGAGGTTATTAATGAGTGTTTTCCAACATATTGTTTTGAAAAACAAGCGAGTTGCCGTCATCTGAACCTGTGAGAACCACTCTTCCATCTGCACGAACACTAAAATCTAAAATAGGTGCTTGATGACCACGCCAGATTTTCAAGCATTCTCCAGATCTGCCATCCCATGTGCGGATCGTCATATCAGCCGAGCACGAAGTAAAATATGGCATTGACTTGTGCCATTGTAGTTTGATTACAGCGTCCTGGTTTTACAAGTCATAGTTTGCATCAAACATGTTAGTAATGGTTGTCATGGTTATAGTTGTATACGGTTTGTAACATAGATATACATACATCATGCTGAACCGTATGTCTGATTCGTAATGTGGTAATGTCCCAGGTATGTATTTTCCCATCAATCGATCCGGTAGAAACGTATGGGAGACTAAAGGTAAATGCAGTTAAAGTAAACATGTGTGAGCAACTTCAAAACTCAATCTGTGAAAATTACAATCCAAACTAATGTTCTTACAAATCAGAAAAATCTACAGTTTCAACCGATTCCTGATGACTGTCTAATGCTGCCAAAATTCTTCCATTTCCAATATGCAATAACCGAACGCTACCATCTTGACCGGCAGATATAGCAAGACTGGAGTCACTTTTGATGGCAAGTGTATTGATTGGAGTTTGATGGAAGCGTGCATCATCACCAGTAAAACGGCAAAGGGATGTTGAAGTTTTTGGATCCCAAACAATGATAGTTCCGTCTGCAGATCCAGTCACAATTGATTTCCCTGCCAAATTAATGTAAACAGTCACCATCTAGTAATTTCAAGTAGATTAACACTTCAATTATATTTACCATCGGGAGTAAACTGGCCACACGTTACAGATCCAGAATGTCCGTACATAACTGACATGCATTTTCCAGATGGAATCCGCCACATCCATACAGATCCATCATCTCCTCCTACAAGAATAACATTTCCTTTGGGATGCCAATTGAGCCACTGATGTTGCCATATATTTGTGTTTTATAGTCAGTATAGAATCCAAAATGAAATTTCTAATTATACAGGACAACCATATCAATTAGCATCGAATTTCAAAAAATAATATACTTGCATTAATCTCGGGAGGCCCATCCAGTTCTTGCTCAAGATGACCATCGCTTACTCGAAAAACAAAAACTTTACCATCCATGCCTCCACTGGCCACATACAAACCATCATTGCTAAACGATATGGCAATGACAGAATCAGAATGAGCTATATTGAAATACCATTATAATAATTCAAAAATGTTTAGACAACAATCGCTTTTTTACTCATCATTAGCTAGATTTTACTGTTACTTTCTAGACTTTTAAGAGGAAACAACTTACTTGCAAGATTGTATACCTTTTCGCCAGTATCCATCCTCCACAAGTAGCTACGATCATCACCACCTCCAGAGGCTGCAATTGTTTGATCGATTGGATGAAGAGCCACGGCATACACAGGCTCTAAAATAGTTATCCAATAGTTAAATCTACGAATTAGTGCACGATTTCTACCAGAAAAACTTGTGCATTGTTCCTATATGTGGATGATAAGACAGGCCAGTTGAAAAACAAACCTCGGTGTTCGAAAAAACCTTGAATGGAGTCATCTGTAAAAGTCATGCTATTAGAAGCATTGACAGTATCCTGATCTGCATACACCACGAGTTAGTAAATTGTGAATTATTCAAGACAATCGGTATTTTTCAATACAATATCTACTCAAATATTACAATCAATGCAATTAAAATTCACTTGATAATAATGTCAAATGGATAACATGCAAGTCTTACCGACTTCAGCAGTATCTAAAGCATCGTCATCCTCACTCATGGGTTCATTATCTTGTTCAATATCAATCACTTGTTCAATTTCATCGCCTTCCAAGTAGGTTTCTTGGCCTTCAATCTCATGAGTGTCTGTCGTATCCTGCATTATGTTATGATTTATTAATCGATAATTTTATAAAAATCGATTTTGATGTTTGCTCAAACACGTGACTATTTGCTTTGACAAACTTGAACTTCGCGTCTGACATTTGCAATATCATCTGGCTTGCTCAAATAAAATGCGTGAACATGACCAAGATGTCTTGGACAAGGTAAGATCTAAAAACAGAACATGTTGTTTCAACAGACTCAATTTACTGTGCTTTTATGGAATCTGGATTAAAGCCTGTCGTCATATGGTATTGTTCTCACTATTGACTGATATTGTAGGCACATGCGTGTATTGACTTACAGGATTGGGAAGCAGCAGAAAGGTACATGTTAAACAGTTGAAGACACCAGAAGCATTACTATGATCTAGTTGAACTGTTGTTTCAAACGTTCATTTTTTCATCCAATGGCTGTATTCCACCAACAACCACTTACATACCATATCTTGTTCAATTTAGGCATCTATCAGACTTTTTTATCAAAACTAATCAAGAACCTTTGAAAGTACTCAAGTAAGGTTTATTTTGTGAATTTACATTATTCAACTTGAAAACCATTAATTTCCATCATTTGTTGTGTCCATCTGTTCAATTAGAGCATTGATTCTTCAAGCGCATGTTAAAATAAAAGCTCTATTATGGGAGAATTCAGTGCAAAGTAGCAACTGTATATCCACCATCTCAACAGAATCATATGGCTTGGACTTTGGAGATAAAACACGTTGTGCCAAGGAAACTACACTGTCAAATGAACGTAGCTTTCCCAGTTGTATCCTATCGCTCAACAGTGCGACCAATATTGCAATTGAATCTAAATCATTGATTGGAATTCAGAATATTGCGCAAAGTTTTATTCGACTCCATCATTTGACAGGGATGCATATGACTGAGCAATCCTTTGAACTATTAAACCGCATTGCCTTGTCAGCATCCACAGTATTACTGGATAACAGCAATCAAAATCAAGACTGGAGAATCATCATTCACTTGTTACTTGCAAACCATTTAATCTGTCGAGATCCTGCTGAGAGCCATTCCATGGCCAATATTGCCGACGCCAAAAAAAATATTATCTTGGCAAGTCATATCTGGAAAAGTGGAAAAGGCTCTGTAAATTTATTTTTGGCAGGAATGCAAGCCATTCTAAAAGTTTCTCCAGAAGTGACAAGTCTACTTGAACCAAGATGGGCATCAAATACTACATTAAAAGTAGTCGCGTTGATTGATAAAATCAAAAAGCACCAAGCCTCGACCGCTTTAATTGACAAGGATACCCTGCTAGAGCTTACACAGTTGAGCGAGGAGTTATCCATGCCAGAAAATGAGTCTGATTTTGACAAGCTCAAGGAAACCACTGAAATTTCTCTTCCGATTGATCCAATCCGACTATTTTTAGTTAAAGAGTGTGCCAAACATCATCTCTACACTGAGGCTGCTAAACTCCTTGCACGTATTGGAACAAGACATGCTGATGCTCATTTGACTTTACAATGCGAGATATATACAGCGCAAGTCAACTTTTGTTTGCTTGAATCAAGCGCTTTTGATGAATCTCAGATTAGCACACCAGTAGCCAATTCTTTATCACGTATATCAAAGACAATAGAAGCTGCTTTAGCAATGAAACTTGAAAGTGTTGCACTAGAGGGCTGTATTGTTGCATGGAGCATACTGTGGTCGATTATAGATGATCGGAATCGGCATTCGATTGTCAGCATTCTTTGCCAATATTGCAAATATTTGACACAAATAACTACTCCAAAAGACTCGATCAAGTTTTTATTCGAGTATGAGCTTTGCAAGTGCTATGAGTCTATGAATCTCTTGAAATTAGCAAAAGTCCATGCACAACTAGCAGCAAAGGAGCATTCATCTTGTGCCCATCAATTTGAAAGTCATATGGCTGTAAATCGAATTGAAGCAAAATTACACTGCATGTCATCTAGTTTGGGATCTGAATATAAAGGTATAGTTTGATTGGTTAGCAACTATAGCTTGTTTGGATTTAATGCTGAATGTCAATTCTCATACTACTTGAAGCGCTTATCCTAATTGATAGAGCAAGAACGGCTACCAATGCAGAGGAATCTGTCTATTTTCTACAGCAGGCTATTCAAAGTATCATCCAGGTATTTTAAGCCCAACTTGTAATTCTTACAACGCTGCAGGCTGAATATTTAATTCGCGTGTTTATTGTGAATACTACATTTAGGATTATAAACGAGGCGATTTTATATCAAAGCTTAAAGAGAGTGCATATGCGTCTGTTAAAAACGATACTGGTGTTTTAGTAATGGTGGTACTCGTTGAAATCATGCGAGAGGCAAAAAGATGGGCTGTTGATATTAGCAATTTGGCTTCACATTTTCTTGAAACCTATTCAATTTCAAAGATTCACAAATTGAACTCGGATATATGGGAAATGGTGTTTGTAACCACATCACAGATTATAGCTTTTAAAGCAAATTCAAAAGATATCAATCATTTGTTACTTGCAGAGGTGTATGATTTAAGGGGTCAAAGCATAACATTTGGCATTTACTGTTTTATACAATCTATTGATTTATGCAGCCAGGTAAAGGCAGCAGTAAATGATTATTTTGCTGCAATTGATTCAGGAATTGCTATTGGACAAACTTGGATGCTATATAATTCTACATCAAATATCTGGAATCTATTTGCCACTCTTTCTAATTATCGAACCAAATATGATTGCGTGTTTGAACGATGGAGCGAATTTTGGGTTGATATATTTCAAGTTCTTTTTGACAAAATATCCAATTCAAGTATTGCCGAGCATTCTTTATTTGCATACCTTTGCTCTGCATACTCTTCCAGTCTACTCGAGACTCACATCGCACAGGTGTTTGAGCAATCCAAGGGAAAAACCAAGCCTTTAGGAAAAGATGCTTTTGCATTGATAAAAACTGCTGAAGATATAGTAAAGACTGGAGCAGCAACAAAAAACGCCGACTATAACTCTCTTTTTGTGATTGTCGCAAGTTGGTGTAAAATTGCGTCTTATAAAGCCACTGCCAGCTTACCCGTTTCGTCTTTAGATATAGATGATCCCTTGTTGCGTTTATTTATATCCATTGATATTGGACAACAAGGAACTACAGCTGCAGTTAAATCAGCACGCGATACAGATCCATCTATTCTTGAGCATACCTTGTCTAGTGTATTTCAAATCAGTTATATTCCGGATGTTTTTCGAATTGAAATGCTTCTTCAAATTGGAAAACAGTCTCTTGCAGTAAATCAACATTCAATAACAGCGGTGTGTGCTCAAACCTCGCTGCTGTATCTGGATAGATTTTCCGTGATACCATTGAAACTGACAGCTTCGCTCCAGCATGTATGTAGGATTTGGAGTGCATTCACACATGACTAGAATCAATCCTAATTTTTGAATATGAATATTTAGTGGCTTATACAATCCAGAATGATTGCATATCAATTGACTATGGCTATCAAAGACAGCATTGTCTGCAGACTCAAGATTGATTATGACAATGCTATAATCCCGATTTTGGCAATAGTACGCATGTGTATCAAATTTCAAGTTTCGAGTCTCGAAATATTTCAACTTTCATTACGCTATGTATGGAATGCAGTTTCTCCAGTTTCGACAATACTCTTGGAATTACAATTCTAGACGATCTTGTTTTTTTCTTGAAATATGTTTGCACTAGACAGAAAGAAATGCATACATCTGGCAATACTTTGAATTTTGCCATGGATAAAGACTACGAAATTATCCAGAATCTGTTTTCTACAGCTATTGATATTGCAATAGGTAATAGAAAAATTCAACTGGGTCTTCGTCTTGCTGATATGGGTCTGCGCGTTCTTCAAGGACATCCTCAAAATGAAATATGGATACGCAAAGGTCTTGTACTGACTAGTCAGGGTATGGGTTCGTCACTACTTCCTCTCAAAGACAATAATGTTGAAAATCAAGCACAAGCATGGATGAGATTTGCAGATTTACAGATATCCGCGGATAAAAAAAGATTGGCAGTTACTGCTGGCTTAAAGCTGCTTGTGGCAAAACATCTAACACATACGTGGACATACAGATTACTGGAAATTCGCCTCGATAGTGTCGCTGGAAATTCAAGTATAGAAACCAAAAACATCGCTTTGCCTTTTGAAACAACCTATAACCAGTACACCAATGAATTTGCAATGGCCAAAATTGAGCAATGTTTAAAAAACATTCAGTGCATTGATCGAGCTAGTCAACTTGAGCGTTTGAAAATTGCTCAGTCATGGGCAAGCGTATACCTTCCATCGCTTTTTTGCTGTAAACCATCACCATCCGAACAAGAAAAAAAAGAGTCACATTCTTCTGCCAAAACCAAAAAGTCCAAGGAAGTTTGCTCTGATACAGTAACTATGCCCACAATGGACAAATGGCATCAGTTTGTCTGGCCAGCTTATCTTCGAGCCGAGTATATCAATCATGCTGGACACGATCACATAAGCAACTCTAATTTGAAAGATCCGTTGGCACTATGTGGATTGCTTTTACAGCTCATTCATGAATTGGTGCGTGTTCAAGACTTGCAAGCAACCCACCCCATTTTTTGTTTATTGGAACTGATTTCAGAGCTTTCTGTTCAATCTATTCCAGATCTGTATCCCACAATTCTTCTTTATTTTGCCGTTACTCTTTCTTGTCAAGGGATGGAGACTTCAGCAAAGGAAAAATATATTTTGGCGACATCTAGTCAGTATAGACAGCGTACTGACAAGCAAGCTACCTTGGTATCCAAGTCACTCGGGTCTAATTTGGCAACGAAATTATCGATCGAGGATATTTTGCTACTCAAATCAGAGTGTCATGTATATTTTGGCGATCATCTTGAAGCAGAGTATCTCACTTGCCAAAACATTCATATTTGCCACGACAAGGCCAATTATTCCGTTCTATCCAGTACATACGGGTTAGGTGCAGTCGTTGCTTTATTTGACGAGGACTACGAGCGCGCCAGATATATGGCTTCGGTAGGAGCCAAAATTGGGATAGAAAATGACATAGGCATACCGTTGTCTACAGCACTTTCTTGGTCAATTTCTATCATCAATCAAAAATATAGTGACAGCATGTATTCTGATGTGCTGCAAGCCATATCCATTTTGGATAGTTTTGATACGCTTTCATCTTTGAAACCATATATCAGTAATGAAACAAGGTACTGTGCAATCTCAGCAAAGCTATGGCTGCTATCCAATCTGTCAATTATTCTGCCCAATTCAAGCGAAAAATCAGATCATGAATCAGTCAAAAATAGATTTTTACTGGCATATCAAGAAGTGCTGCAAAAGTATAATTCGATTTTTGATCAAAACATGCAAATGGAATTACAATGTCGATTTTTGAAATTTCTTGTTCAAAACAAAATCAAGTACATCAGAGCATGGAGTGTTTTGCATCAACATTTGGAGCATATTCAAACAGCTGCCATTGAATTTGATAAGACTGCGGAAGCTTGCCAACGTCTCGCATCGTGTAGACTTCTTGTGTTGCTTGCAGATGTAGATATAATGTCTACAATGCATTCATGGCTCACGTTAAAGAGAATGCTGTCTTTTATGGATATATCCAATTTTGAATCGACAAAATGGCACGGCATAACCGAGGAAACCCAACCAGATCAACATTTGGCTTTAAACGATTTGATTTATTCAAAAATTGAGCTACAGGCTTTGACCTTGGATGCCGATGTAAATTCAAAGTTGGACTACTATCTTGGATTACGTTCGTACTCGCAAATTGCGTGGCAATTCGACACGTCAGGTATCTATCAACTGTTTTAAATCTGCATCAACTGGTTTGATTTGATTTACTCACGTATTTGTTAGTTGATCAAAGAAAACAGGTTTGCCAAACTATTATCACCCGACTGTCGGATAATGTAGAGTCTTTTATCATTGATTCTGAATTTCAAAAGGCATCAATTGCATGTGAAGCACTTTTGAATATGTCTATATATTTAGATGATGATACGCAGGGATTTCGGTATGTATATTCATAATTGAAGAATATAACCAAGATTGTGGTTTTATTTGATGCTAATGTAGTATGTAGTTATTTGTCTGCTCTGCAAACTTGTGAATCATTGCCAGAAATTCATCAGACTGTGTCTATGGAGTCGACTCCCCCCATTCAAGTAGATTTCACGTTTCCATTTAAATATATTCCCAATCGTAGTCTAGCAAACTATCATTGCTATGAAGAGCAGTTCAAGGCAAAAAACAAACAAATGTTTTTCCCATCTGTGCTTCAAAATCCAGAATGGCCAAAGGATAACATCAAAATTATTATATTTCAGCATTCAAACGATAAACATGTATTGCATGTATATGTACTTACCAGATACAGGGACATTGGGTATGCAAAGTTGGATCGGAAAAAAACACCAGCAGATGAAATGGTTCACGAAATAGAGGCTATCCATTATGCCAACCCATTATTCAATGATATTTTGAATAATGGTGATGCACAGGTATGTTGTATTTCAAACTTGTTATAGTTTAATCTGCATCAATCCATCATTATAAACTAATTGCCTTTATTTTTGATAAAGAATTGCAAACGTACTACTGAGCAGGCTGAGTCGTATCTTTTATCACTACTTTCAAAGTTTAAACCAGACAATGGTGTATCGGATCTTCCTCCAGCTATACCTACTTCACAACAAAATCAAAGAGCAAAGTCTAGCAATAAGGAAGTTGGAGAGACGCTGCAAAGCAACATTACATCTGATGATCAGCATGTTTATTTAATTTTGGATCATGTTATGGAAAAGTTTAATATTGAATCTGCTGTTCAAAAATATTATTGTCAAGCAACGTCTATTACTCGAGACTTGAGTATGTATATGTTTAAATTGAAGCATGCTAATGATCATGGGTTTAACACATTTTGGCAATAGATTTATCAATATTACTATCTAGATTTAAAGCAAGGGATAGCCAGTCCAAATCACAAGTGATGGAGTCACCAAAAAAAAAGGACAAGGCACTTGATTTTGACAAAGATAAATCAGCAGGTATGCTGGCATCTTAATAGATGCTGATCATTATCAAAAGCAAGCATAATTGCACATGCTTTTTGCTGACACTTTTTTAAATTGGATAGCTATAAATTGTAAGTAAATTGAGGTCAAGGGCTCACGATGATTTGAATTCATGGTTCTCATACTAGTCTTTACTTGCAAGATATTATTTCATCCAATAATGTTAGAGCCAAAACAATCATGCAAGATAGTATTTCCCGGTCAACGCTAAAAACGTCAGGGTTATGGTCTCAAGATATTTTGTAAGACAATTACTATTTCTGCGTATTCGAGACTATCTGTACTGACACTAATATATAGATTGGACGAGTTTTCTGAACTGATGCAACGTGGCTCCAATTTTATATATTGTGGTCCGCCATTGCTTCAGACAAATGATTATTTGCGACACGTCGAACTCAAACTGAGTGGTAATTATGCTTTGCTGTTATCCAAATTTCCTAGAGTGCCTATACAATCAATTCATTTTTATTTATGAACAATATAGGAGTCGTTATCATATTTGAGTTTGATCATAATGCAGGAAACAAGGCTCAATATCCGACAAAATCTTTTAAAGAACTAGCCATCTGGCTTACTGTTCGTGGGGCTTCTACAATAATTGTACCGCGAAAGCCATTGTCTGAAAGATTAGCCGTTGACTTGGCCTCTGAGCTACTTAAATTAAACCTTTCCAAAGGAATAGGAGGATGCCTTTTCCATAAACCATTGTCTTTTCCTGATGATCAGCATGCATCAAATACTTTAATGCCAAATGCATTGTGCTGCTATGGTATTGATACCTGCTACTAATCTTTTTGAAATTATATTAGTTTATGATTCTGTAACGGTGGAATAAGTTTTGGTTGAAAACCGATGGAATATAGTCGAGTAATGCAACTAGATCGATGTTTGAGCCTTGGTGGCAGTTGCAAGACTTTCTACAAACCAACAATTACTTTTGCTGGAAATTCATCAAAAATATATACACGTTTGCTCATTAAACATTATTTATTACGTATGTTTTAAACAGTGTATAAAAGCTAAATAATTGAGCTGGTCTGGTGATTGAATCTCGAGTCTGAATTTGTTGGTCGCGAAAGTTTGATTTTGTTACAATTGGACAACAAAAGATAGTTGGCCTTTGACCATGAGCGACACACAACGTTCCACAGTACAAGATACAGAGGCATCAAAGTAAATATACGTTGCAGACATTTGGGTTTAAAGATATACCAATCTATACTACCATCAATTGTATTCAAGACATTCACCAAGCCTATTATTAATTTACATTTAGTTTTGCCTGCGTTCAACAAAAAATGAATATCCATCATTTTGAGCAGCTTATGGATATTTTCCACAGCCATCAGAGCGATGATGGGTCTACTGGGTTTACTATCGACAAGGTTTGTAGACCATTTAATTTCGATACGTAAATCCGGCGCCTTTATCTAATATAACCGGCTCCGTGCTAAACTTTCCTAAAGTTTATTAGTGTATTCAAAGATGTCTTTGGCGAAAACATCAGTCATGAACAAATGAAACAGCTTTTTATGAAAATCGATGCCAATTCGGATGAAACAGTTACATGGGACGATTTTTCAGCCTACATGATGACTGTGTCGATTGAAACTGACGACCTGCGCGATATTCTAGATGAACGTAATCGTAAAATCGTCACAATGCCTCATAAAGACATGGTTATTAGAATCGAATATGTTTCAAGGGAGCGCAAGTACCTGAGTGTTAGGTATAATAGATACTTGCATTATCTGATTGGAATCTCGAGCAAATGTGTTGCAAGGTTACACATGATTAACATGTTTACATTAATACTTTTCATAGTCGAGATGGAGTAGTATGCCTATGGTCAAGAGCATTAAAGTTGAATCGCTCCATCAATACAAAAGAGCTGTATTCAAAAACATCATGGACTCAAGATGCCCGATTCATGCACAAACACAATAAGCTTATTATCATTTCCAATGATCGACAGTAAGTTTACAAGCAAATACCACCTCAATTTAATGGTTTAGACTAGCCATTATTACTTTTGCTGATTGTTGATGGATCCGTTTAGACTATGCATATACGATATATTTTCAATCAAACCACGCTTGGTTACAACCATTACACAGTTGGAGCACAATCCACTTTGTGTGGCATTTTCAGGTATGCATGGAATGGCTTCAAATGCATAATTTGACTACATGACTTGACTGTTGTTTACTTTGCAATTTTTCCATATTAGCCAACTACGATGAAAAAACAGATTTGATACTATTTGGCGATGATGGCGGCTATATAAATGTTCTATCAATAAATGACAGGTTTTTGCTGGATGCCACGTCTGATGGCATTACTGGAGAAAATCTTACTCCTTCCAAACTGAGCAAAAAGGACAGTTTAGAAAAGCACAACATATCTCTGTATCGGGTAAGTCTGGATCAACTAATTTCAAACATAATGTCAATATTTTGGTGTTTTTTGACCCAGCGATTGATAAAAATGTATTACTATACAGAATGGAGTTTTTGTAACAGCAATGGATTATTTCTCAGTTTGTTAAGTTTTGAATGATGAACTGTTTATAGAGAAAGATACACGATGACTGGGTTCTTCAAGTCCAGTATTATCCAGAAATGAACGCCTTTGTATCGTGTGCAGTAGAAAATAGCAAGTCGCTTGTTGTAAGTAGAGATATATGTTGCCCTTTTCATTGCTGGTTATATTAGTTTTTAATACACATCTCGATTGTATACGCCAGATTGGAGATCTTGAGCGTAAAACACTAAGATACATTAGTGTGCCCAAGGGTATTCGATGCTTTGAGTTTTGCAGAAGACCAAGCTTTTTGGTAACTGGAGGTCGAGACAAGATCATGTAAGCTGAATCAAAATTAACGTATTTTTCAATCAATGCACTAATTTTGATTTCAACACTAGACGACTTTGGAATCCATATGTTTTGTCCAAACCTGCAGGCAGTTTGCATGGTCACAACGCTGGAATTTTCAGTATTGTGATCAATCACGAGAATGGTCATATAATTAGTCTATCGGAAGACAAAGTTGTCAAAATATGGAATGCAAGACATTTGAATTGTCTTCAAACGATAGTTGATAAAAACTCGCACCGACCCGAAAATACTATTTCTTCAATTTATTTTGATGCACAATTTCGACAAATCATTACTGGAAGCGATGTTATGGAGACTTGGCCGGTATTTTCATGCATGATGACTCATACAACGATAAACGTATAACATATTTTGACTAATTATATAATGTATACCGTTACAATTTTAGCTACATACCAATTCAAAACAGATTGCTATCAAAAGCCACGATAGTCCAGTTGTTTCAGCCATGTTTAATTCAAATTTCAATCAGGTTGTAAGCGGCTGTCAAACTGGCACAATCATTATTTGGGATCCCCTTAGCGGCGAAAAAATCTTTCAATTCCATAATGCTCACGGAGTATGTGAATGTTGGGGTTCGATGCATTTATCACTTTACTGATTTGTATTTTTAATTGTCTAGACTTCAGAAATTACTGCCATGTGTTTTGACAAGTCTGGTCGTCGGCTAATCACTGGTGGTCGCGATTGCATGATAAAGGTAGTCTGTTATATTTTGTAACTGCTTGGCACGCCTATTTTGCTGACATCTTTAATATATTGCAATAGATGTGGAATTTTAATAATGGACAGACCCTAAGACATTTGATTAAAAACACTGCAATGGAGACCACAGAAGTTTGTTTTATCGAAATGGTACTACTTGATTTTCAAATGCGTTTATATACTTTGAACGGCTATTCACCATTTATAAATTACTCGACGCACAATGATGTTTAAGGGTTTGAATCGATTTATAGTGGCAGTGGGATGGGATCGTACAATTTCCATTTTTATTGACAATCCATCGCATTTTGATGCTCGTCCCACAAGAGTACTCAACGGCTCAGGATCTGGAGCACATAAAGGGTATGCTGATTTACTACTTTTGAAAAATCCAATACTTGAGAATCAGAATTCAAAATACCTGACAATTAACGATTTGCATGCATAGTCATGAAGACGATATCTCAGCAGTTGCGTTTTGTCCACCAAATATGCTTGCAACCAGTAGCGTAGACGGAACTATCGGTAGGCAGATTAAACCATACTTGGAAATACTCGGCTAGTTTTATTTTAATGTAGTGCTTTTAAATAGTGATATGGAATCTTGAATCTGGCTATATCAAGGTTACAATGAAAGAGCCGTTTTTAAACCTACGAAGCAAAGAAGAAAAGCCTGTTGAAAAAGTATATCATGAATCTAATTTTACTTGCATCGACTTTCAGCTGTAAGAATACATTTTCTAAGTTTTTCCCAGATTATATTTGTATACAACTCGGACAGATTATATTCTCGATCGACTCGTCGACCATTGCTTTCTTGTCATGCTGATGGATGTATTCGCGTTTGGAATATTTTTGATGGAGTCATGATAAACGAGGTATTTTATATAAGCTTAAATAGTTTAAATCTGATTGATATTCACTAATATATACGATTCAAGTTTAACTGTCAAACTACTGATGATGAGGGACTGACTACAATGTCCAGCGATGATGAGTGTACCATGCTTTTTATTGGTGGATCAAAGGGCCATATTCGAATAGTAGATCTAAAAGCTCTGCTTCAAGATGTAGGCGATTGCCATGGAAACTTGGTGATAACACAGCTTTGGAGAGCACATATGCAGAGTGTTTCAAGGTAGATGAATTGATTTATTCTCGACATGATACAAAAACGTATTGATAAACATTTTTGTTTCAGTGTAAGCTATATTAAGACCATTCAAGCCATTCTTACTTCGTCCAAAGATTATACCGTACGAATTTGGAATATGGAAGGTAATGTTAAAAGATTACATATTGATAAGGAGTATACTAATGTGATGCCTATTGGGTTGGTAATGCATTTTAGGACTGTACATTGGAACGTTTGGAGATCGATCATGGGTGTTTGATGACATCTCAACGTATAGCAATCTTCCACTGGATTTAAAACAGGATCGTGATCTTGAGATGAAACAAGCAGATATTTCCAACAAAAAGGAAGCTCTTATAAAAAAGAATATTATAAGCACATGGCGTAGTGCATTCACAATAGCTCAAAACATAGAATGTGGTAAATTCATTTCAATATCAGAAGCTTGTCATAGGATTAATGTAGTGTCTGATTTTATTGATTTTATACATTTAAATTTAAATTTAGAATCTGAGGGACTATATTTGGATGAAGGAGCCAGTAAAAGTCTCAAAAAACTAAAAGAAAAGGCAGTATTGGTAGGGTTTGAAATCGTTCTTTATCAGTACTAGCTTATTTAGAGTTATTTCCAATTTTGGCTAATCCATCTTTGACTAACTGGGATATCTGACAGGCACATATAACCAAGAAATGGAAAGGTTTGCAATCAACTTTATTTTTTATAATACACATTTCATGCTCTTGATAATACTATAAAGCTGCGTAGAGTTGGCTAGAATAGCTGATGTATGCTTTTTTGTAATGCAACAATGAATTGTCTAGAGTATTGGCTGAAACGAAAAAATATTGACGATTGGACACTTTCCCCAGATCTGATTACCGTCAAAAATAGCAAGGTATTGTCTAGATATTACGAATGATTTCAATTGAATCTATTATAACCAACCATTCCATCTAGAGCTTTTTTTCGTACGGAGCTCAAAATCTTCCAAAAATATCCAAGCCCTCAACCGCTGTAAAATATGATTCGGTATATCATATGCTTCAGATCCATCCGATGGAGGATCTGCAATCAACCATGTCAAACCCACTAAAAATGACGAAAATTTCACGAGTCCAAAGTTTTATGAAATGAAAATCGAGTCAGTGTTGAACACAGTAGTTATTGTCGTCTGTAAAAAATTCACAAAATTCACAAAATGAACCATTGAATAAAGGTGTCAGTGTAATAGACAGTCTCGTGAACTGGTGTCACATTGACTGGACAGCATTGTCTTTTGAACTATTACCAGCTGGTCTTTCTCCAGGTAACTGGCATGAAAACAACTTGCATTATTGACTGCGGTCACTATTTCTTGAACTAAAACGTACCAGCGATCCAGGATAAAACAGTTTTTCCATGTTGGCTACCCGATACTGTAATGCTCGCTTTGAAAGAGTTGGAGAGTGAACAAATGGGATTTGTCGAAACCGTGATGTAACCATTCGTTTAGTTGCTTATATAAAATGAGCATAAAGAGTTTGAAGAACAGTGCTGACCAGTAGATTTGACAGCAAACATGAGACTGATAGTAATATATAGTGACCGGATAATACCAGTTTTCTTGGGCGAGACTTGCTGTTAAAATCAAACTTGCTTTATCATCAAAATGTGACAAATTCATCCAAAAATAGCCAAATGTCTGTTGTTCTATTAAACAAAAATATGGATATGGCTTTTAAAATCTAACCAAAATTGTAATTGCCTACAAAGTGGTTCCTTTCTGTGCGATATTCATATTCACTACAAAATAATGATTGAAGACTGAATAAAATATATTGATTAGACATTTCTTTTCCTTGCCATGTGAACCAGATTCAGAACTGGAGCTTTCATATTTTTGTTTAACAGAACAAACATTTGGCTATTTTTGGATGAATTTGTCACATTTTGGTAATAAAGCAAGTTTGATTTTAACAGCAAGTCTCGCCCAAGAAAACTGGTATTATCCGGTCACTATATATATTAATCACGGCCACACCACAATCTGATACTATTTGGTGGTGGTGTTTGGGCAAACCCACCAACCATCAGCATGTATTTTTGTCTATATCAAATGCCAATTCTAACGGCTTGAATTATGCATGCACTGACAATTCGAATGGCTTACATGAGAGTTTCGTAGGCTCGTCAATGCTTCCCAACCTTCCAATCCATTCTATTCTGGACATTCAACGCAGTACCAAGCTGCTCAACTCTGGTCATTTTTTATCCCATTCTTATGTCGTATCCACCCTGGATTCGGTCTATGGTTCAGATGAGCTTGCTGCTATTAAACTACAGATAGAATGGTCATCGAATACATCGTTGGCCCTGGTCGAATGTCAGACGATGCAGCGCGTGCTAGCTTTGTATAGCATCGACCACAGCAAACAACTATATTTCGACAAGGAATTCAAGATCAACAATATTGTCATGAGTCACAATGCAAGGTTCTGCTTTCTTTCAAAATGCTGTAGTGTGAAAGGCTTTGGTTGTCACTCTAATGAGTGTGAAAAAGACCGGCCCAATATCTATCTTGCTATTGACCCGAATCATGTAGTCGCTCAGATAGCTCGTCACACCCGTACGTCCAAAGCAAACCAGTTTTTCACAAACCTGTCTAGCAATTGCACTGCTTTGTCGACTGTTTCACAGTTGTGGAAAAATAAATTGCCACTTTGTTTATTCGGCTTGGGAAAACGGAGTTTTGCGTTTCCGGACCCGACAGGGTCAAATCGAATATTAGACCTACACAAACTGTTGCCACGATCCATAAGCACTGACAATATATCGGATTCTGTCCCGTTTGGTCATTCAGCAGTACAGGATTTCTCAGCTTCCATACTACAGTCCCATTTACCAAATCACCAAGCCACATCTGGTTTGAATTCAAATCCTATGGCCATACATAGCACTATGCAATGTGTTTTAAAATACCAATCCGAGGCACATGTCGATTTAGTATCCTCATTTACTATCTCGCCTTCAGATTTAGAACCCTCCAAATTTGCTTTAGAGTCGCATAACCCAAACCTATCCATTCATTCCGATGACCCCACTTCCTGTCCACCCACTTCTTCAGAAGCCGTACTGTGTCGATTCTGTCTAGATGATTGCAGCACTGGAAGTCTCATTTCTCCTTGTCTATGCATTGGATCGGCAAAGTTTGTTCATTTACATTGTTTACAACGCTGGCGGAAAACAGCTTCTAATCCATATAGTCGCGTGAGATGCGAGATCTGTCATGCGTATTATCGGCTGGGCCATCCTCTATCGGGTAAATTCACCATAGATACAGCAAAGATATGCTGCGTTGTTGGATATTTGTTCTATGCTGTGATTGCATTGTACATTTTTCGCTGGGGTTTAGGCATACTGGGAGCACGTGTAAACGGTACATGCTCGTCTCATTTACTCAACGTATTATCTCTTGGTACTTTCTGGCATGCCATCATTCGCTGGCAAATTCTCACTGTCCAAATGCTGTCGCGAATCGGTCCTTCAGTACTGCTTGTTGTGGTTTACTTTTCGTTTCAAGATGATCAGCCCCAAAACATTCATCAGCCACAGGACCAACAATGGTTTTCATCTATGCGTATTGCGGCGTTTTCATTCAACTTGCTGATATATTGGCTTATTTTAGACTTTCTATGCCATGCACAGTTTTCCACCATAATGTGTGCTGCGGCTGATTCAATGTACATTTTGTGTACACTCGTTGGAGTCTTGGTACTTGTGTATAGATCAAACATGTGGGCAAATATAATGGCACCAAGCCTGCTTGTTTTGCTTGTTGATGTAAATGTGGATGTCAACGATGTTAGATTTCACAGTTATTGACGATGGGATGAAAATGAAGAAATAAAATAAGCCGAGATTGTCAGTAACCATTAATGTGTATCATGCTTTGAAGTCATTCTGATGACATCAAGCAGAATATCGCAAACTTTTGAAAACATGAATTTCTCGTCAAACTGCATGATTGCTGTAGATTGGCGTAGATTATAGTTGGAATGTTGAAGATCGCGTCGGATCAACAAGTCAGATTGTTGTTGATACACGATAGATGATCCTGCCATTCAAATCAGCAATCTATCGATATCAGAGAAAACATTATTCAGAAAGCACAGGCTTGTATGAGGTTTATGCAAGTATTTTTTAAAAATGATACACACTGATGGCTATCGATACTCTTTCATTTATCTCTCCATTATCATGCGCTTTTGTTTTTAGCTATAGCTCGACTTGACTTGTGATTATTCATCTGGTTTTCTGCTACAAAGACTGGTTCAGCATCAACCCAACTTTGAAGCATGCTGGAACAGAGACTGCCTAACAAGATCTGAGTTGGGTGATAGATCAAGAGTGGCATCAATACCAAGCTAATATCAGGTCGATTGGTAAAGAGCAGGTTGATCATGGGAATACCCAGCGTTAAACTCTTTTGACTGGCTGAAAACATGGCTGCAATAGTATCCGCCCTTGAAAGATGCAGCACACCACCAAGACTCTTGACAGTAAATAGACATACAAGATGGAACACTGCCAAAACCAAGGTCAAGACAACAACACCAAAAAAGGGAACTTGGTTTTGTGGAAACGCACTTTCCTCAGCCAATGGAATATAAAATGCATCGCAAAAAGTCGAGTGAATAATCAAGAGTAGCACAACTGAAGAGATCTTTGAAAATGGCCATGCTAGCACTTGCGGAGCAATCCGCAACAGCACAAGTCGTGAAGCTAATCCAGCAAGCAATGGAAAAAGTACGGATCGTCCCAGTAGCATCAACGTATCGAGTATAGAGATGGATTGTGAATCCTTTGAGGCTGAATGCATGCTATTGAGATCTGTAGCATGTCCTAAATAGTAATGCACTAGCGTTGGAGTAACTACAACACCAATGATAGATCCAAGCGTGCTATTGAAGATAGAGGTGGCTTCGTTGCCATTGCATGCTTTGGTAAGAATCACCGAGGAACCAACTGGTGAAGGTAAGCAGCTGAGTACCAACAACCCATTGCAGATGGCTAATATCCAGAGTGGAGTTGAAGAAGTATCTGCAATGGGTGAATGCGTTTCATGATCCACTGTTACACCAAGAAAATGAATGGTCCTCACAAACATGGGCGATACAATAAAGTGTACAAAAAGTGGGATTATGCCCATACTAACAGTAGAAATCAAAATATGCACTTTGATATTACTTGCAGCACGTATTAATTGCGATGGTTTGATATTTAATCCAGATGTCCAGAATATAACTATGGTGCCGATTTGTTTGACATATCTCTCAGGTTTCATAGGCCCACCTGTACGCCCAATTGATGGAGATATATATGCTAGCACGATTGCAGTTACCATGCAAATAATGAACCAGTTGGAGGACCAAAATGCATAAAGTGGTTTGGACAAGGTGGTTTGAAATGGATATGTAGTAGTAGTCGAGTGCGCAGTATCATTGGTATGTTCTAATGGAGATTTTAAACTATCATTTCGACCTACGCCACGACGGATTAAATGTGATTTGGGGTTATTTCTTGCTGGCATGTGTGCACCAACAGTTTCTTGTATTTCGAACGCGCAGATTAGCAATGTTGAAGTTGGAGTCAACTCGAGTTTACATGGCAGGATTGAGTTGGCTGAAATCCCCGTGACTTGAATTTACCACGTGATAACAAGATTCACTTTTCAACATGGATATGTATCGCTTTCTAAACTTGTCGATTGAATCAAACAAAACTTGTCCTATTCTGTATCCATGTCGCAATTGGCTCCCTTTGTTCAAAGTAAGTTTTTATTTTTAATTGTACTGGCTGCTTTGTTGGATCACTGCATATACTATTCCAAATACACTCGCATTTGATACATGCTTTATATTCAATTTACTGACACTTGGATCGGTATGCCATTTCTGAACCATCCGCTTTGATAAAAACTTACTGAATGTTTTATTCTGTTGCTATCGCTTAATCTATGTTTTTGTTGAACTAATCTGGATACACTGATCTTGATCGATATTTTCATCACACCTGATCTTTAAATAATGGAAACTCTGAATTCATGTACGGGGTTCATCCTGGATATCAGACGTTGTTGAGGTGGTTACCAATGATGGACGAGTGATTTTGGTTAGTATTTGATTATGAACCACACGCTTTCATCATGTATCTAATCTGGATTTTTTAAATAAACCAAACATCAGTTTAATCATGACAGCTTTCAAGCACTAGGATACTAACATGTAATTCATTCTTGTATGCTCGGAATACTATCTCATTTAGGGTAAACTAGAGGGGTTTGATCAAACCACCAACCTTATTCTATCTAGTGCCAAAGAGCGTATATTTTCAGGAGAAGGATCACAGGATTTACCTCTTGGACTTTATGTTGTGCGAGGCGATTCCATGTAGGTTTCAGATTCTTTAACATTGTGGGATCTCGGCCCATTCATCATATTTGTAATGCTCATTACATTGCCCTATTCCAATCATCACATGGTTGGCATTTAAATATCCGTGATTTACAGAACGGTGGTAGGATTGGTTGACGAAGAGCAGGATGCACAAATCCAATGGGCTACCGTCTTGGCAGAGCCCATTGCACCTGTACCTAGAACATATGCATGATTCTAATATCAACATCAATAAAAGCATGCTATCAAGCCTATTATAGTTTCTAACCGCGTGTCAATAAAGCATCTCCATTCAAAACATTCATAAATATTGTCCAGTAGATCTAGTGTCAACCATCCTATTATAAGACTAGCTGTTTATTATGTATTGTTTACCACTGCTAAGACTTGAACTCAAAGCGCTTTACTATACTATACAAAGTCACTTCTCTGACCTTGCAGGCAATGGTAATGGAAACTGGTCCTGTAAAAACCAATTCGTGTCAATGGATCAGATTAGTCATAAGTTGTGAATGCTTGAAACCTTGGAAACAAAATGGTTTGATGCACTTACCATTCGCATAAGCAATGCTTATGGGTATCTCCATATCCACCATCCATTCCAAAGGACGCAGAAAACGCGCTGGATGGCTAGTGAATGAGTTGCATACAGTAACGATATCTCCCAGCATAATCTACATTAAAATACACAAATTATTATCATGACAAAAGTTGCAGATCAAGAAACAAACCAAATCAATTACTTGGATAGAGAGTGTTGCCAAATCAAGAATATTAGAAACACGAAAGCTCAGTGGAATTTTTAGTTGAACCTGTCCATGCAAATCTGTTGGAAACTCGCCCATCGTTTCCATACAAATCTTTTTTTTCCGAATTTCTATTGGAACTTGCCAAATAAATTGCTTAAAATAGTCGATGGATTTACTAGGACTAGATGCGTTTTCAAGAATACTCTCTGGAATTCCCGAGTAAAGGTCGGAAAAAGACTAAACAACATTTCAAATAATCAAGCACGTTAAGAATATATCAACTAGTGTGTTTGGCTTGAATATCACAACATAGCATATGCACTTTACCTGATCATGATCTTGAAAAATTGCGTGACTTAAAAACTCGTATAGCACAGACTGTGGAATGTTTTTTTGAGCTAGCAGTTTAAGATCTCGGTTCATCATTTCAATGGTTTTGCAACTGTCTAGTTTTCTATTTGGGGTTGTCTCAAACCTCACACAATGTTTTTCCAATGAAGGACGAATATCGAAATCTGCCATATCTAGAGTTGTATTCATATAAATGATACGGTTAAAACTAAACTATAATGCAAGCAAATAAATCATACCTTTGGTTTCGTGTAAAATGGGCAACGGATTTCCACTAAATGACTGATTGAAAAGTAATGTTACAACAAAGCAGATTTTGCAAAAGTCGGACATGAAACCTACATTAAGAGTTGGAATAATGGCTCCATATTGCTCTCTTAAATATGAATACTGTTCTTTGGCATAAAGTGGAAGCTGCTTGGTCAAATCAGGTTTGGAAGCACAGCCATTCAAAATCAAGATCATATTACACGTATCTAGAATTTGATAATCAATATTAGTTTTTGGAAATGATATCAGCATTGTATTTGTCATACAACAAGTAAGCATACGGTTTATGTCATCTGTACGAATAGCTTGAGGAAGAAATCGAGTGTCTAATCGTAGTAGCAGCGGTATAAGATCCTCTATGACACACAACCATGTCTTGCATGTTAGTCAACTAGCCGTGTATATATGCACAGGTTTCAAATATATGTCTTGCCAACTAATGTTGCGTGTGCTTGGCCAAGATATGCAAATGCGTGTAGTATAGATAGTTTATCCAGAGGAAATATTCGCATTGCCTGCTGTAAAACATCCAGTAACTTTTTGAGTGCAGCAGGGGTATCAACGCTGATTATGCTATAAAAACGCAAGATGCTTAGCCAATCAGGAACAATCACATTCGAATTACGGGTTAGTCAATGACCAAAAGGTGTACCCAATCAGTGTATGCGTCGCCTGGCGAATCTGAGCATCACTATCAAAAAGAGCCAGTGTTATAGTTTCGGTGAGTTCTGCCTTTAATGAAAACCTCCACACGACAGAGATCTTTGTCACGCTAGTGATTGCGTTGAGCCGAATTTCCTTGTGCTCGTCATTAAACATGTCTAAAACACAAGCATATCCATTTAAACAATGAGTTTAAAGTTCCCAATATTAAACAGCTGCGGATAATCGATTGATTTCTTACCAACCAAAAATGGAATGCTTAGATTTGCAAACTCTTTTGCAATACATGCCAGTTCGCACATGGCATCTATATGTGTTGATCGTGTCAGTGGTGATCCATCACACTAGTATATACAGCATACTATTTGAAAAATAACAGTCAACTATTTACCTATGGCACTAGCTCTTACAATAGAGTATTCGTCTTCAAGACCATGGATGAATGCACCACACATTGCAGAGTCCAACAGGCTCACCTTATCGTCTGAAATCTCATAATCGCCAGCATTATTAGGATCCTGCGAGTTGTGCACATTTAAAATGTTGATTGATTATTAAGCGTTTAGTTGAATCGCCATAAAGATAAAAAGACGGTTTTAAATTGATACCTGAGTGCTTGCAATTTTCTGGCCACCAGATAGCTTTCGAATATTTCCTATTTGTTTGCTAAGTGTCTGCCAAAGAATTGCTGTAGAAACTTGTTCCATGGTTCCCATCAAACGAAGTGACTGTTTTGTAATAAAATCATTTAGTTGGTTTTAGATTGATTGCAGGAGATCCAGGTTGACATCAACTTGCCATTGCTCTTAGATCTGGACAGTCGTCATTGACTAAATCACACAGCTGAACAAATGCATTGTTGCATAATGTTGCATTTGAGTTTAAACTTCCGGATTTGAATCCTTGCTCTTTTTTTGAATCCGAATACTTTTGAACAAGATGCCTTGTACCATCAACAATAGTAAGATTGCATATAATCAGGTTTAGTAAATGGCTTGATTCATCTCTAATGTGCTTTACAGCTGCATTCATGTAAAATAAAACACGGAATAGGAATGTCAAAATACATAGACGACCAGTTTCATGGTATGATAATTTCTGCCCAATCTACTGGTCAGTATTATATTTTTTGAGCCTTCTGACAAAATGGATGTGTTGTTGTACTCATTCTACACGGATACGACAGTAAATCAAAGCATTGCATACCAAAGAATGATTGCTGCAGGTCGTCGAACTTTTAAACTATCATTTTTCAACGCAATCCCAACAGTGACAAGAAGTGCTTCATGATCAAGAAACTGCATGATTTCTGAATGTGACCAGATATCTATTAGCAGCAAAAAACAAGTCTTTGACATCAGATGGCAGACATTTCAAGAGTAAAAGTAGTATCAGCGCAGCCGTTTCACGATCAAACTCGACACATGAACAAGACGTCAAAAATGCATACCTGCTGCACAACTGGATTATCATCTTTAAGAAACGATACTATGACTTCCAACGAGTAACTTTGAGTTGATTCGATAGCACAGAATTTTTTGCAGACACAAAGCACCATCGACCTAATCTTGTATGACTGATCAGTGACTAGAGTGCAGAGAATAGCAAAACATTCCATAACAGTTTGTTTGGGAAGCACTGATAAAACATCTTTTGTCTAGCAAGTGTTGGCAATGCATGCGACATCAATTAGTCCATTTTTGAAGCAGACATTAAATATCAGAATCAAGATTTCCAGGACAAAAGTTCCAACCTCGAGTATTACAAGAACAGCTTCAAGTAAATTCAACATACGCTTGTGAGAAGAACATGTTTTAATCTGGCAATGTTCAGCAGTATAAAATAGTGAATGAGATTGAATGGACTTGAACTCGATATTGCAGTAAAAATATGTTACCATTCGAATGAGAAGCAAAACAGTTGCCGAGGCAGATGTGTTTGGAGCGATAGCAGCCAGTTGTATAGCACGAATGAGTTTCTCTGTATAAAGATCATCATGACTGTTTGCAAGCTGAAGCAAGCACGTATTTAGAAAGGCTTTCATTTGTTCAACTTTATTGATTTCAGACAAACTCAAATCGCATTCAAAAACACTTGAATTGATCGAATCGCATTTTATTAATAATCTGAATCTTGACTGTCTTGCATTCGCAATGACATGTTTTGCTGTTGATCAATGTGCGTATTCAAGACAGTCAAGATTCAGATTATTAATAAATTATTACAAAGCATCGGCTAGATTCGCTGGCTCAATTTCAAATGCAATCCAAGCCAAATGACACGCTTCGTATAAAATATCAAATGCACAACATATTCAATGGCATAATAACAGTTTATATTTGTAATGTTTTTAATGGAAAGTTTAGTGCGGATTTAGACTGAAAATAAAGGACTGTGGAAATCTGGAGCGTCAAATAGTAACGGCTGTTTTGTCTTGACAAATTGGTTTGTTTCTTGAACCAGTTTAAACAAGCCTGTTCCCAGTGACATGGGTACGCCCATAATAATACATTCAGACACTCCTTGAATCTTGTCGTGTTTGCTGTAGAAAGACGCTTCGAAAAGATGATCGGTCGTTTTCTCAAACGACGCAAGCATAAGTACACTGTCCTTCATTTTGGCAATACCAAATCGAGTGATTCCGAGAACCTCGCCCTACACAGATTTAATATAAAAAGACTGAGCTGAATGGTTGCTTGGTATGCAAAATATGGGTATCAAACTGTACCTTGAATGACATTAAATCAGCAAGAAGCATGACATGTCGTCGATCAATGGTCATGCCGTGACTTTTCATCGTGTACAAGATTTGATCAATAATAGTTTGTCTAATCAAATTACAGAAATATGTAAATAACAAAAATTCAACATTGACTATTCAATGTGTTTACAAGGCTGAAGATCATAGAGACTATTGAATATAAAGACTAACCGAGCTGCTTCAATTCCAAGTGTTTTTAAGCATTCAAGAACGTGGTTGGAGCTTGTATTTAGACCGTCAACACCTTGATGAAATCGATAGTATGGTCAGTAAAATAAGCCAGTTAAAACTTGAAGCATTTGTTCAATAGTGCGTACCATCAATTCCCATCACTTCTTTGAGACCATATCCTTCAACAAGAAGATTAAACCGGCTTTCTTCTGTTACATCGTTGATGACTGCACGGGACACGGTTGAAAGCCCCTAACAAGTTTAATAAATTCTAAATGTTAGAGTGAAAAAATAAAAGTCTATGTGCTTGATATTACCTTGACAACAACTTTGGGTAATGCTCGTTTAAGTGCCTGCATAATGATATATGAGTTGATCGAGTCATTCTTGAGTCGTGGCACGACAACTCGGAGTCTATCGGCTTTTTCTAATTTGATATGCTACACAATCCAATAAAGTGTAAAGTTAGAAACACACTGTTTAAAATAATACTTGCTGGTATCCATACGCCAACAAATAGTTACCATGTCGCTAATTTTAAGTTTTGGTGCACGAATAATGGCCCAACGAATTGTATCAATATTGACCTCTAACTAAACAATAGAAACAGTATATAGATGTTGAATTCAATTTGCACTCAAAAGCAAGTAGATTGAGCCAAAGTATACCTGAAGTTTGCGGATTGTTTCCAAATCAATCTTAATTACAATGCACACTTCTTCGGGTGTAATAACTTCTTGAATATACTCGGTAATCTACAGAAACATTGGTAAACGTTTAAATTTAAAGCAGATTGACTATCATGTTCGGTTTGTTCAAGCTAGCATGCTTGAATACAAGGCAGACTTACATCTTCCAAAAGCGTTTTTTCAATACGACCCTTTACAACTCGAGAAGCTGCCTCGGCAGCAAAGCGTGTTTGATTGCCACCGTATCCTCCAACCATAGGTGCAAGCTTGGCATCAATAATGGGCGTTGAAATGGTTTTGGAAGCGTTGATAATTTCTTTAATACGAGGAACTCCAAGTGTAATGTTCATGCTAGCAACACCAGCAAAATGGAATGTCTTGAGTGTCATTTGTGTTCCGGGTTCACCAATACTTTGAGCACCAACAGCACCAACCGCAGTGCCTAAAATCAAAACGTCACGTTTAGTCACATTGTTTTCTATCATACATTGCAAATGCAGCATCACTGACCTGGTTGTACTACAGCTCGTATATACTTGGTTTTACATGTATTAATAAAATGATATAGTTGTGTAGCAGTCACACCATTCTTGATGGCTAATGGTGATCGATACATCAGTCAGATTAATAGACTTGCAACATTATATTTGAAAATATACCAGAATAACAATCACATCTCACCATATTTATCAGTATCTCTACCATGCACTGGTTTTGCAACATCGCCAAGCTCACGTTCTAAAAAGGCAACAAGTGCTCTGATAAATTCGCTGGAGCAAATGGTTTTAAACTCTTTTTTGTTGGTCTCAACTTGAATGATTTTTTGCCATTGGTTTCGAGAGAGAAACGGATCATTTTCAATTGGAATAAGTGCCTACAATAAGCAGTAGTTGAAAAAAGTTCAATATTGTAGACAGTAGTGATTGACTAGATCGCAAATGGTTTATAAGATTACCCGACTGTGCATCAAATTTCTTGAAAATTCAACAGGCAGCTCAGAGCCCTCAATGTTGGGTGGATCGAGTCCATCATCACCGTAGCGAAATTGCACAATACCTCCTCCAGAGTCACGTACTGACAAATCATAGTGACATACAAGATCTTCCAATGCCTATTCAATAATAGTTTAACTCTACATACTTTATATTGATTCATATCGGCGCATTACTCAAAAATCCATTCATCTACCTTCATAAGTCGACGCTGCATGTATCCAGTTTCAGCTGTTTTGACAGCAGTATCAACAAGACCTTCACGACCAGAAACCGCGTGGAATAAAAATTCTGTCGGGGAAAGACCGCTATAGAAACTATTTCCAACAAATCCTTTTGCAGGAGGAGTTTTTGCTGTCAAATTAAAGCAAATTAGTACAAAAACACAAGTGCGTCACAGATGAATAAGATGGATCCAGCGCATCTTACAGTTTTTTGCAAAATGTGGGAGAGAACGATCACCAAATCCATTGGGAATTCGGCTACCACTAATAATTTGTTGACCCACACAAGCAACCATTTGCGACACGTTGATTTTTGAACCTTGGAAATATCAAAAAAGTAGATTAAGATGAACATTTATTCTAGTGTCTAATAATGAAATGCCTATGTATGCTCAACTTACCTTTGGAACCACAAAGTGACATGATTAAAGGCGCATTGTATTTGTTAAGTTCCTGGAAACAGACTTGTCCAACGTCGTCACGAATTTTACTAAGAATTCCGGAAAGCTTGGACTAAAAGCAATATTTTCAAGAAAACTTTAGATAATATACGATTTTTTATATTGTAGCTTGGCACATGATATGGCAACTCACCTCGAGAGTTTGTTCTTGATTGCAACCAGGTTGATTTGGAAGAAGATTTTGTCTGGAAAGTGCAATTGTTTCATCACAATCCGTATATCCCTTTTCAACCGTGATTTCCTTTTCCGTTCGAAGTCGATCGCCAGGCTGTACATCATTGATTCCAATTGAAAATCCTTGGTTTGCTATGTAGTGTTAAAATAAATCTCGGGTTAAAATTACATCAATTCAACATGTATGGACATGTGCAACTGGATTCGAATGAATAATACATACCCAGCCAACGAGCAGAAAGCTTTGCAATTTTGTTCATGCAATCAGCTGCTGCTGGCGGTCCATAGTCTCGTAAAACCACGTAAAACATGGATTTTTTGTTGCCATCACCAATAATCGCCTTGTCAATGACACCAGACATGAGCTCACTATTGTGGAAAAACAGGTATCCGTCATTAGGACAAAAACTCGGGTGGAATAAATGTCCAGCCTGTGTTTTAGATTTGCCAAACGCAATGCCATGACGGTCTTTTTGATCCTTGTCAAATGTACGACATTTAGTCTCCAAATTAATAATGATTTTGGATTCCTGACTTGGTCTTAGCATTACACCAAACACTTGTTTTCCAGTCCAAAGGGCAAACGGCTAAAGACATGAATAAAAATAGCGGTCAGTACCCATCAGAACATGGTGTGGATGAAACACCCAATAACAGAAAAATAAGCCAATCAACACACCTTTAAAATTGTCGGTGGAGGTAGATCAATATTTAGCAGCGAATCGCCCAGATATGAGCAAATCTGAGAAAACTGAGAGCGATCATAAAACACATCTTTGCGAGAAAGCAGATACGAAGCAGTAATGAAATCCTGGGTTGCAGCAATGAGTGGTTCTCCATTACGAGGGGTAACCAGATTGTTCTTGGTCTATAATACAGTATTACATACAAAGTTGACACATCTCTCCAAACTCATTGTGACCCATCAAGCTCAATAGATATAAAAATACTAACCCCCATCAATTCCATTGCCTCAGCTCGAGCTTCTTCAGTTTGAGGAACGTGAAGATTCATCTCGTCACCATCAAAATCAGCATTGTATGGTGTGCACACACATTCGTTGAAGCGAAATGTCCGCCATGGCCGAACTTTGACAAAATGTGACATAATACTAAGTTTATGTAAAGAAGGCTGGCGATTGAATAGAACAACATCATCATCTTGTAAGTGACGCTCAACTGTATCACCATACTGAAGCTCGTCTGCGGTGCGATTTCGATTACCAAATTTAAGAAATCTAATACAGTGCAACCAAAAAAGTGTTGTGATTAGCATTATTGCCCTTCAAATGACACTCAATTTCAACCAGCTATTTACGGCATACTTTTTCATTCCTGTCGACTGCGCTGCTACATATGTAGCACCTGGATGCACGTCTGGGCCATTGATGACATTCATACGCAGTCGCTCAATGTTATATGGAGTAACGCGCTCTGGATAGGTCAGTACTTTGGCCACTCGCTCTGGAACAGCAACTTGATCAATGCGCAAATTTGGATCTGGAGAAATAACAGTTCTGCCAGAGAAATCAACTCGCTTTCCTGACAGATTTCCTCTAAACCGTCCATGTTTTCCCTTTAGACGCTGACAAAAACCTTTTTTGATTTTTGGCAAGCTCTACAATATCAAGCATCAAAATGTAGGGCAAACCCCAAATGTACATTTGCAAGTCAATACCAGATGTATGTGATTATACAGGATATGAATTGAAAATCTCGCTCCTTGCATCCTCAAAAGCATTACTTACGCCTTGTAAATGTGTTGGAATGCCTGGAAGATCGCTGGTAATATACATGGCGCACTGCAACTGCAAAAAATCCCAATATTCCTAAAACCAAGCAAACATAAATCAGCACATATTATACGATATCGATCTATTCAACCATCTCACCATTAAAAGTGGAGTCTGTGTTCCATCAAGCATACATGCTCTGATTTTTGTATTTATATCAACAATTTCTGACGCCAATACTGTCAAATCATCCTCAGTGCTACACATAAAACGGAGTAGTCATGAAAAATTATAAATCACAAGCCTTTAGTCAATATAAATCCACAATAAGTATAAACAGAACATCTGAATTTAATCGAAATTCACCTCGAGTTTTCTTGACCGACTGATGGACGAATACAAACTGGTGGAACAGGTAATGCACTCCAAATGTATTGTTCTGGCCGGGAGAGTTCTGGGTTGAGTCCCATCAGCTCACAGTCCTAAAATATAAAAAAATCAGTGTCGTTGAACAGTCGTTACCGCTCTATAATGTTGCACAATCCACGTACGTCGTTTGAAATGGCTTGAAAAAGATTCATAATAACGAGAGGATTCAAATCTTCTTGAGCTTTGCTGATATGCGCCTTGAGAGTTGGATCGAGTTTAATGGCATGATTAAAGGATTTTCGAAACTCGTCTTCTTCTTCTGTCTTGGCTTTCTTTTTAAACTTTTCATGGACAATTTTTAATGCTCCAACCTTTTTTACCATTCCTGAATATTCAATGGATCACAAGATTAGTCATGTATTCAGTTTTGAATTGATCTGCGTAAAGCACGCTTGGGTTGAAATCGCTTTTCAATTTAAACCATTGATATTTACCATTAAGAGAATTGCAATGTGGACAACGAGCAGTTTTTTTGCAGAGTATATTGAGATTTTTTAAAATATCCTTGCGACGTACACCATCCAGATTAGGGTTTCTAAGACGTTTCAAGTAAACCCGGCGAGTTTGTTCGTCAATGAGTACACAGCTACAGGACTAAATCAGATTCAAAGTATATTCAATAATTGAAGAATATCAAACATTCAGCCATGCATTTTAAGCTACTCGATACAATCAATGCAGTTTTTATCAATAGTACCTTGCAGATATTTTGTAAAACCGTAATCATGAGCTTGAAGTAACCAATGTGAAAAACAGGTAATACCAGTCGAATAATTCCAAAATGTCCTACACAATCTTGCATGGTTTCACCACAAGTTTCGCAAGGAATGCTCTTATCAGCAGTGCCCTAATTACAGATGAAATCCCGTAAAGTGTTGGCATGTTAATAAAGTTGAGTTTGTAATCCAGAGCGGGCCATTCGCATATTTGTTTTCAGCACAAGTATTTAGATCACTTATTCCAGATCGATCTAGACAGATGAAGATGTCATGCTCGAGAAAATCTTACCAGTCTTCTGTCGAGCGCACCAAACTTGGCAGGAGGTCGATTGTTTTTCGATACATCGTACAAGTCGCGCTGATGCAGTTCAAGAATGGAAAGCTGTTTGGCATCCTGTGCAGAAAGAACTCCAAAATCAATTCGTTTTCTAGAGAATACGTTGTTAATGCGATGTTCCAATTCAACCATAAATATCAGCACTTGTGCGATACAATAAAAGATTGAATTTACATGACTTTTGGCGCTGTGTCAAGCACAGGTTTCTTCATGGCAAAAAGATGCTCTTGTTGGCTGCAACCAGTTTGGATTTAAATGCAAGAATTTTTAATTGGAAAATAAAGTGAACTTATGCTCACGTGATGTTGGGCAGTTCAAATGCTGCAGGATTTGGCTTTCACAAGATACGCTGAGCATCAACAGTTGACCAAACCTATTAATGAACGGTAAGATTCAAACTCGACAAAAAATAAACTGCTAATCTTGTTATTTCAATTATTATTCATGTTTCCTTTAACCTTGTTAAAATAACCTGCACAATTGCTTTTAGCTGGAGTTGCTGAATCTACTATTGAGCGTGCCATTTCTGGAATCTGCGAACTGGATTCAGTCTCCCAGTCAAAGGACATAGAGGTATGGTTTGTCATGCAATGTAAACAATGTTTTCAACTGTTTTTATCCATACCCGTTGGTTTATAAACTCAAGATGGATGCGTAAATCTATATCAATATTTAATCAACCCACAGGACGCCATTCATTATCATAGAAATGCGGGATATACTCAAGAAAAAGAAAATATTCAGTCGCTTCCATTACGCTCATATCTAGATATTTCCGTTGTTCCTATTCTCATTGAAGGGCTCAAAGTTGTTGCAAAAGAGAGGTAAGTTGAATGTAATTCAAAGTACTCTAGTGTAAATCTTAATATATTGTATTGAAATTAGGCCACCCAACCCCACAGAATTTCTTGGAATCTATCTACTGAAGAATGGTAGAAAATAAAAATAATTCAATTGTTAATTTGAACCATTCGAAGTATTTCTATTCGCAGCTCATCCATAGATAGTACAGCACACCCTTTGGAGCAAACCAATATACACTTTTCTGCTTCTATTGCAGATTCAATCTTTTGTATCAGTTGAATATACTTGTTGTAAAAATCTTGAGCTTTTTTAAACTGTGCGTGGATGGCATCTTGATGTATAAGCGATGGTGTGGGCTGCAGATCCGTGTTTTTCTCTGCATTGAGTTGTTGAAGACGATTCAATTCAGCAGATTCTTGATGTCGAGTATTCAATTCGTTTTGCATCAATTCCAAGCGTGTTTTGAGCTGCATTTCGGATTGGTATCGTTGAAGAAGCTGTTTTTCCAGGTCAGCACACCTTGCTTCACTTTTTTGAAGTAATTCTTCAAGCGTATTTATTCTATCTTGGTCGTTTACAATTAGTGGTTGATTTGGTTTCTGATGGCAGGCTGCATTCAACAATGCAAGTATTAGACAAGTTTTAGATGGCTGGATCAAACAGTAATACAGACCACTGAATAAAAATTGTAGCAACAAGATTATGGATTCAACGTTTGATTGCTAAGCTAATAAAAATACCTTGCCGAGGCAAATTTTGTAAAGTAAACTGTTGTTTTGACTGAGACGTTGTTTTCAGCTGCTGATCCAATTTAAACAATGATTCTCTAGCCTGTTGGATTTCTTGTGCAATACGAATTCGCTGTTTTGAAAGGTCTTCAGTCATGTCCTAAAGATGCTTTTATTAATCAAGCTAGAGGTTGGAAAGTTGCAAGATGGCTATTTCTTGGCATCTAAAACGCGTAGACTGGATATACGACCAAAACTATTTCATATGAATCTTACACATGATTACAGACAGCACGCTGTGCTATTCAAGCTTAATGGTCACACATATGTACAATTACACGATAAACTCTCCCAACTCCACCACAGGCTTTTTGCTATACAGTGTCGACATGAGCAAGATTTTTCATTGATAACAAGCAGTTCCTCACGCTGCTCGTCCCTGATCATTGACATCAGACGCTCCTGGACTGAGATTAGATGAGGGATATGTTGCACTATTCATCCCACCTTGATTGCTACCAGGTGTTGTGCTCAACCATCCAGTACTGCTTCCTGGTGCTCCATTAAGGCTTCCAAGACTACTTGAGTAACCCTGTTGAGCAGATACTTTTGGGCTCTGCACTAAACTGGGCCGTGCAGGTTTGCCATAGAGTGCATTTTTAAGAGCTCGGCTAGCAAAAACCGTCAATCCTCTATCAAAGATATGAAACAGCATTGAATAAAAAACAACAGCAGCAGAATGTTGGAGGCAAATTAAACTACATCACTTACAAGCTTGACCAATCCTCATCCTGCAAATCACGCAAATCACCGACTGTCATAATATCTTGAGTGTTTAGTCGACCTAGCCATTCAGTTACTTTATCTGAACCGCGCTTTGTTGCTGCAGCAACATCATTGACCAACTCGTTTATATTTTGGTCATCAGAGTACTCTATATATCAAAAAACCATTAGCCAGAGGCATTGGTGAATACTTTATAGATGGGTACATGCCTTTGATGGGTATATCTTCAAACTCATTAAACTCTGCAAGCGATGACCTCCGAACCAGCAAAGTAGGAATATCTGTTGAAGTCGAATCTGATCGCTGTAAATCTTGTAAACCTTGTATGCTTTGGTTTGCTAAATGTCTAGGGAGCGTATTCCAATCCTTTGACGATTGAGTTGCAGATCGATTAAGTGTTCCCCAATCTTGGGGTTGTTGTGAGCCTCTTGGCAACGAGTTCCATTGTCGATTTTCTTCCTTGGCATCTTCGCTTGGTTCTTGACGGTTCATTTTACGCAATATCCGGTTGATTTCACCTGTAATAAGATGTTGGTACTTTGCAGGTAAAACTTGCTCTTGAATCTATGCATCTCAACCAAAACATTGGAAAGTCAGTATATTTGAATGGGGTTGACAGAAATGTCAATGATGAGTTGGTAGAACCTCACATACGACTCACCATTTCATTAACAACTGCTTCTGCCGTATCAGTATCAACTAAAAAATAAATACAGCAGTGCATATTGCTTTAGGTTAATAGACTATCAAAAAGCTTGAGCATAATATCTATACAAATCAACTCACGATTGAATTCAAATTTGACTGATAAACGATCCATGCCCTTGAAAACGACTTGCATTGTTAAATGAGGTTCTGCATCTGCTGAAAGTAACACGACTTCAGGCTCAACCGCCAAGAAGCGATGCTCCACAATTTGTTCTGCAGTTAATCTACTTGATGAATTAGTACACACGTATAAACAGCAAGCAGTGTCTATTCCAAAATAACACACGCAACGCTAGTTGGAGCATTACAAGATAGATTACCTATCATTTTCGTTGCTGATGCAGTTTGAAATAAGATCCTTGACTTCTGGATCGGTAACTGTTTCAAGACATTCTGGTTTGATGCCCTGAGTTGAAAAAAATGTGCATTAGCCAAAGTCAAAACAAAATGATTAAACGGTAAATGTAGCAAGATCATACCTGTATAACCTTTTTATAGATTTGAGCTGCATTTTTGCATTCGCTATAAGGATACTCTCCAGTAACCTGCAAACATGTCAGGGTTAGGGTTGATAAAACTGTTTATGAAATGTTGAACCAGTCAATTCAAGCAATCAGAACATTACCATTTCCAAAAGTGCCATTCCAAACGCATAAATATCCACTTTTTCACTATATCCTTTATCTTCATACATTTCCTTGAAATGTGAATCAAGTCACAAAAATAGTTGTATAAATCTGGATCAGATTACAATGCATAAATAGACCGATACAAGACCAGTTGATTAAAATGCACATACCGGTGCCATAAATTCTGGAGTGCCAATAAGAGTGTACTTTTTTCCAAGCTTCATTTTTGCAGTTCCCATATCGCCGATCTTGACTTCACCGTGGGCACCATTGATGAAAATGTTGTCGCACTGAAATGACACAGGAGAGATGGATGATTGAGAAAAAGTCAGACAAGCATTGTTTTTACAAAGCACCATTATATGGCCAGTAGAACAAGACCCACCTTGATGTCGCGATGAATAATAGGAGGATCATGAGAATGAAGGTATGACAATCCTTTTAAGATTTGACGAGACCATCTCTTGACAATTTTCAAGTTTGGGATTTGAAGCTTGCGGATATATCTAACAGTGCACGAGTGAATATGGCTTTGTCGATGTAATATATAGGAACATATGTAAAGTAAATGCAGACGACGATATTTTCAATGCTTACTCTCGTAATGTTCCAGAGGTCATGAGCTCTGTGATAAATACAAACTCTGAGTTTTGAAACCAACAGTCGTGAAATTGAATGATATTTGGATGCCGTACTCGCTTTAAAATTTCAATCTCATGCCCAAGTTCCATAAACTCAGCCTTGGTGGTCTATATATAAACAGTAATGATTTGAATACATTTACAGATTTAAAAAATAGACCAGTAATGAATTAATGAGATTACATTTCAAAGTGGAATGTACCTGACATGTGTTCCATGCAACCTCGTAGCCCTCCTCTTTGTCTATAGCCTTATAAACAACCTTATATGCACCTTTTCCAAGTATTTGATTAAGCTAAAAGACAGTATTGAAATCAAGAGAATTGGACGAGTTTCCAAACATGGTAAAATGAAAAGTAGCTGAAATGTCAGAGTAATGTTTAGATATAAAAGGATAGCAGACAAGTTGAAAACAAGTTGAAACCAGGTTGAAGCCAGACAGAGGAATGAATTCAAGAGTTTAGACTAGTCTAATTCAATGCAAGCGACCTTGACTAGAATGGAGCAAGGTTGGTAGTATAAATGTTGAACAGCTGCCAATCCCAACAAGAAACCAGACACAGGACAGAAAGTAATCCAACAGCGAACAGATAGTGTCATTGACAAGACAGTAGTGTAGCAAGACCATATAAAACATGATCATAGGATTTAAATGCTAGAAAACAGCAATGATTCAAGCCATGTCGCTAGCCAATGAATTTACAATTGAGGAATGGAATCGAGTGCAGTACAAGACCACAAACCCATTAAACGAGTTACCTTTGCATAACGACGATTTGGACTTTCTTCAACAACTCGTTCAGTAACTGTCCAGTCAGGGGTTGAGTCCTGTTGAGGAGCCAGAAGCATTTGGTTGTTGGTATCGGGAGTCTGAGAATAAGGAGACAAGACCGAGTCTGAAGGTCTGACTGCAGTAAGATCGCGGGGAAGAGTCCTACGTGCCATGAATGCTAGTGTGCTTGACTGTAAGTTGACTTTAACTTGACTGTAACTTGACTGTAATGCTCAAGCAAAGAAAAAACTAGTCAATTAACAAGTTTTGCTGTTCACGTAAAAACGAAATTGTAAACTTGATTTTCATTTTTATTTTGTTCATGTAATCATTTTGGCTCTTCTAATTATTCGTGTATTAATACGCTGCGTTAATATATTCTTACAAAATTCATTCTATTTTACCTTTTTAAATGATCAAGTTTCCAACTTGGAAGTTTCGCTAAATCTGCCTTGGCAAATCCAAGATATTTTATACAGTCTTCGTTGCAAAGATATTTCTATATTCAATCAACATCAGTTTTATATACAAAAATATATAATCACTCTTGTATCACAATTCAATATCAAGATTTAAATACACCAACTTTACCTCAAGATTGTTTTGATCTAGATCCTTGCGCTGTAATACAATGCTATAAGGTAATCCTTCACCTAAAAGGTCTACTACATTTGTATCTGTCATGTTGGATCCTTGAAATCGTTTCTCCATTCTTGGTGTGCTAGATTGACTTGCATTCCCATCCATATCTACTCCTCCTACACTTGTTGAAACAACTTCTGGTGTTATTACATCCCCTAGATCTATATTCGATTGAACTGCTCGTTTAATCCCTTGAGATGTAGATACACCTGATGCTAACTTCCCTTCCCTTTCGTTCATCATTGATTTACGTGCTATATACATGGGTGGATTCGCTTCTTGTGAATCGGTTGATGAATGAGTAAAACATTCCGTTGGTTTGGCAATCGACATGATATCGCTCGATGGTTTGCATCGCAACTCTACAAGTGATGGCTTCGCATTGACATGTGTTTGTGATGTTGGAACAGGATATTCAATATCTGGAAATTCAGATGAACCAGTCCCCACTTTATCCGTCACAACCAAGGCAGATCGATTAACATTGTCTTGCATGCTCGTCGATTGCGCAATTCGCTGATAAATACGCGCATCTTCCAACAATAACTCGACAATGCTGGTCAGAGTGCTATGAGTAAAATCAATCGTTTCTTGTATCATTTTAATGTGTACCATTGAATCGCTCTGTCGTGTTTCGGAATCTTGAGAGTCTGGGTGTGTCAAATCATTATTTGAAAGCAAATAGGCTTGAAGATCCAATAGTCTTTGATGGATATTTTTGTCAAGATCATCCAGTTTTATGATAATACAGGCATATGCAGCTGCTGACATGGTATGTGTTCCGTGTATCCCTAGTTTCTCTCCTAGTACAGATAACATTTCTTCTGCTGCCTTGAATCGGTCCAAATTCACTTGGCTTGAAAGGTATTGCATTGCACTGGTACTTGCTTCACAATGATACTTTAAAATCATATTGCTTGCTGTACTTAATGATTGACTCAGACTAGTCAACTCTTCCAGTGATGCCTGCCGGTGTGTTGATTCCATCGTACCATTTTGTTTACCAGAAACACTCGAAAAAGTCTGTTCATCCTCTGAAAATGGTTCGAGTGATGGTAAAATGGCCAAATTCACCGAATCAACAGAAGCAAACTTGGGGTCGCTAAAGTTGGCATTTGCACCAAAATCATCCAAAAATGGATTGATGGTGTCTAGTAAAGATGTTAATTTTGACAGAGCAGATGTGTTCATGACATTAAGTCGTGGTGGAGTCACTCGCATATCTGCTGTTCTCGCTCCACCATGAATTCTGGCACTCAGACCACTATTCCTATTGGTAGTAACACCTTCACATGCGGACAAGCTTCTTCCCTGAGCAAGTGATTCATCCTTGGTGGATGTAGAATTGACCGTGATCTTTGTATTGATGGTTTTTGGTGGTGCACTCTTGGGGGTACTCATTGTATGTTCCGGAATAGATAGTGTCGGCTCTGAAATAGTATATTTTACTGCACCGGTTTGTGATAAATGCTTTCCAACAGACTGAGAATGGGTTGTAAGCGGTTCGCTCTGAACACGAGATCCAGATAACAAGGGAGTAGAATGTAATGAATTGAATACCTTGAAAATTCATGTAAAAATCAAGTCAGCACAAAACTATACCAAAATGACAAACATGTGTATTGGGTTTGAAAATACCTTTGGGTTTTTTCGTGTGAGGATTGCAACTATACATGATAAGATCCAGTAATAGAGTAGTCAGCATTGTGTCGTGTTGGAATAAATACCCCACAATAATCAAGTTGCAAAATCACAAACAAATCTGCAATCTTACCTGCTTTATCAAATGCAGAAATATAGCATATGGGCACCCATCCTTGCTTATCATGAAATTCTACAAGCAGCCAGTGTTGGTATGCACAAATGGCGTTCAACACATCACCCTGCGAAATAGACAGCTCATTAAGAGAAGTCTTTTCATAGTCATACAATGCAACTCCGTGTTGGTTTAGCATTGCAGCATCACCTGAATTGTATGAAGAGCCTGATATAATAAATAAACAGTCTGATGGAATCCATCCTCGTTTGCCGTCTCTTTCTCCTACAGTCCACTCATGCTCTTTGGTAATGATTTGAAAAGTTTCACCAATCTTTACATCAAACTCATCATTTGTTGACGCAGTGTACTCGTTGATCGCATAGCCAATCGGAAGTCGCTTATTATTGACAGATAAATCGGTAGTGCGAACAAGACCAAGCGCGTCCATATTTTCAGATCGAGCTCCAATGTACAATTTAGGAGAAATCGTATTCAGATCTATACTACGAGGACGAGAAGTTGGAGGCTTGACTTTTTTGATATGCCGGATAAAAAACTCGGGAATATCGTTGTTGTCTTGCATTTGATGAATTAATTGCAAAGGACATTCATTGTAACTGAGACAGCGCTCTGTTTAAATAAAGCACATTAAACAAGGTTAAAACAGAGTCCATGAATACATTTAAATCAACAGTATTGCAGTTAATATATAAAAGTAATGACATGGCGGTTTTTAATATCAAGAGTAGGTGGATCACATAATCATTCACCTTTTCCGCGAAACTGAATAAATAAAGCATACAGTTTCCAATCTTCCTGCACCTTATATTTGAGTAGAACGTCTGGAATAAGTTTTGCACAGTCATCCGTGTACTGCACACAAAAACTCTTGTATGCTTCCAAATCACGATTAAAAAGGTAATGTCCATATATTTTAATGGTGCTGCCATCAGACTCTTTAGTCTTGTAAAATGCAAAACATTTCAATTAGTTGCTTGGTTGAAATTAGTTTATACTGTCTATTGTTTACAAAACAATACATATGACTTGCCTGTTCATGTGTCGTGGTTATGGAAACTGAAGAGTGTTTTAGCATATTGGCGTCATCAAATAGCTCATTTCCCATTACAGATACTAGAAATGTACAAACAAATTAGTGTTTAAAGCAGATCAGAAATAACATGACTAGCACTGTATAGTATCAAACAAACTAGCAGTAGAAATCTGCAAACAATGTAGAGTGGGAAATAGAGTTACGAACCTGATATAGGACTGTGAACAACAGGATTTAATGACGACATTTTACCAGTAGTGATAGAACAGAGTGCACCATTGTTGGGCATGTTTGTTTCCAAATTTACTACAGATGCCTTGGATTGTTTAAAATCAGTTACAGCAGGTGATCGATCTGTCATATGTTGTTCATATCGTGAATCGGTTTTTTGTTGAAACATCTGCAATGATGGGTTTATGAAAACAAGCGTTGTTAGAACATGAATGCAAAACCAAAAATAAAATGAGTAGATCGGCAAGACAATGCGACACTTTACCCTATATTCAGATAGCAACGCCCAAACTGGACAGAGATCGTTTTTAAGTGCTTGCAACTCTATAGATAGACAAGCCACTTCTGTATTTAAACGCTCGATAGTAAGAGCTGCAATGTGAAAAGTAAAACAAGTGTTATTGATATTTAAAGATAATTGACACATTATAATCTACTTACCCTGCTCACTGACAGTGACTTCAAGATGAGCAATATCATTATGAATCGGTGGTAATGGCTGATTAAGGATAGGAAGTCCTTGATCCTATTACCGTGAATACATGATTAAAATTAAGCATGCAGCATCAACAAGCCCAGATGAATGATTTGCTTGTTAACAAGACATACCGTTAGAATTGAATTTGCAGATGCAACAGCTTATTATTCAAAAACAAAAATTGAACATGAATGCCAGTCAGTTACAACAGAATTATGATGGCCATCAACAACAATCTCGACCCAGTCCAAGAATATGTATAGATTCGTACTTTCAGGAATATAGTCATCTTCTTCGAATGGGATTCCGTTTTGAACTTTGATATTATAGATTGCCTTGAGTAGTGCAATGCGCTGACCCACTGCAGTGATTTCCAGTTCTTTGAGCATATCATGATCAGCATGAATCAAGATATCTCCAGTGATGTTGTTATCTAAGTGTAATAATAGATTAGTCAGATACAGCGATATTCACGTAAAATACGAGTGTTAGCCAATCTCATGGAATAACAGTTTACTGGACAGTTTACTGGACACTGTTTTTGAACCCTTTGACTAATGTCCATTCCAAAGCAAAACAGATGGCAAGACAAAGCACTCCATCTACGTGGATGACAGCAGAATATTCATTCAGTTGCAGCCAAGACCAACACTTCTAAACGAGAAACTTTCCAACAAGTTGTAATGATCAAGTATGATTTAGTGTTTCTAGCAAGCAGTTGTAATCCAACCACTCTGTTCTATCTTTAGTATAGTAATGTGTAGTGACCGACAGGACTGTAGATTTGGCTAATCAACTCATTGAAAGAGTCGGACAATGTCTCAGACCAACTGGCCAGTTTACCTCTAAATATCTTCTCATGACGCTTCAAACCCAAAGAAGAAATCCAGGCAGTTACTTGGTTGATATCCCAAGCATCCATAAGAGCGAATGCTAGTGGTGTTATCCAATATTGATTGAAAAAGTCGAATCAAACCTAGAAAGAAACCAAGGCTTGATTCGAGATGCACTGCCAGACTTTTGATTTGAGGGTTCAACTCTCTAGTTAATAGTTTAATCCATCAATTTATAATGTATTGCTTATAGTTTCATCAATACAATCGCTGGAATTCATTAGTGAGCACATTTAATAATTGGTTTCATTGATTTGTATAAAAAAGACTTTCAAAAATCTTGCTGGTCAAACTTGTCTTCGTCGAAAAAGGATGCAATGACTACCCGATCGGCAAACTTGCGACCTGCAAGTGCATGTTGTGCACTTGCACTTTGCTTTACATTGTCAAACTTGACAAAGATCTGTAATCGTAACAAATGGAATAAATCAGTCCAATATAATGTCAATCGAAATTGGTATGCTTTCAAAAATTGTAAACTCGTACCTTTCCTACTCCTGCATTAGATTGACCCGAAACTGGACGAGGAATAGCAATATCGAGAATAGTACCAAACTTTTCACACTCCTCTTGGATATCCAGCAAGATATCTGTCAAATAACGCATATCAAAACAGTCAGTATGTTTATACAATCAAGACACTATGAATGCAAAGTGCATTCAAAACACGAGCCATTATACCTTGATAATCTTCATCCGAAACAAGATCTTCAGACACCACCATATTCAACAACAACAAAACTCGAGTCACTTTGCAAGGATCTTTGGCAATGGTTGCTAAAATCTCCATGGGGAGAAGCTGCGACTGTCCGACCGCACTTATAGTGTTCTTGTTTGAACCTACGCTTGCTCTTTGAACAATCAACTTCTTCTCACCAAGTTCCATACCATTAAGACCTTGACATGCTGCATCCGTAATCTGCCCATCAACATACTCACAAAAGGCAAATCCTTTTGAAAGACCAGTCGCAGAATCACGAATAAGACTAAAGGTTTTCAACTCTCCAAAGGTTTTCAAAAGCTCCTGTACTTGATCGTCACTAAGATAGGTGGGAATGGCTCCAACAAAGATTTTGTCAAGAGATTCTTGTGCACTAGTTGCAGGAGCTATTGAAGGCTGAGTAGCTCCATCTGGGGCTGCTTCAGGATTATAGTCCTTGGGACGACGCACTTTGAGAATGTTTCCATCAAACAGACTGCCGTCCAAAGCCATTGCACGAGTAGCTTCCTCTGGTGAACGAAACTAAACAAGATAGTTAGCTCAAGACATACTTTAAAGCGTGTTAATGTAGTAAACATTGACAAACCTCGACAAATGCATAATTTCGCTCTCGGTTAATGTACGCATTCACTGCTGCATTTCCAGGATCTTTTGGTAAGCCCAGCTTCTCATAGCTACTGCTAGCAAATGAAAGAATACGCTCCTGGAAAACAAGAGTCAAATTGATAAGCAACAGTTAAAGATATTGAAACTAATTTTACATCCAAACAAGGTTGCAAGATAACATACCTCTATACAATCAACGGGAATATTGCCAAAATACAGACGTTTAAATTGACGCGCAATAGGCTGTTGGTTTCGTCCATTCATTCCCATTCCCATGCTTAAACCTCTGTTTATGCCAAACCCAGCTCCGGCCATTCCAACATTAACACCACTAGATAAAGATGTTGACCCAAATCCACGGCCATTTGTATGTGATCCTACTTCTCCAGAGCCTGAATTCAGACCAATATTGGAGAGAAACGTCTCTGCTGCTGCATCAAAATTAGTTGCATTGATGGCATGGGTACTTGCTTGATAACCCCCTCTTTCATGTAAACCACCAGTAGTGGTTTTGAGCATATGTGAGGGTAACTGAAACTGACCTACATATGCATTTTATAAAATAGCAAGATTAGTAATGCATTATAAAGCAATCGCATCAACAGTGCGGAATGGTCAAAATAATGCAAAAAAAACAAACTAACCCGATGCCTTGGCTTGCATGGCAGTAAACTCTTCAAATCCAACAGGAGGAACATCCCAGTTTTCAATTTTACGCAATCTTAAATGAAGCGGAACTGTTTCTGGGGGAGGACTAAACGAATTTCTGCGTGAAGTTCTATACTCGCGACTGCTTGATCTTCTTCCATCTTCTCTTCCCGGGCTACGTGAACGACGATCATCTCGGTCACGTCTCCTATCGCGATCACTTCGACTACTGCGATCTTTTCTAGATCTTTCTCTGCTTTTGCTTCGATGCCTTTGCTCTTTGCTATCGCTTCTGTACCTAGACTCGCCTCTGCTTTTCTTTCGCTCACCACCCATAAGCCGATCATCCTCTATTTGGTCCACTAATTGATCAAAGTTGCAAAAACAGTGCATGTCATATCACAAGCATACATAGTTAGATAAATGAGAGTAAAATCAAGCAAAGCTACAGCAACTTGTGGGATACAAAAGTCTGTATGATTAATGCCACACTCTGGACCCTCAATCAATCGAGTTTAATGATGGCTAATGAATACTGCACTGAGTGGAATTTTCATGCATAGACATGCACTTGTTTCAATTTACAGCCATATTCACGTAGAATGGAGCACTAGATCAAAATGCATGGTAAACAGCCAATCTCATGGCATGATGGGCTGGTTTACTGAAAGCAGCGTGCCATCCCAATCCTTGATATTTGTTTAATCTCCAACGTTTACAAGGTATTGAGTGATTGGCATGTAGAGTTGCATTCCTGGCATGTACAATCTTTGTTTTCTTAACTAGAGCGCAAGCGTATCCAAGTTTTTAGAATACAACAAAGTGGGTTTGTATTGACAACACAATTCAATATTTGGATTGCGACAAGTCCGTTTCTAAACTTGATGATCATGCAGTATATGGCTATACCAAAAGAGAAGGAACAGCAGATTTAAAAAGGAAAATCTCAATTCAAAACTAGTTTGATTTTGTATGATGGACAATGTGTTTTGAAGAATTAAGAATATCTATTCAAGTAGTCAATCTCTAGTAGAAAAGCGCAATGAATATCTAATCATTATTCCAAAGCAAGCCATTGCAAGATAAAGCGGTCCATTTTACGTGAATATGGCTGTAAAAAGTATTTGTACAAGAGTTGCACAGTTGGCAGAATCATACAACTTGTAGATCAATTTGACGAGAAAAAAGTGCAAAAGCATTCTGAAACATGAGATATGACAGCAAAGCAACAAGACTGGAATAGGAAGCAATAGACAAGCAAAGAGAAGTAAAAATATGAGATTGGACAATCAACTTGAAGCCAATGCCAAAAATAAGTAGAATGGGTCTTGTCAAGTCGACCTACACTCAGACAGAGAACGAGTGTTTTGTGGAGACATGGCAGAGTGAACCATACTTTCACTATCAACCATGAATTCAAAAGAAAATAGTCAGCCGTGCGTCCTGTAAACTGCCAATTCAAGGCGGAACAATCGGATCAGTGCGATGTCAGCAACTGCAATAAAGTGATATTATCATCACGTGTTAACACGTGTTAATGCGGTTTTCTGGACAAGCGCATCGAATCTTACCTTGCAGACATTATCTGCAAATGGTTTCATCTACCCTGCAGAGTGTATTTCAAGACACTGTAAAAACAACATCTACTCACAGAAAAAATGCTGCTGCTTTGCTAAAACTGCATCGCAAAATGGATCCGGTTTCTTTCTCTGCTGCCTTTGAAGAGTGCGTGCTTCGCATTCTAGTCTTGGGAAAAGGCGATGTTTATGCTGACAGGGCTGTAAAGTTTATCAATTCTTATCTGGATTCTTTAAATCATGGTGTTGAAAATGGTGCGATATTCAATCTTTATCATGCATATTACCGCCCTGTCTTGTTCATGTTGTTGTCCGGATTTCAAGTATATCTGGAATTCAATATTTAATCATTGTGATATCAGGTGCCAACTTTATCAGCGTTACTGTGCTTCCACTGCTTTTGAAAGGACTTGTATCTTCTTTGAAAGCTGTCCGATATCGCTCATTGCAAATTCTCGCAAGTGCTCTCAACAATCTGGAAGAAATTTCGTAAGTCTAGCTAGGCTAAACTGGGTCTACTGCATCATGGTCTAACACTTGGATATTATTATGTTGTACTTGTACGATCGATAGTGAAGCGCAATTTATTGTCATCAAGGATTCTTTAATGGTGCGACTTCGCGATAAGGAGGCTTCGATACGTGCAGGAGCGGCCATTTGTCTGTGTCGATTGCAGGTAGCCTATAGTGTTTAATGGATTGATTTCAAATTCAAAATATCCTGATAGATTGCATATGTTCAATACACTGTATCCTGACGTGTCTTTGACTAATCACTAGGGAGGATGTGACGATACTGATGCCATCCAAATTCAAGAGCATTTGGTGAAACTTCTTCAATATGACTCGAGCAGGTTGGTGGATACATTATATTGATTTTTCTATGAGTTTAGCATTGAAATCTATTAATTCCGTGTACTCGTGTAAACACAGTGATGTGCGCAAGAATATTTTATGGAACATTAAAATCGACAGCCATTCCCTGGATGCACTTTTATCTCGAGCTTGCGATATTGATGCTTCAATTCGCAAGCTTCTTTATGTTCAACTCTCTGTTTCTCAAATCCATTATAGCATGCTGGATATTGGCAAAAGAACCGAGCTGCTGCAGCGTGGGCTACAAGATCGGTACGTATTAGCTAATGTGAAACGTTTAAAGTTTTATTGGCTTGTTAAAATAGAATATATCAATATTGATAATAGTGATTTGGGCACTCGCACAGCATGCATGAGACTTTTATGTGACTCTTGGATTATACAGATGGGTGGAATTGACAAGGTAAGGCTGCTTCATTGATCAATATTATTATAAACACACGGTTTAAAATAGTATCAACGGGTTTATAGTTTGTATCTTCTCTGGATATTCATGAAGCAGAATCATCTGCCATGCTAATGGCTCTTTTTAAACACGACACCAAGCTTCGATTTACTCATCAAGGCAAGCTGCATTGGTATATTCTGGCATAATTCTAAAACTATTGGTGCTAATTGAAACTACTTGGCAGACTTTGATTGGACCAATCTAAATCCACAGCTGGCCTTTTTCTTGAAAACATATGCCGCATATTTGAGGATCTCTACAAATGATGACAAATTGGATGAGCTGATTCCTTCGCTTTCTGATTTTGTAAATGTTTTGGAGCATTACATGAACTTGGTCATTGGCACTGATGACGAGGCAGAGAAGCTTAAATATGAATATGTCGTACAAGAGCTTGCAGAAATGTGTTTTTCTCTTGATCTTTGTGATGAAATTGGTCGTCGTAAACTTGAAGAATTTTTGGGTATGCTAAATTTCATCATTGTTGTATGCTTTATCTGATCTACTTTTGAGAAAATACCACTAATAACGCTTTTTACTGTCTTTAGAGATGACTTTGGTCGAGTCTGATCTTCCTGAAGCGGTGATGTCAAAACTGATTCGACTCGGATTAAAAGTGTCTGCAGAAGCAGTATATATCAAGTGAGTAATACGCTATTGAATTTGAATTTGTGAATAGTCTAACCATTGTAAAGACGTTTGCCAGGAATGATAGAGAAAATTTGCAATATGTATAATTTGGCATCCACGTTGCGAGAATCCCATCTCGATAAAGACGGAGTCGAGCCAGCTGCAGAATGGAGCGATGAAAAATCCATATGTGCGCTCAAATGCATGGAGATCCTCCATAGTACCTTTCAACTGTTGGGTTTCCAGGTATGATCTACTATTGAACTGTATAGCTCATCAAGATGCAAACTTTTATTCTAGCTGTTGGTTGCGCTGTATTGTATACTGATAAATTTATATGTGTATTGTACAAACTTGCTGCGCTCAGTGTCCCGAATATCCAGAAATATATACATTGCTTGAAGAATATGTTTTTCCTTGCATGGCCAACCCAATTCCAGCTATTTCGGAGCTTGCGCTGGCATGTCTTGCACAGTGCTCATTGACCAATCCGGTACGAACTATATTAGTGACTAGAATGCCAGTCGTGACTTTATTTTGAATTAACCTTTAGTTTTTGTCTAGACTATTGCATCTACTAACATGGATGTGTTTTACACGCTCTTGAGTGCAAAAGATGCTCGTGCCAACATTTGCTTCAAGGTAAAGTTGATGTACACAGACGTTTTGATTGCTAGGATTCTACTCTGATTTATTTTGTTAATGAGTATAATAGTTTTTTGTGGACTTGATTTTGAGCAATAGAATAGAATCGCTACAAGACAACAAGGTATTCTACTTGATTGTATATTTTTGAATGATCAACACATTTTGACTTGCTATTTACTTTTAGACTGGCATCACCACCAAACTTCGACATTTTCTACAATGCGAAAACGAAACATATCTTAGTCAAGCAGTAGAGGGATACTGCAAACTCTTTTTATTTGACAAGTTGGAAGATTCTGAAGTAAGCTTTGTGTTGCATATATACCAGTGTTTGGCGATTCTGATCCACATTATGAATTAGGCGCTTTTGGCTCTGTTGATTCTATATTATCATCCATCCACTGCTCATCTGCAGCGTCTTCGACAATCACTAAGCTACTTTTTCCCCATATATGGACATTCTAAGCCATGGCAGCTTAAAGAGGTATTTATTGAACGAATAGTTATTCTAACTTTTAAAATCACTGGCTCATGTATAGGCTATACTTTATATATTTTGATTGTATCAATAGATTTTTGTGCGATCAATCTTGTCTTTTTCAGAAATGACGCGAGCCAGTCCCAGCAGCATGCTTCAGCCCATCACAATTGCATCGCAAATTCTAGATTGGCTGAGCACTCCATTGCATGCTGATTCAAACAACGTGGATGCTACTTTTTATGCCGACTTGGCCATTTCTTGTCTCACGGCAGCTACTGATGCATCTCCAGGTATAAATCATTTTAGGGTTTTCATTCTAGACACTAGTAGATGACTTACATTTTTTATCAGTGAATCGTCGACTCATGTGCCAAGTGATTTCAAAGCTTCAGCTTTCAAGCAGTTTACCGGCGGACAAAATTGAGCAAATGCAAATTTTGGTTGAGCAACTGCAATCGATCATGTCTGACCCTTCGTCTATTAACGCTCTTAAAAAGTATGTTTACTGCTCACTGATAGAATTGAGATGAGTTGCTGTTTGTTGTAGTTGCATGATACTTATTTTAGATTTAAATTTCGACTTGCAAAATTTAGGTTTAGTAAAAATGTATTTGGTGCTGAAAGTCTCGAGATCTACAACAATACTGAGAGCACTGATTTTGGAAACATTCTTCAATCTGTATCTCATTTGAAACTATAACTGTTTGTTGGTATATGCTGATTGTGAATGTACTTGATTTTCACTTGGAAATAAATATTTTTAGTTGGCATGGAAGAACAAGATGGTGTCAGAATATGGCTTTTATTATTTCAAGATGGTTGTACAATCATGCTTATTGACTTGAGTTGTACAAGTATGCGTTTTATTTAATCGGTTTGAACTATAAAACCAACATTTTGATTCTACTGCCATATTCACGTAAAATGAAACTTGTTCAACAGTCTCTTACTCTGGAATAGATATTTGTTTTTCTACTACACATCGACTTGTTGATATTCTAGATTCTTGAATAAACATACAAATCAAACTCTATTTTAAAGTTGAGATCATCACCATCTGATATGATCACATTGCAATCGCGCTCTAGTTTCAACCATTTCAGGAATGCAAGTCAATTAAAGAGTAAAAGACAATATTGTTGAATCAATTCCACAAGACTGGCAGTTTATCATGTATTTCGACATCTTTATTTCGTGTTCCATTTGCGTGAATACACCTGTAAAAGCCTAGTAGCATCAGTAGTTGTGCATGTTTTCCGAATCTTATCAATGGCTTACATCACCTGTGTGTGTAACGGCAGTCTTGATTGCTATAGTGTTGGCAGCTGCTTGGATCAAATCCTTTTTTAAAAAGCAATACAACGCAACTCATAAAAGTATATGTATTATTCTTGGATCAGGTTGGTATTGGTGCTTTATACAGTACGCACAATCACTTTAATTGTAAAGCGATGCTTGTCGGTATGAATGGCTATTCATTAAACATTGGTTTATAACTGATATTGAGTTTGGATTGTTATGGCTTGTTGTGGTAGGAGGTCATACGATGGAGATGATGGAGATACTCAAGGATATTGACTGTCAGCATTTTTCACCTCGGCATTACATTATTGCATCGACAGATCAGACAAGTGAAGGCAAAGTGATTTTGCATGAGCAGCAGATTCAAAGCCAGACTGGTAAAAACCAGGTGCATAGACTTGGTTAGGTTTCAACCCATCAGTGATATGCACTGATTTCTGAACATGATAATTGTTAGATTTATACTATTTCCAAGATTTCTCGAAGTCGTCAAGTCAACCAGCCATGGATTTCCAGTATCTTTTCAACTCTTTGGGCAGCATGGTTTTCGTTGATGATATTTTATCGCTTATACCCAGATCTGGTAGGCAATGCTATGGTTATCATGAATACAACAGAAAGATACTCGAGATGATTATTCAACTCGATGCTTAATGACCAACCTGTAGATTCTATGCAATGGTCCAGGTACTTGTGTTCCAATCGCATGCATTGCAAGATTGACTCAACTTTTGGGAATCAGCAGGGCACGAGTCATGTATGTTGAATCACTTGCACGAGTCAGCGATCTCTCGCTTTCTGGCAAGATTCTTTACAATATTGTAGACAAGTTTATTATACAATGGCCACAGCTCAAGACGAAATATCCAAAATCAATCTATGTTGGACGACTTGTTTAAATGTTGTTTTTTAAAAAAAGAATATATTTTTGAGGACATTATAAAGCCTGGGCCTCTCTGTTTTTTCGACGCATTCTTTCTAGCTCATTCATGAATGGAGGAGGAAAAGGACATTGAGTAATATCAGGAGTCCAAGTCACCTGGGATACAATTGCAGGTTTGGTATCAAGCGCACCTTCTGCAAGTGAGTGATGGTTAGCTATAATAGACCTCGAAGCAATTGCCATAATAAAATGATTCCAGATTACCTTCTAGCTTTTTAAAGGGATTTTCTGGTTCTGGTACTGGAATGACCGTGTCTGTTGCCAGAGACAGTCGTCGCTGTACTTTGCGATGTTTTAAATGATCGTATTCCCAAAATAACTTGGTCTCTGTGGGTCTCCTATATCAGTTTTATATGCAATCAAGTTGAGATGTACAATCTAAACTTTGGGTTCAAGCCTGAATTCCACTTACGAAATAGTTGGGTCTACCAGCTGAACTTGAGTATAATGAATTGGCATTTCCTTGTGGATACGACCACCCTTTGGATAGAATGGATTGGGTTTGACATGCTTGACTCCCTATACATGTTCAAGATTTAAATCAGCAGTTGGATCAAAATGCAACAAGGTCAATCAAGATCATGGACTGTTTCTGAAGCGTTGCAATGGCTGATGAATGCAATGAGCTGCCTGCCAAATCGTCATGATGAAAACTTACCAATTTGCAGTCCTCCACAATAACACTATTCAACTGCTTGATGACTTCCAGAACCTTGCCCTGTTTACCGACATCCTTCTCACCACCTACAATCTGAACCATATCGCCTTTAAAAAGATGCCATTCTTTAAGCTGATTGCGAGGATGGATGTTGGGTTGTTTTGGTTTAAGAAAGTTGGCACCACGAAACTTTGGAGGCATTTGATATAGATGGTTGCTTTACTTTATGTTGGGCTACTCAATAAGACTACACTTGATAAACGATGACTGGGCGGTTTATCGAAAATCAATGTCGAATTCAACACTGGAAAGAATTTTTGATCGTTTTGTAAAATGTTGGATTTGAAGCAGATGAAAATCACAAGCATTCAATTCTTACAAGTAAACTCGTAGTTTATTTCATGGGACAAGCAACAAGAGCATCAAGAATGGCACGACTGGCCTTTGCTTCAAGTTCATGAACAGTCTCGGGAGCAATAAACGCATTGGTTTTGCGATCGGCAAACACCATGGCACAGGCAGTAGCACGGATACTAGCCTGTGGAGTATGGAAAGTGGCACAACGAGCAAGGTGGAGAAGCATATGAGATTCCATCTCGAGGGTTTCACAGTTGGGATACTTTTTACGAATAGTATCAATCAGATCGCTGTTGTGATCGTTGAATCCAGGATCTTGACGACCCTGCGACGAGTAGAAGGAATCGGCAGTAGCATTCAGACCAGTAATAACAGCATCCTTGCCAAGACAATCACTCAAACTGGAATAAAGCTGAGTTTGAGGGTTGTGATTCAAGTCAGCAACTTCGAGTACGCTATGCATAAGCAACCTGTCAAGTCAAATCAACTTACCAATTCGGAGAGCTGAACATCAGAGGGACAGATCTTGGAAACCAGATAAGGACCTTCTGTAGACGTAGCCTCTGGAGCAGTACCAGAATACATGGGAGCAAAGTAGTCGTAGTTGCGGCATACATTAACAGCACCATCCTTGGCCACAGCCATCAGACCAACGCGAGAGTTTTCGCCAATTCCACCACAGGAGCCAAATCGGATCATGATGATAGGACCAGAAACCACTTCACGAACTTCACGAACCATCATATCAGCCATGGGAGTGCCCTATGTTATAACAAAACATCAGACTTGAACTCAAGTACATGAAATGCACAACAAGAATTGGTAACAAGGTGGTTGTGATAAGAATCGATAAAGCAAATTCGTACCATGCCAATTGCAATCAGACTGACGGGAGTGCCCTTGTAAGTGCCAGTGATGGTGGTAAAACCTCGCTTGGATTCATGCTTGAAAACAGTGCTGTCCAAGTGCTCAGCAATCTTGTAGGCTCGTTTGGGATCACCAACAGTGATGATTCTGTTGGCAACTGTAAAGTCAAATGAACAGATGGAATGTTATCAACAGACCATGTCCAGGGCTATAATGAATAGAATAATCAAGATCATACCCTCATTATGCTTGACACCGACATGATAAGTACGACCCTCATTGTCGACGGGAAAGTTTGCATTCTTCATGTTGTTGATGGGAGCCATAGTGATAACTGATAAAGTTCAAGACAAACTATTGTTTTGATGTTAAACATTGAGTCGAGTCCTGCAACACTCCCTAAAGTTAGTCTCATGACATGATTGTCAATTGACTGGACAGCTTCCTGAAACTCGTCAACAAAGCTTACTGATCTTGGCTTGCTTTTGTATAGAAATTAAACGGGTGTTTACATCACAGCTTCAATGAATTTCATGCTTGCTCAATCTCCAACTTACAAAACACTGGATTGACTTGCATTCCTGAAGTGATTGAAACTAGAGCGCGATTGCAATGTGATCATATCAGATGGTGATGATCTCAACTTTAAAATAGAGTTTGATTTGTATGTTTATTCAAGAATTCAGAATATCAACAAGTCAATGTGTAGTAGAAAAACAAATATCTATTCCAAAGTAAGAGACTGTTGAACAAGTTTCATTTTACGTGAATATGGCAGTCAACCAACGTTTATCCAGAAGAGTCCTGCTGTTCCAGATACGATCTTGATGTAACAGACTGGTTCTTCTCCAACTGCTTTCTAAGCTCTTCCTGCTTCATCATTTCCAACTCATTCTCAATTCGCTTATCACTTCGACGAACATCGTCTCGAAGAATACCAACTCTGCGAGTCTATTGAAATAAAAGATCAACTGGCTGCCTCTAGCTTCATGAATAACAAGAAAGATCATACTTTAACATCCAGTTCTTGCATGTAATGAACTCCAAAGACACAGACAGTGGCAAACAAACATGACGCTGCAAACGTTAGCTTGGAATTGCGAGACATGATGGATTCTGTGGTAAGAATAAGTCCAACTGGTTTTTCTTTTCCGTTTTTTCTTGCTATTCACCATGGCTCTGTGTCGACTGTCTTCCCGTGCATTTGCTACCGGTAGATACTTGTGTTTTCTATCTCCTCATGCAGTCTATAGTCATACTCTTGTTTGTGTTGAATGTGATATTGCAACAGTCATGCATGATTGAACACTGTCGCTTATGGTGTCGAGCCTTCTCTCCATGCATGGATTTGACATCCATGCATTCAATCCACCCAAGTGTAGTAATCCTTGCTTACTTTATGTTGGACTCTGTTAATTATAGGTCTTCGATCTGCCAATGCTATCCGTCCAGCGATCTTGAACTCCAGGTTTGGTTTATTGCAGTTCTTGTTCATGACTGTTCCTGCCATGAATCTGCATCGTACTATCCAATACTTGTATCAGTCTGACCTTTTTCACAATATATCTTGTTCTAGTTCTTATGCTGCTTCATCTGTGTCGCAGATGCGATTCCAGAGCACAGGTACAATCCATCTTTTGATGCATGTTGATTGGCATTCATCATTGGGATACTCGGCTATATTCTAATGGACTTGAATGTCTTTGCTCCAACCACCTTGTTACTTGTAGCCGTCACTGTTGAACCTCCCAAGCGTGCTGAACCCAAAGCTGTTGCTGAATCTCTCATCAACGCCTTTCCTGGAGAATCTCTTGTTGCCAAGTCTAGCTCTGTTCTGGTTGCTGCCTCAATCGCTGCCTTTTTGATCTCCAAAGAGATCTACATTGTTGATGCCGAAACCATTGAAATGTTCTGTCTTTTTGGTGCATACTATGTGTGGTACAGCAACGGTAAAGACAGCGCCTTGGCTTACTTTCAGGGCAGAAAGGATTCCATAAGAAATGTTTTGACTCAGGCTCGTCTTGACCACAAGGCTGTTGTTCAGGAGCGTATTTCCCATATTGGAAAGCTGTCTGATGCTGTTGAAGTCACCAAGGGTCTTTTTGATATCTCCAAGGTATGACCTGCTCTACATTGTTAGTGTAGATCTGTTCAACTAACAATCAGATTACTAGGACATTGCCAAACTCGAGGCTGAAGCGTATGAACTTAAGCAAAAGGTTGCTTTCAACACTGAAGTCAAAGGTGTTCTTGACTCGTGGGTGCGTCATGAAGCCAATGTTCGTGAGGAAGAGCAAAAGAGACTTGCTGCTCACGTCATTGGAAAGATCAAGCAGGATCTTACTGACCCTAGACTGGTGGGTTGTAGACTACTAGCTTGTCTTGTAAATGCAATCATTAACCCTTTATTTTATAGCAACAAACCATTTTGCAGCAGAGCATTGCTGATATCGAAAGTATGTTTAATTGAACACGATGACTCTTGAACATAATTCAAAATACTAACCACTGTTGTTGATTCAAATGCTTTAGAACTTGCTGCCGCTGCTCGTTGATTTGATGTTTCTGAATAAATCATGTGCTCCACTGCAATTATCCAGACTTGCTCGTCTTTTTCTTGAATGATTATTTTCCAAATAGTTGGGTATCAAGATTGGATTGAATCCATACACTCGTATAGTAGATCTGCATCTCCAATATCAACTTGAAAACCCATTTTTATTGTGATATTATTATGATGGACATAGACCCTGCTTCTGAAGAAGCTGCATGCCTCGATCTCTGGCTTCTTTGTAAGGTGTGGTATAAGTACCACTCCAATTAACAGAGCAAATTTTACACCACTCCTTGATCGTATCCGCACTTGCAGTATGAATACTCGACACGGGAGCATCACTTTTAGAATCAGTTGTGAACATGTCTGGATCAATCATGTCACCAAACAGCGACAGGATACGAATTTTGATAAGCTCAGGTAAACGATTCCGTTTAAAATACGCAACCATTTTACTCAGTCCTTTAAATCCATTGTCATCTGAAAAGGATAAAATAGCCTTGACATTGGATCGAATTGTGACTCCGAAAGCTGAAAAAAATCGTTTTTGATGAACAAGGTCTGTTTGCAGTTCAAATAGTTTCCAAAGTTCGTAAATTAAACCAAATCGAGATGCAGCTTCCTGAGCTTGTGGATTGTTCTAGATGATTTATTCAACCAACAGAAATGTCAATACGCTTTGAGATCATGTCTTGACAAACTCTAATACAAACATGGCATTACAAATCAACCCAAAAAACTTACAGACATGGCACTACTGATAATCAATACGGCATGCTCACGAACCTCGAGATCGTCACCACGCATCAAATCCAGAAGCGCAGGAATCCCATATTCGCTTTTTGCAAAATCAATGCCATAATCAATCTGAGAGACAACATTGTCCAAATGATCCAAAATACGCATCAAAGTAGTGTGATTGGGATGGGATTGAAGCTCTTTAAGTGTGAGATCAAATGCACTGAGTTGGTGGGTACCAAGACCTACTCCATGAGTAGATGCATGTGTCTCCCCATCTGGACGGTGAATCAAAACAGGTTTATTTATGTCACCTGTCACCCCAGTCTTCTTGACTGCCTCTTTCTGTACTGACTCGGCAGCAATAGGCGCATCATTTCTACCGTGGTCGATTGTAAACTCGTCTGGTTTAGACTGCAACTGAATGGTCTTATCTTGGTTACTAGCTGCCACTTGATCAGATCCAGAAAGTGCCACTACCATCGATTCTGGCTCTCCTTCCGTCTCAGTACTGGAAACAAGCTTGGCCTCCTTGAGCCCAGTCGCAACATTTATACGAATATGCAGACCTTTGGGAAGTTGCTGTTCAGGACGAATAGGTTGAAACTCTAAATCCACTCATGGTTTATCCAAAAGTTAGAACAACTCATCCAATGCAATAGATTGGTGGCAACAACTTGCCATGAGTTGCTTGGAATATCATCGGATAGCATTCGCTGCTCCCATCAGAAAGAACTCTACACACAGTATTGTCTGAATCAACGAGAGCAGGTGCTAGAGTGCCCAATGTAGGCGGTAGCGTAAACAACAAAGCGATCGAAATCAAAGCCAACATGGCTGTAGAAAAAACAATGGGTATTCGAAGACCATATAACTTGTGCAGCATAAGTTTAATAGATTTCGAGTAGAAAATAAACGTACGCTTTCAATACCATTTGATTCAGTTTCAGTTCAGGCTAAAACAGATCGATTCTAAATTCACCTTCACTGTTTATTATAAAACTTTTTTAATGATAATAGTTTTTAGAGCTTGTGTTTTGGGTTGGTGGTCTGGATCGGCTTGATCTTTTTGTCATATCCCTAGTAGTGTGCACTTCCAAAATCTGATCGACAGCTGACTTGACCTACCAAATCCATATTGATAAATACAAATGTCTGCTTCATCATTTGTTAGATTTGAATCGGCATCTTGAACTGTACCTCTTGAGGACGAGACAAGATCTGACGCGCACGACGTTGTTCTTCCAAGAGTTGTGCACTCATTTCTTGAGCTACTCGACTGCGCTCGCGCATAGCTTCGTCTTGAGAGTGCTTATAAAGTTTGAAATTACGTTTTGATTGCTTGACCGAGTCGGTGATAATCTGACGGTATGTAGGTAAATCTAGCGTATTGAGATATTGAACATGTCAAGGAATAACTGTAGCACATACTGCCCTGTAATATTAAACATACAACCATGACCAATTCATACTGATTCAAATGAACTAGATGATAAAAGGCTATTGTATATGAAACAAAGCCAATCTTTTCGATATAAAAATAAAGCAATACGAATAACTGACAAAAAAAGGATATTTGTTGGGTTCAGCTCGAATTGCTTCGTTCCTGTGAATCGTTACAGTTCGATAATCGCAAGAAACACCCAGCGATTTTAAATACTCTTGCACCACTGGACTATTTTGGTATACATTGAAGCTTACACGCTTAGACTGTATATATGGACCCATGCAGCAAGATTGCGGAAGCTACAAAAATACAATGGATTCAAATCTAGTTGGAATGTGTTTTAAACATATACTCAATCAACTGGCATACCTTTAATCCAGTGGATACAACATCTAATACTTCTGTTTTTGGTTTGAACCAATCTATAGTTGGCGCAGGAGCTAAAGTATGACATTATCATCAAGTTCAACAATCATGCTCAGATGATCCAATTATATATACTTTTTCATATCTGCCATGTGATATCCAACATGTCTTGCCTTTTTTCCAAATGCAGTATTGAGATGGGTTGTCTTCCAACTCTTTTTTCCCCTCCACGACCTTGGAGGAAAGCACGTCATGAGACCATGTCGTGCAGGAAGGGTTATAAGGAGTGATGCCTGTTGTGAATCTAAACGTAAGAAACAGATATCCAACACATGAATCAACTGTATACAATCTATTTTTTAGCTTACCACTCATTAAACGATGCATGCTGTCGCACAATTTTATTTGGAAACTCGCATCAAAGTGTTTGTGCGATAGTGGAAAGCACTCGCGATATGCTGTATATATAGCCTGAGAGTAGAATTCTGGAAGTTCCTACATAGATTGTGAACATAGATGGAAACTTTAATATTATTTGGCCATATCATTTAATTCAAGCTTATTTGTTGCAAACGACTGTTACCTGGAAAAATTCATCTTTATCATCCCCTTTGTATCGAAGAAATAACTTTACATACAACGTGGAGGCATGACGAACAAGATGATTCATGTTGTCAGTCTGATCTGGTCGCCATTGCTGCAAAAAAATATACCAGAACCAGCATATCATGATTTGCTGTGAGCCTTCAACAAGTAAATAATGTTTCCATTTCTTGAGCAGATTCTTCTACAAATGCAATGACATCAGTATCCATGTTCGTGATTCAACTATACATTGCAAAACAAACATACCGAAACATGGGAATACGATCGTATTGAGTATTGCAAATGTGTCATGGCGGATACATTGTTTGGAAGATTTAGCATTATGTCATCTGGCTGGCGTATGTAATCCGTATACTAATATCCCAATTGGGTTTATATCAAGACAGATTAACGCAATCTGCCAAATTCTAAATGTGGATTCATTGTAGTTGTGATTACATACCTCTATCATTGATGTTGCTTGTTTTACCGAGATTCCAGCCGTTGTAATACTGTTAATATTCACACCGTGCGATCCGTGATCATAAGATTCTTCTATGTTTTTCAAAGTGTTTTCAAGTATACGGCAACATGTAAATGCATAAATTGACAATTGGAATATACATGGCACATTCATTTACCTATATTTGAACAAATAAGCATCAGTTTATAAAAATAAATATCAAAGTTGTAAACCAAGCAAAACAAATACCTGATTGGCAAGATGCAGATTCGTTACAAGTTTTTAAAGTATTTGGTAGTGGTTGACCCACTGACACTAAACTTGAGCCTATCAAGCAAGATGGAAGCTGAGATTGAATAGTTTCACGCACAGAATGTTCTTGAGAAGCATCAACGTTATTGGACACATCGTCAATCACAAGATTAAGTTGTGGGTTGTTGCATCCAATTCGTAGTTTTGATGTCAATGCATTCACATGGTCACCAAGCAGCTCCAGATCACGTAGTCCGATTGCTTGTTAGATTCATAATATGATAATTTCAAGCAAATAGATTCAAATCAGTCATACAGCATCATTTACTGAAAATGATGGGATTCTCACAGCAATTTCGCTATTTAATAAACATATCGAGTTAATGCATCATGACGTTACGTAATATTCCTGCAAGTTTTTCTTGAACACCTTTTGGATTAACATATGCGTGAACAATCTCGTGCTGTAGATTAGTAGAACGTTGCCTTTCAAAAACAGAGGTTTCCGAATTGGTACCAGGCAATTGATCTTGTGTAGTAATAGTTGGCGCGGCGTTCAGAATTGGAATGGTATCTACAGTTTAAAATATAACCTATTAGACTTTCAAGATAAATAATTGATATATCAAGTAGTTCTTGGTATAGGTTTTGTATCCGTAATGATGCAAACCAGTAGACATATACCTTTATACACCAACTGTGTACTATAATCAGTGACTTTTGGCCATACATCTTTTGCAAGATTCCAGCGCGACGATGTATAGGCATCACTGCTTTCCTTGGATGGCGTGTATACTACTGAGACGGCCGATTGCAGTTGAGACGCTGACGAAACAGGAGCACATACATTTTCGTCATTTGAAGGAACAAACGTTGTAGACGAACCACTACACCCTTTGGTTATATACTCTGATCCCGTTTTAACAGAGTTTTTGTGATTTCGAGAATGTGACCGAATCGATTCGCTACTGCTACAGCGCGAATTACGACCATATCGATGCAGCAAGTCCACACTACTGTGATCTTTTGAACGGTTAGAGTCAGCTGAGGATTTGGTTCTATCGTCGAATGATACAGATGCGTCAGTAAAGGTTTCATTTTCCCTTTGTATATACTCGTTTAGTGATTGAATAGGAGGTCGTCCAATGTGTTTTTTAATAGTCGAGATATCCTGCTCAGAACGATTGGTTGTCAGTTCTGAAAAAGACCCCACCAATCTTGTATTTTTATGTAATGTAAATGCTGACATGCCAGATATTTAGACCAAGTGAAGAATGTATTTTAAAAGTAACGAGTTGTAGGGATTCTGCATGCAGTAATGGCGATTGTTGCCAAAAAACAAAAAGTTTATTTCTATGCGAGAGCCATCAGAGCCAAATGCTCAATCTTACAGACGTATTCACGTAAAATAAAAGTGTATAAAGTCATGTCTGATTGGTGTCAATCTTACAGGACAACACTGCCTTGTAAGCTTTTTAGTCTATTGATGTTTTTGTTAAAGTATTAGCTTGGTTTCTTGAACTAAATCATATCTCATAGTTTAGGATACAACAGAGTTTCTTGAATGCCATGATCGTGCCAGATATTCTTTGGTTGTGTAAAGCCAACGCTTGCAGTAGCCGAGTCAATCCAAGATAAATACAAGTGTTTCATTTTACATGAATACGGTCGTAATCAGCATACTCACACTGCCTATACTTGTCCATTACTGACATGCACATCAAATGAAATACTCGTATTGCTATCAATAAGCTGACAGAATCCAGAGCTTGGGTTTGATGGCAGTTTTGCTAAATTTCAACCTTTTACAAACTAACAACACTTTTTGGTAATTGACTACCAATCATTCCTATCTACAGCTATATAGATTGGTAAGCATGAAAGCGTCTACTCTAATAGCAGACATTGTTCCTGGAGATGTCCAGCTTTCCATACAAGTCGATATTTTGGAAACGCTTGTGATACTCTCTGGTCAAGTTTCACTGCAAAGTAAGTTATGCATCGAGATCTTATAATAGGTGCATGCAAGTCCAACTACTAAAACTCAAGCTCAATTCTTGTCAACTCAATCTAGATGGAGCTCGCAATATCAGTGTGGCAGAAATTGTCATTGGTGATCAGAGCGGAGTAGCCATTTTGGAATTGATTGATGGTAAGCTAGCAACAATCTAATGGCAGCAGCGCTAACGAGTCCATTCTTACAATTGCTTTGTGTAGATCAGATCGCTCAATTGAAACAAGGCATGCATGTTACTCTTTATAACGTAACTTGCAAAATATCTCGAGGGTTCGCTAGACTCCGATCTGAGCCATTCAAATTCCAAAACGAATCTGATGGTCATTATAATCAAGATATCAACTATAGCCACAACATCTCTAATATTGAATACGAGCCTATTTTGGCAGCTCTAATGGAAAACTAGGTTCAACCACTATTTTCAATAACCCATCACCCAATCCAAGTAAATACCTAAAATAAAAAGATACAGAATGAAATAAAATCTGGTCCAAGGCCAATCAAGGCAAAAAGGATCGCAGAAATGTGTATTGCCTGAAACTCCACCAATATTAGTGTAGCCAGACGCTGGAAGACGAACATCAAACCCAACACACTCCTCTCCAAGAACAACTCCAAAGACCTAACGCTATTTCGCTATATAAGACGATGAATGGCATGTTGGCACAAGAGATCATTTAAAACTGGCTGCTTTCTTGAGACTCGACAATCTGTTGAGCAATACGATCCAAATCCTTCTGTCCATCGACAGAGATCTTACGGCCACCGTTAGGGTGCAACTGAAGAACCTTGATCTTCTCAAGAGAGTGGAAGATAGCACGGGCAATGGATCCAGAGCCAATACCTCCATGGTGAGGCTTGCTGCCACGGTTCTTGGTACCACCATAGTTCTTTCTAAGACCACCTACACCAACACCTCCGCGAAGGTAGATATGGCGAGCAACGGATGCTAATACACAAAATGATTGATATATGTTAAAACCAAAGGTCCAAGATAGTGTGAACCAATAATGCTAAACTCACCAGCACGAACATAGTACCAGTCTGGGTCATAAGGAGCAAGCTCCTTGTCGGCACCGGTCTTGACAAGATCAACCCACTTTGGGAGCTCGAGCTTACCAGTACGCTTGAGGTAGGCAGAGTAAGCCTTGATAAACTCATGTGAACTAACGTCCTTGACAGTGACTCCGCGGCTCATCTTTGATTCTGTTGTAAAGAAAAATAAAAAATAAGACAAGTCGAGTCTTGTGTTGCAACATCACGTTATAGTCACATGACCAAATTGAATTTTGTTACATTGTAAAATGTTGACAGGGGTTCAACTTTATATATCACGTGTTAATACTATTAATCCAGTCAAGCTTGCAATCTGTCCAGCATCAGATTCACCGCAGCATCCACACAGACGGATCACTAAAAGGGTCAATCTAATAACCTAGTCTCATGAAATGATGGATGCAAATTTATGAGACAATATTGTCTTTTGGTGACTTGATGATAAACGTTGCGTTTTGAAGAGTTGATCAATTTCTAGTAGAACGGCATACAAATATTTAATCATTATTTATTCCAAAACAGAATACGAGCGACTACAGAAAAGTGATTCATTTTACGTGAATACAACAGTAAAAATAAACCATCAATACGCAACGCATTCATTCCAAAGTAGGAACAAACTCTTTGGTGAGATCTATTTCAAAATATAAAACTCATTAGCATGCGAGTTCACAGGTCCTAAGCCAAACAAAACTTACCAATACCCTCCAAATGTGTGTTGGTAAGCTTAAAGCGTGTCTTTCGCTTTGCTTTAGTCTTGGCCTTGCCCTGTAAATTAGATTTTAGTATCGCCATTAACCCATACTACTCGATACATTTGCCAAAACCACTATACCTGAGCAGACTTGTGCATCACAATCACTTCCATGGATTTTAAACCAGCTAAACATTTAAAAAAGCACATGTCAAGTCAATACATCCAAGATTACAACACGATCAATGGTGACAGTCCATACCACTAGCAAGTTCTTTAGATATGTCTGCCTCTAATGGCAATGCAACTTGATGCCAGTATTCTTTAAACTCTACAAATAGACCAAAAAGGTAAACAGGATTGATTTTCAACCACCTGAAACCAAAGTTATACCTTTGCATATATCCACATGCAACTGATTGTTATTATAGTACACAATTCTTGGCGATTCATCTCTGTTGCGAATGATTAAAATAGACTTTTCTGCATCCAACTCCTGTAGAAACATGTGAGTAGATAGCATATGTTCGCGCTCAATATGCTGATCCAACAAATTACCTCAATGTATCCAAAAATACCATTGCAGGAATCCTTGAGTTCTTTTACTTCCATGCCAGTTGTATCCCGATTTTTCTTTAATAATTCTAGCAAGTCTTCTTTTGATCGAATCTTGTATGTTGGCTAATTGACGAATACAATTTTGTTTGGTATGAGTTGTAATTCAATGGTTTTTGGCTATTAATCTGCCATGTACAGATTCTCAATGGAAAAACACAAGCCCAGATCCCAACACAGTATTCAAATTCAATGAGACTTGCCCTGTATTCAAACGTGCCATTAACACCATCGTAGAATATTCTTTCGTTGTTACGGACAAGATCAAACAGTTCCTCATCATCCATAATGTCCATTGCCAATTTGCGCACCATGTCATTGTTGGTAAGCGGCTTTTCTTCGGCCTACAGTTTGATCCATGCCATTTATAGAAATTAGCCAACGAGTCGACCAAGACAGTTTATATTTTAAAGACTTGTGAATTTATCTGGAACAAGTTTAAAAACGTACCTTGAGTAGCATGATTATATCAAAAAGCTTTCTTGCTACAGGAATACCATCGGATGAATATAGCACAGGAGCTAAAATATAATTTAAATAACCAATTGAGATGCGGAAGCAGCAATGGACATGAAACCACATCAATGCCGGTTAAAAGTTTACTATTTCAAGTCTAAACTGTTGACAGTCAGATTGGTATTCAAACGGTAATATTACCCTTGACTACTTTAGTCTGGATGTTAGATTTGTTTGGGTCCACTTCTGTTGCTGTTATGGTTTGTTTTTTGATTATGGGCTGCGCCAGCATACGCCTGCGTAGCTCTGCCTAGTCGGTTCAATTGCATGACAAGAAGCATGTGTTAGCATCATGTTCAAGGAATTTCATGCATAGAGACTAGCCAACAAACTATTCAAAACATGCACCAACAAGATGCAACTCAGTGTCAATCTCTCTGGCTTTAGCAACTCATGAGTTGCTTTATTTACCTTTGAAGACTCCATGCTCAAGACTAATATCAAATATTGAATTGAAGTGGTAAAGTTGCCAACTTGAAATATATTTCATCATATTGACGAGTTTCATTGCATATCGATCGATCCATTTTTCAAAAGGTTTCAAATGCCTGATATTTAAATGGTCAGATTGTTATTGAGCAATGTCCTGTTCACTTTCTAGTCTGATCTTGAAATGACAAGTTTTTAAACTGATATTGACCAAATAATAGTCACTTTAATGTCTGTAGTATTACAGCAGCTGCTCTACCCATCTCAATAAGTGTTCCATCACAAATACAGAATTGTTGTAAATATTAAGCCCATCAAGAATAGATGCAGATATGTCGCAAGTTGAAGATATTCTGTAAAAATCAGTGCAATTAATTCCAAATTCAAGGTCCGCTCTTCACATGGCACTTTTATTGGCAAAGATCTAATATATTGTTTAAATTATGATTTATAAAACATACTATGTTATACACCAACAGTGAATTAAACACAATGATTCAAGTGTTGGCAAGTCTTACCTTTTCAACGGCAAGTCTGGGAGTAAGAATCTCCTCAGCATCACGATCAGGAAGTTCAATACTGAATTCATCCTCAAGAGCCATTGTGATTTCAACCTGATCTAAGCTGTCCAAACCCAGGTCGTTTGTAAAGTGTGCATCCAGAACAAGCTAATCCCAGATAAAAGACAATCCATTTAAGCAAGTGTATTTGTAACGCAAATTGGTAGTGGCAATAAAAAAAGGATCAAGCCGGGTTAGTATATGCAAGTCAATTCCAAAGGGCTTGACAGTCATGAATAAATCAGACTCATTTCAACTAAACTGAAAGAGTTACAAGGAATATGTCTAATCAAAAACTGTCTAATTGTGCTATCCAACACAGTCCCAGTGATTGGTCGAGATCGAATCACTGGAATTGTCAACATCCTTCACAGCTCCTATTAACATGTATTGGCTGTAAAACGACCATCAAGACAGGAGTGTGCTAAAGGTAAAAGAATGCTATCTATTCAGATTGACATTACCTTGGAGGCCTCGACTTTGTCAAAGTCCTTGAGTAAATGCAGGACTCTGTCCTCAATCTGCTGCACAGTCAATGGAGGAGGACCAGCAGAAAAATGGCGCACCATTGACAGACAAGGCAAAGACACACTGCGCATGAGATGAGAACGAGCAGTAATATTGGGAGTGGAATAGTAAGCAGCTGCAGAGCAGCGGGACAAGGCAGTTCTGAACATGTTTGATACAAGTGATGCTCGCAGATTCCCTTTTTGATGGTGAGTTTGCCAACAAAAAGAATTTTCGTTTCTTTGTGATGATCACACTGCGTTCTATCTGGCTTGAATCTACTTTAACTTTAAATGTGTAATATTAAATCCCAACCAATTCATATTATTCATTCTTGGAATGTGTGCTGGAAATCCTTCAACTCGCAATCTCAATTCAGCACGCTTTAAACACTATCTGAAACTGAATGGTCAACTCAATCAGATCTTTTCTCAAGATTCAAGTATTAAAATGCAAAGAATAGTTCAACAATCAATTTATAATTCAAACTTTCCCGTAAAACACGAATGGTATCTGGATTAATGCAAGGCACTGGTTCAGTGAGTTTATGGGGTTTCTCCAAAGCACTCGACTTCCAAGACTCGAGTAAGTATATTTGATGGTCGGTATCAACTGTATTGTATATCCTTTAGTCAAGAACACCATCACATATATTTCAATAAACTGTCAAGTGAGTCGGAGTTGGATAGGAACTGGTTCAGTTTTTTAATATTGCATTTTCAACCATCTAGATGGTATCTTTACAGAAAAAAATACTACTTTGCTAGATATTAAGAGTGCAATAGCTGATGAAACGGAACCATTGGACGTTTTATTAATTGGTGCAAGTGACCCTCGCCATATTATCAAAACTGCCGGTCGAGCTTGGAAGCATTCATCTCGCCAGATTCACGTAAGTTGGTGTCCAGATACGCTTGCATAGCACTGTGCACATACTTGTATATACCATGTGCAAATCCTTTACAATACAACCAACTGCATTTTTCGTCAATTCTAGTTTCATGTCATTGAACCGCAATCATCTTTGCTAGCAAGGCACATGCTTTTACTTTCTATTTTATTCGACCCACTAGATGATATCGGTATACAAGGTAAGATTTAAAACCAAACCTCTTTTCAAATGAATTAGTGTCAAAAGCAATTGTTTTGGGCTTAGTTAACCTTTTGGTAGAGCGTGCTGAATTGTTTCTCGAGTGCTATGGTAATCTGCTCATCAGGAAAAAAACTGCAACATGGATAAACGCTTATACATTGCCATTGATCAGGTAAGTAAAAGTTGAGCAAAATCCAGGTTTTAAACAAATGGAATATAACATGCAATTTACAAAAACACTTAGAGCAATGACTGATGGTGCAGGCGTGCTAGGAAAGCTGATTGATTTTTCAGGACTAAAGTTCAGGGAAAGAGACGATATTGAGTTTGTTTTTAAATTCTGGCGCGATCAAGCAAAGCAGTTTGATGCAAAATCTCTGTGGTTCGTTAAACAACTACTTGATATTTACTGAAAGATTCATTGTTTCTCACTGAATATAACTTGTAATCATCTGATTCACTACGCGCTCATTACATTTGATAGGGATATTCGATTACGTCGCTACTATGCCGCACGATATGATTGCAGGGAAAACGCTATTGACTGGGACTACCACATGAATATTCGTCAAATGGACAAGACTGTTTCAATTATTTTCAAGCCCGAGTTCTTACGTTGGAGACTACACGGAACTGCATTTGAGGTGCGCGAGTCCACTTATGAATGTGCTAACCGTTCCATGGCTACTGTAGATGTTTTGAAACAGGTATTGTTAATATTGCATCCAAGTGAACTTGAATGTTAAACTTGAGCCTGCAATGAAAATATGCTAATCTTGATGAATCAAACTCGACTTGTTTGCAGGATGGTGTGAATGTGGCAAAGTGGGGATATTTCAGTGACATTCTTTTTGGACCCTATTTGGCTTTTGGAATTGATACCGAAAACAAAGAAATGCTGGTTACAAATAATGATAGCCATAAGCATGTAGGCAGAGTCGTGATTTTACACTGTTATGTATGAAATGCATGTTTGATTTGCCACAAATGACCAAAAACTATAAACTTGTCAACAACTATTTAGACTTCCCAAGAAATCTCAGAGTATAATGTACGATCTCTTATTCACGAACTTAAAACAGGAACTTTGTATGAAGAAGCAGAGACAAAGAAAATCACATGTGCAGGTATTGTTCCTACTCACGCTGATCATTACAAACATTGTTGGTCACTGCTGCAGCAATAACCTTTCATCATATTAATGTATTAGACACGAAAATCTTGCCAGATTACAACATCTTGGACAAGATCAAGGTGTCATTTCTACCATGCGACGTTTCCATAACTCTGGAAAAGAAACGCTCAAAGCTGGCTGGAAAATTTAAAACAATCTTTATATCAAATGCCATGGCACACCGATTGGCAGACGCAGCTCACGTGCTTCACCCACAAGGAGAGATTATTGTAGAAACTGCAAAGTAAGCTAGTATATACAATCGAAATATCTATATCATTGATTTATTTTTAATACTATCATGTTCGTATTTGTGATATTGGTACACTACAACAGATTCATGGTCGAACTAAGCAAAGAGCTTCGACAATCATTTGAAAAAAAGCTCGATACAATAGCAAGCAGTGCTGGTTTAGTTCGAAAACAATTCGCCGATTGTGATGCAAACGTCGAGTTTATGGTGTTTAAAAAAGAATAAATTGACTCCCATTTGCATATGGCTTTCAAAAAATTAAAAGTCTACATCACCGCTAGTAGATCCCCGTCCTTTACCTCGCTGAGATTTACTTACTCTCCCACGGGAACTGGAGGCCGATTTTCCTCTACCCCTTCCTCTGCCCCGACCTCGACTGCCTCTTCCTCGTGATGATGAAGATTTTCCTTTTGGCTGTGGACAATTACTAGAAAAATGTCCAACCTTGAATAATAAATCAATTTATAAGCATGTGAATGAGCAAGTATATCCCCTTGTGAATGACATGTTGCAAAATTCAATGATAAAAAACCTGATTGCAGTTGAAACACGTTAGATTAGTTGCAGAGTCATTATTAGTATTTGCACTTCCAGTGGGTCCATTCCGTGGCAAAGACTCGTCTGCCCATGCAAAAAATCGACATTGTGCAGCAGACTTGGCACATGTATAATACTGCCGACCTTTGTTCGGACCATCTCCCTGTGCAGTTTTTGAAACTGCAATCAGATCACATTGGCAACGTGGCCTAGATGAATTGTTACTCGTTCTTCCAATAGAGTTATAACCAGGCATATCCTGTGCGTGTTGACGCTGCAGAAAATAAATATAATTCAATTTGAGTCTTGCATACAAATGTGACATCTATAGACCATTCCATAAATATACCTGAACGCTTTCACCATTCTTTCCAGTAGTTACAGACTGATCGTCTACCCACTATTCAACAAATATAGATTTCATATAGTCGGTTAATATAAGCAATCGGCCAACAACAAATACTATACATTTCACGGCAAGCATATGTAACACATGGTATTTCATATCGATTTCGTACCAAAAAAAATGTACATCTTGTAGGATCGGTTTGGGCTTTGCTACATGCGTAAAACTGACGACCTTGGTTTGGTCCCTCTTTTCTGACTGTTAGCAGTGAACATACTGACAGACATGAACACGTCTGGGTATGGCTAGATCTGCTACCTCCGGATCGCTCACCAAACGACTGATCTCGATTTTGCGCCATGTCATCCTTCCACTTTTGTAATAAATACAGTATAAAGCCAATTGTATTAGCGTGATGATCGATGTGTATGTCTGCATTCTATGGTGCATGGTGCTATACATCACCAGCACACAAATAAATTGATAATGCATAGACTTGCTTGAAAAATATGACATCGTGTTGGATCATCTTTTGGTTTGGGACAGGACAGAAATATCCGGCCTTGATTTGGACCTTCTTTTCGAACCGTTAATTCCAAAAGCGGCATCAGGCATAAGCACATTTGAGCATCTTCATCTACACTGTTAAACGTAGGATTTCTTTGGTTTGTTTGGAGCGGATGATGCTGTGGTGCATTATATCTTGGTGGTGAAATTTGAGTCAATGGTGTGGATGAGAATGATGTCGTGATAGCAGCAGCTCCAGCAGACGGAGGAGGTGGAGGCGGATAATTGTGAATCTAAAAATCATGTCAGTCAATACAAACTTTGTCAAAACAATAAAGCAATACACTTCAACCATCTTCTAACATTTTCAGAAATAGTTGAACCAGATTGTTGTTGTGGAGGCGCTCGGTTCCTTCCACGTTCAAATGAAAATAATTCAAGTAACTGATCGTCACACCATACGCAAGTATCATACTGTATATTATCAGGGTTGCCAAGATTAGTACAACCAGGATTCGAGTACAATCATTTTCAAACCAGAATAAAGCACACGAACCTCCAAAGGAATTGTGGGTGGAACAGAGTGTGGGCGAAAGCTGAGTTGTAGTTTACTGGTAGGTTCAGTAGCATTGCCACATGTACTGCATGTGTTTTCAGATTTTGCAACGTTTGTAACAAAAGATGGCAGAAACAAAACTTCACGACACGCTGGATATCCCGAGCAACCTAATGTCCAAAATTAAAACAGCGAGAATCAGACAAGGTATATTCATTACCGCCATACAACAAAGATATAAAAACTCTTGTGGACTGTTATACCTATCATTTTTGTATTATTTGGCAACACACGAAGTGTCATGGGTAACCGGCATTTGGGACAATTGCGTATGGCTACATCGTTGAAGCGATCGGCTCTTTGCTAGAATATTTACAAGAATCAAAGAGTGGAACCGTAAACATATGACATAAACTAAACAGCATTGCTCGTGCATAATTAAATGCCCTATACACTATTCAAGTAAAGCAAACCTACTGGAGTTGCATCTGGTGCATGGCCAAAAAATTTGGCACACGATTCGTGTAGTTTACTTGCTTGACCAAACGCTGCAATAAAGACATTTTTATATAGCTCTATGCTTTCAGATACAACATCCTCACGTTGTCGAGCCCCATCGCAGATTTTTTTCATATTTGCTTCTGTCTGAAACAGCATGTTCAACAATGAATGTCAATACAAAAACCAAACTCAAATCTCAACAACAATTTCCTACCAAACTACGAAGAAATGGTCTAGATAGAGACAAATCAATGTCCATCTCGTCATATGCAGTAACCAGCGCCATTCCCAGTGTCGTTGGAAAAAAGTAAATGTTTTCTTTGCGTGCATATTCCCGATCAAGGATTTTTTTGATATGCTCGTGAATAGTGGCATCTGTACCAATACCACTTTTATCCATGAGCGTAATAAGATCGGCCTCAGTGAGCATTGTTGGTCTGGTAGTACTTCCTTCACGCATCTCTAATAATGACGGTTCAACTCGCTCGCCAACGGAAAACGTTGGAATATCAGAATCTGACCATTTTTCATATGGAAACACCTCCAAGTAATTTCTTTCCAAAATCATAAGCCCTAAACAAACTGATGTAAGCATCAACTAAAAAAATAAATGCAAATCATTAAACTTCAAGTATACCTGATGAAGTAAATTTTTCTTGGGAAAGTTCCAAATCAACCACAGTTTCTTGTCCTCTGGCTGCTGCTGAGCAACAGGCTAAAAACCTTCGTGTAATATAATCAAAAACTTTCTTTTCGTCACCAGACAAATCAAATGCAGCACGAACAGGATGAATCGGCGGATGTGCTTGGTCGTTGTTTTTACCCTTGCGCGGTTTAGTAAACTTTCCATTTAAAAGACTTTTATATGGATCAGGCTGTTAGCTAAATATAGTTATTATTTGCATTGAAAATTTGAAAACTAACCTAGCTGCATAGCTGCCCCATTCTTGACTTTGTGTTTGTTTTTCAATTAGAGGCATTAGATCAAACTTATCATCGAAGCAGTCGGTCTCGGTTCTTGGATAGCTGACTATACCACGATTATACAGTGCCTCTGCAACCTTTACGTCACCAATCAAATTACAGCCATAGTTGTAAATTAGTATAACATATACAGCAACTTGAATGTCGAATCCATACATCAATCACCTGCATGACACGGTCCGAACTCATATGCAAGAAACGAGATCCAACTTTTTGAAGCTCCACCGTAGTAAGTGGCAAAGGAGCCCTAATTTAAATTACAATAAACCATTTTGTATTGAACAAATCTCAAAAACAGCAGTTTATGTGACAGTCTTCCTACCATTTTGATTTAGGTTTTGCTTCAACTTTAGAAATGGTGCATACTGGATTTTTCATACACAACTCGTATAAAGCAAGAACAATGTGCCGGTTGAACAAATGGTTGCGAGACCACCCAAAAACAGCCCGGAGTCCGTTCCGTGTCACTTCAAGTGTAATGCTCCAAAACTTCTCTGGAATAAAGCTCTGGACCTTTCTAAACCGATCAACAACAAATCCCAGAGTTGGAAACTGACACGGACCTTGAAATTTCATGCAGCAGCGTTGTCATCAATGCTGAACTCTTTCAAAAATAAATGGCAAACTTGTATTTCACAAACTAAATTCAAAATAGTAGCATACCGTAGCTGAGTATCTGTTCGCTGAGTTCTTTGAAATGACCTTGTAATTGAAGTGTTTGAAATCTGGTAAAAACGGCACCAATTCGCAAATCTAATTCAGTTCGAGCATCCACTGCTGCCGCTGCGCGCCAATCTAACTCAACCAGTCGATTCCATGCCTGCTTAATCTCTCTATGTAATCGTTAAAATATGAAAAACCATAAAGCGTTATTCAAGCCAGACAATTTGCAACTCGTTAGAATCAAATTGAAATTAGCTCTTGCCTTGCTTGGACTACGGAAAACCTTGCTCGTTTAACAATAATGTTGGGATTGGTTTCACGACACACCTGAACCACCTCGGCACCAATATTTTCTCCTTCTCGGTCACAATCTGTCCAAATAACTAGCATCTCAGATTGCCGAGATTTTGCACGCAGATTGTCAGCCAAACCTTTCATGTCCTGTTCAACAATATATGACAAAGTCAAGATATAATGCATATTAGAGTTAAAAATCCCAACCCAACAGTCTGAATTTCAGAACACATCAGTACAATCGCCTAGATTACCTGTTTGACTTTTTTTTGAATAGGCGCTCCAAAGAGATGTTGCAGCGTAGCCATTCGCCAGCTCTTCCATTCAGGAGAAAAGTCACTTTCCATCAAATGTCCAAGCAGTGCAGTCATCACTACTGTACACTCTCTTCCCTGACATTGTTGACTAAACTCATAGTTTTTGATGTACTTGTTGGCAGTTGAGCTCTGTTTAATATAGTAGAATATAATAGATGAGCCCAGAACTCCAGTTTAAAATGCAACGATTCAGTGCTGGCATGATCCAGAAGCACATACTGTTTCAAACCGTCCGTCACCAAGGATCTCAGCTACCGACTTTGATATAGATGGTTTTTCTGCTACACATAAGATCTACATAGAATATACGGTTTGGTAAGTGGATTGGAAAGAACAGTCGCTTCAAGTCCAACTCTGCTCCAGGAATGCCAACTATGCAAGTTTCAATCCATTCAGCCAGTCTCAGAATATCCAGTTATTTCAATAAAACTATAACCAAGGACTTGAAGCCATCATCAATATGACTTGTACACCATACACACCCGCATCTGATCAAATATTTAATAAATCTGATTGTCGAAAGCCCAAAGTTGGCCCTTTTATTTGAAATGAGTCTGTTGATGAGATTGCTGTTGAGCATCCATTCATAATCCAACTGGCCATACACTGACAGCAATAGTCATCAAATTGAAATCCTGTTTTCCTTGGAATACTACACCAGCCACAATATGGTGAGTTGGATTGCATCAACATTCGACTTATTTTAAAATCTTACCTTTTTCATCACTCGGATAATGTACTCCACCTGTGGGTTGGATGTGTTTCTCAGCATTGAAATGACATCTCTGAGATATTCTTTAGACTCTTCACTGTTGATGACTTGTTTAAATACGCCAACACACGCGCCTCGTTTGCCTTCCCAAAACTCGGGATTAGGATCCAGTCGTTCAAGAACATCAAATGCTTTAGCAGCATAATAGAAATGTGATGTCTAGATGAAATTTACAAATGCTGTTATTCATATCAGTTTTTGAAACCATTTTCTTTTAGATTTAAACCAAGATTACCTTGTAACAATCGTTTGCAATCAACTGGAGCAAGCTAAACGATTCGCTTGATGTTTCCATTTTCAAATAAAGCTCCCATGCCAACCGAGGCTTTTTGTTCATAATATCTATTATTCAAAATGGTAGTTAGCATTCCAACTATGATTGATGCTCAATAGGATATCATCAATTTGAGCTCAAAACATCACTTACAGCATCGTGCCAAATGACTCAAATATGCGTTTTCATTTTTAAACTTTTCGCTTTGGATCGTCAGCAAAATTTCTTCGCCCTCTTCAAATGCACCCGTAGCAACTTTAGCTTGTGCATAGTTATAGTTAAACGTGTCGTCGTTATAGAAATATCCCTAAATTGATAAAGCTTAGAAATAGATGCGCTACTGACAGAATAAAAACTGCATACAATGTTTAAAGCTAAATGATTTTACTTTGATTGAGTTGAGGTAGATAAGAACATCGTCAAACTGCTTCAGTAAAAAGAAACAGGATGCCATGCATTGACGACCTGGAATAGTATCGCATTCGCTAGCAGATCCTCCAACCAGCTGAAAGTATTGCTGTGCTATTTTTAGATGCTCTCTTGACTCTTGCTCCTGACCAAGCGAGGCATTTACTATTCCTTTAAGAATGTACTCCTAATGTTTGTATTTAAATTAGAACCATGTCAATGCAATGGTCATTCCAGCTGAAAAGTGTCACATAGCCAATGCATTTGGAAATGAAATGAATACATTGCAGCAGTATAGTAGATTTACCTGTGGGGTAGATGGCTCAACATCTTTCATTAAATTGAAAGCAGATACAATATCATCATTGCGCAAATGGTAAATCACCAGATTCAGACGCGCTTCTGGAATCACATCAATCAGTGGAGGTAAAACCTGCAGCGCACCTTCTCCATTTTTAAACACAACCTGTAAAGTGTATGATTATATCACATATTTTAGTATAATGGCTGCAAATCACTCTAAAAATTAGTAGCTTGACAAAAGTGCATTTACAAAATTGCAGCAATATGGCTCACAAGATTGTGTTTGATGAGATCTTCAGCAAACTGAAAGTTGTGTGACATTTTTTCAGATAGTCCTTTCAATTCAGTTTCAGCTGCTTTGCCATTGTACAGTCGGAAATGATTGCATGCTTTCAAATTTGTTGCAATCACGCTGTCTGGATACGCTCCAAGATACACTGATAATACTTCTTGGGATACATCGTAGTAGTCTAATTTGTAATAACACATGGCAACATACACATTGATGGCCAAAAAATCTCTATTGATTGATCAAGAACAAAATTGGTAGGGTTAGGCATAATACTTGGCACTACACTTGTTTATAAACCACCATCGTATATTCCCAAACAAGGTACCTGTTTTCAAGAAGAATTCGCTTGTAAATATCGATTGCTTCTTGGTAATGGCTGCGCAAATAGTGAATCGATGCAAGACTTAGCTGTAGTAATATGAAAATTTAAAATAGATACAAGGATGATAGTATTTTAGATCAAAATTTTGACCTTGCAGCAACATCTTGTGATATCTGGCAATGCAAATACGCAATTATACACACCTGATCTTCAATTACATCTTGAAGATTCTGATGATATCCCATAAGTCGTTTTTCGTCATTGAATTTATGCGATAGGTGGAATAACAATCTATTTTGCAGTTTGCATGTTGGACCTGTGTATAATAATCATGTAAGGTGTATGTTATAGCTTAAAGATGATCAAACAAAAGGTAATACAAAAAATTCAGTTGTAGTAAAGTCAAATATATACCTCGTTGAGCTTCTTCATCTGCTTCTCTATACATTCCTAGAAAAAAGTAGCAACATGCAAGATATAGATGCACCAATGAATCGCAGTTTTCAATAAGAAGCACAGCTTGATACGTCTAGAATTGTGGTGATATCAGTGAATTAAATGAAGCTTAATTTTCACACCAAGATCTTGACATGAACCCATCGATCCAGAAACCAATAGTTGATATTGTTCAATACTTACGTCCATGGCTTTTTTGTAATCCCCAAGATGAAAGAGTGAATACCCAAGCCACATCATATTTTCCATATTGCCATTTCCTGATGCCTTTGTAAACTGGTTTGCAAAATTCAATATTTTTGTTAGGGCTAATGCTAGAACTGATATTTTGCAATGTCGATAGTGGAATTTGAATAAACATCTATTATTGCTGCAAACTACTGTTATATTTACCTCGAGAAGTGTAACTGCCCCAACATAGTCACGATTGTTGATATAGGTTTCTAGTTTAGGAACCATCTTTTTAGCTTCAAATGAATCCAATACAGGAGTAGGGTTTGACGGTGCAACCGCCGGCTTAGCACGAGAGAGCATCTATGATATTATCAACACACTTATTTTTAGTTTTCTGACATTTATGAGTTCAAGTATCACCACAAACAAGGTACATGAATAGTGTTTTTGATTCTCCTTGACATATTGTGAATTGATGGCTAGTACTTGTGGTAAAATACTAATACTCATTAAATACAACGTAGCAATGAAGCTACATATGGAGTAGGACACACTCATTTTTATGTGTAGCATACCATTTTATACGAGGTTTAAGATGTATTTCAATATTTAAAAATGTCGAGTCGGTTCAAAAGCATATAAACGCGCTTTTATCAATATCTAGCTCATCTTTGCAACATCCGTTTATACTTGCATTAATCAAATGGTAATTATGTTTTGGATGGTCGTTGTAATTTTGGCAAACACCCATGATATATTTGAAATTCCACTTGATGCATTCCACTGCAATGGCCGTCGATATTCAGCCATCAGCCCTGTTTTTATTTTCATATTGAAATGAAAAAATAACCTAGCTTTTCCAATTTCCAATACTAGTCTTGTAATGTAGAATCTCATTTAAAACTTTAAATTCTAAACATCATTGATTGCATGTTGATATAGCTTTCTGTAATAATTTACCACAACCTCTACATTGAAAGATCTAAATAGAAAGTGTAGTGTGATGTTTGTTTTGGAAAGAATAGGTATACATTGCGGTATATATGGCCACATGAACAAAGGATAGCCATTAAAAACAAACCAGTGTCAATATAGTATAATAACATGGGCAGAATCAAGATGCCCGAGATTTATTAAAAAGATCGAACCAACTTTTGTTTAGTGCATCTTTCCACCACGCATAACAGTATGGCACACTTGATTCGCCCCCAAAACACTTTATCGCAGGGAAAACGGTCGTTTAAATAAAAATGGACTCCAGCGCAGGTTTTCCGGCTTAACGGTAGGATAACCTTTTGCTTTAATCTTTTCATCATATTCTCTCAGAGCAGGCATATTACACCTAATTACATAGGCTCCGTGATCATTCTTGACAATCATATCTAATAGATGAAGAGTATGAATGATGTCATCTACCGTCATGCGTGTTTGTAAACTAAGAGCTATAATCAAAAGCACACAAGTAGTATTAAAATATAAAGTGTTTACAAACGTAATATTTTTACACGAATGCAAGTATCAAATAAAAAACAGTCAATAATCATATATACTATGCCAATTTAACAATTAAAGCAAGTTTAACAACTAAAAACATACCTTGTATTGAGATTTCTGATTCTGTCCGAGAAAGGATAGCTTGTATAATCACAACTCTCCAATAGTATCTATAACTAAGCGCACCTAGTTCAGATAGCGGCTTTTCTGGAGATCCACACCTTTCTTCCTTTTTAGAAAGTAGATAGCCTATAAGTTGCACAATGACAACACATACAACTCAAGTAAGTAAACAGCAGCCCAACCAGTTGTTTAAATGCAAAATTACTTGTTTTCAATTGATTATAAATAAAGGAATAAATAATGGTACTAGTTGAGCACTTACTAAAGTCAATCAAATAGTTTCCATATCCTTTGCGCTGGTAAATAGGTAAAGTAAGGATACATGACACATTAAAATTAGACGCTGACCGCTTTTCCTAAAACTCGGCTCAAATTAGTACAAGGCCTTAATGACAACAGTTTCAAGCTAAAATTAAATGGCTTACTTGAGAGCTAAACAATCCACTAACCTTTGAAAAATATCCTACAAAATGGCATCCACGCTTATCGTGTATAGTCATGACGTAAAATAAAAAGGGTTCTACATCGTAATAAAGAGTTTTGTGATCTAAAAACATCTTTGCTAGCAAGCAGAGGTTTTGACAGTATATCTATGGACGACAAAAAATATAGTATGAAAAAGATCAGCAAGAATAAAAATGACAGACCAAATGAATAGCATACTCAATATACACCATCCAATACACACCTTGTTTTTGCGACCATCCACTTCAAAAATTGATATATCTCCATCTCGATAAATCTCATCTCCAGGAGGGTGAGTAAGTGGGCATTTGCACTACAATTAAAAGATGGCAGGTTAGAATGATCGAGACTATAGATATCAATTAAAGCCATGTTCAACACAACTAAAATAACTAATGCACAGACGTACCTTGTGACGAGCCAAGGTAAACTCACTCTTCATATATTTGAGACAAAACTCGCAAAGATATAATATACGGAGAATATTGTACTCTTCAGGATATGGTGCAGCATACCACGTATTAATCTCCCACTCTCCTATGCGGATTATCGGTATTCTAGGGATAGTTTGAGATGCGATCTTGTGTTGATCATCCGATAACGGATGTGTTGGTAGTGAATGGAGTGGCTGAAAAGAAGTTTGTTTAGAAAGCGCTTCAACTGCCTATAGAAATGAAAAAACACAAATGTGTACCAAAACATGATTAATGTCTTGTTGAATAGCAATGCTGTATATTACACAAATCGTCAACTCAAATACTTACTATAGCAGCCTCTTTAGCTTGGTGAAAAAACCCCCGATCCTGAAACTGAGGGACATATCTTGATACATCCGAGTCCTCTAAAGATAATTTTCCAGAAAAAAAAGTATGTGCTTCCTCTGCAGTTATAGCTTCTATTTGTGGGTTGGCTTTATGTTTTTTGTTGTTAAATATAAATTTGACTGTTGAAGAAGCAGCGCCTTTTAGCCTTTCTACGTTTTTAGTTGAACTTGGGGCAGGGGATCGTGAGGGTGCTTTTAAAAAGTTTGGAGTGGTTGGAATTGAAGATGTTAAACTGGTCATTGAAACATCGTGTGTATCAGGCTTGATAGCAGCTGTATCAGCAGGTATATTAACAGTGGGCGTAGGTGTTGCAGTAGTCAATCCCAATGCATGTGATTTTGATGCTGGTGTATTTCGTGAAGATGATCGGGTGGTTTTTGGCTCGGTACTAATAGAAGAAAAAGTAACAGTGGCATTTTTTGAAGGATTGGTTTTACTAACAGGTGTGCGGGAACGAGTAGTACGAGGAGTTTCAAGTGATACTATGCTGGCTGAAACCAAATAGTCTGAAATTAATGTTTGATTTGATTTTGTAACATCAGTATCGTACCTACGCAACGAGCGCCTCTCGCTTCCTATTGCCTTTGAAGATAAATCCGTACTTTTTAAATTTAATTTGGAAGCTTCTTTTTTAGGTGGTGGTGTTAATGGCAATCGACTACGACCATTAATATGTGATGTTGATTTTGCCCGTGGGGACATCCGTAATACTCGATTTTCATTACGATGAGCGTTTATCTTGAGAGACTGTGGACATTTTTGGCAAATCCAGTCTCCTAGTTGTATATGTAGCAAGGTGATATCGAGATTATATGTAGACATAGTGATGCTATTTCAGCAAAGTTTCACTTTCAACAGAATATCAAAAACAATACATTTGAATGATGCTGCAGTACCTTCTGGAATTGCATCTAGTGGCGGGTTTAAGCAGTAAATGTGTGACCCCCGATCGCATTGATCGCATAGGAGTAAGTTTTCCTAGACATTTTGCAAAGATAAGTAGTGATTGCAAAGAATATCATAGGATCGTCTAGTCATCAAATTAGATTCAAATGTACATACGGGATCTTCTTTTTCTTCGCAAATGACGCAACATTTGCATTCAGGACATTGCCAGTCATGACTCTGAACTATGGCGAGTTTTTCTGGTGTAAATTTTAAACAAAGTGGATGTACTAGACAAATGAAATCACGGATTTATAGTTGGAATATTAGACAAAAAATGAAATAGACCCATTGAATCAAGTGGTGGCATCACATTACCACTAGCAGGGCAGTCGACACAAGACATTAGGTTTTCAGCTTCTTCAAAATAGTTGCACTCTGAAGTTCCATGGCAATTGATACAGAATGGACTGAGTATAAATAAAACCAAGACATTGGATGAGTTAGTATAAGGTAGTGGGTTAAAATAAAAAGGAAAAATAGTATAAGCAGCAGGAAATTTCCAATGAAAATCCAAGATTGTAGCTGCAGTGGCATGAATATCAACTGCCTGATCCAAGTCGATCCATTTTCCCATTCTGTTAAACAATTGTAGAGGCTCACCTCTTTTCAGCCAAGGACTGACGGGCGCGTCATGAATAAAGCAGCAAGCAGATATGAAAACGAACGCAATGGTAGATCGTATAGTTGATATAGAATCCAATTCCCAGTGCAGTCAATATAGTATATGATAAAATGTTAATCACAGAATTTCCAACAAATGTGATCGTTGTTGATGACAAGCAAGCACTAGGATCTGAGTGAAGTGTTGAAGACAATAGCATACCTTTGTGGGTTGACCTGCACGCTTGAGTTTTGTTCGTGAGGTAGCAGGCATCATTATAACAGTGCCGAGGATAGTGTTGGTATGAACAGATCAAGTAGATGGCGATGTCTGAATTAAATGGATATTTGGGATAGTGCAGCCTTGATAATATAAAAGACTGCACTAGCAGGACTGAGCAAGAGCAGCTGACAATAAGATAAACACTTGTGAAGCAGTACAAATGTGGGATGTATGCAACAAGTCCTGATTAAAAGATATGCAGTGAGCTAGTAACAAAGCCAACAAGAGTTTTTAGCAAAAACCTCGAGAATGTTGTCTTGATAAGCAGCGCAGATATACTCAGTGAAGACTAACAATGAGGATAGTAAAACAGCAGTTGAAGAACCAACGTTTGATGCTTTAAAGTGTTTGCTAATAATAAGAGATTACAGCAGAGTCAGATGGACAAAAGACTTGCGACCAAATGCAAAAGTGCAGCAACAAGACTTGCAGTTTGCTCATCAAGCTTCCTATTCGTCCCGTTCTCTTCGCCATTTGTTGCTTCACAATCATCTGGTTGCTGCGTGTCTCAACCTGACTGAATGTCATTCGATTGCTTAAACGATTCACTACAAACTCATTCTATAAAATACAAATTGATAACTAATCGTCAAACTCCATGTTGAGCATTGGTTTTCATGACTCTCGGTTTCCATTCAGTCAAGACTCGTCATGCTCACATGTGTAATCTTGTATCAAACTCATGCAATCATCCTCTCTGTAATGTTTCGGTAAAAGATCAGTTTTATTTTGGCATTTGTAATTACAAACGATAGATTACCATCCATCCATTTTGGGCATGGGTTGGGATCGTCGACTTCCATTGATTTCATCTGTATCGCCTTCATTATCTGAATCGTCTCTTTCACGTTTAGGTTTTATATTATCGACTTCTATTGAAACAACACAATTCACATCAGATTTTGTTCAATTCTACACTCTAGAATACAATTCATCAAACCCTTTCTAGTGTATAGAAATAAATTCATACAGTCATTCTCAAAAAAACTCGTCTACTTACGGATATAAGACTTGGTGTAGTAATCCGATGCGCCTTGGGATACATGTGCAAAACTATTCTGTCCATCGTACACATCTCTTTGATGCTGTTCACGCTGCTCATCCTCGCGCATGCGTGCTCCCCATCCACCACGACCTTCGTCATAATCTTCTCGGTGATCATCTCGCACCTATTGGGTAGGCATACAGATAACCAAAAGCAGTACATCTGTCAGAACTTTATCTTTTAAATCAGACTCAATCAACTACTATCCAGTTCTGGTTATTTAGAGACATACAACTAAAATCCATAAGCATTACCTGACCACCACTTCGTCCTCGTCCATATTGACGACCATTTACAAATCCCGGATCAATATCTATTCGAATTAGTCGTTCATCGAGCTTAGTACCGTTAATAAAGCTCATACAGTCCAAAGCATCCTGGCGATGATGGTATCTGTATTCAAATCAATTCATTACAAACTTTGTTAGCAAGTTACCACCTCACTCTCCTACGCTATCTTCAACCAAATGGAATGTGTATTCACTCAACTCGACAAAACTGAAACCACAAGGAGTCTTTTTAATTCTATCTAGACCCATGATAATCCGCTTGATCTCACCGCATTTAGAAAAGAGCTCATATATCTGCTCTTCAGTGGTGAAAAAGGATAAATTTCCAATATAAAGCGTAGTGGACTTTTCCAAATCCTCTTCCAATTTTATCAGACCTCCCTATATAGTATGAGCAGATCATTAAATTCATGATAGTAAATAGGTTGAAAAGTGTGTTGCAGATTCCTTGGAATATAGGGTAACAGTCACCATATTTGACTCGAATAATATAATATTGAATAGAGTCGAATACCAAATTCAGAGCTATACAACTATCAAGTAGATAATCCCAAACCAAAATAATAAACCTTGCATTGAGTCATCTCAACCACACCTCATATTTTCTGTCTCGATATGTAGATGGTGCACCCAGTGGAGGAACGATGCCTGACATGCTGATGCCGACACTCCTAATTGATAAGAATATTGGTGAGTTGAATTCGGTTTATTCAACATCTACACTATAGCCAAAATCAATATTTTGCCTAAATAAAACCAAATTTGGTCAAACGCTCAAATTTAGTGTTGAAAACTTGTCAAACATACCAGCCAGCACATCTTTACAGTTAGCGACAATATGGGTGGTCATGGTCATGGAAAATATCCTCCGCTGTTGGTATGGCGCTCTTGGAATTGATGTTCATTAGTCTGAATCATTCCTTTTTTATCCATCCAGCAGATACAATCATTTTCAAAGTGATGCTCAAGTGTCTGTCCTATTTCAATCCACTGATAAGCCATAACTGAATTCCAATAGCAACCATTAAACCCTTTGTATAACTGCTATATATGAGAGATGCTGTGTTGAAGTTGAAACTATAGACAACTCTCACTTGTCTATTTGTAGCTCTTATCTTTGGTCTATGCTGACTCATTGAGCATTTCATTTCAATGTGATGCCCTGAATAGTTGTTTTGAAATCATGGCAAAACTAACTCTTGAATATATACTAAATGCTGACGGAATGATTTAAAACGCCATTATAATGTGACCTGGAAACTTGTCGGTTCATGATTCTAGATTGATCCTGCTATTGGTATGCGCTTATTTTATCAACCATTTCAAACTATAATTTGGGCTGGGATCAATGCTAGATCTGTCATTGGCCAGTATATTTAAATCAATAGATGCACTTTAACTAACTTTTAGTTGTATAATGAATCTTGCTTTTCATTATAATAGAAAAATGGTATCACATGCGAGAAAACACTCGCCACTACTTCAAATTCAACCGTCGCATCATCTTCATTTCTACCATGCTAACATTGGTTTTCCCTGGCTTGCTGTGGTATGGTGCTGAAAAGTTTGCGGTAAGTTGTTGGAATCTCAAATGGAGTGACTTTGATTTAAACTGAACTGATCAAACGAGTGTGACGTATTTAATCTGATATTGTGACTATATTATAGTTTACAATGCAACCTGCTGGCGCTGGCCGCAAAGACTCTTGGTATGTTCCTCGTAACGGAAGACTGCATGTAGCTAATGAACAAAAGCCAGCAGAATAAACATTGTGACTGATTGTTTCAGCAACATGAATGCATATGCTTTACTGCCACATTCACGTAAAATGGATCACTAAATAAGAGTGTCAGTGCATAAAAATAACCAGTCTCATGGCATGATTGTTGTCAATCCTGTTAGATTTACTGATCTTCTGGTGGTTGTACAATGTATGGCTGCCAAAGGAGGATAATTTCAGTTTAAACCTAAAATTTGTATTATTATGAGCATTCTGTTTTGAAGAAACAGTCAATATTGGTAGCAAGTTACAACGAATATTCATCATATATTTCAATCAAGATAAAAATACTCCATTTTACATGAATACGGCTGTAAAAACGTGAAATGTGTTTTCTCTCCGTTCTCATGCCTTTTATCATCAGCTGTGATAAAACAGCTCTAAACTTCAAGTAGAATGGATTGTGATAGAGGGCATTTCATGAATAGATCTGAACAATTGAGAATCGAGCATTTCAAGTTTTGGCTGATACAACCAAAAATTACATTTTCGTTTTTTTCTGGTTTGATCCAATAGCAACTTGTCCATATGGTCTTCTGTGCCGGTGGTCTTGGATTGCTTTGGAAGAGCAGTCTGCGCTCATCCTCTATATTCCGCTCTGTGCAGTCTCATACTGTAACGGCTCCCACTTTGTCACTTTTTAATACTCATCTACCCACTGGTTTAGTTCCCTCGTGGTCATCTCCCATTGCTCATATTCAACGCCGATTTGCAGTCGTCAACCTTCGTCCTAAAAAAACAAAGTATCGCAAGGCACATAAAGGATTTTTTAAAACAAGACTAGGAGGCTCTATTAGAGGCACAACAGTTCGATTAGGAGAATATGGACTTCAACTTTTTGAACCTGGCCGTCTCAAGGACAAGCAGCTCGACACTGTTCGCACCATGGTGAATCGAATTCTCAAATCTGAAAAGGGATCTAAACTGATTCTTCGTATTTTCCCCCACAGACCTGTTACTGCCAAGGGTGCTGAAACTCGTATGGGAAAGGGAAAAGGTGCTGTAGAGTATTATGCTACTTGGGTTTCTGAAGGTGTGGTCATTATGGAGATTACTGGTGCGAGAAAGGATGTCGCACTCAAGGCTTTGAATGTTGCTGCTCAGGCTCTACCATTGCGAACTCGGGTGGTTCAACGGAATCCTGAATTGATTGATGCTCCCAGAGTTGTGCCATACTTTGTGCAGAAACGGTTACGTGATTGCGAGTTTAATGACTACGTTGCCGTGACAAAAGCACTACCACTTAGAGATCAGCCTGTATCCATCAGTCAACAATGAACAAATCTTTTAACCAGTTTATTAAAGAGTGGTGTGTGCACAGGTTATGAAAAAATATAAAGTTCGATAGTACGACAATTGGCTATACAGATCTTGTGTGATGTATGGTTTAGATTTTGCGAGTTTGGTCAGACTTGGTATCATCTATCCGTGCCAATTCAAATCAACTCAGAATTTATACTATTCAATGGGAAAGTTGAAATCGTCGAATCCAGATTCGAATAGCCTATTTTCATGCGACCAACACCTGTTTACCAATGCAATCGGCACATCTTCGAGTGCTGGGATCAATTCAGGCTTCAAGACTCGATTCAGGCCGTCGGAAGTCAACGCCATGGTTCGTGCATGCTTGTCAGTCAGCGTCATAAATGATTGAAATGGTGGGGTATTGAGAAGATTTGTTGCTGTAAACACAACAAGAGTAAACGGAATTAAGCCCAAAATCCAAAGCGGAATAGTAAGAGCCCAATTCCTAGTTAAATTGATTAGCCTGTGTGGATATGGATAAAGTACGGCTGTTTGTATTATTATGAGCATTCCGTTTTGAAGAATCAGTCAATATGTAGTGGCAAGGCACAACGAGTATTCAACCCAGATACAAATGCTCTGTTTTACGTGAACATGGCTGTAAAATATAAAGCCTCGAGTTGCTCCTCAAATCAAGACATTGAGATTTACCTGGATGGATAGTATGTAATTCCAATACTGTGTAATGCCCTATCTGGGAGAACTGACCATAAAATATACAGCGCTAGATTTATTATAGAGTATGATATAAGCAATCAATATACAAAGTCAGCAATACAGTTGAAACAGACGGACCTTGAAACCAGTGCATGAGCTATTCATTCACTCACCAAATGAAACAAACGATGATAGATAGAGCACAAAGCCATAGTATTCTCTAGTGGTAGAGGGAGTCCGCACACTTGGATCTATTCCACCTTGAAATGAGTTTTTAGACTGTGTTTTGTTCATGATATTCACGGCTAGCGACAAGAGTATTAGTATGGAGATAAAATCAAATGAAGTTGTCAGTAATCACCAACAGCGTGTATCATGTGTTTTTCAAAAATATTTAAAACTCATTCAACCATACAAAAGTGGGATTGAGTTGTATGAGTCTTATACCAACCCAAACCCATTGTATAATTGTTGATTATTATATAATGATCAACAATTATTGAGGAATCGAGAATGTCCAGCAAGTACAACGAATGTTTATTCCAAAGCAAAACGGAGACTGCAAAATAAGTGTTTCGTTTTACGTGAATACGACTGCAAAATCCAAATTCTTTGGTCAAGTTGACGGACAACCATGAACACTGCTATCGGACCAACTAGAAAAGCCAAATCTACTGTTACTGCCGAGCCTGTTAATTCTTTGTTTGTGCAATGGCTCACTGAATGTATGATTTATTGTAATTTTAATGAGACTGCATTCTTTTAAATGCTCTGGTTTGAAATGCTGGCCATGTAGATAGTTGATGTGCACTTCTAAATGACTTTAAGCATAAATCCTGACTCGGACAGATTTGTACTATATATGCTATAGGGTATGAAAAGGCAAAGACAGATGCGCATGTAAGCAGTGCTGCTGCAAGACTGCCTTGGATATACAAAAAGGTGGTTTGTGTTGTAGAATGATTCCTTGTGGATTTTGATGGAATGGGCATATGTTGATTGCAAATCAAAAGATCTTTGATAGTTTGAATCTATTGTAAGCTTATTCAAAAGTTGTGCACATAGGCTTTAGATAATATGAAACAATATCCAGAGCGACTCCAATCTGGAACAGCTGCCATCAAGGTAAAGAGCATTGGACCAAAAACAGCCGAGCGATTGCAAAAGAAGCTTCAGTCTCATTTTCAAGAAAATCCCGAGGCTCGGATAGAATGGGAGCAAGCCATCTGTAGTGACTCTGCAAAACAATTGAATTTGGAAAGCAAGTCGCTGTCAAACGTAGACAGATCTGGTCATGGGCCACTCACAATGACTTGTAATGAGCAATCAGATAGTATAGGCGATTTAAACTTGCAAACTTCCAAGACCAGCAGATCCATAAAGCCACATTCGCGCTTTTCAAACAGTACTGCAGAAAGTACCAACATGTACGTTCCTCGCTACAGATCTGGAGCATATGCTATTCTTTTGGCTCTTTACAAGCACGCTCCTTTATCGTCTGTCATGTCAAAACAAGAAATCATCAGCTCTGGTCAGCAGTATACCGAAGCATCTTTTTCCATTTCAAACTCAACATCCGGTCAGCCTCACACAGCATGGAACTCCATGGCTACTCTTATTAAAAAAGAGTTTGTCATTAAAACAGGTGTACCACACCGATTTTCACTTACAGAAGAAGGCATATCGATGGCTAAATTATTAACTCGATTGCAATCGTCCTCTCCATTAAATTCGCAGCAAGTGCAATTGCAATCGTCTCAGTCTAGCACAGTATATATAGAGCTATCTGGATCTGAAATATCTCATAGCGATACTGGGATAAGTGATTGCAATGAACCATTGACATTTGAAGACGACTGTTTTCAAGTTGAATTGGACTCGTTGGGCGATATTCCTTTTTTATCCAGTAATACAGCGCAAGTTGGAAATTCTGCTGCTAATTTATCTCGACAAACATTACACAAGACGGTATTTTCATACATAGACTGCGATGGCAACATGGTCAGTTCACGAAATGAAGCCGGTGTTGCAATATGTGGTAAATGGATGCATCATAGTATAATCTTGTTTTGAAACCATTTATAAAGGCACGACCAACTTGCTTATTTGGATGAATATTTTAGAACAAACGTCTACAGTTCGATATCGAGTTCAGTTTGATTTGCATCAAGTTACATCAGAGTTTTTACAACATGTCAAAATTGAAGAATGTATGATTGATCTAGATCGTCAAGTACGCGGGCTTTTACACGACTCGTTTGCTCCCGACTATTCTACAGAAATACCTGCATCAAGAAATCAACAGAGCATGCTAGACGATCGACTTGAAAGCGCAACGCACACACCTATAACTTCATATCCTTTGGTTACTAGCAATTCTAGTAAAATTCCTGCTACTGATGGGTTCGTTTTACCCAAAACATCAAAGATTCAGCTTATTCATTTTCCCGCTGGCTCGTTTGAGATTCATTTAGTGCTTGATTCACGAGAAGTAGTAAAGAAATCGAATAGACAACTATTTCAAACAGAGCTTGCACAACTTGGCGTTCCTATACTGACTCGAGCATTGGCGCTGGGAGATTTTATTTGGGTTGCTCGGAGACGAATCGCAAACGCAGCAACTTCAAAAGAATTTGAAGATCATGAGATTGTGTTGGACAGCATTATTGAACGCAAGTTGATGAGTGATCTCGTTGCTAGTATAAAAGACAATAGATATAAAGAGCAAAAGGTAGACACTAGTTTTATTTGTACCACTCGTGATTATTTGTTGCGCATTTGAATTTTATATTGTAATTTGACTGCCATTTTTGAATCTCTATCTAGTTTCGGCTGAGCAACTGTGGATTAAGCAACATCACATATCTGATAGAAGATGGTTCTGGTAGTGATGCTGAAGGATTTGGAATGGGCCGCATTCGAGCAGCCATGACTCAAATACAAGTCTTGGACCATTTTTTCCTTAAGCGATCCAGTTCTGCTCTAGATACTGTTGCGTACTTACATTGCATGACCAAATTTATAACGACAATGAACAAGGTCAGGAAGGCTTAGTTGTCATATGTGCACTATTGGATATAATCCAATTTTGTGATTCTGACACGTCATCATTCATACATTGTGTTGATTGTTCTAGAATAAGGATTTGTATGCATTACGAGCCGTAGATGTATCCAAGGACACGGTTTTGCAAATGCGACGCACGGTTGCAGCAGATCTAAAAGTGAGCTTGGATACCATTTTACTTTCGTACGAAGCATATCATGGCATCAACACCAAAACTGGCGCATTCACATGTGGTGATCTGTGGATACGACAGTTAATGTGTATTCCTGGTGTCAGTGCAGAGAAAGCAGCCGTGCTAGCTGCTCGTTTTCCAACACCGCTTTCAATGGTCAAGTCGCTTGCAAGTATACCAGATAAAAAAGCAAAAATTGCCATGCTGCGATCACTTGGCGAGGGACGCAAAGGAGTTGGAGCAGCTCTTGCATTGACCATTATAGAATTTTTTGAAGCTGATATGTATTCGAAATAAATGTATAATGCATTCATGCCAATGATTTGAATTAGATGGATTAACTTGACGATGGTGAAATTGGCGCAAAAACAAGCCTTATTTAAGCTATATTGATAGACTTGGTCGCTATTTGTTTTTGATGTGGAAATTTCAGGATTTTAACTTGAATTTACAGTCAATATAAGATATGAGCTTGTGTGAAAATAAGTTATACTAATAAATGGCAACCACAAAAGTCGAACCAATCAAATTTTAGAAATTGAATGTCCGAGGTTTCACTAATGTTTAATCGAGGCTAGTCTACTCGAGAAAGTCATCAAACTGAAATAGTTGCACTATTACTGTCCGATTCACGCAAAACGGACACTAAATAAAAACTAAAATGTTTACATCATATCAGAATTCCAGTTAATCCACATTCTCCACACCTGTTTAATCTTCAACTCTTCTTTTATTCAAACCAAAAATTGGATAATGTATGGTTATACCAAACAAGGATAACCTCAGTTCAAAACTATAGTTTAATTTCATATATCATGATGACTGCAACTGTTGAAGAAGCAATCAATTAGTAGTAGGGGGATCCAGCATTGCTCATTTACAGGATAAAAGCTATGGATTATGTAGGCGGAATTGGAAAAGGCCAACATGCATTAGCATTAGGGCATAGTTTAAAAATACAGCAATTTATTCAAAACGACTTGGTTTGCTTGGCAAGTGTATTGGCTCTGATCTTTGCACGAGTGATTGTGCGCAAATAATTAATGTCAAGTTTATCTTCGAGAGCCAAGTAATCAGGTTTTGGATCTAGCAATTTCCATAGCCATGCTGGATATTCTGAATCATCCATCGCAACTGGGTCTTGACCGTCCTTGAGTACATTGATTCCTTTCAACACAGTGCCTTTTTTGCATGAGGATATAATGGCTGTGGCTAAAAACATTTAAAAATGTATGTTTTGATACTTTAATTCAGTAAAATGCTATAAATCAAACGGAGGAGGCTATCAAGTCCAATGCTTCTTATCGACTACTTTTACGCACCTGACTGTGTTACACTATCGTCTTTTGCCGATGTCGAGTTGCATCTCAAGAAAGAAAATATGGGATACTTGGGTTGATTTGCGATGATTGGATACAAGCCAGAAGCTCCAAAGGTCGCCCGAGCAAATGTTTGCAATCGAGATGCATGAGCGAGACAATTCATGCTGACGATTGAAAATAAAAAGAAAACTTTGAATTGTTAGAAAATTCAGTCCGTCGCGAGCTCGAAAGCCATTCCAGTGGTTGATGGTGAATCTAGTACTCTACTACTATTGCTTGATCTTAATGTTGCTGACATGTGTCCAGTCCAGCTACCTTTACAATTTTCAATTAAAATCCATTGATTATCACACCTATCCATTTTATAGTCTTTTTTTTTGAAACTGGGATCACTTCTTATTTGCCAGTGCTTGACCACACTTTTTAGGTTAAAATGCTGTTGAATGATTCAAAGTACTTCATAGACTGTTTGGAGCAATATATCCTGAGGAATTTATATAGCCATCAGTACAGATGCGAAACTCTATTTCTAACCATTTCAAAAGTATGGGTATCAAATTTCTACTGCTCGTATCCCGTCAAGGTATGATTCTGGATAGATATTTTACATGGCATACCAACATGACTCTATTATAGTAAGCTATGAGCTGGTATAAAAAGAATGCGTAGCAGCCAGTCCAGACAGTTGAATATTCCAATCAACCCAAAGAAACTCCTTTGCATACAAGCGACTTGACGTATTTCAATGACTAGCCATTATCAGTATGAATACACCTAGCTGATGACTAATACCTTGATGCATGTAATATATATGTTTGGCTGCATCAAACAACACACGACATTCTAAACATAGGCAAGATTCGCCTCACAAAGTGGTTTACTTCCGACTGGGGGATTAAGGAAAAGACCAAGATTGTCAGGGATGTCAGCCAAATGGTATTAGCAAGAAAAGCTAAAATGTGCAACGTTCTTGAGTTTAAAGGTATATGATGCTTCAAGAACATTGTATCTGCCAAACTATAGATGAACATGGTAGCATCTAATTTTTGATCATTCAAAATTAGATTTCAAGGTGGTTTATAGAAGGTAAAGCTACGTTTAAGCTAAGCAGATTGGAACATGTCATGAAAGATAAACTTATTTTTTAATCAATTTGTCCAGATATGCAAGTCTATTCTTTGTCGTTGGGACAGATGTGAATGAGAACGAGCTGCTTACCCTCGAGGTAATTCATCGCTATGTCGAGATTTTGGACAAGTGGTTTATGAATGTGTGCGAGCTGGACATCATATTCAACTTTCAGCAAGCATACACAATCATTGGTAAGCTAATTGCCTACAACAGAATGTTTCAATTTTGAATGATCCAGTTTAACATTCTGTATAAACTACCATAGATGAACTGCTTATTGGAGGTAATATACGGCGTGTATTAAAGTGCTGGAAATTTAATCAATGCTGCATTATTTATCTAGTTTGATCAAATGCAGGTGAATTGCAAGACTCTAGTAAACGTGCCGTTTTGAATACACTCAAGCGAATTGACGAGGTAAAACTTTGCATTATTGCGTTTACTGCTGATTTAAATTAATGAGGCATTATGACTGTAGGCGGAGCGTCAGGAGGCAATGGAAAGAATTTGATTGCCGAATAAACGAGATTTTTATCCAACTTTGACTTGATTTTAAGCTGTTTTAGTATCAATTCTTTAAAATCAAACATGTAATGCGCTATCTGAATGGAAATCATAAATCACGTGACATTGATTAAACATTTGACAAATTTTTTGAATGAAAATTCGGCATTAAAAAATTAATTGTATTTGAATGCCAGCTACAGAGAGTGTTGAGATTGTTAGTGCTCATACTGCCAAGGGTGGAGTTAACACATTCAAGCGCAAGCATCAAGGTAATATATTTACTGAATGCATTTAATCAACTTGCCACTAATTCAGGTTTACCGACTAATCTTCAATCCCTCATCTTTAACTCCAGGTCTTTATACTCAATTTCGTGCACTTGGATATGTTACTGCAGATGTGCCAGTTTCATTTCAAACTAGAGGCCAAGCATACTTTATTACTTCTTCAATTGGTGATTCGTTTCAGATTTTTGATGTGAGTATTGATCGACACTTGTTGATTTGGCAATGGAGTTGATGCATTGGTACTGATTCGCTTTTCTTGGTAAACTACACATGTTTGATTATATAGGGCGAAAAAATGGGATTGCTGTTTGTTTGTAAGTCGACGACTTTTATTCTACATTTGATTGGTGATTGAGTATGCATTTTAATCGTCTTTTACATATTCACTTTATCGGATCAGCTTCAAAACTTGAATTCCCCATTTCATCGATTGGATCTTCTAGAGATTTGACATTTGCTGCTTCTGGGTCAGAGATTGTTGTTTTTCGCCGCCAAAAAGAAGAGTATCGTCTTTTTGATGAGAACCACCCATCAGAGATCATGAGCTTGCTAGTTCTTGGAGATTTGGTCTTTTCACTATGTTTTGACAACACTGTTCGCATATGGGATTTTAAAACCAAAGGTATGCGATGATGTCGTGAATATTGCATATATGTTTGATTACTTACCTTGTTGGTTTTAATTTGATAGAATTTGCCAATGAGATTTCGTTTTCTAAAAACTTTACTGTAACTCAAATTCTGCATCCAAGCACATACTTGAACAAGGTGCTGTTTGCTAGTCAACAAGGAACAATGCAGCTATGGAATGTTCGAAACATGTATGTATTTTTGTATTGAGCTTGCTTCTATTCGATAAAAACGATTCTCGACTAATATGTTGTATAGAAAACTTGTTTATGAATTCAAATCATTTGGGTCTCCTATTTCGTGTCTTGCCCAGTCTCCGTCAATCGACGTAATAGCTATTGGTCTTCTTGACGGAAGCATCATTATCCACAATATTAAAGTGGACAAGGAGATTCTAAGATTCAAGCAGGATGGCAAAGTGACTGCGATTACCTTTAGGACAGATGGATCTCCAGTGATGGCTACAGCCAGCATGCACGGTGATGTTGCCTTGTGGGATCTAAATGAACAGCGCATCATCCATGTTATGAAAGGCGCTCATGATGCGTCAATTCACTCGTGTATGTTCTACAATGGCACTTCAATTTTAGTGACTGCTTCTTCAGATAACTCCATCAAGGTATGTATATAACTAGTGATGTATTTGAATTGTTTATTTTTGGTTTAATTTGTACTAATGATGATGGTTACAGCAATGGATGTTTGATAGTTTGGATGGTATTCCTCGTCTTTTACGACTTCGTAGCGGTCATCATAAGCCGCCTACTATGATTCGTTACTATGGTGAACACGGTCATAATATTCTTAGTGCTGGACAAGACCAAGTGCTGCGATCATTTTCTGTCATTCGCGATAATCAGAATGTTGAGTTGTCGCAAGGCTCGCTTGAGAAAAAAGCCAGAAAAGAAAATGTGCATATTGATGCGCTCAAATTTCCACAAATCATTCAGTTTGATGCCAGTATGTATCAATGACTTTATCCCGACAAGTTATTTAATAAGGTTTAAATTATTGACTTGCTTTTTGTCATGTCAAACCTGATAATCAATAGATCCTGCAAAAGAAAAGGAATGGAGCAATATTATTACATGCCATGCAAATCAAGCAACTGCCCGCATTTGGAGTTTTCAGCGCAAAGCCATAGGAAAACATCAGATTGTCTCTAAAGATGGTTCGGCGATAAAGGTGTGCTTTGATTTATTTTCAAGATCTATTGCTGCTGCAGATGGTGTGATGTAACACTTGATTCATTTATAATTTTTAAATATTCAGTCAGTTGCAATTTCAAGCTGTGGCAATTTCTGTTTTATTGGTACCAGTAAAGGCCGTGTGGACAAGTTCAATATCCAGTCTGGATTGCATCGCACTGTTTTTGGTGGCGAAAATGGTATGTGCCAAACCCAATGGTCTTTTCGATGGCACACATGTAGTTGATATGAATCAATTGACTAATATTTACGCTACTAAAAATAATCATACAGCACATACAAAGGCTGTTACTGTTATTGCACCAGATAATGTTAACCGGTTTGTTTACACTGCATCTTTGGATAAGACAGTCAAGGTAAGAATGCTTGATAAATTTCATAGTCGATGCGATTGGATATCAATTTTGTGTTTCTTACGATTATCCCGGCAGTGTTGGAATTTTTTGAAAGGACGCCTTGAACACACCATGCAGTTTGATAGCCCGGTGTCACACATGCTGCTACATAGTCAGAGTGGACTGCTTGCACTTGCAACAGATAGTATGGGGATTTTTGTTGTTGATACTGATACGAAAAAGATTGTGCGTGAGTTTTGGGGACACAAAAATCGCATTACCGACATTGTAAGTGAATTGGATCGAGTTAATTTTGATTACATCAAGGTTTTTGGATTGAGCCAATGTATTTTTATTGTTGGTACGAATACTTTAGGCAATTAGCACGGATGGCCGTTGGATTGTATCTTGCTCATTGGATAGCACTATCCGTACATGGGATCTTCCCACAGGCTACCTGATTGACGGTTTCCGTGTATCTGAGATCCCAACCAGCATTTCTTTATCACCTACTGGAGATTTTCTTGCCACGACGCATGTCAATCATATGGGCATATTTTTATGGGCAAATCGTAGTCAGTACGAAAATATTCCAGTGCGTCGTATGGATGAAGAAGATTTATTTTCATCTACTGCTACGCTTCCTGCAAGCGGTGGTAATGTCCAAGGTGATTTTTGATATACGGCTAGACCACTGCTTGATGAATGTATGCAGGACAACCTGTTTGAGTTGGCTAATAGTTTGTGGTGTTTAGATGAAGAAGCAAATGGTGTTGACGAGGTTGACAAGGAGGGCATGGACAAGCAAACAAGCGATGATGAATTTGTGGATATTACCGACGGCATGATTTCGTTTTCACTGCTGCCGAAATCTCGTTGGCAAAATCTATTGAGTCTAGAGGCAATCAAGGTACATGCTTTAGCAATAATTTTGGGTTAGGGTATAATGATTTATAGGATGGGTTGATGCTGACAGAAGATCAAATGGTTATAGAAACGCAACAAGCCTATTCAACCCCCAAAGGCACCTGAGCGAGCACCATTTTTCCTTCCTACGATTGCAGGAGCAACACCACATTTTGAGATTGTGGAGCAGACCAAAGAAGAAAGTAGTGGTCGTGTTTTCAAGAATATGATAGTGGATATAAGCAAGCTTGCACGATTATTAGATGAATGCCATCAAGCCAAGGATTGTAAGTATAAACCTGAATGATTGCACATCCAGCTTAATAGTTGCAATTGGATCAAACTAACCCGAAGCGTGAAATTGGAATGATTCAATAGACTCGAACACTATGGAGTATCTCAAAAGTTTGTCACCTTCAGCGATTGATATTGAAATAAGGACGCTTCCAGTTGATGCAGAGCATATATATATGCGATACTTTTTAGAATTTGTAGCATTCCAACTCGAGACTTTGCATGATTTTGAACTTATCCAAGCATACATGAATGTATTTTTAAAGGTAAGAATGATTGATGATGCAAGAGAATGGTAAAGACTGTAACTAATGAATGTAATGATAGATTCATGGGGATGTGCTGATGACAGGACAGAAAGAAACGCGGGAAGATCTCGCCAGGGTTCAAAAACTTGTATCAGATTTATGGAATAGAATGGAGAGCAAGTTGCAATATGGACTGTGTGTTGTTGAGTTTGCTCGTGGAGTTGCAATGTAATAAAAATCAAGAATTTTGATATAATAACTATAATTTTACTATTAAAACTCTACAATTTTAATAGTAAAAAACTTGATAATTTTACTATTAAAAATCAACAATTTTACTATCAAAACTCTACAAATTCAATAATAAAAATCACTCTTTAAAGTCTAGTCAAATCCACCCCAACTCAACGCCTCAGTCGGCAATTTCTTGTTTTCTTTCCATCCTCCACTTACTGCAAAGCCGTTATGCAAGCCATCAAATGCGTGGTTGTGGGTGATGGGTAAGCTACTGTCATGATATCAATAGTATATTCTATCTTCTTCATGTCTTCTCGAGTGTCTTGCTCGGCCAGGGGCTGTTCGTTCCATCTCCACACGCCCTTCTACAACTACTGCAGTAATGAGTCTACTTACTGTCAGGTAGAACCTCATCTCTACTTGGATATGCAATGGGTTTATTTTGCTTGATTAGATATGCGTCAGATGGCCATGATGGAATGCTATCACTGGCTGCGCTTCAAGTAATCTTGTCTTGTCTTGACGGCATCACAGTGCTCTCAGTGTGTGCCAATAGAACCCCAGTGTGCATATTCAATAGGCTACTGAGCTGAATGTACAGTCACAGCAATGTCTCTTCTATTGTCTCGTCTGGTGTATCTGAGCTCGTGCTTCGTTAGTACTGGGATTGTCATGACGGACTTGTGGGACTCCCACACTCTGAAATTAACTAGTACTACCCTGTAGGCCATTTCCAACCCAATATCCTTGACTAGTCTGCCATATACACCATTGTCTCGACATGTGAATTCTCATGTTTATATCTCCTTGATTCTCCATTATCTACATCACTTTGTGCTCTAATGTTGGATACGCATTTACCACCAAGTGTGTAAAGGCTGCTTTCAAACCAGCCATCAATCGCTTTATACTTTTAATTCCATTCTATTCACTTGTATTGCAAGGTGTATTAAACTTGATGAATATCAAAAATTTACTACTTGCTGGTTGCTCCATAATGGATGGTATTGTATTTCAGATCCACTTCAAAATCCTGTTTTGATCACAATGGGATGGCGTACTGTTTACTGAAAGTGCGCTGACTTGTTGCTGCTGCTTTGTTGATCCATATTCAATATTACCAACCACCCTTATCTGATGCTACCCTATAGGCTATACGCTTATTATCTTCGTGTACTATGCAATTGCTTTGTTTTTAAATCTGGTCAAGTACAGGATATATTACTAACGTGGCTTATGCTTTGACTCTACTAAATCTGTTCAACTCGTCTATTTCTGAATGAATCTACACAACCTCAGTGCTGTTGGAAAGACATGCCTGCTCATTAGCTACACTACTAATGCTTTCCCTGGTGAATACATTCCAACTGTGTAAGTAATAAGATTTTCAGGCATTTATTATTGCTTGCCATAGTATTCAACACGGGTTTCTTTTTAAATGTTTAAACTAGGTTTGACAACTACTCCGCAAATGTCATGGTCGATGGCAAACCAATTAATTTGGGCTTGTGGGATACTGCTGGTCAGGAAGATTATGATCGTCTTCGACCATTGTCATATCCTCAAACCGATGTGTTTTTGATCTGCTTTTCACTTGTTAGTCCTCCATCATTTGAAAACGTTAGGACAAAGGTACAGTTTGTTGAGCTGTATACTATGTTCTGCTTTGATACTGATTGTTCTGTCTGAATGATTCAAATAGTGGTTCCCCGAGATTAGTCACCACGCGCCTGGTACTGCATGTATCCTTGTTGGAACCAAACTCGATCTTCGCGAGGACAGAGATACCATTGATAAACTTCGCGAAAAGCGCATGGCACCTATTACCTATCCTCAAGGCTCACACATGATGAAGGAAATCAATGCAGTGAAATATCTCGAATGTTCAGCACTAACACAAAAGGGACTCAAGAACGTATTTGATGAAGCAATCCGAGCCGTACTCATGCCTCCTGAAGTTAAAAAGAAGAAGAAGGCGTGTCTTGTGCTGTAATATGGAAATCTATTATTCTCATTCAGTTCATGTTGCCTTTTTTCGATCAGTCTGTCTATTGTTGACGTCTAATCACTCATCTGATCTCCACTTCGTTACTCCACTTGACTATTAAGCCATCTTGTTTTCGTTGTCTTGCTTCTCTAGGTCACCACCCTGAGATCAATCTATCACTACTATTTTCTTTCTCTCTTTTTAAAAAACAAAACCGTTACTGAGCTTGGTTGTTTCTATCCAATTTCAAGTGTTTGCATGTGTTTTATCGCGTATATACAATTCTCTATTTTAACGAGCCGGTACGAATAATGAATGGAAAACAGTTTTTGAGTAGATTTGTGAATGGCAGAGAATAAGAATCTCACTTTAGTAGTCGTTGGTATATTGAAAGACCATTTACAAGACAATAATGAAAGTGAGCACTTGCAATTCTCTAAAGCGTTCTGTTTTGAACTCAGCTTACAGTCGTATTCATATAAGATAAATCATTCAACAAGAATGCCAAATACATCATCTCATGAAATGTCAATTTACTGGACAAGATTGTGTTTTCTGTCCATTTCTGTATAAAACCAACCGAATATTTACATTGCAATCCAGTAAACTTCACTTTGCTATCTTGCAGATACGATCAAGTCTAATTAAAACCCAAAACATTACAGTCTTGGAAATGCAGACAGAAAACCAACTTTATCAAAACACAATAAATTAAGTGTGAATTATCATTCCATAAAGCTGCCTTTATACTTTGACTCCTTATTTAGTGTTCCATTTTACGTGAATACGACTTAAATCCCTGACTTGATCCATCTGCAGCATCTAGCTTGGTTTAGCCATGTATGCACATCGAGAACAGGCAAGTCATTACTGGATGCTTGCTACCTGTTTTTGAGAGGCATGCTTTTCATATCGTTCCTGGTCACCTACAAAAAGCTTCTGGTCTGGCTAGTTTATATCCAAAGTCCATATATCTGACCATCCACTTTTACCAACGAATGGTCATTGATGGCATACCCTCACTTGCATGTGTTTAAAGAAATACTCTGAAAAGCTGACTTTTGCATTGACTTTAAAACAGACTGTCGAAGAGCGATACGGAATCCCAGAAAACTTTCTCGAGGTAGAAGTAAGAGACCCTCTTCTCCATGAAGAAGGTCGTAACAAATATGTCGACTATGAAATAGTGTTTCGAGTAGGTTTTTAGAATATGGCTTGTATACCAATACAGTTGATTACATCATGCTTATTGATGTGTTGGACTTGTCCATTGGTTGTACATTTTGAAACTATTGCCAGACCAATCTTCCGGCGTTCAAGTTGAAGGAGTCTGTCGTGAGGAGAAGATATAGCGATTTTGAATGGTTTCGAGATGCATTGGAGCGAGAAAGCAATCGGTAATGAATTGTCATATTTTGCTTAATCAGTTAATACTGTGCCATAGTAATGTACTTATCTCGGCTTCTCTTACTCAGCGTAAATATCCCTCAGCTTCCAGGAAAAATATTTACCAATCGGTTTACTGATGAAGTCATTGAGCACCGAAGGCGAGGACTGGAACGATTTACACAAATGTGAGTGCAAGTTTGGTTGTAGTTACCATGTAAATGCCAATCCATTTTAATCATTGCTTAACGTTGAAATGTCAAATTCATTTATTCTGTATACAGTGTTGCGGGCCATCCGCTTCTTCAAACTGGCTCAAAGGTACGAATGCTTTGATTGCTGAATAGCATTGGGTTTATAGTAAAACTGACTAATTTGTCGTTGCATTTCAATTTAGATTCTTGGACCATTTCTTCAAGGTAGCAATTATGCATCCTAATCGTATTCTGTACTAGTTAAAATACTAACCTGGTTATGAATACTAGATCCATATTTTGGCAAAGACTTTCGAGGTTAATTATAAAGCTGTCGGCTATAATACAAGATGCTACATGGAATACTGTTTTTATACTATGCACCACCATTTACTTTCATTCCGCTTATTGTATTAAAATGCTTTTGATAATTAAACTCGACTTTTATGAGCCATGATAAAGCTTCCTGTCCATTCATACATTTGCATGATTTCTGCATAATGAAGCTAGCTTTACGAGTTTATTCTTGTTTTAAAAAGGTATTGACGCAATGAAAAGGTTGCTTGAAAGATTGGAAATTTCGACAGCAGCTGGATCGAATATTACATGACATTGAATCTTTAATCGAATAAACTTGATTTGCTTTTTAAATGTTGTACAGAATTTCAAACAAGCTTACCAATTCCTATCATTGCTAGAAATTTCACTAAATGAATACAACACTTCCGCCGCTACCCTCCCGACCCAACAGCAAAGTAGCCAATGAATACAATTCAGATGAATTACCTACTCCAGCCTTGATGCATGGTGTGACTGCTTCAACCGGGAATACAATTCCAATACCCAAGGCACAAGCGTATATCGCTATTTTCGAGGATGCACTTGACCAACTTGCAGTCCTCGGTGATATCACTCCGGAAGCATTCAAAACTGACAACAAACAGGTAAATGTACATTTCTTTTTCAAGTTCACCCCATATAAGCTCGTGTATATTTCTATACAAGCTACTCTATAGTTGGACTAGAGTCCAAGTACCTTTGATTCAGATATCGGCTTATTTGACGCGCCGCGATTCTAAATTGACCATTACACCACTTCATCAACTGCATTCTCCAAACATACCTGTACATTTGAATAAACTCCAATTAGATATCAGAAAAAATCACTCGAATTTTATTTGAGCAGCGTGCATTGCAAGAACGATACCAGGAACTTTTGTTTGAACAAGATCAACAGCGTACACAGTCCAACAAACCAAAGCTCAAGGAAATTCAAACCACAATTGCAGATGTATTTTCTCAGCTTCAAGCAAGTACTCAAGGTGCCTATTGTATTTGATTCTATAGTGGTATTTTGGCTCCATTTAATTACTTAAAATACACTGTAATACAATTTACTGTTTCTGTGACGAGGGAAATAGGTTTGGCGAGACATTTAAAGGCCCACCCAAGCGTCGCACAGAACTTACTTAAAATTCAACAAGAACGAACCGCATTTCAGTCACTTTTATTCCGATTGATTCACGAGTTGCGTGATTCTCGTTTCGACTCTCTGATTTTCACCGTCGAAGAAGAGTATAAAAAACGAAATGCTTTACAACACACAATCAATAGGTATACAATTGGTTTACTGACAACATTTCTATTGAATGATGGCAAACCTTAATTAAATTGATATACGAAATTTAAACTTTGCAATCAATTACCATTAGAGAAAATGATGCATCGGATATGCTCAAAGAACTGCAGCGTGATCTTGGTAACGAAAAAAAACTTATTCAAGACGAAATCACTGATCGAAATCAAGTTATACAACAGCTTAAAGACACAATTCAAGAAATAAATACACTTACGGCATCTGAACAAAAATACATTAAAAAGGAAGTGAAAGCTCACGAAAACTCTGTACGGCTGCAGTGCCAAGAAAAAGAGAGTGAACTGGTCGAGGAAAAAATGCTGCTACGGAAAAGGCTGAATCAAGAACGATTAGCACATCAAAAAATAGTCGAGTTTTTGAACCATCAGCGAAATGCACTGGAAAAGGAAATTCAGGAATGGATGATCAGATACGAAGAAGACACCGAAGCAAAAAGCGTAGAGCTGGAAGCTTTAAAGCAAAAACGATCGCAAGATTTAGATCGGTTTGAAGAGCTTGTTGTTGCATACGAAGCGCTTGAAAAAATAGTCGATGAAGATAAGCTTGTAAGAGCCAAAGAGATTGAGGAACAGAAACGACAACAGACCTATACTGCTGCATGTGTCAAGATTCAACGTTGGTTTCGTAAACGCAAGCAATTACGCACACAGCAAGTAAGTAATCAAAAATCATATACTTTTTAAATAGTTGATTTGATACACTGATTTTTCTACTTTCAAATTCCCAATAAAGACGGCAGCCAAGGCGCCAGTTAAACAAGCCAAAGCAGCCAAAGCAAAAAGTAAAGGCAAGAAAAAGTAGCAAGGTTCTTCAAAAAATGTTTATTCGACTTAAGACCGTTCTACTCGATAAAGCTTTATCAAATATACTTGAAATAAATACCAATTCAAAAATAGCATTTATTCAATCATCAGACTCATTTCAATCAAACACAAACGCACACATTCGTTAAACATCTGCTCCAGATTGCAATCCTGGACAAATTTAAAAAATGCATCTTGCTCTTGAACATACTCTGAATATAGGTTTCGAGCATGTGCATCATCGAGATCTGGATGGAGTGTACGTAAAAGAGTAGGTGTGGGAACTGACACAATGTTTTGTGGAGGAATAAGATACTTTAGCAAATACGGCTTTTCTATACTCTCGGCATCTATCATATGCACCAATAAAGTTGTCAATATGTGGCAGTCATAAGTGTAATCCCACATTGTATTTGAAAATGCACAGGATTACTTACAAGCTTCGTGGATGATGGCAAATACAGAGGTTTTTCGTAACAAAGCATGCGTTTGCTCGATCGATGAGTGACGAAACTTGCCGAGAATTTCAACCCATCTATTTCAGAATGCTCGTTAGTACAAAAAATATACATGTAACTCCAGCTTATCAAAAGCAAATACACACCCGCCACTAAGCCATGCCCGACGCCAAACGAGCTGAACATAGAATTGTTCGGTTTCCTTTGAGTCGGTTTCCTAGAAAAACATCAACATATAAATCCCACGAGTGCAAACTCAAATGCTATAAAACACAAAAACTCATACCATTGATACATTCCCATTGCTTTCTGTGTTCAGATACAATCCAATTTGCTCCATAGCAGAAAGAAATCGGTCTCTAGAGTTGTCCTCATTCAAAACAGAATCACGAATAGTAAACAGCTCCAGAGTATCATGAAGTTCTAGTTTAAATCCACACAACAGCACTTGTAAAGCACGTTGAACAATCTTTAAAAGCACAGGCCGCGATCGAGTAAGCTGAGAAAAGCATTTGGATAAAATCAAGTCGGTTTGCTTATCTACATTCATAGTTCCCGTACGCAAGTTGATAGGAATCATCTCCATAAACTCACTAGTCACTATGTCCTGCAAAATCACCAGATCACGGGCACGCTCAAATTCTAAATACATATAGACATAAGCTACCTGTATGGACTCTTACGAATAATCTAAAAAGTCTATGCGTTACTTACGGGTGCAAAACTTTGATTCTTGAAAACTTTCCAGGCTTTCTGCGGCTTCCACTGCGGCAAGTTTAGAAAGACTCAACGCAAGCTAAATCACATTATATGAAAAATAATACATAAATAACACACATGGCATTGCAACAGTATATCCGGACATATCATTCTCGTACCATTTGCTTTTCTCGAGATTTCACGCTTCCCGCTACATCCCACAATGCTTTGGAGGCATCAGGGTATCGACCCACAACAATATCGTGGATCCAAGACAATGAAGGTGTGTTGGAAAAGGAAAAAAACCGATCCAAATGCTCGTGGTATTGAATTGGCTGCACTAACAACTCGTGATACATGCCTGGTAGTGTCGACAAAACAGGAAATGGTTTAGTGGGCAAATAAGTACTCTTTATATAGTTTAATGCTATAACCAGTATATAAATTCATTATCAAACATTAAACCTACATTTTTTCAAATAAGTTTCAAACAAGACATCACTAAACTCAAATCCAAACAAGTCTAGATACGTCTTTATACGATGCGATTGGTTCTCAACATTTAGGCAAAGATTAACTAGATAATCAAGCTCGCGGTATTTTTCAGCCAACTCAAATGCATGATCTGCATGTCCCAAGTGAACTAGAGGTTGAATGATCTTGCTCAAATTGGCACTATACTTTTCTTTCAGTGCAATCAATCGATGCTCTTCCTGCGGCCCACACCTAAACGAATTCAACAGTTAGGCGTACCAAACTAAACAAATGTATTCAAGTGTCAATACTTACGTAGTCAAATACCCCAAGCGTTCATGAAATGCACCAAGAACTAAATCAGCCAGCTTACAAAATTGAAAGCCCATTTTAAACTTGAGATCGGCAACAGAAGAGCATTCAAGATCAAACAAATCCAACTCATCCAAAGGATCTTCAACAATAGAGTATAGAGATTCGATGGATCTCTTTAACAGCTGCAATGTCGCCTCGTACAAATAAATCAAACAAGTCAACACATTATCCGTTGCTAAATAAATGCAATTAGTAAAACTGTCGACTTTGCTCTTCAAACATCACAATTAGTACATATAAACTCACCAGTCCATGATTCAACAACACATTCCGAGGAAAGCTCATACAACGTCATATTTTGCTGTCTGTATTCAAGTGCTGCACTAAAAGCAATCTAAACTCCGTCCAGACCCAGATAGCATATCAGTATATATACTAAGCAACACAAAGTTTACGAGCATAATACACACCATCATGATTCGATTCAACTCAAACACCTCTAGTTGGGCTTCTTTTCCTCCAGAGCCAATATGCATATCACGCACTCTCTGGATAGTAAGCACGAGAAACTCGTCCATGTGTTCAATTTTATGCTCAAAAAAGTCTTTTATGGGATCCTCTTGAGAAAGCTGGCTAGTCATAAACTTATCAATGCTTTCTTCCAAAATTAAAAGAGACTTGTTGCGTTTAACCGCCTCTGCATCCCCTCTAACTTGATTTATAAGACGCCATAGTTGTTCTGCTACAGCAATTTTTTCCACATTAAACGCCAGTTTAAACCTCGTTGCTAGTGAAATCTATATAGTTGTTGACATGTTAAATCTTTACTAGCTAGCACCGTTAGTACAAGGAAATACAGCAGATATACCTTGTGAAGCAACCCGTGTGATGAAATAATAGAAATGATATGGTCAATGCGATGAAAACGACCGCTGAGCTGGGCACGCATGTCAATGATCGAGTGAATATGTTGGCTAGTTGAGTTTAAAATAGATCTGGAAACATGCAATGATGCAGCATCAATATCACCGCCTGGCTGAACAAGATCAAATGCGATTGGGTTGGACCGCTAAAGCAAGAAAAATGTAAAGGTAAACATAACACGTCAATCATACTGTGCAATGCCTTTCAAGTATTATGACGAGTATTTATTGGCAATCATACATCAGTGCTGTTGCTGCCAAAAAACACGGCTTGCTCCAATTTTGCGCAAAGAATTTGAGTCGAACGCTCCTAAACGGTTTAGTAAATCGTATTAAATATAGTTGATGAGAATAAGCACATGTATTGTATATAGTACTCTACTTTTACTTGATTTGGAATATCCTCGTTCATTCTATAAAGTAATTGTCATATTAGTTCATTGAAATATTCCAAAATCATCCATAGTATAACCGCCATAAAAATATAATCAAACAGCATACTCAATTGTATCGTCTGCACGAACAGCTGTAGCAGATACAGTAATTTGCACAAGATTAGGACTTGATCCATGAAATACAGCAATAGCAGATACAGGTGCATTAGCATCTTGCTGAAAAATACGGGGCTTATCAACTCCAAGACCAAGAATATGTGTATGAGTCTGAGTAAATGGTAGCAGCTCTTCAAAATCAACATCTATAAATGGGTGTTAATAAAGCACTGCTTTGAGTTTAAATGCAAAATATCGACACTCATTACCACACAAACATACCTGGTTCCAAAGTAGAAATAATAACGTGGTCCGTAGTATTAGCAAAAAAAAATGGACCTCCATTGGACAATGCTAAAGAAAGTGGTGGAGCATCCTAAAATATACAATATTCATAAATTAGCATAATGTCGAAAGTATCCGTTTTGCTAACAAATATCCTACTTTATCGTCTTGACTGAATTTCAAATTGCAATAAAATGAATGATCCCAATTTAGTATTCCGCTGCGCTCCTGACATACCAAAACTGAGTAATGGCATTGAGGTTCAGAAATGGAATATCCAACCAAAATTGCCAGTTGATCGTTTCTTGACAGTATAAGTTTTAATAAGAGACTATATGCAAGAGATAGTATACAATCAAAATAGAATCTCAGGCCAACCAAGTACAATACCTTGTAAAGTCTGCATCTTCGATACAAATGCGGGGATAGTGAGATCCAATCGATACAGTGTTGGCTAAATGGTTTCTAATTGCTGAATGAATCTCAACCTCCATAACCAACTTGACAGTTGAAATGCCAGTTTAAAGTTAATAAAATAGTTTCAAGATAGCTCTCTAATAACGAAATGAAACTGCGCCATGTATGCAACATTACCTTGTCTGCTTGTGTTTTGGACAGTATCCATTTTTGAAGTATGTCTTGGGTCAAAACATATAGTTCACTAAATTTATCGAGGTTTGAAAAAAATCAAAACTTCATGGTAGTATAATGCAATTGAAACAAAAATCTCACCATCCAGTGCGTCCATCAATAACTTTTCCAGGAATCAGACAAACCAGATTGCCATTAGCAACAGGTCCGACTTCGATCTCTTGCGAGCCATAACCAAAAAGAGAAGTGACGCGATTGAACATTCCAGATGAGCGTTGAATAGGCGTACATGTAAGTCGACCAAGCCCATTCAAATCAAACAAGGAAACTTGAAAAACAACAGAATTCTGCGTTCCAATAACAAACCCAACAGGCTATTGAATCCGTTATAGTTTTAGCATTGATTGGATTGAAAATACAGAGATAAATAACAACAAATAGGTAAGAATCAAGCAGTGTGAGAGAGATCTATTGATTTTTTTAAATTAAAGAAAATTAGCATACATCACAGTTGATCAAAAATGAAACGCAATCGCTGGGAGCAATAGGAATCTTGATTTCACGAAAACTCTCTGGGTTGAAGGTAATGTTTTCCCAGAACCTGACACGACCATCAGCCGTACAAGCAAGAAGCCCAGTTTGTCGAGCACCACTAGAGAAAGGTGTCACAAACGATACAAGTGCATGCTGATCCTTGTAAGCACTGTCACCCATGGGAAACTGCATGCATGGTGGAATATAGGTTGCATTTTTCTACAGTCATTTTGCACCATTGAATACTGTCAGTTTTTCCGTACTAGATTGAACCATTTGAAATTGAATGAATCCTGAACTACCTTGGTGTACTGCCAGACAAAGCATCTATCGGGAACAGCAATAATAGCGTATCCAACAGTCTGATCCACGACTGCATGAATTGCACTAACACCTGAAGATCGATTATTCATATCAAAGATGACACAGGTTAGATCTGTATACCAATTGATATTACTACTGCAATACAGGACTAACCTAGATTAGTCTCTTGAATAAACTGCAAAGCATCTGGATGGGATTCGCCAATGACAGTGGCTTTATGGGTAGCACTTTGAAGCAGCACGATGTCAGGAAGATGACGAGATGGATTGGCAGGTTGAAATACAAATGAATCTTGCGAATGTTTATCCATGGATATATTAGCAGCATCGAATGGATTCACTGGACGAGACAATAGAGGAGAATGAGAAATGGACGCAGAACTAGCAAGACGAGACTGTCTTGGTTCAGTAAGTGCATGTCTGACTAGCAACGCAGAACTGGGATGATGTTTAGGAGTGGAAACTGGTGCATTTTTTCTTGAATTGGAAGCTGATGCATTGATGGCAAGTCCAGTAGTGTGTGTTCTGATTGGAGTCTGGCCAACTCTTTGATTAGGAGGGCGAGGAGTCTGACTAAACATGGTCTAGTGAATGTTGGCTGCGAGGATTCTGAATGACTTTTACACTGCTCAAGTTCAAAAACTCAAGTCGACGCTTCAAAGTGCTGCACGAGATTCATACGATTTGGTTTCCTGTCAAATCAATTCAATCTTGAATGGCTGCGTTTGACTGCTGGCTTTTTAAATTGCCAATTTAACTGAATTCCATGAATTAAAACTCTTTAAATAGTCGAGTGTGCTGGAGTGATCCTTGCTCGCATATTCTAAATTCGTCACTATTGACTGTTATATAAAGTTGATTCGTTCCATTCATTTCTTGAAAAACTGTCGCGACTGTCAAGACTATCATTGTTTCTGTCATAATGATGGTTTTAAACTCCACCATAAACCCAACATATTAATATTCATCACTATAAAACCTTGATAAATCGACTTGACAAGTCTGTCTTGGATTTGAATCATCAAAAAACTCGACACCCGAATCAAGATTGCAATGGTCCACCGCTTGCACCAAACACCGCTGGTGATAATTATTAAATCCATACTTTAAAAATACTAGTTTGGGACAAGTCCGAGTTGAAGCCTGCAGATTGTTTCAAGTAATATCATATAGATCTTGAATTTTACTCGGATCTCCAATATCAATAATATTGATTACATAGTCATTCATGCTATGATGAATGGTTTGGTTTTCTGTATTTACTACAAGCCATGCTCACATACTAAAACCTTGAAATTATTTTGACAAACTACACAAATACTACAGCTGTATTCACGTAAAGTGGGACTTGTATTTGTCCTGCAGTCATCGTTCCAGAATATGCAATGATTGAATATTCATTGTTTTCCTACTACAGATTGACTTGATAGGCACTCTCAGTTCTTCAGTGTCTGGAATTGCTCGACAAACGAACCCATTCTTTATTATACTCGAGTCATTTTCTGCAAGGCTTAGGAATGTATAGTATGGAACTGTGTGGTATGGTTCCAATCTGCGCGCTGTTTGTTGAATGGTTGGTAAACCATGTCTAATCAGAAAGTTGCTTTGTGGAATGTAATACTGTCTAGGATAGCATGCATGTTTGGAAATGTTGCATGTCGTTGTTTAGAAAGTCAATATTACGATCTTGACAGTTTCCTTGGTCAGCCTCAAACATACCGACCATTGTATGATGCACACAATCAAACCACAGTTTTAATCTGTTGTGTTTAGACCTTACATTCTTGTTTTTGCATAACCATACATTCTAGATCGACAAGTTTGATACTAGACTCGTCCATTGAAATCCAGATACCTGGATTCACTGTTCTACTGTTGTCAATAAAAGCCTCGATACATTCCTTGTTACCAATCTGTTCGTCACTCACAAGAGTTGGTTTTTCCACGTAATATTGTTATCAGGATCATTGACAATGTTGGCCGGGACATTTGCGCTTGGCAAGGTCCACAAATGCGTCTCAGTGTCTTGTTGCCCAAGTGTGGAGGACCACAACTTGTTACATGTCCAATTTTGAATGTCATCAATTTTTTGTTTAGAATTTGTTTGTCATGATACCACGAAAGTATATTTCTTGCAACCTTCAAATCCAAGCAATTTTGAAAACATCATTCCAAAAGCTGACCATCAATCAATGATTTGATGTGCTGGTTTGATGACAATATATCATAGAAAGTTTTGACATAAAAGTACATTATTCCATACGTAAAAGGACATGTTTTGAATGCTAAACCTATCACAAACTGTTTCTAAACGATGATTCCAGGAGCACAACATTGTTCAGTAAAATTGACACCAATCAAGCATGACTGTTTATCATGTATTTTAACACTTATTTTGTTTCATTTTAGATAAATATGGTTGTAGAAAAACTCTGATTAATTAGAAAAAACTCGATACATTTGCAAGGGCAATCAGTCGTATACATTGTTTCAAATTAGATTCTCATACATACAGAAATGGAACGTATGAAGCACATCCCCATGCAGATACAATCAATTTATTGGTTTCTATTGGAGAGTCTACACTATCTGCCATCAATTCGGAAACACCAGTCAGTTCTCATATAGATGACAATACTAGAATCAAGGTATGAACCAGACGAATTACTATTTACAAGTCTGAATTACCTGACAAAAATCGCCTCATGGTCCATTACCAAAATATTTGCAAACTAGACAATTCATTGGACAAGACCTGGTTGCCTTGAAAGGATGCTTTCCAAATCAAAAAGAATTCAATGACTACACTCTAAAAGCATTTAAATGGAACTATACGATGTGTCATTTATACATTGGAAGTAGTAAGGGTAGAGCACCGAATGATACCGCTTTTCATTTACTGCGACATTTTACGCTTTCTTCATATTAATTGAAAGTTTGGTAAATTTTGTTGTTCACATTATCCAATAAAAAATCAGTTAGATGTACAAAAATGAAGATATTATCTTTTGATTTACCAAAGAACTTGAATGTATCATTTGTCATAAATGAATTATCCCGCAATAATATCAGAACAGAAAGAAAGCTGTCATAAAACGTATTATTAAGAACATGCTTTTTACTATGCAAGATGAAAAAGTAATTATATAAGGGAACAACTAGTTTTTGATCCAACAATGCCCAGCTCAATTTTGTTGATCTCATCATTAATTTCAGCATCAACAATATCTTCCCAAGAAATTGCCTTTTTTGTTTTCTTGATGACTTTCTTGATGAAGTTTTTTTGCTTGATGTGCATAATGGAGCCGCCGACTGTAGTCAGGGGAAAAGCCAAAAGAGTAGTGGCGATAACATTCTGGATAGATGGTGAAGAGAATGCTTTGTGGTCGACGTCACAAACAATTTGCACAAAAATGTCCGCAAATGTCTGACAGTTTCTGTACAGTCGTCGGTAATCGCCAAAATGCAAAATCAGTGATTCTCCAACAGCCTTGATAGCTTCCAGCGGAAGAGATGTTGAGCCAATTTCTTCTTTAGCAGTCACCTTTCCTTCATCGATCCATTCTTGTTCAAAATCCTCTCTCTTGAACTTGATTCCCACCGGCTGTCTGTCTTCATCCAACTTGAAAACAAGGTGGTGCAATAGCCCATCAAAAACGATTCCCCAATGGCCTGTTGTTCCACTGGCCCAACCCGAATAGAATGATGGAGGTTTCCCATATAAAACCACACCGTACACCAATACAGCTTCGACTCTTCGGCTCTTTATAGACTCCTTGTGCTGGCCTTTAGCAGCATTGATAATTGACTGCTTCTCTTCTTCTGTCAAGACTGCGGCAGGAGTGTCAATTTGTGTGATTGTTGCTTCCAAGGCTACATTAGGACATTTTCGCTGCTGCTTGACCCAGTTAGTAAAGTGGTTGTAGTCACTCATTTGAAGTTTTTGGTAATGATTTGTGGCAATTGCTATTTTTATACTCTAGACGCTACCGGGAAGCTTTTGCGAAATTTTAGAAGCTTGACTACACCACTTTACTAACTGAGTCATAAAGCAGCGAATATGTCCTAATGCAACCTTGGAAGCAACAATCACACAGATTGACACTCCTGCCGCAGTCTTGACAGAAGAAGAGAAGCAGTCAATTATCAATGCTGCTAAAGGCCAGCACAAGGAGTCTATAAAGAGCCGAAGAGTCGAAGCTGTATTGGTGTACGGTGTGGTTTTATATGGGAAACCTCCATCATTCTATTCGGGTTGGGCCAGTGGAACAACAGGCCATTGGGGAATCGTTTTTGATGGGCTATTGCACCACCTTGTTTTCAAGTTGGATGAAGACAGACAGCCGGTGGGAATCAAGTTCAAGAGAGAGGATTTTGAACAAGAATGGATCGATGAAGGAAAGGTGACTGCTAAAGAAGAAATTGGCTCAACATCTCTTCCGCTGGAAGCTATCAAGGCTGTTGGAGAATCACTGATTTTGCATTTTGGCGATTACCGACGACTGTACAGAAACTGTCAGACATTTGCGGACATTTTTGTGCAAATTGTTTGTGACGTCGACCACAAAGCATTCTCTTCACCATCTATCCAGAGTGTTATTGCCACTACTCTTTTGGCTTTTCCCCTGACTACAGTCGGCGGCTCCATTATGCACATCAAGCAAAAAAACTTCATCAAGAAAGTCATCAAGAAAACAAAAAAGGCAATTTCTTGGGAAGATATTGTTGATGCTGAAATTAATGATGAGATCAACAAAATTGAGCTGGGCATTGTTGGATCAAAAACTAGTTGTTCCCTTATATAATTACTTTTTCATCTTGCATAGTAAAAAGCATGTTCTTAATAATACGTTTTATGACAGCTTTCTTTCTGTTCTGATATTATTGCGGGATAATTCATTTATGACAAATGATACATTCAAGTTCTTTGGTAAATCAAAAGATAATATCTTCATTTTTGTACATCTAACTGATTTTTTATTGGATAATGTGAACAACAAAATTTACCAAACTTTCAATTAATATGAAGAAAGCGTAAAATGTCGCAGTAAATGAAAAGCGGTATCATTCGGTGCTCTACCCTTACTACTTCCAATGTATAAATGACACATCGTATAGTTCCATTTAAATGCTTTTAGAGTGTAGTCATTGAATTCTTTTTGATTTGGAAAGCATCCTTTCAAGGCAACCAGGTCTTGTCCAATGAATTGTCTAGTTTGCAAATATTTTGGTAATGGACCATGAGGCGATTTTTGTCAGGTAATTCAGACTTGTAAATAGTAATTCGTCTGGTTCATACCTTGATTCTAGTATTGTCATCTATATGAGAACTGACTGGTGTTTCCGAATTGATGGCAGATAGTGTAGACTCTCCAATAGAAACCAATAAATTGATTGTATCTGCATGGGGATGTGCTTCATACGTTCCATTTCTGTATGTATGAGAATCTAGTTCGGGACGACGGATACGACCAATTGCTCTTGCGAATGCATTGAGTGAATTCTTGTTGACCAATTTGAGCTCTTCTTCCAAATCTGAATCATTTAGAGCAGCAACTCTTCTAATCCAGGTTGTAAAGCTGTTCAGACATTTATAGTAAACAATGGAAATTACAATTGTAAACTAAAGATTTGCCTCAATGTTCAATCTTGTAAAATAAGTGAACAATTATAAGGTTGGATAAAGCTGCAAATACAAGGAAAAGCATTTATTGATTGATAGAGACTGAAGACCCAGCAGGTGTCGTACGAGGGCTGTTGATATGAGATTGCTTCACCACATAGTAGACAAGACGGTAGATTAGGTCAAATCCTTCCTTGACATAATTTTCAGGATTCAATTGATACTCTTTTGAAACAAACAATGATCCATTTTCATCAATGAAAACAAACTTCCAGATCGAGCCAGTTGAATGAATGCCATAGACTTGAAGATTCCTCATTTCAGCTTTCTTTCTGCGATAATGAATGGAAGCACATTCCCCAATGCATTGCAACAGAGTCTCATTGTTTGTCACTTTAGCTTCAATTGCGACCAAATGAGGAAGCTTTCTAAGGCCACGGTGGCAGATGGTGTAGTCACAGTTCCCATTTAAGCGTCTTTTCTTGACTTTATTCACCAAAGTCATATGATACTCGCAAATGATAATAAAATCTGGAAATTGGGCAACTACTTCCCGAAGAAAAAGATCAATCAAAGTTCTTCTGCTTGCTTCGGCGCCAAATTCAAAGACGGAGCAATTCTTCTTGAACAATTCAACAAACTCTGGAGAAGCTTCAACTGTGGTGTCAACTGGAATATTTTCCCAAACTTGATTTTCGTCTTCAACTCCAGTCGCTTCGCTAATAAATGGCATTGTAGCTTTTCCATAGGACATTGATACCATTTCCTTTTGAGCCTGTTCTACAACTGCAACGCTGATGAATAGAGGAGTCTTTGCTGTATTCTGAGCAGGAATAGGGTCGTCTGGTTGTAAAGGAGTACCACCATCAGTAGTGGAAAGGGAGAGTTCGCCTGGTGGAAACTGCCCGTAAAGAAACAAGAGCTCCTTCTTGCAGGCTTTAAGAAGGTCATCTACAATCTCGCAGTCTTCAGTAGATACCCTTGTAGCGTTGTTTGGCTTGAATTTGACCCAAAGTTTTGTCATTTTTAGCAAAAATTTTTTCCTCAAATAAACTGAAAAATGACAAAAATATACTTCAAAACACCAACACTTTGATACACTGCTCACTATTGACCAATTTAAAGGCAAGACTATTTCAGCTCTGAAATGTGCGATAAAAGAAGCAGTTATGCCTGCTTTGCAGACTCCTATTTGCAATTTGGATTTGAAAATAGGAAACTCGACTATTGAAATATTGAGAGCCTCTGATTTGAAGGATGTATTAGAAGAAGCTCAAGTTTCAATCACCAACACAATCATAGTGATTCCTTCAGTGCCTTACCTAGACCAATGCATTTTGTGTTTTTGCTTTTCATTTGGTTTAGGACTTGGCTATTCTGTCGCTATCTTTTTGAGACTGACTAATGAAGTGGAAGAATATCATCATCCATTTATTGCTGATGTCATATTCATCATTATTGATATGACTGGCTTAGGATGCTCTCTATACACTATTTGTCAGTTGATCCGTTTATCTGGCAAGCAACAATGGAATTCACAATTTGCATCTGTTTTCTCTGGAGTTGTTTGTAGTCTTTTTGTAGAACCATCTTACCATTCCTGAAAAGGTAATAATAAACTTTTAAGAATCATACAATAAACGTTAAACAATAACTGGCATTATCTGATCGTGGTTACTATTTAGCTTTACTACCAGACCTTGGTATAACGGCAGGATCCATTTAAAGCATTAGTATGAGTCTCGCACAAATAGCTCCTGATAATTCCAACTTGAATGCGATTACCCTTAGGTTTCTGGCCTTGATGCTTATCTCCGATCAATTGTTAGTTTTGACAATTTCAGAGCAAATTAAGCAGTAATTGTCGGTTAAGAAAATTGGTATCATTCGGTGCCCAATATATACTACTCACGTCAACAATGCTAATACCAGCTTTATGAATATCAAAATGGATCGTTTTGAACAAGCTGGTCAACTTTTTTGTTGCTTCAGTCGCAGGCTTTACATCCAAACTATTGTAATGTTTCAACAACTCGGAAGGGTTTTTACAATTGCATTGTAGCATGATCAGTGTTTCTTATATTAGTTTTTGATAAATCATTGTAAACCCATGTATTTGCAGGGATTGGTGAATGTTTAGTAGTTTAATCAAACCATATTTTTGATGGTTTAATTGTAGGATACTTTTTCCAGATGCGTGTGTATGTTTTGGGTTGTTGTATGAGCAAACATGTATTTTGAACATTCTGCATCAAATGATTTCAAATACTTGTTCAAGAGTGTTGCAAGTGATGGGCAAACAATGATATTTTAAAATAAACTTGTCGTTTGAAACCATTGTACTTGATATTGCACTTGATAGTATGATTGGTTTATATATATTGTGATGGTTAAACTGACATTTACAAACAGATATCATATTGTAACACATTTTCATAACAATTTTTTGTTTTCTTATTGTTCTTTGATAACTCATACGATATCCTGCCTAAAACTGACTTGATCTGCTCACAACATTTGACATCCATTAAATGCGTATATTGTATTGGGGTTTTATCGCACCCATCAGCATTAAATCTTTTAATTTTCCTGTTGTGATCTACACTACAATTTAACTGATTCTCAATCGTTTAAACCCATTGCCTTTTTCTTTTTGAATATACTTTTAGTTTTCTTACTATTTTGAATGGGAATGTGAGGCAAATATCTGTTCATAACATTAGTATCATATGACAAAGAATTGAATCCATTAATTGAAAGCATGCAAGTTTTATGTTGCAATCATCACTCAGATCATTGACTCAAGTAAACATGGGCTGTAGAGTTGATGCATTTTTAATTTCCTTCATTTTTTAAAGTATGATTGTTAATGACTCTTGTATTCGTTCCAACAAACATAAAGACAGGCTCCTTTTCTTACTTTCAATCAAGCCGATGCCCAAGAACTCGTGTGCTTCAGTGTATTGTAGTTTTCCTGTGGTGTTCTTGTATCCAATCAGGTTTCAAAGTCGTGGAATATAAAATAGGAATATAATCTTGACTCGTTTGGTAATTTGACTACAGAAGTATCCAATTCTTCAAATATGCTTGGTTTTGGATTGTATTGCCATTTTCAAATGTTGTTTTAGCGTGCACTTTATTGCTGAATGTTTCTCAAGTTTCTTGTATTCTGTCAAAAACCATTGTAATTTATAGATTCAAGTACTTTTGCTATACTGGCTATGCTTTTAATGAATGAGAAATGATGCCTTGCAGTTTCAACTTTAATAAAAATATTTAAATTCAAGGTATGTTGATAATTTTGAAACAAATGCTTTTCCATCAAAGCTTCATCACCTCTAAATAATAAATGTTGATGTTTACTTGGAGATGAGCCTCAATATCATTTAGTTGTTTTATATCAACACTGTTATAATCTGAATTAAATGATTTGCAACAACTTGTAAATACCCTGTTGTTTTTCTATGTATTCGGTCTATTCTACATGATGAATTTAGAAGGCATGTCAAACAGTTCCAAAAACAAGTATTGTGTTCATTCTTATACAATGCCTTTACTATTAATGACAAAATCGGGAAGTTTAATGTTGCTTCCAATTGTCATTCCTGGTAATGCGGTAGTTGAAAGCACGTTTGTAAATTCTTCCAACAGTCCATTTTGAATTTGGCCTTTCAAGCTGTTCTATTAAACCACTTTTAATTCCTGAATAACATTACAACAGAGCTGTTTATCAATAGAGTTTGTCCAAGTTTGTTAAGGATAAATGTATTGTCTGATGAATAAAGGATCATAAATACTCTTGTTTCAATGTTTTGAATAAAATCCTAATTGTAAATCAAGTCAATAACGCAGTTTTTGGATTTGATGATTTGTCCTTGCATTGTCGTGTAGATCTTGAATAAACAAATCTATGCTGTAAGTATTCAAAAGTTTTTGGTTTTGATTTAAAGGGATGCTTTTTATACTTTTGTTTCGATTGTTTCTGCGGCTTTGTAGCATCTATTTGCAATTGAACGCACCGATTGTATTTGACTGTTTCTTCAAGACCAAAAAACAACCCCTTGATATATTTTCTAAATCTAAACTTGGGGTTTTATTCTTTTTAATCTAGTCTTGCTACCTGTGCTATCAAAGTCTGCATTCGTTTCTTTTTGTTGTTTTTATTCAGAATTAACTCGATTGATAATTCTTCACGGTTGTAAATGCAATGAACCTTGTATAAAGCAATGTATTTTTTGGGTTTTGATCATTTCAATTGGATTGACCATTCATTCTGAACGAGAATCTTTAATGTTTTGCAAGAAAATAACATTTTGTTTTTGAATCAATTTATTAATTAGAAACTAATTATGCATGAACTATAATGCGGGTTAGTAGTATAGATAGGGTACCGGATGATATCAGTTTTCTTGACCAGTGATTACCAGTGAATATTGTACGAAGTTGCCAAAAATAGCAAGTTATCAGAGATGAGCAATCAAGGTCAAAAACAATGGGGTATTATAGTGAGTAGCTTATTAGTTTGAACTATCAGGATGTCTTTGTGCCAGATTCATACTTGATGCTTTAAATGGAATATCTTATTTTTGATGAATGTATATAAAGCTATCGCAAGTACGGTAACAAAGAGTACCAATAGATGATTTCATTGAATTATCAACTTAATTTCAATTATTTCTTCATTACTTGTATTAAACAGTAAGAATGAGATTAACGTCACACTTTGACTTGATGATGAAAATACGCAATGTCCAATATACTTTTCTACAGTAATCACACGATTAATTCAATGCTTCAACGCAACTCATTTTGTCTGTATGACATGCTCCAAGAAATGTCAACGAAAAGGTTATTGTGCTCAGTTTAGAACCACACGATCGTTCCACAATAAGCTCCTTGAGAAAACCATTAAACAACAAATGATAGCAATTACGAGGTCGATATAACACACTTGACCAACGATACCACACAAACTGATATAACGTATTAGCTTCCTGATCAAAGTGTTTGGCAGATATACAACTATTTCCATAAAACAAAATGAATCAAATATGTTGAAGCCAACCATTCCCATTGAAGTTATTGACTTGCTGTTTTATCCAAGAACTAATTCCGAAGAAAGAAAGCAAGATGGAATGGATCGATTCTTCCAACAACTACTGGATACAACAGTGGCATTGAAGATGAATAGTTTACATGATAATTTCTTTCACATCATCTGAATTAGAATCATCATCATCGCTCATAACAATTCTGTACAACTTTTCCTGTAATGATTGCTGTTTTTCGATGACTCTTGGCAGCATCTTTATGTTTGCAAAGATTCGATAACCCATCATTTCTAGATTAACCTTCGCATTGTCACAAGTTGGATAATGCTTTTTGAAAGGAACAACTAACCCATAATGTAGTGAATAAATGGTATCGTTTGTTTCATAGCAACTATCGCCTATCATTTCTTTAATCCTTTTATAGTGATTTATGTTGATGCCGCATAATAGACTGGTATTGTTTTCCAAAGACAATATTCTGCCTTTTAATAGTTTCGATGGATTAGCCTCGATTGGATTTTCTAGTCTAAACACTGAATCCGGAACATCATCTAACACAACCGCTTCTTCATTTCCAACGTAATTATACGCTACTTTCAACAGCGAATTATTGACACGCTTTTCAACAACTTGATAGATATGATTATTTCTTGGATCGAGATAAATTGTGTCCATTAGTAAATTGTTGATGTACTTTGATCTCGGATTTAAGCAAGGTAAATTCAACATGTTGTTTAAATCTAGTCTAGAAAATAAAAGATGCAATATTCAATCACAGCCACTATCATAGATAGTTGATAAGTTTAATCCAAGATAAAATTGAATATTTAATTTCTTTTAAAACGATAAACAAGTTCATCAGAAATGTCAAACATATTGGAAGAAACCCAAATTTATTTGAATGGAAATGTTGTGTTGACTAAAGGAAATGACAGCACAGTTGGTCTGTACAAGGTTCTTTTTGAAGTAAATGACATTGAGAGATATCGATTTGCTATTAAATACAAGACGAAAGAGAAAACTAGTACAAACAATTGATTAGTTCAATTACAAATCTGGATGTCGGACGGGCTAGGAAGGTTAAACTAAGATTCAAAAGCACACTCAAGGGATCTTCAGTGGAATGGACGGTACTAAAGCCTATCACCAACTTTTACAGTTACAAAACAAACAGAAAGAGAGCTGGACAAGAACAACGGTCGTTTTCACAATATCATATCAAGAAATATTCGTTCTGACCAAAATCAAAACCAATTCATTGGTCGAGACACTTGTTTACAAATTTAGATGAATTGAAGTTTACCATCAAAGAGAATCACAAAAAGCAAGCATTAAGATAATGGTTCGATATTCAATTCGGATATGTGCTGAGGAACATTGAAACTGATGATAGAGTTCAGTTTTATCCCTCTGATAATACCTGCTTTAATATCAATGATTCACCACTAGTTAATTCCACTATTGATACGGTACTAAACCAATTGGATGGTGATGATATACTGGAAAAATTGAAGTGTTCAAACTCAAATGGAGTATTGAAAATATCTACGAGTATGTACTTTTAACAACACCCATTCCAGAGGTATCAATAGGCGCATCTGTAATTCTACCTGATTTCATCAAGAATATCAAGAGTATTGTTTCATTCCAGTATGTCACAAATAACCTTTGTTTTTGGTATTGTTTTGCTCGTTATAAGTATCCAGAAATCAGATTAGACAGATTATCAAAGAAAGCAAAAGATCTTTACAAGGATTATTACAAAACCAACGTAAAGAAGTGTTATCCCAAACTTGATATTCAAGAATTGGAAGAGATTGAGAGCCATTTCTTTGTAAATGTCAACATATACCGATTCAATGGAAAGAAAGCGGTTATGGAACGACATTCAGGTAAAGAATACAGGAGGTTATTAATTTGAATATATACTCTGATATAAGCCATAAATTCCATCATTTCTCTTTTATTATTAACTTGTCTCAGTTAACCAGTGTTTCAATGTCCAGATGCCATTCATCCTTTAGTGAATTCAAAAAGATAAAACGACACTCAATTGTTTGTGCAAAACCAAAGATAATATTTGAAAATGGAAATTATCAACCAAAGTTGAATGTATTTGAGCATCTTGAATTGAATGGAATTAATATACCGAAAGAAATGAGATTCTATCCATATTTCATCTACTTTGATTTTGAAACTTGGTTGAAATCAGTCAAATCTACGACCAACTTGAAGCTCATTCATTGAAACACACAAACTTTTGAGCACAAGTTTCATTGGAAGTGAAGAAAACAAGGCTCAATTCATCCCAGTTGAAGGTACAACTGAAGAAGCTTTGGATATAGTGATGACAAAATGGATCAAATAGGACACAAATATCTGCAATCGTTGTATTCAAAGTATTCTCGGTTCTTTGTAATGATGGCCAATTTGGACGATGCAAAGGTTCAGAAACGATTAAGATTACAATTACTAGAATGGCTTGGTGTTCTGGCTATTTATGGCTTCAATAGCTCATCATATGACATCGACATCATCAAGAAATACCCTCCACAAGTCTTGAAACACTCTAAAAAACATGGAAATGTATCCAAATGCGAAAAGCTTTGAGATTAATTCAATTGAAGGAGAATTAGATCGTAATATTGAACAAAGCGAAAAGATTGAACGATACAATGTTGATGGCTACGATGAAGAATCAAACACAATCTATGACTTTCTGGGATACTTTTTCCACTGATGTAGAAAGTGTCACAAATCAGAAGATATCAATCCTTTAACTGGAGATACGATGAACATATTGTATGAAAAGACAGCAAACAAGGAATCAGCTCTCAAACAAATGGGATATACCACAAGATCAATTTGGGGTTGTGAGTTTCATTCAGCTGAAAACGGTCAAGTGAATGACATTATCAAATGTAACAAATACCGAATGATATCAAATGGATCGTTTGCTTTTAACGACATTCTTGCTTTTCAACCACCAAATACTTTATCTGACAAGTTCTTGAAAACGTTTGACACAATCACAAATGGGAATATTTCCACATAAAGTAACTCGGAATTTATCGAAATACATTGATGAACATCCAGAGTTGACACAATATTCTGATATCATTCAAGTTTTTAAAACACTCACATATTCCATCCAAAAAGTGGTTTTACAACAATCTAAAGGGAGAATCAGTTTCATCAAACGATTATAATGAAATGGTATTCACTCACACCAACCTGTGCGATTTGCTGAACGACCACAACAATTTGGATGTGAGGCCAGGCGTAGAAGCGACAAAGAAGCTGGGTAATTTCTTTCAGTCGTTGAATCTTGATATCCACAAAGACGGCATCTTTGTTCCTAGACTCACTCTGAAATATCTCTGGCACACAAAAAGCAAAGACTGCAAGTTTCAGTTATTCAAAGGGAATGACGAATTGTACCACAAATACAGAGATAATCTGGTTGGTGGTTCAAGTATCGTATTTCATCATTATCAAGAAAAAGACGACCAGAATTAGAAAAGGAAAGCTTTGTCAGGGAATACTTGAATATGATACCAATGCTTTATATCTGTGGGCGATAAGTCAAGATATGCCGTGTGGTGAGCACCAAGTAGTTCAAGTTTATCCCGATATTCTGAAAGATGTCTTGGATAACACGTTCTTTGGAATGATAGAATGTGATATTGCTGTTCCTGAGCATTTAAAGGAATGCTTTGCTGGAATGCCTCCTATTTTCAAGAATGTTGAGATTACATGCAATGATTTAAGCCTTGACACAGGCACAAGTGAAGCCAGATTACAAAAGTAACAGATTAGTTGAAAGTATGTTTGGTGAGACAATGATGTTTGCTACTAAACTGCTGAAATGGTATCTTGAACTAATTGAAAGTGCACCTGTACCTGTCGCAATGTCAACCTTTGGAACTGTCGCTGCTGGAGTCGGTGCACTTCACGCACCAATGGCTGCAGGAGGTTGTGCTGCTATTGACTCTGTTTCTGATCAACAGAAAGCTAAATCATAAAATAATCATTTTGAAAAGTATTCATTGAATAATACTTTTGATGACTGCAAGAATGGCTGTTCTTATCCCTCCTTGAGCAATTCCATACTTTTCTAATTCAGCATCAGTTATGGCCAAGTCACCAGTCTCCATCAAATCTTCAAAAAGAATTCCTTGTTCGGTAAAGGTTTCTCTGAGCTTGATGATATCAAATTCGGGTTTTTTCGTTGTCTTCATCTTGTCAAAGAAATGCTTTATATTCAGATTGTGATCTACAACTTGTTTCTTGGGAAGCTCTTCGTTGACGGTTAGGGCATAGTACAAGAATCCATCACGCAAGTTTTTGACATCGGTAACAACTATAAAGTCATTATCTGCAAATCGGTACAACATTTTGAAAGGCACAGGCTGAGAAAAAATGAATCAGCTGTTGATATGACTTCAGAAAGAGATTGCATAGAGGAAACTTCCAGGTCAAATGCTCTTCCTTTGTATTTGATTGAAATGTGCTTTTCTTTGACAGCTGGAATCCATCCCTCTGCAACACCAAAACCTGTAGCATTTATCATACTAGCGAATGTTTCTCTGGCGACTTTTTTCAAGTTTTCAGTTGCAGCAGAACCACCAAAGGAGATCTCTTCAAAATGCTTCTCTAGAAATTCTTCAGATGATGGGTTTCGTTTCAGTTTTTCTGGAGTGTCTTCAATGGTGACTGAAGAAAGTCTATTTTCTTTTTCAACAATACTCTTTTTCCCCATACAATGGCAGCATCATAACCGATGAGTAAAAACTCCTTAAGGTATTCCATAGAAGGGGACACTGTTTCCGAATGTCCCTGTATTGTTACTGCTGTGATTCCAGAGTCTGTATCTCGGATTTTAGCAAGCATATTTACTTCAGAAAAGTATTCGGCAAGCAGTGTTTTGAGCCCTGCACAGTCTGAATTGATCGTTGCTTCTACAGACACCATTGGGGTATCAAGCGAGAGAGCATTGTAGAATTATGTGTATTTTGGCCTAACATTTTGATATTTGTTTGGGAAAGTTCATCAAACTGAAAATGGATGCCATCTGTAAAGAATTCTGGCCACTACAGCATTAAAATAAACTTATATCCTGGTTAAAATATTGAAAAGAGTTTGGCACAAAAGTCTCGATTATCTCGGGCTATATTTTGGTACAGGAAATATCAACTTTTACAATTCATCAAACAACTATGGGTCCCACTCTTGATAGTTCCATATACATTCATCAAAGATGTTTTACATAAAGCGTTGGTATGAGTATGGCAGTGAAAGTTCCTGATAATTCAAACTTATAATGTATCCAGTGCTCTATACCATTGTTTTTGACCTTGATTGCCTATCTCCGATAAATTGTTATATTTGACAACTTGCAAGCAAATTGAGCTGTAAATACTGGTCAAGAAAACTGGTATCATCCAGTGCCTTATCTATACTACTCTGGTTAATCTGTGACTATTTGATTATCTCCATGAAATGTACCATCTTGGATAGCATTAAACTACGTCCATTGAAGATTTCCTGTCTCATTTACTCAACAATTCTATCAACCTTATACCGTAATCCTAACAAGTTCCCATTGGAAACGATACAAATTGAACCAGATAGGAAACTACATTGCCAAAAAAAGTAATAAAAAAGCAATAAAAAGGATTTAATGTTATTTTGAAAGAATGCTCAAGAATCAAGCATCTCAATACTAAATCAGCAAACCTACAAATTAAAAACTATTTAAATAAGAATGTTTGGTTCAATGCAAAGTGTATTTTGCTTGCAAGATATTCCATTGTGTTTGCTGTAAAATTGACAATGGCATTCTTGTTAAAAGTCGACAATTTTAAAGGATTGTATCAAATTCGTTTGGAAATTATCTGATTTACTGATTCCAAAAGATTGTCAAAGAGCTGAGTTGAAAAGAAAGTCACATTTCAGGTCTGAGCAAGCTGGAGAATTCGCTTTTACTACTAGGCAATGAACCAATTCATTTTCTTGCACTTTATTTCTGATGGTCACTAGTTTTTTGTGACTGACGGTACCGATGTTGGCTCTGATTTCAAGTAGCATTTTTACTGTTTTGAACGAATTCAATACCAATATGTCTGCACTTGATACATCAAAATGAACAAATAGCAATCTACCTGCATGATTTCTGGAAAAACACTGCGCTCGCCATCTAATGCCATTCCTTCTCATCATCAGCACCATTTTATTGAAAAAACTGCTACGTTGGACTGCAAGCTATTCAAATCCTTTAACTTGAACTCAGCTTTTCCACAAGAAAAAAACAAGAGTCTTGATGAGCTTGTTTGGTTTTGTTGAATCCTCTAAACTTGCACATCCTGTGATTAGCGGTTGTTCAAGTCGCCTGGGTTCATTATTGATTTACAAATGAAGCACTTTCATGAGACATATTTGCATTCATCTCGGCGAATATCACTACTCATTTCAATATTTGCCTAAAACAAAGTCCATTCGAACCATTACTCGGATAATCAATCAAATCTTGAGTAGTTGTGAAGTATTTCATTTATCTACAAGATGTACAACTCTTTCCTTTCAGTTTGATAAACATCCAAAACATATAAAGTGCAAAGAGTTGCTGCATTGATAAAACAGTAGATAAATTCATTCGAACCAAACTATGCATTAGTAGTGTGTAAATTGGTAACTTTCCATGCCAAATTCATACTTGATATACATGACTTGAATGATCATGCGGACTCTAGACTGTTTATTTTCAATCAGCCTTTGATTTCAACCAATTCAAACAACTTTAGGATCATTCCATTCCATTACAGCATCTGCTTCCATTCAAGAATACTGCTTTTGTGTATTGTTTTTGGTTACTTTGCTCAATAAAACCAAAACAACTGTTGATCGTCAAGAGCACTCTTATCTTTTGAAATGACTAGTTGATTCTCTAATTTTCTCCTGGGATATATCAAACAAAGCTTATATTGTACCATAATGTTCACTTGCGTGACATTTGGCATGGCTGGTAAATTATATCGTAATGGACATTGTGTTTCTTATGGATCAGCTTTTGGGAAATCAATACAACTCGTTAAAGCCTTTTTGTCTGGTAAATACATTCACTCTGAAAATCAGTCTGATACTGTTTCACGATGTTATAAGCACTGACTTGAATCGACTCGAATGATTCCTGATAAAGGGACAAGATTATGATTACTAAAGACTTTGTAAATAGTATTTGACAGCTAAACTGCAAGCAACTATTGTTTCGTAGCAAATTCCAATATCGTAAACATCGTTTGGATAAAGTTGGTCATATGAATGGAACAAGCGTTCAATATTGATACCCTTGACCAACAAAAAACACTCGTCTTGAATTCCGATTCTGGCTCTACCATAAATACGTTTTTACTCGTACTGCGAGTTTTTGTTCCCATACTAGATGAAATGAAAACAATCATCCGAACAAGGAAACACAAGAGACAATTGAACGAGATTCTATTGAGTCGTTGTACTGGAAACAGTATCATCCACACTTTCAACTTTCCAGTCAACACTGCAAGACATAGGAATGAGACACATATCCTTCACATTCAATTCATGGTCACTCAAAAAACTCGACATTTCTACATGGTATACTACAGTCAATTCCTCGTATTTTTAAACTACTGATTGCGATCGTGATCCAATCAAGCGAAATGCGCAAAAAGTAACCTTGGAATTTGATATGAAGCATATACCAGACAAGCAATTAATGAACTGGAGGAACAAGTCGTCTTTTCTGTTTGTTTAAAGTTCAAATATTCAGTCATTTGTGTCCAAAATAAAGTCTAGTCCGTTTCTGCATCAAGAGTACCGAGTGAGCGGATCTTTGCAATGGGTTTGAATTTTTCTGTAATTGATATGATACTGTCGTTGTTTGTTCCTGTACACATGCAAATGAGGTTTGTTTTCCAGTCAATTGAGTAACAAGTAGAGACATGAATGAATGATAAACTGCTTGATCCTGTTGAAACATTGATTGAACATTGGTGCATTGACACAACTCTTGAATCTCATTCAACAAGAATACAGGTGGAGAATCACACTGGACTTTAAAAGCAATATTGGACAGTCATGTTTGGAAAGCAAGTTGTTTCTCCTGAAAAGTGCCAATATATCCAAATTGGCTGATCAGCTCAAATTGTATCGCATCAACTTCAGTCTCTTGAAAAAGACAGTATAAAAGTAAATTATTAGACGAGTGAAGAAAGTCGAAATATTCTCTTGGTTTGGCACTGCGAATGCCGAAATAGTCCAGCAAAATCAAAATCAAAAGCTAAAATTCATATTCCAAAACATCTCCAATCAAACCACATTCAAGATCCGACATTTCGAGTTGCAACACATTTCATCAAAAGTCTCATTCCTCTGCTGGTACTGGTCATGATGGTTTGGTACTTGTCTTGTTGGCGCATTCGAATGGTATTGTTGGTTTGCTAGACTATCTCATCCCTACCAATAGAGTCTTGGGTTCAAAGTATTTCAAATACCCATCATTGGCAGATCCAAACAACGGAAACAAGTCAGACTAAAGTATAGTGCACCATGGGATCCAAAGCAGGATATCCACATCCATTTGCGCTCTTGGTATTACATTAGCAATACCTTGACTAGCATCACTCTTGGATTTGATGAGTGGATGTAGGTCGTTTAAAACAAGACCATTCAGTCGAGTAAGAGGACAGCATGGATCAAGAGTTGTGTCAGTTGCTCCAGAAGAAACGAAATAGTCTTTATCAAAAGCAGATCTATCAACCCATCAGGCAAGTGGAGTTTGTCAACAGGAGTAGTGTCAAAACGAGAAGTGTCAGTCTTGTAAGTTGAACCAAGTGAGCAACAGTAGAATGGTCTTTCCAGCTCTTCAATAAAATGAGGTTCAATAGGCACTGGTTGATTATCAAGGTGATCGACACAGATTTCTGGTTTCCATTTTGAAAAAGTTTCAGACGACTCGAATCAAAAGCCTCGCCAGAATAGTTCAAACATTGATGACTGAATACGTTGTAATTACAGGTGGGCAAGTCGATTGTTAATTCTTTAGTTTGATCTTGGAGTGACATTGTTCTTGAGATGGCTAATCAAATAAAAGTAAAGCTTGAAGAGTTGAATATTCAACAATCCAGCACTAGACTTTATTTCTTGAATATTATTATTAAAAGAACAATGGCATTTCAACAGCAACTACACAATATTCAACTATTATCGACATGATTGGAGTATTGAACATCAAGTTTGATATGCGGTGTCATGGAATCATCTGGTTGTCCATATGATTGTCAATCACCAAACGTGTAGTTGTCAATGTTCAGATCCAACATAAAACAGATGACCATTGGTGATGAGACTGTCATGCAGTATTGATTTACAAGTGCTGACACCAAACCACAATGTATTTGACAAACACACCTAACGAATATTACCGTATAATTGGTTTCAATCAACATCTACGGCCATACACACAAGAAAATACCGGATCCCGTTCGATCTCCGAAGTCAAGCTTGTGATGGCTCAGTCAGTACTGTGGTGGGGGACCACACGGGAATACTGAGTGCTGTAGTTTTTGCTAAATTAACAATCTGATCTCGTTTTGGATGTTCTGGATCAAATCTCAACTTGAATCTTTATGATGGTTGTGTTGAAACTGGAAAGCAAGATTTTCATCTGATAAACTATTTGACAGTATCTTAATATGGCGTGTATACTGTGTTCACTACATGATGGTTCATTCCATTTGTCTTGCAAACACTAAATACTACCATAACAGCAGCATAGTATACACTGTATTATCTTCAAGCTATCGACTTTTTCAAGCATACTGCACTAATCAACTAGTATACACCACAACACCATATACACTGCATGATTAGTTGCACTTTCAATCACCATCTGTCATTATTTTGTTTGCTACTAGTTCACCAGTTTGCATTCAATCACATGCATATTATTACAAACACCATTGTGCAATATACATCATTCTTATGATCGTGTTTGTACCAACTCGGATCTGAATGATTACATACACTTTCAACATATTTGATATGGTCTGATCCAGTGACACATTAGTCAATATCTATATGCGAGTTTCCCACTCACTTTTGATTATTGCAATGCGGATTCACAATGTGATTAAACTGGCACTATTTACCATACTTGAATAGGCTACTGCTAGACCATTGTACACGATTACGTATTCGACTACTGACATGCATAACATGTTCAACCACAATATATCATCAAGTATTACATCACAACACATGTAGTCATTGACTTGAGATGCGCAACTCTGTACCACACCAACAATTGGAATGACGATCGCAATCATTTATTCCATCAAATGATCAACTATAATACAATAACATAATGGCATTCATTGACAGCTGTCGTGTCCATCACATGTATGATACTGTTCATTTATCCATGAACAATGCCGCCACATTTGCAGGTGAACCCACATTCTGCATATTTGATTATTTTTAACATCATCGACCACTGCCTCTGCAACAATCGGGAATACAACACCATCTTGTAATGATCAGATCTGTTTGACTGGTCATTGTCATGACTGTTGCCATGACTCTTTGCAATGGTTTGAATAGTCCAAGATTAAACTGGTATTAACCATTTCAATTATACAACTCATGTCTGAAATCAAGCAATTGATGCATTACCAGTTTAATGTTTTGTCGAGATTGCTTGCTTGATAACATTTTCATTTGTCGTATTGTTCCCTTGCTCATAATTAATGCCATACATTTTATCCGATTTCCAAGTTGGCTATACAGTTGTAGCCAATCAACACGCCTGCTTACTATCATCCTGCTTTTGCTTATCAACTCAAAATCTAGTCATTTCAAACTTGAAATGAACAAGGCATATTGCAATCATTCATGATTACAAATGGCATGGTGATATAACACACTTGGTATATAAACAGGTATGTCATCAATTCAAGCAACTCAAGCCACTAATAACGTGTCCGCTTTTGAGTACTCGATTGATTCATGCTCCAATGAGTCTTGCCTCAACATATACAGAGCATGCATACAGCCAATACAAACAAGGTTGTTAGTGGTGTGAAATGGACGTTTCATGTATATGTCAATTACTCATTCGATGTTATCACAGTTCATTAATGGATACCAACAGCCCAGTTTTATCTGTCTGAACTCGGCATTTGACTCGCAATGCACAAGTTTGGAGTTATGCAAGTTGTATATGATGAAGCAAATTCCAGTTAGTCCATTTTGCATTGATTCCAAGAGTTTAACTGATTTACAATTGAAAACGGGTATCGGCGCTACATTCAAATACAACTGCAATCAAGTTCCTTTGAATTTGCCATACATGCAATCAATCAAAAATAATGCAGCAATATACCTGTTTTAAATGTATGGCTTGAATACATGTGGTCCACAAGCACATGCATTCACATGATATTGATGTGTTTTACTTGATTAGCACATGTATATTTAATTAGCTATCAAATTGCTGCGTAGCATGCTTTGTAGATTCAAGATATAAAATGACGTGAAATGGTATGGAACCAATCTCACCAACCTCTATCATTGTACCAGTTTGTATCTTATATTTGCTACATTTATACTAGATATTGAAAATATTGTTCAAAATGTTTGTTTCTACTGTTTCTCTCGTTCTTGCTCTTGCCACATCTGCAGTTTTTGCGGTTCCAACCATTCCGTCCACACAAGACGCCTCTGACAGTCTTCCATTCTACTTTCCCGAATCCACGTACCAACAGATTCCTTATGATCACTCATCCAGCCTCATGGCTCCGTCCAATACCGATCCAGTCAAGACTGGTGTTGCGTATCTCTGTGACAAACTCAATCTCACACCTAACGAGTTCAAGGTTTACAATAATTTCACAGACAGTGCTGGCGTAACTCACGTATATGGTGCACATCTAGTTAATGATGCACGTGTATCCAATCACCAAGCTGCAATCCATATCCAAGACGGCCAGATCATCTCATATTCGACTTCGTTTGGTACTGAAAGCCATTTTGCCAAAAGTGAGCTTTCAGTCGCAGAACCCAAAGCCAAACTGACGTTTGAACAGGTTGCTGATACTGTATCCAAAGCCAAGGGTTTGCCAGTTTACTCTGAGTTTAAACATGAGCTCGAGTATGTTCAACAGGCTGATGGCACGCTTGTGTATGCTTACAAATTCCAGCTTCGCGACAAGAATGTTATTTCATGGATCCAAGTTTGGGCAGATGCCGACACTGGTACGGTATTTCGGATTCAGATATTGATTTTTATAGAGTCGGTACTAATCTGAATGTAAATGGATTGATACTAGGCAAACTGATCCAGGCTGTTGATTTTGGTCATCGTGCAACATACAAGGCTATCAAAGTTCCTGATCTCAGTCCCAATGATGGATTTTCAGACATCAAAGATCCAGAATACAAACCATCGTCACCTAATGGATGGACTGACGGAACTGTCACTCAGGGTAACAACATTGATGCTCTTGACTATACAAAAAAACCGCCAGTTCCAGCAACCGGTGTTGACGGTGTATTTGACACCAAGTTCAACCCCGCTGCTAATGTTACCGATCCAGACAACATTCAGGCAGCAGCTGTCAATCTGTTTTACATTACTAACCTGATACACGATATCACATACCAGTATGGTTTCAACGAGGCGGCTGGTAATTTCCAAAAGGACAACTTTGGAAAAGGTGGTAAAGGCGGCGATGCAGTCAATATCAATGTCCTAGATACTTCGAGTGCTGAAAATGCCTTGTTTCACACTCCAGCTGATGGCCAACCTGGCATAATGCTAATGTTTCGATTCATTTCTACCGAGCCCAATCGCAATGGTGGTTTGGACAACCAAGTTCCTTTGCACGAATATGGACACGGTATTTCAACTCGGTTGACTGGTGGGTCTGCAGCAGTTGAGTGTTTGTTTGATGGTGAAGCTGAAGGTATGGGTGAAGGCTGGTCCGATATATTTGCCACAATCATAACTGCCAAGCAATCACACAAAGCCGACACTCCAATTGGCATTGCTGCATATGTTGATAATACGACCAACGGTGTTCGCTCTCATCCTTACACTACTGACATGAAAGTCAATCCTCTGACGTATGCCGATCTTCAAACTCGTGAAAAATCTCACGTTATGGGTGAAGTGTGGGCTTCTATACTTTGGGAAGTCTACTGGAACTTGGTCACCAAGAACGGATTCTCCACCAATCTCTACGACGCCAAGGGCAAGTTTGGTAACATTATTACTATGCAGAATATGATTGGTGGTATGATGCTTCAGCCATGCCATCCCACTTTCCTTGATGCTCGTGATGCTTTTATTGCATCTGATGTTGCTCGCTACAATGGTGCCAACAAATGCGAGATCTGGAAAGGATTCGCCAAACGCGGTCTGGGAGTCAAGGCTGCCAAGTTCAACAACGATTTCTCAGTTCCTGATGAATGCAGTGGTGGTACTTCATCGTCTAGCAGTGTCTCTATTGCTACCACAACAGAATCTACCACAGTAGAGTCTGCAACCGTAGGAGCTACAACCGCAGAAGCTACCACAGCAGAGTCTACTACCACAGAGTCTGCCACTACTGCAAGACCTACAACAACTGCACGCGCTACCACCACAAAGAAATCTACTACAAAGAAATCTACCACAAAAAGATCCACCACTACTCGTGGTCCTAAGCCTACTTCTGGATGCACTCGCATGGACATTTATTTCAACTACATTGGAAAAAGTTGCGATCAAAACTAGATATTCAAGTCTAGTAATTGTTTCCCACAATTTATTGAATAAAGTATATTGTAACAATGTATAAACAATCTGTATTGGTAACGGCTATTTGGTGTGTATGGCTTTGTGACAAGTAATGCCATTAGTTTAAACTCGAATGAACACGGCACACTTGCATGGAGTTATCTATGCTTTGATATTCGAGTTTATTCAGCAAATGAATCCATTCAATATCAAGTAAAGGCTTGAATGAAATACATTCAGATCCATCAGCCCAGAATATGCTGTTTTTACAAGACATTGACTAGTAATACAATATGTCCACCATTGGGTAGAGTTGTACCAATCAAAACAAGTATAGGCTGCATTATCACAATTACTGATGATCGATCTCAGAATTCTGTTTAAACATATCAATCAATGGCAATGACTGTTGAAAAGGCTAGCATGGATGACAAGTGCAAAGTAACTGATTGAGTCGAGAGTATCAATTACACAATCTACCTGCACAATATTCAACTATTATCGACATGATTGGAGTATTGAACATCAAGTTTGATATGCGGTGTCATGGAATCATCTGGTTGTCCATATGATTTTCAATCACCAAACGTGTAGTTGTCAATGTTCAGATCCAATATAAAACAGATGACCATTGGTGATGAGAATATCATGCAGTATTGATTCACGAGTGCCAACACCAAACCACAATGTATTTGACAAACACACCTAACGAATATTACCGTATAATTGGTTTCAATCAACATCTACGGCCATACACACAAGAAAATACCGGATCCCGTTCGATCTCCGAAGTCAAGCTTGTGATGGCTCAGTCAGTACTGTGGTGGGGGACCACACGGGAATACTGAGTGCTGTAGTTTTTGCTAAATTAACAATCTGATCTCGTTTTGGATGTTCTGGATCAAATCTCAGCTTGAATCTTTATGATGGTTGTGTTGAAACTGGAAAGCAATGTCAAGAGTGCAATATGGTATATCGCTGCGAGTACCATGACTGATACCAAACATCACTGATCATCCGTTGGTTTAAACGCAACCCAACAACAGGGACACTTTACTGGATAGACTATCAAGTGACACCAATATTTTAAAAAATCGATTCGCCAACAAGACACTGCAAATACTTTGAACCAAGTATGTTGACAGATATGCTTGCTTGGGATTCATTTGCCATTCATTACCAAAGATGATCTCAATCACGAATGGAATTAAAACTGAATGCGAGTATTGTTGCTACTTTGACGCTAATTTGTTTGAAGTATGAATCCAACACTGAGTTTCATAACAATTCAAACTTGCAGGCTAATTACTATTCATGCAATATTTTTGTCCAAGATTGCACATATCCAATAAATAGTATGACAGCTATGATCACAATTTAGCAGTAATTGAAGGTTAAAAATTGGTATTATTCGATGCCTCATGTTGAAATGATTTTGGGTTTGGAGATAATATAAGATAAACAGTTGAATAATCCAAAAGAGAGCCTATTTGATGTCGAAAGTGCTCGTTAATCAAAATCAACAGATCTACTCAGTATTTAATAGCTGAAAATATTTCTTAAAGTGTTTAGTAACTGAACTAGTAATATAGATAGTAATTGATAAAGCCTTGAGATAAAAAGATTCAAGATTAGCAAGATATTTATTTATAAACGTGCATTCATAAAATGAAACACTAAAATAAAATACTTTTTAATATTTTAACATAAACATCAAACTTCAATAACTTTGACAAATGTTAGGTCAGTAAATATTGTTACTTTGTATCGGAGATACTAACACTAGATACAAAGTGCTACATTTTACGTGAATATGGCTGTAGTTTAGGTATTTAGCTTTGGTCTCAAATGGCCAATAGATTTATAACGTGACTGGAAATGATTTTGCAACTTGCCAATAGAATCTAACCCATTTCTATTGATCTAGGAATAAAGGCGTTACAAGCTAACCAATGCCGTTTTCTGCAGCTGACCGCCTCAGATGCCTTTGTACTTTGAAGCATGTTTTATTTTACCAAGATTCTAGAAAGCTTCGACATACAATATCTATTACCAACCTTTTAACAACTAAAAGTCGTCTTTTTTCGCAAAGTTCCACATTTTCAAGTCGATACAATATCCTATACTTTGGCACTGATAACTTCTCGGTAGCATGTTTCAAATCACTTTTGACTAAACGAGGTGAATAGTGGTTTAAATGTTGTTGTACTTTGTCTTGATTGCTGTCTAACAATCTCTCAGAATCAATCATAAAAAATATTCAAGTAGTCACACCTCCAGATAATTTGAAGGCAAAAATTGTCACAAATCAAGAAGGTCAGTTGAGCTACTCTATCATATTCAATCATTTGCCAATAGTTCCAATTTGGTAATAATTCATAGCATAAAATTATATATTTTCCAGTGCCTTTAAAGCGCTTTTGTAAACAGAATGGTATTCAATGTGTGGATGCACCGCCCAAATCTCTTGCAGGATGGCAGGTGAGATGCATTTTTAAATTCAATCGATTTCTTGGTTCGCTTATGAAAGTCTATTGATATACTGTTTAGCTACCCGAGTTACCTTCTGGCGAAGCATATGACATTGCAGTGGTTGTGTCATTTGGCTATTTTTTGCCTCGTCATATCATACACGAGTTTAAGATTGCTGCCATCAACGTTCATCCTTCTCTGCTACCAAAGTAAGCTGCCGATATTCAATCTTAGATTTTTGTAGTTTTGAATTTAATAATGCCATTTTAGATACAGAGGGTCATCTCCTATACAGTATACAATTTTGAATGGAGATAATGAAACTGGAATTTCAGTCATAGAACTCAGCCCTAAAAGATTTGATGCAGGCAGAATTTTAAAGCAAACGCACATTGTAGGCATATTTTTGTTCTGTAGTCAATAACTAGGACTGTATTCTAATGCAGTTTATGAATTCTCCTTTTATACAAACCAATCACAGTCCATTCCAACAAATTTATACTTTGAGGATCTACATAACATGCTTGCAATACATGGCGGAGATGCTTTGATTGACACAATAGAGCATTTGGATGAGCTGCAAAAGCACGCACTTACTCAAGATGAATCTTTGGTTACTTATGCTCCACGGCTTGAAAAAAGTGCAGCAGTGATAAATTGGAATAAGCAAAAGGCAGAGCAGATTTATTCATTGCATCGTGCGATTAGCTCAAGGGTAGGGTTTATCTTTTGATTTATACAGTTTCAGAACTGATGGTTTGTGTTGCTTATGCCTTGCTATTTTATTATCTGTTTTAAATTTTCTACAACTATGCTATACGACAGTTTCCACTTACTACCATGTTCCGAGGTGAAATCTGTAAGCTTATAGACATAGAAGCCCCGCTATCACCAGCTACTCAAAAAGAAATTGGGCTTCCTGATTACAAGAGTACATTGCAGGGAAGTCTCGTTTATTTAAAAAGTAGAAGCACAATATATTGCTGTTGTGTAGATGGCTGGATAGGAATTCGGTGCCTTCAAATGCCAACCAAACGTAAGCAGCACGCAGATGCATTTAACAATGGATATTTTAACTACAAAAACCATAATCAATTTGACAGTTTGGAATGAAGTTTTTCCAAAGCAACGGACAGTTGCTGGATTCTAATGGCATTCAATGGTGCTTCCTGAAAATTCGAAATAGTTTTTTCCTTGTAGATATCGACTGTGTTTTGTAACGACACTGGCAAAGAATCCAATACATTGAATGCGTGTTCATTCCCAACTGTAATCTGAAGCGTGGCCGTATTTTCTACTTTTTCTAACGAGTCGGAGCTGTCGTTTGGAAATTCATCAGCTTTGTCCTTTTGCAGTGTTGGAAATGTTTCTGCGTGTGAGGTTGTGGCGTGATAAGAGACTGTCTTTAAATGACCTAGTTGAATAGTATCAAAGATTGTATTACTAAACATACATTCTAGAAACCACAGCAATCGGCAGCAGAGTACATACCATTTAATTTTTCCCAAATAGACAACAGAAAATGCTAATCAAAAAAGTTTAGATACATGAATAATAATTGGTAGCTAAAGAGATTGCGTTGCATTATTAGTATTTACATACCACTTGAGGGTCTTCTTGTAGCTTGTCCCAGCAGAGTTCTGACATGATGTGTCTCCAATATGATGGGCTGCTATCCATAGCTAAAGTATAAACAGCGTAGATACAAAGTAAACTAAATGATAGAGATAAGCAGCCTTCTTAATAAAAGCAATACCTAGAGGTAAAACCAATGCGCTATTATCAAGCTCTTGCGAAAGACATTTACAAGCCATCCAAACAATATACAAGGCTACAAAATAACTAAAATTAACATTACACGATCCGCAGTATAGTATTATACAGCAGGTAGCGAGTACTTGCAGTTGATCTTGCGATGAAGTTGTGCAAGCAGATTTAGCGATCGAAACTCTACTCGTTCTGCAATACACTTTGAGAGTTGAGTCTCTGCAAAAACATAGTTGATTAGAGTATGTTGTGTGATGGTAACCATCCATTCAAAGCTAAATACCTTGCAATTGAATATTGCTTTCGAGGCTGTCTAGAATAATGTTGATATCGTAAGTAACAAGGTGAATTGCATGGCTCAAACCTTGTTGCCTAATTCTAGTAGCATTGCATTCGTTGGCTTTTGCAAAACAGAGACGAATGGTTCTGATCTTCATACAAGTTGTCAAATTCATAAAATCGACACAATCTGGTGTAGCTGATTTTAATGGATATCCTTGAAGTTTCAATGCTGTAGCAATAGCATCAACATAGCTGAAGAGCGAAAACAATAGGCTCTCGCACTTTAATTCTTTTTGACAAAGCTTGATGCCCAAGTCAGAGGTTTGGAGTGCGTCCAAGTACATTTGCTTACAGAATGCCATGGATAGTGGCTCCGTCCAGAAAATAGAAGCAAGCAAAGACATTCTTTTTAATTGGTCTCCATAGGTGTTCTAACCCATGCGTCAGTCAGCAATATATATTATCTGAAATGTACATATTGCTCAATTGCTAACCTTGCGCTCAGCGAGGGATCCATTCAGTTGGTGTGCCTTCTGGTGTAATAAACCAAGACGAGTATTAGACTTTCTGGATATATTTGCATAAATTAGTACAAGTCAGTAATACCTGTAAGTTCTCAAGTTGAAGAATCCTATCGTTTAGCTGAATCTGCTGCTGCTGGTGGTCAAGCAAGGCACGTTTAAGGACGATATTCTGTGCTCGCAGCTGAGATTCATGCGACATTATAGATAAAATGAAACGCCAATAAACTGCTCTTTTTAACAATAAGCGATTTTGATTTAGAAATATCTAGTATATCGTAATACAATAAATCAAGCATACAGTCGAGTTCCTAGAGCTTGTAAACGTTTACTGTAAATTATAGTTTCAATTGATATTACAGCCGTATTCACGTAAAATGAAACTAACAAGAGTGTCTGAGCTCCTTGACAAAGTTTGACCTTTCTTCTCTACTTATTTTGTATAGAGCAAATGGTCAATCCCCTTTTTTACAAATCAAACATTACAATATTGCCATGAAAATAACCGTTAAATTCCTGAGGTGTGCCATCATTATTTTCTTGAACTAGAACGTATCTGAGATATTTTAGGATACAACAAAGAGGGGTTGTATTGGAAACAGTCAAACCCAATATCAAGGTGGCAATCAGTGAGTCTGATTCAAAACTTCTTGATCGTACAGTTTATGCGTATGTTAAAGAGATAATATCGGTTTGATTCTGTATGATGGTCATTGTTTATTGAATTGGATGTGCCTATTAGTCAATTTGTAGTAGGAAAACAACGAATATTTAATCATTGTTTATTTTGCAGAAAGCTAAAGGAAGTAACTGCGAAATAATATTTCATTTTACGTGAATATGACTGTAAATCAATAGACCAAGTAACATATTCATTACGATTACCGCAGTAAATACTATTGGCTTTAGCGAAATTAGTCAAACTTTAAATTTCGTTCCAAATTTCTTGATCGTTTATGGATGAGTTGCCAGGTGAAAATAGGGGATCGTTATACTTTGGGTAGCTTCAATAGTATGCGTCTAGCAAGCTGTTGAACCACCAATGAAGGACTGGCAAGATACTTTTCTATAACACGATAAAGCTCGCTTGCTTGATACTGAGAACCAAAAGATGGCTCAAGATGCGCAGTATGCATCATGTGCTCCAGAATCTTCAAAAGAAAAATGGATGCCTGAGTTGAGGGGTTGTGCATCAGGGCATCGTGAACAGCAGATACCAGTCCTGCTTCAACAAGTCTGAGTGCAAGTCTTTCTGAGCATGCAATTAGCTGTAGAATATTTCCAGCAATCTTCTCATTTTCAGAAGCTACAGTGTGCAATAGAAAGGATGGAATGCTTGATATACACGGGCTAGATATTAAAGCACTCTCTATTCTTTCTTGATCTTTTGAAAGCCTATTGAAATATGAATTAATATGCTGCCATGATTACTATTGACACTATGGCGCCAGTAGCTTAAAAGTTATACCCTCACCAAAATAATATGGCTTCAAAAGCACTTGCTCGCCATACAATATCGCTGACCATTAATGATGCCAAAACAGATATGGAGTCACTTATCCATAGAGCATCTCGACTTTTTGAACTGCCATGAGCAAGTTCACATAGCATTGGAATAGCAAATTGTCTTGCGCTGTTGCATGAGATTGACAACTCTCTTAAGTATGGACTTATCCCAGCAAGAATAGCTTGTTCCTGTCTCTCTACATTCATCTTTATCAGACTGGAAAGCGAGCTGAGAATCTGATTCTGGACATCTTGCTAGATATCGATTTAACAGTCAGTAAAAGCGATCGCTACAAAATAATAAATACTAAACAGCTAAACTTACATTGGTAAGGCAGCTACTCTGTCTCCAAAGAATGCCACACAATACAGAGACTCCGCCTGCCTTGGCAACTGGATCCAAAAGTGCGGGTTGCTGGCAAAGATTTTTAATAATCTTTAGACATGTAACCATAAGGTCAGCATGTAAATGCGGAATCATTTCCAAAATGGCTACAAGGTCAAATAAATATATGCAGGATATATAAGTGTCGCAACCACAAAGCTAATAAACCACCGCCCTGAAAATTCAAACTCAAGCAGCAAACTCTTTTGTACCTCTAATAAAAGTATCCGAGCCCATAATTTCTCGAAACTGGTCAGCTTGAGAGATATCTAGCAGTATCATTAGTGCAAACCGTGAAGAGAATAACAAGTGACCATCGTTTTTGGAGTAGGAGTTTTCGGCTATCTTTAAAAGTATACGAGGCAATCTCATTCGTATCAACAGTCTATGAAGTTCATGCTTGAATTCGCCCATCTACAAAAAACTCAACGTTTATCTATTTTAAAAATTAAATATGCACTATTCAATTGAACATGAACATACCTGCGATTTCAAAGACAGATGAATATATGTGAGTATAATGGTTGCATATTTGTCTTTGCTCTGGACAATTAGATTTATTATCGCTCGCGCGTGTAGCAATGAAGTGATTGGTGCAAGAACAATTATACGACCCAGTAAATGACAATAGGCCAGACAGGATTCTGCATCTTCCATAAACGACCAAAACGGCTTTTTGCCAATAAAACAAATCAAAAACGTGACCACTTGATTTTGTAGGCGACGTTGATGCTGTCTGTTTTCTGTAGCAGCAATCACAAACTATATAACCATTTTTATCAGTGGGATTAAAAAGCATGGTATAAAATTGACTCATTCAATTGATCGGCTCGTACTTTTATACAGGCGTCTGCAATACCAATACGTATAATACGACTGTTGCCTTGATACTCCACCAAATCAATAAATAATGAGAGTTTACCCTCATCTAAATAGGTCTGTGCTAGTTGATAAATATCTACCAATAGATCAATCAGATAAAGAGTTGATACACGACTGATCCATATGACCTCATATATTGCAGTATAGTTAAATAGCCATACATGACAAACCTGGACTATCACCAGTTTTAGATATAGTGGGATTGCCTTTTTCGGAAATACTATGCGTGTCTTCATACGAAAAACCAGATAAAAGAGGACTTGACTCAATATCAGCAAATGGATCAAAAGACTCGTGTGCTAATCGTGCATCTTCCTAGTCTCCAGTATGACAACGTTAAAATGAACAAATCAAATGTTTTCAAGCATGAAAATATACGTACATGATTTGTTTTTGAAAGCGTCAGTTCCCCAAAAGGAGAGTCAAAGGCGGCTTCAAAATCATCACCGTCATTGGGTAACTCTACAAAGTCTTCAAGATCAAACGCAGCATGTGATGTTCTATGCGATACATTTTCGTCTTGAATGCTACTTTGTTCAATATGTTTAAAGTGTGGTGTTGAATGCTAGATTGTGATAAACTTGAGCTCAGTCTGCCATGATTAAAATTGATCCGAGCAGGGTCAAACTACACTACCTTCATTTGATTTAGCCATGTGTGTTTGCATAAGTTGTTTGCTGAAATGCGTAAATGAGGATCTCGTTGAAAACATTCAATCAAAAAGTTTATAAAAAGCTTCACATTGTCAGTAAAATATGTAAATGACATTGATGTATTGAATCGCTTACCTGTGATGCCTCCAATGGTATCGGTGGATGATCATCACTAACAATACGAAACAACGCCGAGACAGGAGCAAGCTCGTGATATGGCGGATGTCCGGTAAAGAGTTCAATCGAGGTGCATCCAACACTCCAAATATCTGATGTTGTGCTCGCACCTTGAAGCTCAATTACCTCTGGTGCCACTATCATCTCCAAATAAATGCAACGTGCAGATGATTAGATTAATAATGCGTGTCCGTTGATAATAGTATGTGTCCATATAGATAAGTATTTACTCCAATATGCAGATCCAGCAACTGTTTCGTCAACAACATTCAGTTGCTGTCTAATCGCTATTCCAAAATCAGCAAGCTTGACTGATCCGTCTTTGGTAGATAAAATATTCTGAAGCTGCAGTAAGTACGTAAATCCTACATAAATCACACTGGCCTAAACAGCGTTACTTACTGCACTTTTAATATCTCTATGGATCACGCCTTGTCCATGCAGATATCCCAAACCTGCCAATACCTATTATAAAAATCAAAAACTTTGAGCTGAAGCACAATTGGCAATGCAGATCCACTAGTGATCCATCTATTAAAATGTAATACTACCTGACTCATATACAAGGCTACCAGTTTTTCAGGTATTTTACCAAACTTGCGTATGGTTTCTTGAAGCGAGCCGCTTTCGCATAGTTCCATGATTACGTTTAGATATGCACCGCTCTCTTCATATCCATAGAGAGCAACAATGTTGGGATGACGAAGCTGTTTTAGTAAATCTATTTCCAACTGCCTTGAGAATGCTGGTTAGCAATGGGGAGCATATAGATTGCGACCCCAAGAATATCGCAATATCATATACCGCAATCTGCTCGGCTTGCAGAGAAGGAAGGTCCAGTCGGCGGAGCTGCTTAACTGCCACAGTGTGTCCAGTACGAAGGTTTAGTCCACGATATACACTGGCCGTCGCACCTTTTCCTATACATTCGCCAAGTTGATATCTGCTTGACATGAATTCAAACTTTTGAAAGCACTCGAGTAATCGATGAAGGCTGGAAAAAACAATGCTTGCCACATGCACTATTTAAACTTTTGAAATATAACAGCTGAAGGAAAAGTCTGATTTGAATTACAAGGCGGAATTCAGCTCAAGATCTAGCCAGTCATATATATTGAGTCAATGTAATTTCATTAGATTCAAGTTCACGCTCGCCATTCATTATATAAAGATAAAGCTAGTTTGAAGTGCATCACTTATAAAGGCTTTTGTTTCTATCAAGGTGGCCATGACTATTATAATCAATTTGTTTTGGCTGAAAACAATTGATCTGGTAGATTTCAACTGCAAAACGTTCTTCAAGCTTTTCTCGACACGTTCAACTTCCAATAATAAAAACGATGTGGGTTGCAGGACAACAGATAAATGGAGAATATCAAAATATTGCTGTGCACTCCAGTCTTCCTTTGCAAGCAATATCACTTCACGATAGTCAAATTCAGATACATGATGAGGAAGGCACACACCTCGAGTCGCTTGCACTCAAGAAAGACTCGGTTCCAACAAAAATGGTTTGGCATCCCACCAAAAAGCAACTTGCAATGGCTTGGAATGGAGGTTTGACTACCTAAAATACACTACAGAATGCGGTGTTTGTCATAGTTATACCAATATCATTAACAGTATTTGGGCATGTTCGTGTAGGTACTGTCGGGCTATGGTGTGTAGATATGGAAAGCACCTTACGCGAAGGAAAAATACACCAATGTCGCATCACCTGTTTGGAGTGGAACTCTTTTGGAAACAGGATTATTAGCGGAGATGAGGTATTTAAATCGTTTTTTGGAATCGTATCTAGATCTTAATACAGTAAGAACGCTCAAGTGATATTTTACAGGAAGGTGCAGTCGTTGTGTGGAAAGTCGACACAAGAGGTCGCCTATCAACAATGTCTCAGTATCGACTCAAAAGTCAAATCGTTTGCTGTGTTTTTCGAACCTCCAGTGGACTTTGTTTGGAGAGGTACATTATTTGCTCAGAGTAGTTTCCGATGGCTCGACTCGAAAATAACTGAGTTGAATGTTTCAACTATAATTATTTCAATGGCAGACATCGTGAAAAAGACTCGCCACCGTTTTTTATAGCAAGTCAGAGTGGATCCATATATTATGCCGATGATATTGGGCATTGTACAGAAGTATCTTCTTTAAAATCACCGATAGTTTCTCTCTATATTTCCGGAACCCATAATTCCATGTTTGTACTAAGCGATGACTTGATTCTTTCTCGGTTCGATTTGGATCAAGATGGAAAGATGACTCAAAATACATCGGTAACTACATCCAAGATTAGATATCCAACTCACGCACTAGTTTTTATTAACCTTTATGCTTTAGATGAAGCTTAGCAATGGGCTTAAAGCTCTGGGAATAAATTTGATATCTGCCTGGATTGAGCCGGGTATGCTTGCAATGACAGTGAATGGCAGTCCTGTTCGAATTTGGAATGTTTGGAACGAGGAAACATGCTCATTGGATAGACCAGGTATTCTACTGTTTTACAAAGCAGCGACTTTGTCTTGTAATGTACAATCACTAAAATCTTTTATATATAATATCAGAGTTTGGGTTGCCAGTGTATCGATCGTTTCAATTCAATACTCGACATCAAATAATGGCAGGTATGATATATTACAGTCTTTGATTTTTAAAATGGTGTTTGCTGTAGTGTTAAAACAAATCGTTTTGTAATATTTTTTCTTGGTTTAAAAAACGGTTAGTCGGATCCGACAATGGGATAGTTGTATTGTGGCAAGCAAGTGCCAGTACCAATGTGTCGGAAAATTCGCATACTTGGGAGGTACTATTCTAATGCATTGACTTGTAAATGTAGTGGTATAAGACTAGTATACTTAGTATTCCATCACTAATTCTGCTATTGCTAGCCTATACACAAGTTTGATCTAGGAAGTGGAAGTATTGTGTCGCTGTCGTGGGGTAAGGTTAAATTGCTTTATTCAAGGCTAAATAGTAACTGTTTAAGGCTTGCAAAATACAAATCTGATGATGATTTTCAAACCAGGAAAATATGGCAGTATTTTGGCTGTTCAAAAAGCACTCGGATTTCAGATGATTCGCCAGCAAATACTGAAGTCGGCTATATCTGGAACAGAGGTTGTAGCAATGCAGTCAGACATCAATTCAGTGGAAATTGTTCGGCACAATGATACGGTAAGCTTGTTTATTTTAAAGCAGTATTATTGGTGTTTATTGTTGTAGGAGAATGAAAAATATAATGCTCTATGTTAAAATCACAATCAACCATTTGACAATGGCATTACCATATTCATTTAGCCTCTGCAAATTTCGATCCAAGCTAGTATCAAGGATATTAAAGTGGCAAAAGGGGTATTGGCAGTACTCACTGGGAAAGGAATTGAACTCCATTTATTAGAAGGTATTGGGCAGTTTTTTCTAATTTTCAATGGTGTATTGTAAGGATAATGTGCTAAGTTTGCCTGTTGGAGCAAATAGATCAAATGCAAAAGGGTACAAGCTTTCCAATGATCACAAGTGCCTCGGGAGTGTTTGCCGTCAATTCAAATTTTTTGTTTGTTGCTGAAAACAACCACCTTAATATATATACACTGCAAGGTCTTTTGAAAAATACGGTGGTAATTCCTGTAGAGGAAGGTGACATTACTCATTTACTAGCTACAGATCAGTCAGTCATTTTGGTAAGTTGACTTGGTATTGGCGTTTAGTTATATATGGAAAATTGATTTAATTAAATTTGGATGCGTATACTTTGATTCTAGTTAACAAGAGGATGCACACTAAATATCTATGATATCGGACAACGCGATACTCGGTTAATGATTTCTCGGTTGCTACAGTCTGTACTACCAAATGATACCATTGGATTATTCTCTGTAAATTCTACCAAATCAATGGTAGCCTTGAATGGCTAGTAGTCTGCTTTTATTTTATTTGAACAGTTGCTGAAGTTTACTATACTAATAATATTGTGTTAATAGTTATTGGACATCCATTGAAGTTGATTATATACTGCATCGACAAAAGTCAACTTTTGGAATATACATTTCAAGGATCCAAGGTAAAAACCTAAATATATGCCTTATATAGCATCAATATTGCTCTGTGTCCCAAATATTGACACTAGAATAAATTATTTAGATCACAGATATGTTTTGGGACACTGATGATCAACGCGTTTTAGTTTGTGAGCTGGATAAAGGTAAGCTGGCATGGCACAAGCAATGCCTACCAAACCATGTCATATAACTGAGATTGTTGTAAATTTAATGAATAGGCACAGGGGATAAGCCTCAGGTAGGGTTTCGAGCTAATATGCTACTACAGCATTGTATCAATCTTTATTTAACATGTGCTTTTCAGATTTCTTCACTGTTTGTATCTACAGATTTTGGAATTGTTGTAAAAGATACAAGTTCATTCCCTGATAAATGCGAGCGACTGATTGGAGTGTCAATTCCATACCTAATATACCAGCAGGTAGTAAAGTATACTATTTCGTTATAAACTTGTACAAAAGGGAAGCTTCGTACTGATGCAAGTATGTTTATAGAAGCATGACCTTAAAACAGAACGCCTATCAAATATATTGTTCAGCTCATGCCAAGAGTACATAGGTGTTGAAAAGGAGGTGCCATCTGTAATACGAGCAATTACAGATTTTAGCTACAATTTATCCAACGGAAGAGTTGATGAAGCAGTTAAGGTATTTAAACAATGCATGCAATTTATTGGTGTACAAAGTATGATTTTCGATCAATCTGACGAGATTTTAAACACAACGCTTGGTTTTGTATTTTCTGGCTATATCATGCCTTTTTATTATAGTCAATCAAGCTTATTCGTAATCAGAGCGTTTGGGAAAATATGGCCAAAATATGCTGTAAACTAAGAAGGCCTGCTTTAGCAAAGCTATGTTTGGGGAAACTCAAGAATGCAAAAGCATTAAGAACTTTGAATTCCAGATATTTGAAAAGCTCAGATGCCAGTGTCGATCAGGATTTTTTAACTGCGATTCATCTGGGTAAATTTTGACTTGCAGGCGTCAATTTGACCAATATGCTTACTGTTGTGAGAATCTAATAGTATACTTGAAAAATATTGTCATGAATTGATCTTTAGGATTGTACGATGAAGCAAGCAAAATTTGCATTCAGACGAATAGATTTGACTTGCAGAGCGAGCTGCAACAGGTGTGTTTGATTGTAGTTGGCTATACACGATATACTCGTTGTTTTGAACAATAGCTGGCATTAACAAAAGTGGCACTACTAGTGTATGGGTCAATGGGAAAAGGCTATTGAATCTGCTGCTACAAAAGATAGACCATTGCTTCCTGCGGTTTTTTATAATTTTGGAAAGTATTTGGAAGAGATAGGTGATCTAAGTGGAGCTGTTGCAGCATATGAAAAATCCAATACTGCAAGGTAACTCTATATTTGTGAATACGTCAAAGTCTGAAACTGTAATTGTTAAATATGAGTTGTTTTTGATTACTGACACTTTGAACAAAAGGGCCCAGATTCCTAAAATTCTTCTTGCTCAACCTACAGAATTACAAAACTATATTGATGGCTCATCTGATTTGGTGAGAATTGATTTTACAGTATGATGACTAAATAGACGTATCTTACGGGTTTTAATTCCTATATTAGTCTTTAAAATTGTGGTGGGCTCAAAATGCAGAATCGCACGGCGATTTTACAACAGCAACCAAGTATTACAAAGATGCAAACGATTTACTCTCGCTTGCTCGAGTTTGCTGTTTATCAGGAGATACTGAAGCTGTAAGTGTGCATCGACATATTGCATTTATTCGCGAAAGCAAAATACTGACAATCATTCAAGGCAGTAAAACTAGAAAGTGAACATCCAGAGAGTGCTGCTGTGGCTTACTATCTTGGACGCCAATTTGAAGAAGAGGGAAAGGTGAGGCCTGTGCTATTTTGATTTTCCTGTGTTGTTTGCTTAGAATTGCATACCTAATCGATTGATTTAGATTGATACTGCTATATCATATTATTCCAAAGCTGGTTCATTTTCCAGCGCGATTCGACTGTCAAAAGAGCACAAACTGGAGAAAAATTTGGTTCATCTTGCTCTTCAGAGTAGTCCTGAATTGATAAACGAAGTAGCACAGTATGTGAATTTGGTGGTGTATATGCTCGTGTTTTTGATAGTTTAATCCTCTGCATCAGTGTAGAACGGTTCAAGTTTTTATGCTTATTTTTTTTGTAATAGATACTTTATCAATACAGGCCAGCCTCAAAAGGCTATTCCGCTTTACAGTAAAATAGGGAACGTATCAAAAGCTCTTGAGATTTGTTATGCCACCAAAGATATGCAAATGCTATCAACAATTGGTAATGCGTTGATATTTGGTTTGCATCATTTATACATTCAACTATTGTTAGTGATACTGGCTTGCTTACTTGTCTTTGAATAATTTAGCAATGACACTTGATCCTGTCAATGATGTCAATGCGCTTACACAAATCGCTCAATTTTTGATGGATAATGAGGCAATCCAAAATGCAATGCAGCTTTTCCTGCTAATTCAAAACCATGATGCAGTAAGGCCTTGTATATCGTATTTAGCTTGATCTTTTATTACCTGCTTACTTTGTAACACTCGATATTTTTATTTTTCAGATTCTAAACTTGTGCCAGAAAAACCAGATTATTCTTTCGGAAGAAATCATTGAAAAAATGAAAATAGACAATACTGCTTCAATTAAAAAAGAGATATACACAAAAATGGCCGACATCTGCTTTTCTCAAGGCTCTTACTACCTTGCGTGCAAACAATACACTTTGGTATGTGTTTTAGTATTTGATTTGTAATAATTACCATCATTTATGAGTCAAAGGTGTATTATTGATGGCGTTTAACAAAAATACATTAACATCTTTATTGTATTCGCCAAAAAGGCTGGTGATAGGCTACGAGCAATGGGGTCATTGTTAAAATCAGGAGATAAAGAAAAGATTATATTTTTTGCAAGTATGAATTTAGTATTTTTGGTTTATCAATGTGTGGCTTTACAAGTATATTATTTATAACGCTCACATTGACTTTATACAAGATGTATCCGGATCCAAGCATCCCGAGATCTACGTGATTACAGCAAACTATCTTCAAAGTTTGAATTGGCGAGCAGATTCTAGTGTGATGAAAGCCATTATTCAGTTTTATACAAAGGTGAGGCTAAACTTGGCGTGTTCATTATGTATGCTTGTGGCTAATTTATAATTTGATAACAAGGCCAAAGCACACTCATCATTGGCACGATTTTATGACTCCTGTTCACTCGTTGAGATTGACGAGTTTCAAAATTACGAAAAGGTTGGACAGTTGGTTTTTTGAAAAGATTACAGGCAATAAGTATGCATTTAATATTTAACCTATTTATGTGGATCAACTACAGGCTCTCGGTGCATTGACTGAGGCTGAGAAATGTTTAATGAAAAATGATGCGATGGGAAAAAGTGACCAAGAGATGCTGGAAACAACCCAACGAAGGATCCATTATATCCAAATTTTCTTGGAAGCCCAGCAATGTGCCAAAAACCAAAATTTAGATGATATGGAGCATTTATGTGTCAGCATGCTAAATGAACCTGATATAGATGTAAGTAAAAATGCAGTTTGTTAAAAACACGCCTGATTTGATTTGCCTGGACAGATCTTGGCTCTAACATTTACTCATTGTTTTTGTAGGCGAGTGTAAGATGTGGTGATATTTATGGCTTGATGATCGAATCTAATTATTCAAATGGAAATTTTGACAAAGCCCGAAAGCAACTCGGGGAGCTTAATCTTCGGCTAACCAACACAAGTGCTGATTATTATGTGGATAAAGTCATTGTCCATGCTCTTGGCGGGGCTCTTGAACAAGCTTCAGCATATAATCAGAATGATACTGTCGAAGATGACTTTTAAAAAATAAAGTTTAGTTTATTTGATGCATTGATTTTTTCCGTGAAGCCGGCAGATCATATTCCAGATCGGATTTGGAGGGCCGCTTGCGCTTTTCAGATCGACTCTGAGCCTCAAGTATTTCGTGTCTTTTATACAGCGTTGCCGAGTCAACAGTTTCCCAAACATGGGTGTTTTCAGAGATTGATGATGACGCCAATCTATCAACAGAAGCAGTACTGTTTAAAGAGGAAGTCTGCCAAGCTACTGTACCAGACAGGTTGTCCGTGTTATTTTTGATCACCACAGCACCACCGTTATTACAACTGACATTCCATAAAGCAGTCGAGTTGCACTTTAGAGTAGGTTTAACAGCACAAGATTCCGTTGATTTTATCATAGAGTTGTCAACAGTATTTAGGTCAGGATTGGCAAGATCAACCTTGGGTTTCTTAATTTGTCGATGAGCGGTCTTTTCTTCAGAATTAGAGCCTGATTGTTTGACGGTATGTTTTGGAGATGACGGTGTGCCAAGCAAAGAGCTGCTTTTGGAACTTTGATGTTTTAATGGATGCTGTGAGCGATCTGGCAAGGATAAGCGTAGCTCAGAAGTAAGTTCATGAAGACTATGCATGTTGCTTGGGCTTGATTGACCATTTTGCAATTTGGCAGTGAGTGTACTCATCGATGATGCGGCGTTTGGCTTGTGAGAATTATTCAGAGATTGGCGAACATAAAATAACATGTAGGCAGATTGTGCGAGCACAGTTTTTTCTGAAACCTGCTGAACTAAACTGTCATTCATTAAATACCTGACAAAAGTTTGATTCATTGGTGTCAACATATGAGGATGAATGCATGACTAGATTAAACTATTTTCAAGCGAGGAATCTTACCAACACCCATCCGGTGCCTTTACAAAGCAATAGTAGTGCCCAGAATGGCATGATCCACCTGAATGTACCAATACTGCAAAAAGATGATATAACACCTATAGTAGATGAGGAATAAAATTGAGATAGTTCAGCCAAGGCAAATGTAGTAGCACTAGCAGTATACAATGATCTACACAGTGCTTACATTCTGTTTAGTAGACTGAGACATGAATGGGTATAGGTTTAAAACTGTCTTGAATAGTACTGGAGATGAGATTTTAGAGCCAACACGATGACCAAAACCAAATCGCTTTAGCTGAACAGTTAGCACAACAGGAGGCTCTAATACAGTAATTTGCTTGTAAGCATCTCGCAGCGCGTTGCATCTAAATCACAATTGTAAATATTTAGCACTACATTCAGATTTGATAGACACTCTATTGCTAATAAGTACTTGAAAGCAAACATTGCATACTTGCTGCAGCGATATTGATTTTGCTTGTGAAGAAGCTCAGAGGTAGTGAATCGAGCTAGTGCATCTTCTACACTTGCACATTTTTGAATATCCAAGGATATATCCATGAGAGGATCCAAAGTATTGGACGTAGATTTGCATTTAAGACAAGTAATCTGACTTTGAAGCTTGCCACTAAAAATAGCATGGGCCAATGTTGCCTCGGGGGTTCTAAATCAAAGTCAAAAACATCAAAAAGTAAGACTCGGCGGGTATAAGGCACTCGGTACATTCATGACAGGCGCAGTTTGGAGTTAAATATCCATTTCAAAACAATCGCTTACCGATCACCTTCACCATTTTTCAGACCCTCGATGAGAAATCTAGTAAATTCGTGGGCATCTTCCTGACGACCGAGTCGAATATGGCGAGATATTTTCCGAAGATTTTCGACAAAAAGTCTCGGCTGAATAGGTTTTTCAGAACTAGTTTGTAGACAATGTTTTACATGCGACTCCATGACACACATGGCACAAAACGACTTTGTTCGGCCTAGAGATAGATTGTTGTGGTAATGAAAATGGCAAAGTCAACTCGATTGGATTCAAAGTATAATGAATTCGTATAGATGCATAGGTTTGATGGTAAAGCTTTGGGAAATCCAAAATCATCACAACCAGTAATATCTGGATTGCATCAACTTACAGGATGAGCTATGCACTCCACGAAGCAAAAATTCGGCGAGAGGAGGAGTATAGGTCATGCATTGCAGAACCGAGTTGAGAAAGCAGGTGTTTCCCATGTTGACCAGGCCTGCATCACAAGCATGTTAGCAATATATAAATGCATGTAAGCAAGTAAACTGAGCGAAGCAGAGATTCATTGAGCATTCTGACACTCGACTGTAACTCGATGTATGCGCAAAATAATTGAATATTTTGAGCAACACGATGCAGCACACAGTACATACCAGGACCAATATGTTTGGCTGTGGACCAAGAGCAAGAAAGGGAATCCATAGGGATCCGCTTATTCTTTGCAAATACTACATGTTTTGAGGTTCCTTCATATTTTTTTGAGTATTGTTTTTGATTGTTGTGTGCATATTGGATACGCTCAGAAATGACGACAGCCGAGGCAGTAGACGATGCATTCGATGCACTGCTTTTGAATGAAATACAACGGTCAACAGACTTTCCCTGTGGATTTCCCCTCAGTACATCCAGTGTCAGAGTAGGCATGATTCGTTATCAAGACTGCTTTCCAAGTGGATGATAAAATAACTGACCGCTCAAGTTTCAATAGTAAAAAAATCAACATTTTTACAATATAATTTTTTCATTTTGAACAACTCAATTTGTGATAAAGCAGTAAAGCTATTGCAACTGGTGACAAGAAGCATGTTTGAATCCGCTTCTTAGTAAAAGTCAAATAAACAGTCCGGATTCTACATTTAAAATGTTTTTGTCGATATGCCTCTTCAGGATAAGAAACCAACGATTCATGAATGCATTCAGAATATCTTGACAAGAAATCGACTTTCGCGACTTTTCCTGTCTGGAAATTTTGGTTTTAGTTAGCAAGTTGATAGATTGGAGCAACTTGCTTCAGTCAATACACAGTTGTTTCTTTCTACCTGGATTTGTTGTGCTATATAGCAGACAGCTACTTGATTTAATTAATTGGCTGCTAGGGCTTAATTTTTGCCCAGTTCCAATCCAGCAATTCCCATGACGCCCAGTTCACCCTCAAATGCTCATGGGAAAGCATTCATTTCCATGGCTGATAGTCCAAGAGCAGATGCATTGGAACCTTTGTCTAACGCTACATTGGCAAACTCTGTGCATTCCACTCCCATGGAAACCACTGTCACTCAACCACCATCAGCTGTTCCTTCTTCTACTTTATCACTTACATCCACTGTAACAACAAGCAACAGTAGCAAAGCTCCTTCCAATAAGCCTCCTCGTCAGCCAAAAATATGTGTTGCTTGTCATAAGAAAATCGAGGGTGGTCAGTTTGTCCGTGCAGTAGGCTGTCACTACCATTTAGAGTGTTTCCGTTGCCAGGTTTGTTAATGAGCTGCTTTGTTCGGGTTGATTTAGCGCCATGTCTTCAATCTCATTGCCTATTGGCATCATATTGCACCAAGGCATTTTTATCCAGTCTATTCCAAGTGGATAGCCATTCTTTGGTTAAACACTATTCGTCATTGTAAAGTGGAGTAATCTTCATATTTCTCGGCATGACGAATGTGTATATTCAAACTCTGGATGCTTCCATTTGACGGTTGTTCATGCTTATTCAACATCAAACTCTAAATATAGCACTCAGCTCCATCTTGTCTATTTCTGGATTCCTTATAAATGTGATCATCTGGTTGCCAGTCTATTTTAATACTAATTGTGATTTTTTATCTTGTTTAAACAATCAATCTATTGTGTTTTTATTACCATATCATGCCTTTTATTTTTACTTGAACAATTGTTAGGAGTGCAATAATATTGTGGCAGACAAGTTTTTCCCTGTAACTACTGACGGCACAACAAAAATATACTGCGAAACAGACTACTTTCGACGATTGGATCTGATTTGTGCAAAATGTGGTCTTGCTCTACGTGGGCCATATATCAATGCATTGAATCGAAAATATCATATGGAGCACTTTACGTATGTGTTTCGTGTATATATAGATTTCATTCTATTATGTGTTTCCAACTATTGTAATATTTTATCTTTTGTATATCGCCTATTTTTCATTGAAGCGTGAATGCTATACATAACGTCTTTATTGCATTTGAATATTTAGCTGCTCTGTTTGTCCTACAGCTTTTCGACAACATGATTCCTATTATGAAAGAGACGACCAGGTGTTTTGTGGATATCACTATTCCATTTTCCATGCAGCAAAATGTGGTGGATGTAATACGGCCGTTCTTAAAAACTTTGTTGAAATCAACAAGGATCAAGTTTCAAAACAGTGGCATCCTCCTTGCTACATGATTTACAAGGTTAGTGTTTTGCCTTGTTCATTTTCGAATTAGCTGTGTTTGTTACTCACATTGCTTTACTATAATGGTTTTATTTGCTGTAGCTTTGGAGTGCTCAACTGAGTTTGCCGGATCAAAATTCAGATGAACAAGTTTTGCTTGATCCTGAAGGTATTTCGTTTATCCGTTGATGTATATCTTGTGAATGCTTTGACAATGTTGCTTGCTCTTTAAATACAATTCTAATCATGCCTTTTAATTGGACTTTGCGAATATACGTGTTTCAATCTAGTTGAAGTACAGAAGCAACAGGTGATGGTGAATTGGGCGGAACGAATTCTTCAAGTCCTATCTGCTTTCGAAGAGTCTACGGCTGCATGCATTTCCGAAATGCTTTTGCATTTTTCCAACGAAAATAATTTGCAGTGTGTACTTCAAGCTGCTCGTTTTATACAACATATCGATATCCTATTTTCTACAATCGAGAGCATCAATCAACGACTTTCCACTTTTAATGATAGCTCTACGCTACAACAGACAAAGGAGCCAAAGCAGCTCGTTAAAAAGATTTTTTATTTTTTCACAAATCTCTCTGGACGAGATACGTCTGTTCGGCAGCGAGCAACCTTGGGACTTATTCAGCAAGTCACGAGTCTTGCACACACTTTAAAAAAGGTTATTCGAACAGCGTTTGCTGGTTCATTACGTCTGGTGAGTTTTTACAGTCTGTTTCTTGTTTGCATGTTGGGCTGCAAATGGATTTTCTAACGCTTATGTCATCAGGAGCAACTACACAAAGAAAAGGGATCTGTAAACCAATTTCTTACTGATCTTTCTAGTATACATCTAAAACAAGGTGAACCGCCTACCCGATTTTATCCTAGCAGCACAGATGCGCCTTGTATTATATGCCGGCAGCCATTTGATGACGAAAGCATTAGATTGGAGCATACTCAGTGGCATACACATTGCTTTAGCTGTACAGTCTGTGGTATCAATCTTGGTGATAATGTTACATTGGCATATTGCGAACAGAGCTGCACAAAAGTATTTTGTCAAGAGCATGCGCCATCAGACTCTATTACAGGCGCAGAACGTCTTTCTAGATTTCAACGGTACATATCTGCAAATACGACTGATGAGTCTATAGCTCAATATCTGATTGTTTAAATTTATATTGCATTTAGATTTATAAACCTGTTGTGGTGCACTTGGAGTCGACTTTGTCTATGGCTTAAAATCGAAGAAAAACGTAAGTTTTGATGTATCAATTTTCCATTGCAATAAAGATTGCCTTGACTGGTACTTGCTGATTATAATACTGCAAGACTGATTTGGCTAATTTTTATTTTAATAATTTATAGATCTTTTTACTGCATCTTCTCCCGAGGTTGACGGCTATCGAGACCAAAATAGTAGTGATGAGGATAACCGTGTTGCTGATGGGGAAGAAGAGTTTTTTGACGAGGATGGAGAGTACACTCCTTCGTTGAAAGGTGCTTCAACTACATACAGCAAAGTTCAATTTAATTGGCGGTCATCCAGTGAATCAGACGTATTTTTATCTGAACTTTCCGGGCTTCAACATTTGGCAGTTCGTCAATTGGCTTCACTTGCACTGCATCCTCTTTTGGAACAGTATTTTAATTTGAACCAGCTACTAGAAGTTGTAGATGCACCAAAAACTTCTGTATGGTCTAGAATGGTTGGCGCCATGAAGGCTCCAAAACGTCGGCATCGAGGTACACTTGGTTATCAAGCATGACTGCTTTGTTTTAGTCAAGATATTGGTCAAACTTTTTGAGTACTTTTATATTACTTTAGCCTATTAACACCAAGCCTTTTTATCGGTTTAGGAACATTTAACGTTCCTTTAGAGGATCTTGTTGAGCAAACAGGTGTAGAGTCTGACCTTGGAATCGGACCTGGGAGTGTGAGAATACCAATGATTATGGATCACTGTGTTCGTACCTTGCTACAAAAAGGTGATTGAACTATTTGGTATCATTGTTGGCAAGCCTCTTGTTTAAATCAATGCCATTTTATTTGAAGGCTCATTTCAATCTTTTGATGAATTGTTTGAATGTGCACAATGATAGATTTATCCACAGAAGGCATTTTTCGAAAGAATGGAAATATTCGACGCTTGAAGGAGGTTTGCCATCGTATCAACAGAGATCCTAAAGATATTGATCTGTCTGACGATCATCCTATACAAATTGCAGCACTGATGAAGAAATTCCTACGTGACATGCCAGATCCATTGTTGACATTTAAACTCAAGGATTTGTTTACTGCATCACAGAAATTGGAAAGAGAGGCGGATCGATTGTTGACTGTACAACTAATTTGTTGCTTACTTCCCAAGCCAAACCTGGAGTTATTGGCAGTGCTGTCAAGGTTTTTTCACGAGGTTGCCCGTTATAGTGGAAACCAACCGGTGAAGGTGCTGGAGCATCCACGGGCGGTAACAAGATGCACATTGAAAATATTGCTACGGTGATTGCACCTAATATTTTGTATTCAAAAACGGGAGTCAATCCAGAAGAGTCTGTTTTAGCCATTCAGGCTGTTTGGATGATACTTGAAAATGTACCCGATGTATTCAAGGTTTGTCACGTCTGTTTCTACTTATTGATAGAGAAACTGTTTATGCTAACTTTGTCTATTTTGGATTTAATGAATGTGTAATCATAATGTGTGAACAAGGTTCCTGCTATTATCTTAGGAGGGTTCAACGAAGACGGACCAGATTTTAATCCAGCATCAAAGTATGAGCTCCAAAAAAAGTATGATGATTTGTCCACCAAAGTTCGTAATCTCCAAGTTAGCCAAAACACAGGACATGAAGGCGGAGAAGCCATGGTTGTGGATATTGAAAAGGATATTTTATCATAAAGTGATTTTTAGTTTATCAATCAAGAGTATAGTTTTATCGAGGCATAGTTGAAGACATGTTTGGGTGGTTGTTGCACTGCTGGACTGATGCTGACTGTCTGGATAAAGATCAGATATAGTATTAAGAAAATGTGTTTGTACCGAGCCCAGCTCATCCACTGCTACATACAAGTCCTCGTCACAATCAATTAGTGGAAGATTGATATCACAGACAGCGTTGTCGGCCTTTTCAACGCATCTAAGGGCAAGATCAACCAGCACATCAATGACTTGGTTTTCTTTTGCAGTTGGGCGAGCTAGACCAGATAGATTGGCCATAACCATCTTGAACGACAGTCTGCATGTCTTGATCATACTCTGAACATCTCTGACCCAGTCCATGTCCTGGCTGGACAGGTCGGCAGTTGAATATCCATGGGCTTTGGTGCTGTTTCCTACAACCAGCTCATTCCATCCACCTTCATCGTTATCCTCGCCAAAAGAGTCTTCATTATCGGTTGGGCCATTGAGAAGGTCTTGGCATTCTTGAATGGCATCGTTGAGTTGATCGTCATATCTTTCAAGGAGCACAACAGCAAGAGCAGCGTTTGTAGGAGGGACATTGGCAATGTCGTTACAAGCAGCCCATACTCCACCAGCTGCCGAGTTGATGGATAGGCATGCAGTGTCAGACCTAGCATAAGTGGACTGTGACAAGGCTTCAAGTGCGGACGCATCTGTGCTCTGCAGATTTACCAAACCGCAGAGTAGCGACTGAGCAGCCAAGATAAGATGACGTTTAAGGGATCGACCCACATCTACAGGTGTATTGCATACCAGCTGAACGAGCTCGGCAGAAAAGTCCATCAATGCACTACAGGCCGAGCTGACTTCTTTTGCGTCATTGCCCTTGAGTGCAATAGCCAATAAAGTTGCCTGTCTGGATATTGATCCAGCAATAGTGATCATCCTGGGCTGGACATTTAAAAGATCGGTTGAATCCAGACTAATGGGTTGCTGCTGATGTGCCAAGGATTCCTGTGCATTCATAGCACTACTATTGCCAATAACAGCATTACTGAAAGTTTGTGGTTCATTGTGTTGAGTGACAGTTAGTTGGCTGAGTGTCTTGTCCAATTTCTCCAGCTCCTGTTTCAACAAGATTCTAAGGCTATCCATCTGTAATGTGTCAAACAGACAAAGATCCAATGACTATTAAAAACTAATTGTAACAGGTTCTTGCCAGTAAACTTGGATAATTTGGTTTTTGACCAACGATCACCCAATATATAAAAATAGTTTCGAGACCAATTCAACATATTCTAAAATAAAGTCGACAGTTTTTATATACGACCATATGCACATGAAATGATAACTTGCATCAAATTTACTGGACGATATTGTGTCCTTTGAACTCGTTAGCAAATCCATCAACGGTTTGCCGACTATTCAACAGCAGTGTTGCGGGTATAGAGCTCTATTGTTCATTCTTAAACCCTGCTGAAATCACTTTAATGAAAAGTTTTATATGACGTGAAATTTCAAATACAATATTAAACGAGTCAGTTTGCAGTAGAAAAGTGCAACACATTTAATCATTGTCTATTCCAAGCAAAGGGAAATCGGTATTTGTGATCCATCTTCCGTGAATATGACTGTAAATAGCGCTTAAAGCTAAAAATCATACTGATTTAAAACTAAATTCATTCGTCGTCATCAACATTGATCAAAGGAAATGATTCCGAGTCACTATCATCTTGATCACATTCGGCACTGCTAGCCACAGTGTTGTCTTGAAAAGTTATATCAATCGGTGCTGATTCATTACCATTCAATTCAATCGAAGTTGTGATGTCGGATGCAGTTACCATCTCGTCAGAAATAGTCATGGTGCATAGTGGTGAAGCAGGAAAAGAGTGGCCTACATTGCTACTGTCAAATGTGGTGGCCAAAGCATGCATTTCCATTGAATTAACAGAGCGATTTGGAGGATAGTCCAATGGGCTATCCCAGATCACTTTTTGAGTTGTTGGCATTTCTGACTCCATTGATTCAGTCAATCCTACTGGACTAGCTTGGTCTTGTGCAGAATTCATACGATCTGGCTGGAGAGGAGTAGTCCAAGGAGACGGCTGGTTTAGAGATAGATTGTCGTCTACAAGCACATCTACATTTTTTGAAAGGTGTGTCTTGTCTAAAGAAAAGGCATAAGCAGGAGTGGATGCCGATGCAACCGTCGATCGCATAGCCAATGGAGGAATAATCGGATGTATCAGTTTAGTTAAATTATTGATTACAGTCAGACTGGCCTCACAAATCTGGATGATGTCCATGCATTCATAAATATAAATCAGTATTTAGCTTGCATCAAAAACAATTTAAAAACATTAAATATACCTGCGGCTCTGGATGATGAATGCATTTTATAATCATTTTGAGGATTAACGGAAGTGTAGAGTGAATGGACGACGTACTACCACCAGAGATCATAGCACCAATGGTCAAAATAAGCTGAGTTTGAACGACAAGAGCAGATTGATGCTGCGATTCGTGAACTTGATCCAAAGCACCGTAATACAACCATGCTATCAAAGCTTCTATTAGCACACTAGAGTCATGCATGACAGATCTTGAACTGACAGCAGCTATATATACGCAAAAATGGCATCAGTTGGTGCATTTCGACATGCTAGTCAGATTTAGTCGTTTATATATAAAAGGTATATATCACCTTGGAGTCCAGTTTCCAAGACTTTGGCATCAATCCTAAAATCAATGTTTGATCCTTGAGTGACTAGACTTGTCGATCCTATCTTTCGCTTTCGAGACATCTACATCAGGAAAACAAATAAATACACATTCGTTTAGCTAGGTCAGTTTAAATAGCATGTTCAGGATTGCGTTATAGATTGGATCCAGCATATACACACCTGGTCAGACACAATCACCATATTTTTCTTCCAATTTTGGATGTCTTGAATAATCATACGAATAAAAAGTTGAACTAATAAATCAGTAGGAGTACCAATTAAAAAAAATTGCTTGGTGACTTGATATGCCGAAATTCGTCCTTCTCTAAAATAAAAAATATCAATTTTTTTAAACTAATTGTACACGACATTTTTGACGAAAAGATTGTGATTAATCGTCATACCCATGAGATAGTACAAGTGCTTTTCTGCAAAGCTCATTGATCAGATTTGAACATTCTGAGTTTCTCGCTCTATAGCATAGTGGCAAGTACAGTCAGAATATAAAACTAGTGTAAATCATAAAACAGAGTCAAGGTACATGCATCGATATTATGTATCACTTACAAAGTCATCGCAATCAAAAGAAGTTGATTTGTAGTTTTCGCAAGTACTGCACAGGATTCTGCTGACAAATTCAACAGTTTATTGCTCTAAAGTGCTCAAAGTTAACAGGCGTATAATTTAAATGCATTTAAATCAATAAAATATAGTCTCAATCAAGATACTTGTGCTAGCTTACTTGATACTTTTCAATTGTACTGTATGTTTTGTCTATAATAGTAAAAAACTCTTTTATATCCAGTTCAAACGGTCGATTAGGTTCGTAATCGCTACCATTGAACAAAAACAAAACATTAATATTGTATATAATCAATGGCTTTGACATTTCAATTCAATTATTTACCTGACAAGATGTCGAATCACCAATGCAATTTTTTGAAAAACAGACAATAGGGGTAATTGCTCCACTGTGGAGTTGGCCGAAAGATCATCAAACAAAACCGAAATGTATGTTTTCGATGCTGTATCACTACCATCCATAAGCACAGCTGGAATTGATTGCATGCAAATAATCAAAATCGCAAATGTAAACACCATAGTTTAAAACATACCACAACCAGAAAACTCGATAATGTTAAATACAAACCATTCGAGCTAGGTAAACAAAATAGATCCAAGATGTATGATAATGTTGCCAAAAGTTTTGAGCAAATGGCAGAAAATTCAACATGTTGAAATCGATGGCGGTCTGTTGTACAGAATAAACTGCGCAAACTAGTGCATATAACTTTAATCATGGGCACGTCCTGTATAGATGAGGGGTGAAGTAGCAGTTTAAGACAACTGTGCACTAGCAAATCACGCTTGGCAAGCATCAATTGAGGTTGGTTGATCGCTATACTAGATAAAAGCGTAAAATACTCTTTCTAATATTATAATATGCAGAACATAAATAGTTTTAGTTTGATATTTAAATAAAAAAGCTGGTAGTTGCCGGGATTTACAAAACTCACCAATACTTTTTCTCTCGTAGAAATGCTTTTAAGAATAATATCTAGCAGTCGACCAATACAAGGCTGAATGCACTTTCGGAGTTCAGGGTTGGATCTACCAAGCTGAATTAGTTCGCTCAAGCTCATTAGAGTATTTGCCAGAATAGAGTCATCGTTGTAGCGCTATCAAATAAAATTCAGACAGTTTGAAAATTGGATTGGATAAAAGTTGCAAGGCTTGAAAAATATAAATTCAACATACCAGCAATATGCTCATAGTGCTTTGGAACCATGTGGGTAAGCTTGAGCTTAGTAAATTGTCTTGACTTGCAGGACATATTCTTCCAATAAGAAACACAAAAAGATTCTGACTAAATGCAGACTTTGAATGCCCTAATAAGTTCAATCTACGAACTAAAAGCGATACAGCTTGGTTCGCCTCTTGCCCACCATCACTACATGCGACAGCAATGGCAGTCTGTGGAAGCTGAAGAGTCCAGACATCATCATGCACACGTGTAAGTTTTTCTGGAGATTGGGCTAATAGGATGGACAAATTGTTTAGCGCAGCAGGAGTAAGGTGATCCATGATAACGAACTGTTCTGGATCGATAGACTGACACTAATTAAACCCACAAAAAATTCTTTTAAAATGATTTCAACCAAAATTCATTTCAGTGTTGAAGTTTGCCCAAAATATTTGACCATGAACAAGAATTTGGTCAGTTGGTTTGTGATTCAACATCTTGCCAATTTACGGCACTATTCATGCAAAACAAAACATTTTTAATTATTATTTTGCTTTGGATGATCAATAGTTAGTTATTTGCAGTGTTCTATACTACACATCAACTTTATCAATATACATTGTTAATCCTTCAATAAACACAACGTTTGTCGTATGATGTACACAATCAAACCATCGGTTTGGACTGGAGTAATCTCATCATTTGACATGGCCATACATTGTACAATGACCAAATTGATGCATTGCAATCCAAATATTGGTTTGATTGTTGCCAAATCTATACAAACTTTGTATTTTAATCAGATACATTCGCGTTCTAGTTCAACATATTTTAGGGATGCAGCTCTACATGCCAATCATCAAACAGTATCAATCAACTAAACAGTGTATATGGCACAATGCCAACCAATAAACTGACGCCAATCATTTCATGAGACTGGCTGTTTGTTATACACACTCTTATTTAGTGTTGCATTTTATGTGAATACGACTGTACTGTAGATTCAGTCGTATCAATTGAATTGTGGTTAGTATTTTCAATGACTTGCATCGATTCGTTGCAATCTAATATGTTCAGTGGATTATAGATTTGACGGTATCGCAGTTTTACTAAAGCTTACACTCGTGCTCGAGCAAATATCAAGTTGTTTTTACTCGTAACCATGTACGCATATATATGCTTGGTTGTCTTGTTGATGGACATTTCTTGAATAACAAACTGCATATGATTTGATACACATCAGTCATTAGATATTCTATTATCGGCCAAACCCTTTAGCACAATAATCTCTGCATTTAACATCTGGTTCTGCTTTTCAAGTTTTTTAACCTGAAAACAAACTCTTCTAATTGCTTTTTGGCCATTTGATTTGCTTTTGATGTTTCTGTTGGTGACGTGATTGATCCATACGTTGCAGCCTCCATTGCAATTGATTTAATGTCATGCAATAATCAATTGGCTTTTGAATTCGAGTCAATTCAAGTCAATTCGAGTCAATCCGAGTCGGATCGAGTTGAGTGAAACAGTTTGTAATTCCAGATTATCATGGTTTGTATTCAATCTATGTGATGATATATACATGGAGCTTACACACGGTTTGACCACACGAGACAGCGACTGTGGTACGGTATCCAATACCAGCAATATCCCGTTATTGTGAGACATTATATATTGCTGCCATTCAACAATAACATGTGTGTATATATGCGATTTGAATAAATGATCGTGTTACAACCCCTGACTATCCAAGTACATATTTGAATTGGCATCTGGAACTTGGTTGCAGGACTATCAGAGTCTATGCATATTTGCATGTATAGTTGCCAGTTTATGCTCCAAATTCAGTGACAGATAATCCACCAACGCTGTGTAGGTAGATTGCAATATTTGGGGTGTTTTCAATGCATTTTGTCCAGTAGTGTCTGGGATACGCACTGTCGAGTTATTGTGATGCCACATCATGGTTGTAAGTTGATACACGTTGGTATTCATCACTAGCATTCACTCATTCATCACTGACATGCTCTTGATCATACCGATCTGTGTTGAATGCGTTGCATAATATTGAATTGTTGTGCTGAATGCAAGTGCTGGTTTGAACGTGCTACATCTGAGCGCAGTTTAGTCAAAATCTCATGTTGAATACTAAATATGGCATCCGAGTGATACAATCAAACGTATTTCACCATCTCTCCAATTTTGGATTTGTGAAACCTCGATATTATACATTCCATCATTCATCAGATTGTCTACCTTGTTACATCAACGCAGCTCCGATCGTACTTGAGTCTACATATTGTCCAAACTCGACACTCCATGTTAGTGTATGTTGAACCATCCAGATCTTTGAACTGGTCATGGGTGAAAAACGTTGACTCGGATCCCCATACGGAACATTGATCTCGTTTGACACACTATGCATGTCCTAGCTGGATACGTCATAACATTAGCGCAACGAATAATGTATGGGTTGAGTTGAGTTGTTAAATCATTGCCAGATTCAAACACCTCCATACCATCAATACCAAATGCATCCATCGACGCGCTGAATGAGATCTGGTTCAAGTCACTGGTGTCACTGATGTCGCGATAATGTAGTGCCCTCGACGATCCAAACCAAGGAATTTGCTGTTTGACAATATGTATGTAATGACTTGTTTGCTGCCAACTTTGAATACGAGTATGTCAGAATGAACTGGGATTGCATTTGATGTTCCATGTGTACGACTAGGTACTGCACAATATGTTTACAATGATGTGGTGCTAGATAATCGTGTCAATGGTGTCAATGACTCAATAGTTGATGATGTGATGGGTGTAATACATGGCCACTGATCATGTCTATACACAGACACTCGTTTTACAGGAAATGGTATGGTAGGAGCACATTCAACTGTGACATGGCTCTGCATCAGCACCATTCATTTTAGGATATGTTTGAAATGACATTGATTAATGTTTAAAATGGGTTGATGCATCTAAACTAGCTTTGAAATCAATTTATGGAACTTCACGCTAATGCATTATGAATAGCCTGCGACCATGATGAATCTAAAATCATTAGTATCGACTTGTTTGGGTAAATGATGAGCAGATTTGTATGAATTGGCCAATACTGAATTCTGAAACTGTCAAGTTACATTTTAATGATACAACAGCCTACCCAACAAGCCAATACTGGGTTGAATCCAATTTAATCCAATCCGATTTAATTTAATCCAATCCAATTTAATCCAATGATCTGATTTTGAAATTGCGCGGGTTGCACGAGTTGCCAAATTCAGCAAGTTGTGGCTAAAGAAATGTAAATGGCAATATTATGGTCTTGCATCATCTTGGCAATGGTAACTGTCCAACAAAGCTGTCTTGTTCATATGGGGTTGTATTTTACTTGGCTATCATCAAACTACTTTGAACTGTTGTGTATTTGGAATGAAGCATGGTCGACTATACTCTTTGATATGTAGATCTACATTTTATAGTGAGTTGGAGCACATGAGGTTGGTCAGTGGTGAGTGTTGATGTTGCCAGCCTTTCAAAGCTATCAGAAAAACAGTGACTAGGTCCGTTTCCATATCCAATTCAACTGTCGACAATGCACACATCGGTTGTTCGTATACTATGACTTGCTATTGAACCAAATCCAACGATTTGTTCAAAATTCAATGATTTGATAATCCATCAGCAGTAAGTTGAAAGGACAGGTTTCTACCAATGTCATAATATCACCAGTGTTGAGTTGATGACATATATGTTATGGGTATATCAGATGAAGAGAGTATTTTGATATTAGCGTGCTTGATTTTCCAGTCAAACAGAATAACAGACATTTGTATTTTCAGTATATTTGATCCATGCAATGAATACCAAACAGACATTTACGTGGGTTGTATTTACTAACCTAGTGTATTGATTAGATCCAGTAGTACTATTTTGATTTTAGCAATGCATGAAACCTTGTTTGTCTGGTATGCATTACCAATGTATTTTAGGTAGTAGTGAAGAGTTGCAGTTCAGACGCGTAAAAATGTGCAGATTTGTGTAGATTGACTGACTGGATCTGTGTATACCATCAATGTGTTGCACAGATTATACGGAAGATGTGTGGATATACTTGCTCATGTAAACTAGCTGAACCGGGTGTCACTGCGTTCAAGACTACTTGAGCAGTTTGTATTCGATGCAGTTGGAGTATCATGCAATAATCGTGTGAACAGACTCGTCACTACAGTCATACACAACCATCAACCACTACAGTCGTACTAGACGTCTACAAGTATGAACATGCAGTGTGTTTGGTCACTATTCAATCGAGTAGATCTGCCTATCACATATACAGTCAGACAGACAGACACAATACATGACCACATTACAGCATACGGTTGGCATAGTTGTATGAGATGGTTGTGCAGTATCAGCTGCAGTACAAACGAATCTAATATCATCAGCCATGACCGCTGCAGGAGTTGTCAGCAGCACAGCATTACGCATTGTCCATCGTACATGGATTGACTATTGGGAACGTTCACCGCACTACCCAGCCACCCCACACACTTCAAGCTGGCACATAGATCCCCGATCCGTCAGAGTCGGAGGGATGATGATGATATGGTCCAATCAACTCAAAGTATTATGTGTTGATGCATTAATGCAGCTAGTTTGTGTTACTCGATTCCACGAGGTCGATGCGTGCGGAGTCTGGGATTCAAGGTAAATAACGAATTAATTGATGATAGTTTGATTATTACGGGACGTTTTTGCAATGCATTTGATTATTACGTGCAGAGAGTTTGGCTTGTCGGGACGTTTTTACAATATAACCGATTATTACGTGCTGAGAGTTTGGCTTGTCGGGGATTCGCATGTCAATTGTTTCAGTTAAATAGTGCATCGTTTGTCCAGATCCGACACCATTACCTACTTTCTGATCAAGATCTTACTTGTCTATCTACCTATTGATCCAAAACTTGCTTGTCCATCTACCTATTGATCCAAAACTCGCTTGTTCATCTACCTATTGATCCAAAACTCAGATCTGATTGTTTTCCTTGTGTATTCTGTTAAACAGTCATACACACTACTTGTTTGAACGTATTAGTTTGCAGCAACTATTGCAACTATTACAACTGCTACCCATATTATTGTTATCAAGTTTCGAGATCAACTCGTTTTACATTTCCATTTCCATTTCCATTTCCTGACACCCTACAAATACCAATAATGAGCTCACTGTGGTCCCGTCTCAACATCCTATCGGCTGATTATCCAAAACAGTCTTGCCGTAGTGTGCAAAACACTATTCTCCAACCAACCAATGCTTGTGAAAATGCACCACACCTTGCCGAAGCAAGCATGAATCCAGAAAGGTATGCAGTACAGTATTTGTATTATAGTTGTGCATCTGAATATTGTATTTTGGTTACACAACACATTGCTAACATGACTGTTTACTTACATGTGTATTATTTACGATTTGATGATTGCATTTACGGTATTTTGGGATGTACTCGAAACGTTGCCGAATTTAATTTTGTTGATTCGACTCCGACTACGCGACTTTGATGGTAATGATTTTGACTGTTTTTGATGCTATCTAATATCATTGAACGTCATTCGATGTGTATCAATTGTGATTTGTGTTGGTTGGTATGATGTGCTGGTTGATTATTATTTGGGATTGAATTGGTTGATGCCTAATTTGATTTATGGGACAATGGGTTGAATGCTACTTTAAACTTTTACTGTTGTTTGTGCATAATTTTGTAATGTTGTGATTGACTAGTTCAAATCAGGAAAACATATATACTGATATGTATACATCCAGTGCAATCAGTACAATCAATGATCCAAGAATCCCTGCTTCACCAAGTAAGTGTGTGATTTTTGTATCAATTTCTCACGAGTTTTGGATGTGAATGCATGTGAATGCATGTATTGTGGATTGTTTAGGCTGTAGTGTGTTGATACTAACTATACTGATGGATTGTTTTAAAACATTTACATTATAGTCTCATCCTTGATTGCGGCAGCCAGAATATTGCAATTTGAAAAACAGCGTGACGCTCCAGAATCAGTTACATCACATACAACACACACACCAGAATCAGCTGTGAATAATCATTCAGTTGAACCTATCGAATCCTATAGTGACGTCCACAAATCTATGCTGTCATACAGCTATGCGAAACGAGCTTTAGCGTGTGACAAAGAGTTTTTTGAAACTCGGTATAAAGTAAGTTGGTTGTATTAGTATAAACCTTGGGTTTAGCCTTGAAATTACACAAGATGTGCTGGATTGATACAACTGTATAGTTATGGTTGACTAATGTTTTATTTATTGGTATTTGTCAACCATTTGTATTTGACAGGCTGATCAGATGATGTACACAAGGAGTAAGCTTCCCGATGAGGTTGATAGATTGAGAGTATGTCAGCCTATGTCATCACTCAGCAATTCTATCCGTCACCGGGAGCACTTCCGGTACCGAGGGTATGTTAGAAAACTACCCCTAGGTCGCCGCCTGATCAACATGCTGGTGCTCAAAAGCTCCATAAATGTTGTCAACTCGGTGAGGCAGAGCCGCAGGTCTGAGGTTTTGGTTGACATAACCGAGCCAACTTCAGACTGCTCTGAGATCCCCATGGATGTTGAAATTCCCATGGGTGATGCCGAGGATCCCGTGGGTGTCGAGGATCTGCCAGGTACGCGTAATATATAGTTTTAAATGTCAGCGGTATATCAATGTATGTGATCTACTAAAGCAATTGTTTACTTTATATTACATTAGCACCTACATTCCCAGGTATTGAGGTTGACTTCATGCCGGGAGTGCGCATCCTGGTGGATACTGTCAAAGTTCCACGCCTTGCTGAGACTCTTCAGCATCTTTCCCAAACCGGGGCTGGGTTTGGAAAGATCCTGGAGAGTCTGATTGCTGCATATGAAGATGGATATCATATGCAGCAACAGCAAGGATCCCAGGATGCTGGCAGTTCCGAGTCTTTTTTGGCTGAGCGACCAAAAAAGACGGTCCGATTCGCTCTGGATGACGCTCCATCCAAACCACTAGATGTAAGTGTTAATAATGCTTGAAATGTTTGAAATGGTTAGTAATTGTATAGATGTTTGTACTCATCCTTTTTATTTTACCAGACTACAAATGCGTGTGATCCGGTAAAGGACACACTGGCAGGAGTGGAGCAGCCAAGCGTCAAGTCCAAGTCCAAGGCTGGAAAAAAAGTAAGTTGACGCATTTGTATGCCATTATTAACAGCAATGACTTACATTTAAACTTTACCATTTTCACACTTAGATGCCCAAACTTGCAAAGCAGACCGAGCTGAAAAAGGCTCGTGGGTCTGTCAAGCGGGTCAAGCCGGAGCAGGTCTCCAAGTTGGTCAAGCAGACCAAACCAAAAAATACTTGGTCTGCTAAAGTAGCACCAACCTTGCAAGACGTTGCAAAGTTGGAGTTACTTAACCAACAGCGAGACCTGCGAGCGGCGCGGCGGCGCAACACGAGCAGTGCTCCTGTCATTGATACTTGTATCAAGGAGCGATCTTCCAGAAAACGGAAGATCAACTGCGAGGTTGACGCAGATCAACCCCATCCTCCGCGAAATCCAAAGCGGAGATGGATGATCTAAACTTTGGACTTGAAGCTTTTGGAAGGAAGCTTCAATTCCATCTCCACCTCCACCACTATATACCCAACTGATACCCAGTTAATACCTTTTAAATACCTGTTAAAAATACCCTATTGATACCCAACTAATATCTTTTAAAAATACCCTTTAAATAACTTGTTAAAAATACCCACTAATACCTTTTAAATATCTTTTAAAAATACCCTATCCTAATATCTTTTAAATACCTTTTAAACACCTTTTAAACAAAACCATTAAATTGTTTTATAAAATCACTTTGAATTTAAAAAAGCTTGGTTTAAACACTCATTTGCCACATGGTGTTTAGTTTCCATTTTGTTGATTCTACTGTCGTGTTTCCACAACTTTAGACTGTTTGTGGTTCAATCTTGTTGTATATGTATGTCTATTGGATTGTGTTGATGAATGTGTAGATTTCAAATTTACTTTGATTATAGTGTATTGTTTAGAGTAGTTTAGTACATTGATGTGATATTTTCCGCACATTCATGTTGGGTTGCATCTAGATGGTTAGTCAATTCAATGCATTAGAGCATCTCAAAATACACGATAGTATGCATGCAAGCCATCAACCAATGCAAATGTATTCATTACAAATATGGTGTATCAAACACAAATTCAAGTAGACTCTAAAACGTCATGTGTAGAGTGCGGTACACTTCAGATACCAAATCAAGTGAACCACAAATAGCAACAATGCAATCGGTGTTATTAGATGTGATAACGTTCCACGCATTTGCAAAACTGTCAAAGCATTGCGATGGCGTATCGCCTTGAATCAGTGTATCGGCCACATGTGCAATAATACGAGTATCCTCTGAATGAATCCAAGGCATATCAAGTGGTTGTGCAAATGGAACGACAAACACGATCTTGGGTTGAACAAGGCATGAAAGTAAATTATGGATATCTATTCCATTAGTAAATTCAACAATCCAGTAAACATGTGCAAGTAACGCTATTGCATTTTGTTGATGGTTGACCTAGTCTGCACGAACTACAGCAACCAATGGGTTGTGTGCACCATCAAGCAAAACACGACGATTTGTAGGTGGATCTGAAATAGGTAGATCTAGATGCTGAATTCATTCCATTCTGCCAGGACATGTTACAGAATCAATCACATTGATTGTATCAAATACATATTTCAGATAGCAATCCAACATTTTTAAAACACCCATTGAACTGTAATGTATCATGTGGTGGTACCAATACATATCTTGGCATGCTCAACCCAACAGACATAGCAAGTGCTGTTTAACTCGACAGTCATTCAGTATTATCACACATGAAACCTGTTGGCCAGCCATTAGACCATCACGTTGGGTTGATGTTGTGCTCTCATGTGTATCGATCGGTTGATTTTAAACAGCTTTGAATAGTTTCTAAACTTTGAATATAATTTGTATTGTCGTCAGATATAATTAGCACTATTCATGCAAAACGAAACATTTTTAATTATTATTTTGCTTTGGATGGTCAATAGTTAGTTATTTGCAGTGTTCTATACTACACATCAACTTTATCAATATACATTGTTAATCCTTCAATAAACGCAACGTTTGTCGTATGATGTACACAATCAAACCATCGGTTTGAACTGGAGTAATCTCATCATTTGACATGGCCATACATTGTACAATGACCAAATTGATGCATTGCAATCCAAATATTGGTTTGATTGTTGCCAAATCTATACAAACTTTGTATTTTAATCAGATACATTCGCGTTCTAGTTCAACATATTTTAGGGATGCAATTCTACATGCCAATTATCCACTGTTTAGTTTGTAGAGACGAGAGTTGAAGATTGAACAAGCGTAAAGAATAGACGATTTATTGAAACAGAAATGTGAACATTCGGTTAGTTTTTTATACAAAAACGAGCACAGACCAGCAACTAAAGAGTTCATAAAACAATGTCCAGTAAATTTGATGACGCCAATCATTTCATGAGATTGCGTACTTGACTCTTATTTAGTGTTCTATTTTACGTGAATACGGCTTTAAGCAGTGCATTACTGTATGGATGAAAGAGATAAGAGCAGAGACTGTAGCGTTGATGTTTCTGTGGCCATTCGTATTCGTCCACTTAATTCCAGAGAAAAGGCTGTTGGTGAAACCGGATATGCTTGGGGTCATAATTCCAGCATGATCTGGACGAATACTGCCACTGTAGCTGGGTCCATGGCTCAGATGAATGACCAGCGATGTGCAAGTTTTTCAACAGGAACTAGTGCCGGTATTAGTGCTGCCTCAACGACTTATACGTTTGGTATGTTTTATTCAACATTATGCTATTGGACTGATGATTTCTTTTTGGCTGTTGTTTCTTTTACAGCTGTATTCATGTGAATGGAACTTTTCTTTATCTATCTTGCAGTCGCTATTTTACTTTGGAATATACAATACTTGAATATTTGACTCCAATTGGCATTCTTAGTTCTTGTTCCAAACAACGTGTACCATATGGTGCACAATCAAACTATAGTTTTGAACTGATTATCCCCAGTTGATATAACCATACGTCATACGATCACCAGATATTGGGTTTGACTGTGGTCAATACAGCCCATCTTTGTTGTATCTAATCTCAGATACATTTGCGTTCTAATTCAAAAAACAGTGGTCGCACGTCTCAGAAATACGACTGTTGCTTCCATGCCAATCACACATGCTTACTTGTAGTGAAAGAGGAGTTGGAGATTGAACAAGTGTGAAGGATGTCGAATGTATTGGAACAGAGATGTGACTATTTGCACACTTTTTTATACAGAATGAGCACAAACATCAGTCAACCTATGAGTTCAAGACACACTGCTCAATAAATTTGGTGGCATCAATTATTTCATGAGATTGGCTGCTTATTCTACAATCCTATTTAGTGTTCCATTTTACGTGAATGTGGTTGTAGTTGAGCTCACGTCTAATGAAAGATTGAGATTTTCATTCAGTTTAGCTTTACCAGACTAATCTACTAACACTGTTCGAATTTGAATCCATTAATCTCGTTTGCTTTGAACTTTTTAATAAGATCATATTTTTGGGCAAGCATCAATTACAGCGGATGTATATAATATTTTGGCATCAGATCTTGTAGAGTCTTGCATGAAAGGTATCAATGGTAAGCAGATATAGTGATTTTAGAGAATTTTTTGCATGGTTTTAATTCAATTTGCAATGAATTGACAATGAGATTCTAGAAATTTACTTATTTTCATTTGATTAATTTTAAATGTGTATCCAATCTTTTATTACACAGGGACTATTTTTGCATATGGACAAACATCTTCTGGTAAAACACACACCATGATGGGCGATGAGTCTGAGCCTGGTATTATTTTGCTGGCAGTTGAGAATATTTTTCGTCACATTTCAAAAGTAAGCAGTTTACTAGTGTAAATATTAACACGTGGTTGAAGCTGTGATCTAATCTTGGCTGATTATTAGAATCAAGATAGTGAATTTCTATTGCGTGTTTCTTACCTTGAGATTTATAACGAAGTTATTCGCGACCTTCTCGAGCCGGGAAATATTAATTTGAAAATTCATGAAACCATCAATGTGTGTATCTCAAACTATTCTCGCTTGTACATTCATATAAAATTGATGTGCTAATTTTTGAATCATTCAGCGTGATATATTCGTTGGCAATCTTTCAGAGCATGTTGTTAGTTCAGCAGTTCAGATTAAAGAAATTCTTGCTATTGGAGAAGGTAGGTGCCGATTTTTATACGCAATGCTTTTATTTTAAATCAGGCTCGTTTTGTTAATTGTCGATCACTGGAGTCAATATGATTCAAAATGGACAATGGTTTAATTGATCACACTTTTAATCATTTAGGAAACCGCCATATTGGAGAAACCAACATGAATGACAAAAGTAGTCGCTCGCATACCATTTTTAAAATGGTAAGCCAAACTAAATCTGTGGTGACTTTATTTTGCTATTTAACTTGTATTTGCACTTTAGGTTGTGGAAAGTCGCTTTCGAAAGGATAATGCAGACGCAGTCAAAGTTTCTCAATTGGTATGCATTTAGTGTTTTAGTTTAAACTATTTATTAATACTTGGTCTATACCCACTTATGATGACTATTTTAATATACTCGTAGCACCCTGACTAACATTACTATAATAGAATCTGGTAGATCTAGCTGGCTCAGAACGAGTTGGGCACACCGGTGCAGAGGGTATCCGTCTCAAGGAAGGTGGTCATATCAACAAAAGTCTTCTTACTTTATCGACAGTGATTGGAAAGCTATCAGATGGTGGTGACAAGTATGTATTGCATTTTCATACATCTACATGTATTGCGCTGCCAATGGCTGATACTTTTGAACCTAATTAATTCACCTGAATACAGACGTCATATTCCATATCGCGACTCAAAGCTCACAAGGATTCTTCAGCCATCCATTGGAGGAAATGCAAACACTGCTATTATTTGCACCATTACACCAGCTCAACTACACTCTGATGAAACACACTCGACACTTCGCTTTGCTAGTCGAGCCAAAACAATCACTAACAAACCGCAGGTTAATGAGGTATCATTTTACTTGATAATATTGCTTTAGAGTCATTGCGTTTGATGAATCTAACCCTTTTTATTATATAGTTGGTCTCGGATGAAACTCTTTTAAAAAGATACAAGCGTGAAATTGATCAACTCAAAAAACAATTGGTTCAGGTAAGTACGCTGTATCTTGGCCCAATATACATTTATCATTCATGTGTTTGCTTATGTAACATGCAAATTTTGTAATGAAATCGTCAATATGTTTAGCTACGTACAGTAGAATCGGGCCAATCTTCTACTGAAAACTCGATGTCTCAATCAGTATGTAGATTTTTTGGCTTACACCAACACCACTTTTACTAATATGTTTGAATCAGCCTTTGCCAGATGCATCAGATTTATGCATAAAACCGTCAATTAGCAAGAAAGCCGTACTTGAAGAAAGTTTAACTGGCTCTAAGCATGGAATTCAAGAAAAGGTATTTTAAAATCATTGGCGTTTTTGAGTACAGTTAAATGGCAGCATTTTATGATTACTTAAAAACGTATGTTTTTTTATTAGTTGTTACTGAATGAAAAACTCGACTCGCTTCGGCATGCAATTTTGGATTCAACATGCATTGGTCTTGAGGATATATCCGATCGATCTTTAAAAGTATTAATTTAATCATAGTATGCATGCATTGATTCTTCCATGGTCTATTAATTTACTTGGCTTGTATGTAATGCACTTAGAAAAAGGCACGCTCAAACCGTCGCCAAACTTGGTTTCCTGGTGTGTCTGAAAATGCTTCGGCATTGACAGAGTCGGAAAAAATTGAAACCCAAACTTGGTATCAGAATTTACCAGAAAAAGCAGAAATCAAGATGTAAGAATAAGTTTGGAAATAATTCTGTTTCAGATCTAATGTTTTTTTCAAAACTTATGTAGACATTGTTCACGAGAAAGTAATGTGATGGAATGCACAACCGTCAACGCAGATACACAGGTATGATTAGTACATGCCATAGTATTGTGATGCACTATGGATTTTTGATATTCATAAGCAGATATATAGCGATTGATTATTCTAACAGTATATAACTGGACTTTAATTAGACACATGATTGCTCTTTGCAGTTGGCAGTTGAAAAAATACTTGATGGACAGCAACTACCATCTGATGACCATTATATTCAAATATTGCAGGTATTTCTTTGTATTGTTGACATGCAAATCATGTATCAGTAGAGACTTTGGCTTGATGACATATACTGCATGTTTAGCCTTTAGTCGCCTGTATTCAATCTTATAATCTCAAAGTCTCTTTTTTAACGACCAAAGAAACACAGCTTCAAAAAGTGGTTGAACAACTTCAGAATAAGCTATTGCAGGTATATCAGGCTGCTTAATATGTATTTATATTAGGATTTTTAAAACTTATGTTTTTACATTTAGGATGAAACAGTTGTTCAACAGGCTTGTGAAAATTATGGAAAGCAAAAGTCTATTAATAAGCAGGTGATCAATGTTTGTGTTTGATTTATTTAACAGTTTTTGACTTGCTAATGGGCTTTATGGATAGCTGAAATTGGATCTTGAAGATTCGAAAGAACAACTTACACGCACTACAAAAGCTCTTGAAGATTCAGAATCAGCTTGCCAGTCCGCATTGGACATGTGCAATATCCAAAAGCAAGCTAGCCAGTGTCTTCATAACGAAATTTGCGATTTAAAAATGTCAAATAGCGAGCTTAAAGCGCAGCAAGAAAAGACAAATACTGTACTTTTTGGTATTTCTACCGAGCTTCAAGAAACGATTGAACAAGTGCATTTACTTCAACTTCAGGAAAAAAAATACTTGTCTACAATTGAACAGCAAAATAATCAACTTAGACATTACTGTGAAAAGGAAAAGGATCAAAGCTCACTGATAGAGCAATTACAGGTACAATTACAAGATTTTCTACAGGAGAAACGCGATTTTGAATCCAAGACTATCGAAGCACTACAGCACTCAATAATGGAAAAAGAGGCTGCTGAAGCTCTTGCGTCAAATTTCGAGTCTAAACTTTTTGAAACTATAAGTGAGATGGATACAATTAATATTCAGAATATGGATTATATTCAACGTATCGTGTCTGAAAAGGATACTACAGAAATGCGTGTTTCCGATTTGGAGGATAAGCTAGCACATACTATGCAGGAAAAAGATGAGCTTATCGATCAGAATCTCAAGAATGCTGAAAATTCCAAACTTTTGAAAGAATCGGCTGTAGCACGTGCACTGGAGCTCGAGACCCAATTGAAACAAGCCTTTTTCGATAGAGATACTGCAGAAATGCGTGTTTCCGATTTGGAGGATAAGCTAGCACATACTATGCAGGAAAAAGATGAGCTTATCGATCAGAATCTCAAGAATGCTGAAAATTCCAAACTTTTGAAAGAATCTGCTGTAGCACGTGCACTGGAGCTCGAGACCCAATTGAAACAAGCCTTTTTCGATAGAGATACTGCAGAAATGCGTGTTTCCGATTTGGAGGATAAGCTAGCACATACTATGCAGGAAAAAGATGAGCTTATCGATCAGAATCTCAAGAATGCTGAAAATTCCAAACTTTTGAAAGAATCGGCTGTAGCACATGCACTGGAGCTCGAGACCCAATTGAAACAAGCCTTTTTCGATAGAGATACTGCAGAAATGCGTGTTTCCGATTTGGAGGATAAGCTAGCACATACTATGCAGGAAAAAGATGAGCTTATCGATCAGAATCTCAAGAATGCTGAAAATTCCAAACTTTTGAAAGAATCGGCTGTAGCACGTGCACTGGAGCTCGAGACCCAATTGAAACAAGCCTTTTTCGATAGAGAAGTTTTACTTGCTCAAAATGCAACTGAGATTCAGCATTTTGAAAAAGAAAAAAATCTTGCAAACACTCGTGTTCGTGATCTTGAGTCTCAGTTGACACAAATATCCAGCGTTGTACAGCAACTTCAAAACGAGAAAAACGCTATTGAGGAACGCCTACTCGATTCTGAAATGGAATTTAAGCATATTTTGGAAGAAAAATCACTATTGATTATTCAAAGTACGGCCAATGTTCAACGTTTTGAAGCCGAAAAGGTAGCCGCAGATGATTTGGTGCATGAGCTAAAAGGCCAACTTATACAGGTAATGGACGAAAAGGAAACGCTTATAAATCAAGGTTTAGATGATGTTCAACGTGCTATTTCGGAAAAAGAGATTGTTGAGTGTCACATGATGGATCTTGAAACTAAACTGGCACAGACACTGAAAGAAATGGAAACCGCAGCTACTCAAAGTGCAATTGATATTCAGCATCTTGAAGCTGATAAAAATTCTGCCGAGGTTTGCACTTTGGAATTGCAAAACCAGCTGATTGCTATGAGCCACTTTATTGAGATCCAACTCAATCATGTTTATACGTGGATAAATCAATTCGAACATAATTTTTATTTACAGCTTCAAGAGAAAGAATCTTATTTAAGGGCCAAGGAAGTTAATATTTATAAATTTATGGAGCAGCTTTGCCTTTTAATTGATGACGCTTATACGAAATTCAAGCGCAATTGCGAACTTGAACAATCCTTAGAATTTGCTAAAAAAGCTTCGACTGAAATTCAAAAAAGTAAGAAATGCGTCGTGTTTTTGTTCATATCGCATATACTGATTTTATTCTAGACATAACTGCTTTACAAAAAAGATATGAAGGTAATAACGTTTCGAAAAACTGTCATGTTGATTGGCACGAGGAAATTGGCCAAAAACACCGACTTGTCAATGAAAACTTTGAGGTGAATATCTATGCTTTATATACTTTTGATCATAAATATCTTGTGGTCTGACACATAATTGTAGCGTCTTAAACGGGACCATCAGCCTTTATGTAGCGATACGCTGTTTATACTAGAGCAGGAAAAGTCAACCATGTCCGAACTTTTCCAGCTTCACCAGGTGATGCACTGATTATATTTGTTGCTTTGTATATAAAAGGCTTTTAACTAACTTGTACGTATGTAGACTATGAATACTTTATTCCAGGAAAAATTCAAATTTATGGATATGAATGGTATATTGGAAAAACGTCTCGATGACAAGCTGTCGCATTGTCAATCAATCTCGACAGAATTGGATGCTTTGCATTATGAACTACAGGTGAGATTGGAATAGTACTAGATTTTATATCAACAAATTTGTAAAAACACACTCATATTATGTCACTATACAATTTTTAGTCCACAAACAGTGTTTACGAAAAGAATAGGAAGGATCTTGAAGAGCGAATCGCATCTCTGGAGATTGTAGGATGCTTTAAAACTAACAGATGTATATTTTATAACAAGGTTTTATTAAATTCACACATTTTACCATCTGGAATATTAGGACTTGATTGAGCGAGATCAGCAAATATGCAACTTGGATCGACAGTATACTCAAAAATGCAGGGATACAGAGACACTGCGCGTTTTGCTTGAAGATGAGCGTGCTGAAAAAGAAAACGAAATATCATTGTTTGAACAAGATGCCAAACAGAGCACTTGCGATCAAACCCGTTTACAAAACCGAGCAAATGACCTCACTAATGAGGTATAGTTGCAAAGCTGCACTTTATTTATCCACATATTAAGTAATACTTACTTTTGTCACTGTTGATAGATTGCTGCACTTCGTGATCAAATAAAAGAAGGCTCTACAAAGACGGATGCTTTTTGGAGTCAAAAAGTACACGATCTAGAGTCTAAACTGGCAGCTGCACATATTGAATATGAGCAATTACAATCTAGTTTGCAATCATTATCGATAATTATGGATGCAGCTAAAGACGTGCTCAAGAATCGTGGTTTCATTTCATTTGAAGATTTTGAGTCCATATATTCTAGTCAAACCAGTACAGGCTACAATGTGGCGTTTGAGGTTAGTGAACTGCCATGAACATGCACTATTTTTGATGCTATTTCCTTTTTATTGACGATTTTTTATAGTTTAAAAAGGCCTCACGCAAAGTTTCTGAGCTTGAACAAACTCTTGTAGAGCGGGACAAGCAAATAGAGGATCTTAAGATACGACTGCGTCGATCACTCGAGTAAATTTTGATGCAGCATATTTGAATATATACTAGAAACTGCTGATTTGATTTGCTTTATTTACATTTGTATGCAATTTTAGGTCCATAGACCAGGAAACTATGATTGATAGAAAGCTGGAGCACTCAGTTTTGCCGGTATTTTTTTACCTAAAACTATTTTCGATTTGATATTGATTTATGATTACATAAGATCTCGGTATTTACTTTTTCATACCACATTTTATTTTTACTAGAACAATGTCTCGGAAATAGAGCCAGCAGCGCTTTCTGCGTTTTCATATTTGCAAAACAATCGACCAATCAAGAGTGGACAGCAATCCGAAGAGGAAAATACTGAGGTTAAGCTGATTTACATGTTTTTTTATTGACTTTATAAATGTGCCAATATTGACACTGCATTTACAAACTATAAAATAGCTTATTTTGTCATTGACAAAAGTAGCTATGCTTGAACAAGAGGTGCATATGCTAAAAAAGAAACTTCAAACAATGGGCATGTGTCTTGCTGATGGTAGGGTTGTTTTAATTGACGCTTTTCTGACAATATATTTTCTAACCAGACAGGATTGTTGTATTATTAATTTTCAGAAAAAGGACAAAAACGCCAATTAGAGCTAGAGATCATGCGGCTTGAGAATCAGATTCAATTGCAAAAAAGCAAGCCTGTGATACAGGCCGCTCATATTGTTGCAGATTTGGAGAATTTTGACTCATTGCCCATGAATACAAAATCACAGCAACCTGTTAATCAAAAGCTCAGTGTGCTATCTGAAACAGTTTGTAATGTAAACTCTAAAGTTGACGCTCACTGTCAGCCGGAACAAAACACAACTGGCACTTCTACCCTGTCCCATAAGCGTACCCATGGCTTGACCTCAGATGTAACTCAAGGAACACGACGTCCCCGATTGATGAATAAAGCAGACGCCTCACAGCCAGTTGGTCGCCAACGTGAAATAGTAAGTCCATGACACTTTTGGTGTATAAAGCAAAGAAGAAGTTTATTATTTCAATTTGTTTTAATGCGATTGTTTTCCAAACACATCTTTGTAGGGAGCCTCAGGCAGACAAACACGTATCAAAGACAAAGTCCTTAAAGAGGGACAACCTGGTGAATGCAATCAACAATGAATACTAGTGGGCTGTAGGATATTCTACCGCCTCTTTCTGAAAATAATAATAAATATAATTTTCAATAGTTTAGTCAATATCAGCCTAATGTTTGAATGAATGATTGCGTGCATGTACTTGCCTGTCACGATCTCGATCTCGACTATCACGCGAATCTCGACCTCTGTCCCTGTTGTCTCTGCCACGGTCACGATCTCGCTCCTTTGCTCGGTCCCTATCACGATCTCGTCCCCTATCACGATTTTCGCGGGAGTCCCGATCTCTGTCTGTCTGGCCCGAAATGTTAGTAGGCTTTCCCGAGATATCAGCCATATGGGCAGCAGAGGCACGAGGATCAAGACCAGCGGGTATTGCACGCGGATCAAACCCAAATGGGACAGGTAAAACACCATCTAAAGGACGTGGTAACAGAGAGCTATGTATAAATCCAATTAGCTTTTCGTTACTGTAGCATATGACGTATATAAATACAATAGCGAATGTTTCAAAAGTATAATGTAGCTAGAGCAAAAATAAAATTTACTTACTGATCCATACGTGGTATATTTCCACCAGGTCCTTGAGAAAACTGGCCAAACACTGGATGCTGCTGAATAACTCCCAACTCTGGGTTTCCTGGGAAATGTCTATGAATGTCTCCAAATACATTCTGGAAATATACGTTTCAAAAATGCACCAATTAGTGTTTCAAGATTTTAAACAAATATATGATTAAAGTCAAATAAAATGCACATTACATACCACAGAAGGAATAAAACCCATCTGGGTGGGTGGATTTTGATGGTCTATTCAAAGTTCAATGTTAACTTGCGTAATCACAGCAATCACTTGTTAAAATATCAACGCAAAATCATTCAGTGCATAGAGCTGCGCATCAATGCATTGAATCTTTAATTGCTAAAATCTACAACAATCAAGAACAAAGTGCAATGCAGTCAATAAATTACCTGGAATATCCAAAGATGACCCTCCTTGATGCCCAGAAGCTGATGATTCTTTGTTTCGCGAACGATCAGTAGAAATAGTTTGCTCTCCTAACACCTTGACAGAATCATCTTCATCTCGTGGTCTTTTCCCCATAATAGATTGCTGTTTTAAAGTATTATCTGCGCCATAGCCAGTATGGGGTAACCGTTGGTATTTTCCAGTAGAAAAAACCGGCATGGGATTACCCAGCATACGTTGCTGAGCAGCAAATGCTTGCATGTCAAATCCATAGTCTGAATCCATTGGAAGATCGTATGGCTATGCGTAACGAAATGAAATAAAAATGGTCATTTTAGCAATCCAACACTTACAATACAAAGAATTTGGTTACATTTAGTCGCTTCTGCATTTGGATTTCCTCTCGCATCATCTTTTGCTTGTTGCAATATGTTTTCCAAGTTTGTTCATTGAATCCGTAATTAAAGTAGTCGGTGATATCTGCACCTGGTTTTTTCCATGGCTTATCTTCAAATTGATCCGTATCCACATCTAAAATATCTTTTCCCTCATATTGTCCAACAGCATCGATATCAATAGTAGGTTTCCCTGATCCAGTAGCGGGTTGTTGTGCAGCAGGAGCAGTTGAATCTACAAAAACAATGAATTAGCAAAATTGAATATTCTGCAACAAGTTCAAGCCGATATTCGGCAAGCTGGACTCGATATCTACTAAACTTTACCTTGTCTTGGGATGGGCAATCCTATTGCTGATTTAGATTGAACAGTTTTTGAATTTGCTGGTAGAATAGCTGCACTTGCAGCAGTATGCGCCGAGTCTGCATTTCCTGCTGCTGGAACACCAGATCCTGAAATGGAAGCATCGTCTGGCACTGCAAGCACAATCTCAATGTCCTAAACAGTTCAATGTAGTTGATAATCCAGCATTGAAGATCAGTATATTAAAGATGTCAAGCGCACTCTCCACCAAACCACTTGGCTAATCTACAAATTTAATACTCGAAAAGTCGTACATCATCACTATCGCTGTCATCGGCGTCATTGGCCTCTTGGTTGTCACTGCCAGACGGTTTATTTTCATCTACATGAGTGGCTAATATGAACCAGAAATGGTCATGACAATTAGGTCAGCATATCTAGTTGCAAATCAATGCATTGAAGAGTCTGCAATGCATTGATTAGACCTTACAGTCAAGAGTGCGATGATTATCTGAAATGTCATTATCCTGTGCATTGTTGCTGCTGTAAAGTAATTCATCGTCGCCGTCATCCATATCTGCCATCCAAGTCGAGTTTTCAAAGAATGGCAAGAATTTTATTCTCCAAATTCAAACTTGCGGATTCTTGCATTCAGTACTCATGCTTGTAGTCAATCCGACATCGATTTAAAATTTAATATTTTTGTAATGTATTGTTAATGGACTCGACGCCATCTATGTCACTCAGTATATTAGTTGTATTATTTATATGGCATCTTGCGTTGTGCGAGATTTTGGAAAATAAAATTGAATAAACATGGCAATGCATTCTATCAAAGTTGAGCATATTCAGATCTATGGATTGCAGTTTCAGTATAGTAAATGAATTACTTGTTAAAAAATAAAAATAAGTATCAGCCATTCAACTTCAAAAGAATCTCCAGTTTGAAAAAGGCAGTATCAACATAAATCAGAAACGTGCATATCAATGCAACCAGTGCAAACACATGTTTAATTCAAGCTTCTACCCAAAGAGTGCCATTGAGCCACTCTTGATTCACTTTAATACTGACTGCTGGAGGTTCCTCTTCAAGAAACTTGCGTTTCTTGAGATTCACTTCGGAATCAACCATCTACAAATATTTAATGCCAAAAATAGTTGAATTAGCACATTGGCATATACAACAATCGTACAAGGTCGGATGCTTTGTAAAAATAAAATCGATCTACTCTACATACCGATTTGTATGTATAATCCATGAAATCCTCGAGATCATACAAAGGCTTGGCTAGTGAATCTTGAAACACACGAGCTAAACCAGATACAGTAGGAACAGCATGCATCTGTAATGCCTGGATTTCCCAAAGATAGCTTTCTTGAGCATTGCATTTGCTAGGATCCATTTCAGTAAAATCAAACGGATCTGTTGTTTTACAATGGCTTTGAATTAGTGACAAAGTCGATGGTCTTGCAAAGTATGGTACATTCAATCAAAAAACAAAATGTGCCTACCAGACATTTGCTCCAAATTCTCTTGTCGCGTATGAATGAGTTGAATCGAAGATGGATGTCTTTTCATTAGATTAAAAATAAAAGGAAGGATCATAATGATTCCTGCAGGCGGAGCTGTCAAGCACAAGCGTCCCATACGTTTGACAAATGCTGCAACCAGATATGATGGAAGGTATCTACATAGTATGTCATGAAAGGTTAAGCCGACAAGTGACATCATAAGATGAATGACAGGGGAAATGCCCAAACATTGAAATGATGCTGCAAAACATCACCCTTGAAATGTATGGAGCAAGCAAACGTTTAAACCATCAAACTTACGAGGAAGAAAGAAAAATATCAGCCAATCTGAAAAAACGAGCACGGTATTTGTAATGTAGCAGATTGGAGTCAAACAAGGCATATAGCTTGGCATAAAAGTCAGGATAGTCCAAGTTGTGCTCAGTAATCAGCGTAAAAATGCCATTAAGAGCCAGTAAGCGAATAATTCCATCTAGTCAAATCAAAAATTCGGAAATGCTGTTTAGTGACTTCATCTAAACAGTTTGGTGCTGCTTTATCGTCAATTCATACCCGTGTTGTAAGCATCAACTAAGAAATCCATCAAAAGTACAGGCTTGGAAAGGTATGGAATGATTTTTTGATGAAGGGACTCTAGGCAACTTTTGTAAATCTCTCTAGGTAGTGAATGTCGCATGAATGCAAGCCAGCAATTACTAAAGGCGCGACAATAAATGGTGGGTTGCGTAAACGGGTTGGGATTTTCATCCTTGCCTTCAGCCAAATTATATTCACAAAGCAGTTTCATTGAGTCAAAAGAATCTGGTGCTGGAGATAATTTGCTGATAATTGTATATGCGTTTTGAATGTTTATAAGAGGAGTGGATTCCTACAACATCATGGTTTCAAGTTAGTACATCAAGACATTGCTAAATTTAAATGCGACGCTTTTTATCACAACTATTTAAAATGCGTACTGTTTTTTTCCCCGAATACTGATCAGTCAAGACCTTGCTGCAGATCAAATAAGTCGCAAACCAGATAAAGTTAAATCAGTTTTAAATAGTGAAGAATACAAAGGTTTACATATTTGAACTTACGAAGCACTACGGAAAAAAAAGAAGCGAAGATCATCATGTTTGTTGAGAGTGTGCACAACCTTTGCCAATAGTGGCCCTGATATGGATTCTTGACACAATAGTACTTCAACAAGGGGAAGAAATAGGTTGCTCTGAAATTCATTGTGATGCTCAGCAATATTTTTAAGTAGCTGAATATGCTTTTCAAACGAAACAAGCTAATTGCGATTTATATGTAATGTACAGCAATTAGAAAAGAAAACTATGCAAGTTTGCAATCTAGCACAACTACACAAACTGTTGAATTACCTGCAATCTGGGTTCCGTGTGTGACATGGTTTCTCGTAATACCTCGAAATATTGAGCACGATTTTCGCGAAGCCATGTAGCAAGCTCAGTACTAGATTTTCCGTCAGATTGGCGCTTTTCCAGCATTCCAGAAGCAATCAGTTTAGAAAAAACAAACTGAAGGGATGTAATTGCTGCATGTGCAATGTCTGGACTTGGACTCTATAGCAACTACTTTAGTAATGATTTCTGAATGCAGACTTGAATAATCATAATACAGCCTATTAGTGCATCGGCACACTGGTTTTAAATATATACTTACTTTGCAATACTTTAGTAAACTCAAAATATCATTAAGGTTGGCATTGTCAGTCAGACAACCTTTGGAAATCTGACGAATACTTTCTGGAGTAATCTGGATTTGACAGTTTTCAAGTAGCATGAAATTGGTTCACAATGAAAATAAAAGTTGAATAAATTGTAAAATTAGTAGCAGATATACGATCATGACGCACAATTAAGTTGGATTCCTTCAGTCCACTAAATAGCAATGCATAGAGTCATCCAAAAACGAATGCGGTTTGGTTTCAACTCCTACTAAAACACTTGAATGGATCAAATGGTTTCTAGTGGTTTCATCTGTATCAATGAGCTTTCAAGCTGGACCGTAGTCTCAAAATACAATACCAGAAAATTAAAGAGCTAAAAGTACACTCTTGATCAAAGCCATGCTTATGATACGCTGTGAAAGCAGTTCAATTGGCTTCAAACGTTACCTTGCCCATTCTTGGGAAATTCTGTTTGGTCAGTTTTTGAAAAGAATTTTTACAACTGTATTCACGTAAAATGGAGCGTTAAATAAGGGTGTTAAAATACATAATAGACAGCCAATCTCATGAAATAATAATTTGCATTAAATCTACTGAACAACATTGTTTTTGAACTCCTTGACAAAACTCGACAAGTTTTGTATAAAAACTAAAGTGTTTCATCTTCAAGTCTGGTACTCATTACCAACTTTTTTGCTAATCAAGCTTGAATAAAATATTTGCAATAGCATTAGACTATTCAAAAGTAAAATCAGCAATCGTTGTATTACTTTGAGCTGCCTTTTTTATTAATATTTAGTTTAAACTATAGAAGCACGAACAATGGTTGGAAGAGTATCGTCAAAAATAGGTTCAGGCTGAACACGAGCTTTGAATGAAGACTCGTTGGTGTATGTGATATTGGGTGGAAGTATGCTCTTGCTTTCTTCGTCCAGTAGCAACTCTTCAATCTCATTTCGTCCAGAGAAGGGATTGTAAGACGATGAGCGTTGTTCCTCTAGCAAGAGATTCAACAAGTCTTGCGTAGTAAACAAGTTGGACAGTTCTGCGCTTGATACAGATCGTCCAGTGGAAATCATGGCATCAAATACAATCTAAATTACAAAGTTTGGTAATATAATTACAATATTTAAAACAGTTAGTTTAAATGACTACAATTTACAACTGTATTCACATAGAATGGAGCGCTAAATAAGGGTGTCAAAATACATAATAGACGGCCAATCTCATGAAATAATAATTTGCACTAAATCTACTGGACAACATTGTTTTCTTGAAAACAACCCAGTATTTGGATTGTAATGAATGAATCTAGGTTCCAACTTGGTGATTGTACAATGTATGACTGCCGAATGAGGAAAAAGAGAGGATTCAAAACTATAGTTTGATTATGTATCATATGATACACGTTGTTTGGAACAAGAATTAAACATGCCAATCGGAGTCAATCATTCAAATACTGTATATCTCAAAGCAAAACAGTAGCTTCAAGATACAGAAAAGTTCCATTTATATGAATACAGCTGTAAGATACAAACCAAGACACATTTTATACCCGAAATTTGAGTGAAGGGCTAGCAAGCTGAACTTGTTTCCAGTTATCTGATGAGCAATCTACATATTTGTAAACAACTTTTTCAACTGCTTTTGAAATATCTGTAGTAGGGATTTTTGTAACTCTAATGTATGTATAAGTAATATGCAGACATCAGCAAATAATTCATACTGCGATCAAGTGAATATGCGGTTGGATCTAAACCAAAAACACTAAATCAAAGTAATACAAATCAATAGCATTTGTATAATTACAGAAAACAAAATATTATTTTACCTGGAACTTGTTTTAGATGGAGCATCAATGCCATCGTGAAGCTGGGTCATAGAAGAGGGTTCCATATGTGAAACCTGTTGAAAAGATACATTGGAAAAACCTCTCAATAAATCCAAGCAACATGTAGAAGGGATCCGAAATGCTTTAGTGGTCAGAGCAGTTTGACGCATAGAGCGTAGCATAGTACGAATCAATGGCATTGTTGAACCAAAACGTATAAAGGAAAGAAAACAAAATTGCATATCAACAATGGTGGACAGACTCTGTATAAATGGTGGACAGACTGTAAATTTGAGTCGCCTTTAAATATTAAACATGAACCAAATTGCTGCCAAACATTCCATCTGACATCTTCATCCATGCCACTTGTAAGTCACTGCATGATTCCTATCAATTCACAATCTGTTGTTGCAGTAACTTTCATGTGTCAATTCCCGACAAACACTGCCAGTTTATTGAAGGCCACTCCCAACAAACCCACTCTTGATGCACTTGGATTGTAGATGACAATCTAGATCTATGAGCAGCTACATTCCTGATAGATAACCATTTGATTGATTACTGTTTTGTGCTAATCCCACCTGTATCTTGTATACTCGACCAAACCTACAACAAATCGTGGCTGCAACTACTGATGGTTACTGTTGCTATCAGGAATACGCTCTTCAATTCAGAGGCCAGAATCCAGACCCAGGACCATGGAAACTCCCTCGCTCAGTAGCTATAAGACCCAATGAATCCCTTGGCATTTCTGAGCTGCCTATCCAGCGAGTGCGTCGCTCCAAAAGACTGCCTTATACGTTCAATTTGATGGTCGTTGGTAAGATACTGACAAGACAATGGTGTCATGCATGTTTATAATAGACTAACCGTCACTCATGAATGATAATCAATGCAGGCGAGTCTGGTCTGGGCAAGACAACCTTTCTTAATACTCTATTCAACACTAACCTGAGTGAGGGTCGTGGACAAAAGAATTTGTCGGCTTCAAAAACCGTCACTGTCAATCCTACCACTTATGGTATGCATTCACCACTGAGTTTGTTCTGTTAGTCTATTCTACTTTATCATTGTTCAAGGTTGACTGCATATGGCTTTAATAAGATACTAGAATGGCTGCATTCTAGACTTTTATCAAGTCTTCAGAATGCAGCGCCACAAAAGCCTCATTTCTGTTTAAATTCCAAACCCTCATTGACTATTGGAAATGTTTGACCAAACTATCTGCACTGACTTGGGAGTTTGGCTACAGATTCACTTTCATCATGGCTGTATTTTGTATATATGCTTAGTGACTGACATTTAACCATTGGTTTGCATATGCAACGTACAGAGTTGACTGAAGAAGGAGTAACTTTGATGCTAACTGTCATTGATACACCTGGATTTGGCGACCAACTCAATCGTGAAACAAAGTGAGTCAATTTTTCAAACGATATGTCTTTATCCATTTCATGATTAGATTGGGATATTAAAGCAATAATCTTTTTTATTGTGCACTAAATTGAATCTACTGATTTCGTGGCTCATCTACCACAGCTTCGAACCTATAATCAATTATATTGATTCACAGTACGACCAGTATCTTGCCGCCGAAAAGAGTCAGCAGGTTCGTCAAAACATCCCCGACACCCGTGTGCACGCTCTTTTGTATTTTCTTCCCCCAACTGGCGGTAGTCGGCAAGTTTATTAAACGAATGATTTAAATGACTTGTTTTCAGCACCATACTGTAACCGTTTCTAATCAAGTTTGGCATTTTTAGTCTTCGCGATCTTGATCTGGAGTTTCTTCAGCGTCTCTCTGCCAAAGTAAATGTTGTTCCTGTTATTGGAAAGGCAGATTCATTAGCCCCAGAAGAGGCTATTGCCTATAAGCAAGCGGTAAGATTTTAGCTCAGCTTACCTCTCAATCCTTGTCAAAAAATGTATAACAAAAATCTAAACTACTGGTATTTGGGATTCAACTAGATTTTACGCGATTTTGGTACATATGACATCCGTGTTTATCCCAATCACCATGCAGAAGATCGCGACTTTGTTCCAAATATTGAGAGATATATTCCTTTTACTGTTATTGGAAGCGACTCTCTTGTCAACGTTGGAGGAAAGGAAGTTCGCGGCAGATCCTATAGATGGGGCACTGTCGAAGGTTTGTATTTTTTTAGATTAGATGATTGACAATAGACTCATGCTTTGAATACTGGTATATTTAGTTGAAAATCCAGCTCACTGTGACTTTGTTCATCTTCGCGAGCTTTTGATCAGGTCAGTATTGTTGCATTGTGCATGGTATCGTGTGTTTCTTCATGCCAATTTGCAAGGGACTTGAAACACTGACTCATCTTTTTAAAATTGTAAATTTGGATTTTTGCATAAAGAACCAACATGCAAGATCTCATTGATACAACCCATACTGTCCACTATTCGCAGTATCGTGGTATTAAAATCCGCGGAAACCAACGTCCAGAGTCATTCCTTGCCTGTGATGATTACTATGAAACTCGCGTTGACACTGCCAAGCGTTCTCTTGCTGAGGATATGCAGCGCAAGGAGGATGATATGCGTCAGAGATTTGTAGCCAAGGTTCGCGAAAAGGAACTGAACCTCCGGTAAGCCAAACACTTTTGACATGACCAATTTTCTTGACTGTTTGAACTATACTAACATATATTGTTTTCAATAAATTGGGGTTTTTTGCGACAACTAACTATGTCGTAGTGAACGTGAGGACGCTTTAAACAATACTAGACAAAAAATGATGGAGGAACTTGAGGCCCTTCGTCGTGCTGTTGAAACTGAGGAACAATCTGTGAATGAGCTTGCTATTACGTAAGTTGCTGGTTTTGAATATGTTGCGCTATAGACGAATTAGATGTGCTGTTTTCGAGTGGTTATTCTTGCAATCTAATGCCTAGGTTTAAATGGAAATATGCTGACCTATTTTTATAGTAGGGGCGGCAGTAAAAATAACCTTCTTGGGAAAAAATAGGACAAATGCGATTTGTTGAGTTTATATTTTCTATTACGAAATCTCGAATGCATGCATATTTTTTGCAATTTTTTAATATTGAGCCACTTGTTAGTTTTAAATTGGTATATGGTTAGGGCTTGAAGAATTAAGAGATATGAATATCATGCAAGTGTTGCTGCCCAATCAGATGATGATGGTGGGCTGGGTTTAATCCACCCTAGAGGTATTGGAGATGCCTTGTAAGATTCGGGGATGTGTTGAATGCATGCATCCCATTGCGACCTAAGCAACCGTTTAGGACGAGTGAGTTGATCATTCTAAAGTAGCGCAAGCATATGGTGATCAATCTCTTACCGTATATGTATCAAATTTTTAAAAGACAGCTGCGCCTGACCAAAAAACTGGCTATTCGTTTTTTTCTTGAGTGTTGATTTAAAAGCAGATCGAGTTGGTTGTGCATAGGAACTTTGGGATGCAGTGAAGATGAATTGACGTGCTAGAGTCAAGATTTGATGCAATTGTTTTATTCGTTTTTCGGTCGAATCTTTGATTGGCTGCAGTTTTTTAGTAGATGCTGATCCAGTTTTTGTATTATTGCAAGATTCATCTTGTAATGGTCGACTGTTTGACAATTCAAGCAAATTCTCAATCACCTTTAACTTATTCTTGACATCATCGCACTGCTTCTTCAAGTCATTGCATTTGCGATCAATCGTGGAACGGCTGATGCTTTTTGAATTTATGTTTTGATATAGAGTAGTAGTTTGTGATGTTGAATCAGATTCAAGTTGATCTGACTTGAATGTATCCGTTGCTTTGTCGTTCAACTTTTTGTGATGCAGTTTGGTTTTTTGTCGATGTTTCCATTTCTAAATATAGCGAAAACCATAAAATTTAAGTCAAACAACCTGTTATAAAGCTGAAACACCAACATGTGTATGGACTCGAGCTGTTTGAATGAACCCACCAATTCTATCTACTCTGTATGAGCAGGAGATTAGGAAGAATGAATCATTTACCTTTTTACGATAAAGTCGATGTACTTTGGACTGAATGTGGTGCTGGAGAGTTGCATCAGATATCTGTACATCTAAATCGCTTAATGCGTTATTTACATACAAGGCAAGATCGCCTATGGGGAGATTTGGATATCGATCTAATTCTAAAAGTTGTTTAGCATTTTGGATAGAAAGCTGATCTAGTGTAATGCTTTTTTGGATATGCTGATGAATCTTGTCGAGATCCTGTCTTAATTGGTCTCGTTCTTGCACCATAGTACGATATTCGGATAGTTTCATTCGACAAAACAACTCTTCTTTTTTGTACTGTTCCTGTAGTTTGTGGGATTTAAGTGCATGATCAAGTGCAGTATGAGCCGATGCCTTTGTAGTTGTGGGTTGATGTTGGATGTGTGCAGTTACAGATGATGGATTGATCAGTCCAGATTTCTTTAGTGAATTCATTTGTCTTGTTCAACGTAAATGTATTCCAATGTATTAATACGATGTTCTGCTGTTGGCTTGAAGATTGGCAGAAACCCAACTCGCGCTCAACCTGTCAAACTGTAAAGAATTGAAACTTTTTATTATCGAGTTTTCATCAAAAATAGCCAAACGCTATGCTGGGAAAATGGGCCAAACAAAGTCGCATCGTATCAAGAATGGCAATCTGCAAGCCAACTCTGTTCAATCAGTTTGGACTCACACTGTATGGTGCTGATTCTATCTTTGGGTTGAATGTTGGATCTTGCCAACTCTCTCAATTCAAGCATCCCACTGCCGCATGCTTAAGTTCATCAGCAACCACTGGCGTGCCTACCGACCATTTTGATATATGTATTGTTGGAGCAGGAATCATTGGGACTGCTGCTGCCTGTGCAATGGGTATGCATTTACTTGAATCCTTATTGAATGAGTTCAGTGTTCACAAGGTCATTTATGGACAATTGTCTGCTTAAAGATTTCCATTTTGATCCATTTTGATCCATTTTGAATTGTATTCTATACTAGCACAATCACCCTATTCTTCTGGAAAACGAATTGCCTTGATTGAAGCTGGCGATCTTTTTAAATCACCTGTGCTGATGCCTGGACAGTTTGCAAATCGTGTCAGCTCCATAACTCGTGGATCGGCCCTGTTTCTTGATCGTGAGTCGCATCGATCTGAATGCATGCCATTATGAATCCACTTTTATTTTTTACAATCTGACCAGGAGATTAACCTTTTTTTGTAGAGATTGGTGTATGGGATCGTATTTTGGTAAAACACCCCTACACTAAAATGCATGTATGGGACGCATCATCTGATGGAGTCATGGCATTTGATGCAGACTCATCTCAAGTAGATTTAAAACCACATGGAGAGCCTGCAATTGGATGGATAGTTCAAAATCATCTCATTCAAGCAAGTTTGGCACAAATAGTCTCGCAGACACCTTCAATCACCATCTTTAATTCTTCTACTGTTACAGATATTTCAGCAGACGCACTCTCTGGAGTTCCTACAGTGGTGTTAAACAATGGACATCAGTTTTCATGTCAGTTGTTGGTATGTATAACTTTGGAATGTATTGGTAAAGTAGTTTCATTTCTATTAGATGCCTAGATGATTTAACATGCGCGTAATCTGTATACTAGGTTGGAGCAGACGGAATGAATTCAAAAGTCAGAGAGTTTGCAGGAATTGAATCGATTGGGTGGGACTACAACATGCATGGTCTAGTAGCAACACTACAGGTTGATGATAGTGCGTCTGACAATGACACTGCGTGGCAACGATTTTTGCCAACTGGACCCATTGCGATGCTTCCTGTATGTAATACTATTTTAATGAGTTGTTTTCTATACTGTAACCAACATGTATTGCATGAACTGTTGCGGTTGATTAGCTGGCAAAAGGATACGCTTCATTAGTATGGTCTACCACTCCACACCTTGCATCGCTATTCAAGAAAATGTCGGATGCTCATTTTGTCGAGTTTGTCAATTGTGCCTTTCATAACCCACTCCAAGATCTACAGTTTGCATGTGATCAGTTACATCCAGATGGATCTATAGATGATTCAGTGAATCTCAAAGATGAGATTGCATGGGGACTCGAACGTTCATCTGGATCTGGATCTGAATCTGGGGAAAGTAGAAAAGCATTGCGTGTTATTGGAGTTCAGCCATACAGTCGTGCACCTTTTCCATTGCGACTTCGCAACTCCACATCATATACTAGTACTCGAACGGCACTTGTTGGGTAAATATACTGCATCCACTATTGACCTTGACTTGATAAGGATGATCGAAATGTGACAGCTGATTTGATGACACACTACAAATGAAATAACAGAGATGCAGCGCACACAATCCATCCACTGGCAGGACAGGGACTTAATTTGGGATTAGCTGATGCACAGTCACTTTGCAAAGCTATTGAACAAGGAAGCCAGCACGGTAGTGATGTAGGATCGAGTAGCGTTTGTGAAGCCTATGGACGCGATCGGTTTGCAAAAGGAGTTGGAATGCTAGCAGCAGTTGATGGAGTAGCACGAGCATTTGGAGGAATGATTCCTAGTGCATTGCGTAGCACAGGAATGAATCTGATCAACTCAAGCAGTGTTGTCAAGAAGACTATTATGAATTTGGCTTCATAGAATTGTCAAATGCGATTTCCAATAATAAACGATTCAACAATTCTTGAGCAAATCTTGGTGATTGCCAGGTGACTTTACACAACTATAAATTGATAAAAATAACTTTCAATTCTAAGCCAAGATCCACCATTGATATCATGTCTGTTGCACTAACTCCTGCCCAGCTGACTGAAGAACAACATGCGTTTGACCAAGAAGTTCTACAAGTAGAACAGTGGTGGGCTAGTGACCGTTTCCGACTTGTTACTCGTCCTTACTCTGCTGCTGATGGTGAGTCTGGTTCCAGGGTTGCAGTAGGACAACATGAGCATTGAATCAAGTCGACACTTGCATGTCCAGTCTTGTGTATTTTGGCTTGCCATGTTTTTCACTTTCACATGTGTAAATGGCAACATGGATTCGCTTGCATTTTCATGATTAAGCTACTCTCTTGACTCCAAATTCCTACTTCATTCCAATAATACTTTACTGACTGCATGCTTCATTTCAATAATAATTTACTGACTCTGCATTCGTACCGGCTTTCATGGCCAAATTTGTTCTTTGCTGTTGGCCGTCCTGTCTAATAAAGTTGTCAGCAAAAGAGGAACTCTTCCTGTTGCTTACCCTTCGAATCATCAAGCAAAAAAACTATGGAATCTGTTGCAGAACCACAAGGCTAATAAAACCGCTTCTTTTACCTACGGTGCTCTGGATCCTGTTCAGGTCATCCAAATGGGTAAATACCTCGACACCATTTACGTGTCAGGATGGCAGTCGTCTTCCACTGCATCGTCTTCCAACGAGCCTGGTCCTGATCTTGCTGACTATCCTATGGTAAGTATTGCTTGATATCAATCGATATCTGCATTATATTACAAACGACTCGATATAAAGCTTTATTCTCATTTCAAAAATACTCGTATATTTGATATTGTTGTTCCATATTGCGCTGCATACAGGACACTGTTCCCAACAAGGTGGAGCACTTATTTTTGGCTCAGCTGTTTCATGATCGCAAACAACGTGAATGTCGTCTGACCTCGACTCCCGAAGTTCGTGCCAAGCTTCCTTATACCGACTTTCTTCGTCCCATTATTGCCGATGCCGATACTGGCCACGGTGGCATCACTGCTATCATGAAACTTGCAAAAATGTTTGTAGAGCGTGGTGCTGCTGGAATTCATTTGGAAGATCAAGCTCCAGGCACTAAAAAATGCGGCCATATGGCTGGCAAGGTTCTGGTTCCCATCATGGAGCACATTAACCGTTTGATTGCTGTTCGTCTGCAATTTGACATCATGGGTGTTGACAATCTGATTGTTGCTCGAACGGATGCCGAAGCTGCAACTCTGCTTACTTCCACTATTGACACTCGCGATCATTACTTTATCCTTGGATCTACCAATCCTGATCTAAAACCATTGGCTACTGTCATGATAGCTGCTCAAGGTTCTGGAAAAACTGGTAATGAATTACAAGCTGTCGAGACTGAATGGCTCAAAAATGCCAATATAATGCTTTACCATGAAGCTGTTGTCTTGGCACTCAATGCTTCTGGAAAAAGTTCCATGTGTGCAGACTTTACTGCAAAGGCTGCTTCCCTCTCCAATAGTGATGCTCGTGCGCTTGCAAAAAGCTTGGGTGTAGATCCCCATTTTGATTGGGACGCACCCCGTGTTCGTGAGGGTTACTATCGCTACCAAGGTGGTACGCCTGCATGCGTTGCTCGTGGTAGTGCCTATGCCAAGTATGCTGATCTCATTTGGATGGAAACTAAAAAACCCATTTACGAACAAGCTAAACAGTTTGCTGAAGGTGTGCACAAAGTGCTTCCTGAAGCCATGCTTTCCTACAATCTGTCTCCTTCCTTCAACTGGGATGCTGCTGGCATGTCTGATGAAAAAATATCCAGTTTTATTGGTGATCTCGCTAAACTTGGGTTTACTTGGCAGTTTATCACGCTTGGTGGAGTAAGTTTTATTGTGAATGGTTCTATTTGAATAGATTACTACTGCTCTTGTTACGTTTAGATTCTATTCAAACAGCCACGTTTGCTTTGGACACACACTTACATTTCTACATCTTGATTGTTTTCCAGTTTCATTCAAATGCTCTTATTACCGATGTATTTGCTCGCGACTATGCCAAGCGAGGAATGCTTGCATATGTTCAAACGATCCAACGTGAGGAACGTGTCAACAACGTCGAGACGCTCGCACACCAAAAGTGGTCTGGTGCTGAATACTATGACAATCTAAGTAAGTTTTTGTAATAACCATTGAAAAGTATATTCTCAATTGGGTGTTTAATCACAAGCTAATCGATTGAACGGATTGGAATCTCCACTTGCGTCAACGCCAATCTCACCGCTTACTCTAGTCAAAACTGTTCAAGGAGGCGTAGCATCCACTGCTGCCATGGGAAAGGGTGTGACCGAATCTCAGTTCCATTGATTACCTTCAACTTTTCTTGCACTACCTCGAGTTTGCTTGATTTGTTATTTTATTTCAATATTCAACTTGCACAATGAGCCAATCTATTCTTATGAATTGAATGTTTTACGATTGTGTCTTGTCGGTTGAATAAAAACAGTTTCGGATTTAAACTTTTTGATAATTGAGATAAATGGATTGGCTTTAAATCTCTGCAATGCAGCTCATGTGTTCAAGTATTGGATTTCTAATCCTAGTGAAGATCTTCCAAGAGCTTTGAGTTTACAGTTGAGTGATAATTATAAGCTTTAATACAAACTACATTTGATGAGTGCCAACGATACACTATTTTGGATGGTCAAGATGGTTTCTTGCTTTCCATCAACAAAAACTTGAACTCAACCCAGCGACTATCAGGATATGGGAAAACTGAATCTGCTTCCACATAAAAGGTAAAGCAACAGTTTACAGGATCCAAACAGCTGCATGAACATTGTACTTGCATACAGAGTGATTGAACGCTTGTTATTGTGTATCGCTAGTTGGAATGTATACAGCCAAAAAAACATTGAAAAAGTTCGACAAGATGAGCGTCAGGCAGAGTTGAAAGGAGAGAGCAAGCATCAACGAGCAACCAAAGCGGTATGTAACCTCTTGGCCATCTCATGACTTGATGCAGTGACACTTGCTGGCTTTATGAGTAGCGAATATGTGTTGATGGTGAATCTGGAATGTGTTAGGAACAAGAGATTCGACTGGAAACACTACGAGCTAGAGCAATAAGTCGTTCCGGTATAACCAACACAGTTACCGAGCTATCCAATGATCATAAAGAACCTTTTGGTTCGTCATCTCACCACCGTACTGATTCAGATCATCGCAAAAGCAAGGTACGTTATCTGGACTCTTGATGTGTTGAGAAGGAATCCATCGGTGTCTGGTTTAGCTCAATATATATCGGAAACTAGCCACTCCATCATACCACCAACCAAGAACTGGATGCAGAGAAGCTGGCTGAAAAGAAAAAGTGGGAAAGAAAACTGACAGTTTATCTGGGAGAAACTCGGGATGGAAAGAAGGAGACTCCATGGTATGCAGACATGGATTATGGCAGATCTCGACGAGAAAAGTCTGTCAGGCCTGCAGATCTGTAAGCTTATTATTCTGTTTTGGAATGCGTTGACTACTGGATTTACTTTATTGTTGGAATATCTTGATTCAGTTTTGACTTTTTGAATCTAGTGAGAGTCGCAGTAGAAAGGATGAACAGAAAAAGAAACAAATGGATCCTGTTCAAGACATGGCAAGATACTTGTCCAAAAAAAAGAAAACTGATGTACACGATCACTCGACTTTTAAAGTTTCCAAACCAAAGTCGCATGAATCTGGAGAAATTTCGAGTTGTTCAAACACTTTGACTATTGAAGAACTACGAAAGGAGCGATTACAAAGAGAAGCAAAGGAGAAACAACGAACTCGAGAGCTTTTGGATCCTCTCAAGGCATCACGAACAGAACCTGTAAAACACGATTCAGATGAACGCTATTACAATGCACAGTTCAACCCATCTCATATTCGACGTCCAAACCACAAAGATTCAGATTTTAATTCAAGATATCGTCCTTATTAGCTCCATATATTTATTCCTTATTTGAAGTCAATTCAACCAGCAGTTGCCTGGTTTGTGTTGTCCAGCGTTTGATATGCCGCCAAATACAATTATATTATGATCAAGGTCATCCATTTATAGAGGTGAAGTCGAATGTAAAGATACCGTTTGATTGTCAAGTGTTAGAGTTAGCATTACATATTCAAATCTTGTCGAGATAAAATTTCAATCGGGCAAACTTGTCAAGATCTGGCAATACACTTGCCAATCGGAAGGATTATCCAACGATACAGATTGCTTTAATGCATTGATGGCATCGTCTTTTCCTATACAATTCAAAGACATTCAAGTATTGGAACATGCTAAACATATCAACACCAGACATATTCCATCCATTGATGGTCAGATTGGGCCAAAAAACTACGCTTACTGTTGACGGCAATACAGGCTCGAGCCATAATCTGGTAAGCATTGTACTATTTACCGACGAGAGTGCATGGAAACGTTGTCGTTTAAAGAATAATGTAAACCAAAAATCATCAGCCTTGTAAATGAATGGTTCTCATTTATGCTAGTTTAATCAATTCTGACCCAAACCTACATTCATAGGATCAAGCTGTACGCTTTTTTCAAAACACTCGATGGCCTTGGTGAACTCCTTTTTGTTATAAAATCCCACTCCACATCTGAACCATCCAAGTGAGTTGCGGGGAACCGCCCCGACTCGCAGCATTAACCACTCCTCACAGCTTGTGGTCTGTCCATTATTTACAGAAGCCATGTGGTGGTCTATAACCTGATGTATTGCTGCTGCCATGAATGTGTTGCAAAATATACGTCAAATCAAGGTTGAATTCAATGTAGTCGAATGCTGTAAATGGCGAGTTTAAATCTAAAGTTGAGCGTCGGAGTTTTTCGAGTAGAATAAAGTTTACACCATCTTGCATTCCAACCTACTTGTACCCAACGCAACAACTTACTGTATTGATACTATCTACATCATGGCTTCTAAACTTATTCTTCGAAACAAGTGCCTCGTGTTAGGTATATGAATTTTACATTTCTAGCCCGAGTTTTCAAACAACCATCTTGTCCAAATATCTTGTAACTGAAAAAAATAATCTTGCAATTCACTTTACAGGCAATGCATCTGTAGGAAAAACAGCTTTAGTGCAGACGTTTCATAGCGATGGAAGTCAGTTTCCAAAAACCTATAGCATGGTAAATGGTTTTCAAAATTGCAGTTGCTCGAGTTTCAATTTATGCTACTCAATTTTGTAAAATATAATTATCCTCAACTTGCATATATCAAATATACGTATCATGCGACAAGACTATCCATGTGGATGTATGCATCAAACCCGTGAATATTCCCGATACCAACGTTACTGTCGAGCTTTTTATTTACGATCTGGCAGGACATGACGTGTTTCAAGAATACCTTTCAAAATATGTATGCTACATATCATATAATGAATGGAGTTTAAATCATTTGATCAACACTAATTTCGTCCAATGTTCAAATGTCTTGATAGTGCAGACAGGCTAGTTCGTATATGCTCGTGTATGACACCACCAACTCGGAATCATTCAAGGCTTTGCCAAAATGGAGCCAGTTTATCAAGTCAATCAAGGATCTTCGTGGAAGCAATGGTATACCTAAAATTCTTATTTATTTTTTGATATCAAATCAATACAAAAACTATTTCCAATTTATGTAAGCTTGACATGATTTTGAATTTGTTTTACCCGACTGCCACATACACGGTGGTTTAATATACTAGGAATTCTTGTTGCAACCAAGACAGATCAGTCCTTACGTAGACAAGTAACTCAGCAGGAAGGAGAAGAGTACGCAAAACAGCATAATTTGGTTTACTTTGAATGTGCTGCGGTAAGTACAAGCATTAGAATGTCAATAGTTTATTCTCACTTTTTGAACCTAAATCAAAGTAAACGATCGAGTGTTTATTTTATTCATCTAAAACCATAATATTGATCATATTCGTTGTATTCTCTTAGGCAACAAACACAGAGGTTGAAGCTCCATTCTATTACATGGCCAATGCATTTCATGGAAGGTTTGAGGAACAACTGCACCTTACTTCAAAAATAGTGGCGGATTTACATTAAATCATTTTAAAAAAACTGCAAAAAGCTGCAATAAAGGATAGAATAAATCACACATAATTTTATTCAATGTCTACATCAGGTTCGTTCTTGACATCAAAAGTGGAATAAGTGGTTTCGGGCTGAGCTGAAAGTACATGCGCCGTGGACATGCTTGAACGTTGGTGCGTTGCAGGCTTACCAATGACTGAATCAAAATCAGTCGTGTCTTCAGAATGGAGAACGTCACCAGTGGCTATAGATGACGCGGGAATATTTGCTGATGCTAGTTTCATAGCCATAGCAGAAGTAATAAAAACAAGATCCTTTTCATGCTAAGCAAAAACAAACGTTAATCGGTTAGATGGCTGTTTTCCTAATACACACCAAGGTATTTCAAAAACATGCCAAATAAACAACAAAATATACCTCTGTAATGTAATCTTTAACTTGAGCAACCAGTTGGCGAGAAACAGCAGTAAGTGGATGGTCGGATCCATAATACATTATACAGTTTTTTAAAACCAATTCAATGTCTGCACAAAAATCAATATGGCTTTTGTACTTGAAATTGCGAACGTCATTGCGAATTTGGTCAAGTGTTTTCGGGTTTGCTATCATTTTTGCATAGTCGTCTGCCTTATTAGGCTGACAGAGAGGCTCTGCTCCAGAAGTACCAACAAGTTTCATAATAATGGTTTCTAGGATGTTTGAAAGCTCGATTTTTGGACTTCCTCTACGAGCAGCCTTGGTTGGCTGAGAATTTGTGCCATGAAAATCAATTGTGCGTCGTTTACGAGAAGAAATAGTGGTTTGGTCTATAGCAATTACTGTCGGTTCAGGGAGTAAAGAGGCATTTGATTGTGCAGAAGTTGGTACTGAAGAGGAATTGCCTAATGTTTATTATGATCTGAGTATACACGGAACATGATATACATACAGGTAAAATGTGCAAAACCAAACACCTACCTAAATTTAACTTTAAAATCACAGGTGGAATCGTTTTTAACGGCTGAGTTTGTAAATGTAATTGCGTTTGAGATGTGGACTCGGGGTTAGCACCAGCCAATGACCGTGATGGCTGCTGTTCTGCTAAAACGTTGGCATCTAAGTCAGGGGCTACAGAGGAAGAATGTGCAGCTTCGTTAGGGTTGCCAGAGATTGGTTTATTGCCAAGTTTAGTTTGAAGTTGTGCAACATGCTCGCGCGTTTTTCGTTGCCTAAGCTCGCGGCGTTCTTCCTCGGACAAAAGGGAAATGTCAAAGCTGACCAATAATAAAATAGTATCAGCAATCAACACAGACATAAAGCAATCATCAATACAAGTATATATATAAAGAGCCAGAGTGGCTAATTTTACTCACTTTTCATCTCCTTCATCTATTTTTTCAATAATGCTTCGATGTCGAAGATATGCGTTAATTACACGTCCATCAGTAATGACTTCTGATTTCCAGTCTAGCTCGCCTTGGTCGTTACGGATCTGCAGATACAAGTCAATGGAGTTGTAATTTTAAACAATATTCAGCAATTAGCTCAGTACAAATGCACATGGTAGCAAGCTGGTTGACATTCGCAAGCACATATTATTTTACCATTCTTGAAATAACCAGCACTTTATTTTTTCCGGCAAGTGTGCTTCCCATCATCGAACCCGCATCCTCATCTTCAACATCCGAGTATTGATCTATCATTAAAACAAACCGTTAATGCAATCATCACAGTTTGCACTATAAACTATAGTACAGATATATGCCTTACTATTATCGTTGCGCATGGATGGTGGAGAAAATGGTGCAGGCGAGGATGCATCATTGTAGCCATATTGTCTACGACGCTCCTTTTCCTCTTCAATCTCTAATTTCTACATACCAAAATAATAAATCACATATATTCAGATGGCTGACTAATTACAAAAAATGCCAGTACTCTTTTTCAAATCAAACTTCATACCCGCTTGCTACTTCTCATATTTTCAAGTTCTGCATCGGCAGGATCAGTATCTTCAGGAATTGTGGTACAACTAAGAGACTTGAGCTGCTTTGTCCAGATGCGATCAATCTATAACAACAATGTATTAGAAGCCATAATCAATATCCAAAATCAAAATCGGTTTTGGTAAAGCCAAGGTGTACACTAACCTCTTCTTTGTATTCCTTTTGTTGCTCAGCAATAGAGTACTTGTGGAAAGTTGCCTGGGCTTTTGCATTAATAAAGGCTAAAAGTGAAAAATGCAAAATTATACAAGGTAAATACTATGCAATAAAATCAATGCTCAACCAACACTCTAATCCAATATCTTGCCATGGATTACTCACCATTTTTAGTTTCGTTTGAAAGACCGGATTTGAAAAACATCTCCTTCATAGAAGCACGAATATAGCTAAACCCTTCTCCGCACCCAGTAGGATCTCCGCGTCCAAAAAGCCTCACCATTCCCTTTCCCTGTAATGTATTGGCATGGTTAGCAATTTCATACTACATAACGGATATGTTTTGAAGCGCCAATAAAATATACACATTACCGATGCTGCAATCACAAAATTCTTTGTAGTGACCCATGGAGCTAGTTGGACTTCTATGTCCAATGTAGATTCATCTTCCTCGTTTTGAAGATCCAAAAGATCATCATTGCCATAACCAGCATCGCGAAGTCGTTGCTGACCAACTAATGTGCTTTGGTAAAGACATACCTACATATCCGTTGCTTAAATGGTTAGTATATTCAATTGAGAATAAAACAGCCCAAATAAATCAAATTATCACAAGCCTACCTGTTCTGGCGTAATAATTTTTCGGATTCCATCTTCATCTGGCAATTTGACACTGCTTTTCAATTTCCACCATCCGGTATTTTCACCTTTTTTCAAGTACTGCGCAAACTCCTAATAACCAAAACCAAGCAAGTTGATACGAAAAGTTAAATTCAACAAGAGTAGCTTATGGTGTAAATTATTGCAGATACCAATATAATAAAATATAGGCATGGTTTGAGGCACAATACCTTGAGCTTTTGACGAATCTGGAGATCGGAAAACATGGGGAAAAACTTTTTCATTCTGTCAAACCTCAGTCGTCTAAATGGGTCCTTCCACATAAGTCGAAATGATACCACCTATGTACAATTCAAAGCGGTTTTAGTTGGCAATATAGCTAAAAACGCCAAACACAATCGGCCAACCTGCAATCGCTGTTTGAGAGACTGTGTGATTTTCCGAGCTTGAGGACGAGGAACTTCTTGCACAGGAAAGATTTGACCAACACTGTACATATTTGGAATATCCCGAATAAAGTATTTTACTTTTCCGTGATACGAGTGTCTGCATAATTAAATGCAATGAGCAGTATGGTTAGCACAGCGTAACCCAGTATAGATATAATACACAGCTCACCTTATCATCAAAAAATCAGTAGGTGCAGCATTTTGTGGGAAAATAGGCGCTCGCAATAAATTATTATACAAGACTTGTCTTGTTTCACCAGGTCTGACATCACCAAATCCAAAGAAAGGTGATGCATCAACAGACTCGAGAATGTATGCGCCGCCATTGTTCATCTAGTTCAGTTTCAATCACAGCAGCTGTGAATCAATCAATTTCAAGGCAGCAACTAAAAATGCGTTTTGGTAGTTTACCTTTGGAACAAAATTATCCTTTTCGTCCTTTTTACGATAGTAGTTGTAGATCAAACTGGCCATACCGACTGTTTGCATCAGCAGAGGATACTCTTCCTAATTTCCAATATTGAACATCGATAAAAAATAATTAGCTCAATGGTTGGAGTAAAAGCACAAAAAATCACCAGCTCTTTATAAATACATACAGAATACTCCACAAGAACAAATTTAGAAGTATCTCTTAGACTGATATCTTTTGGAGTTCGCATAAGATCAGAAGGATCAATCTCTTTGGGCCGTTTTTTGACTGCTTTTGGTCGAGAAAATTGAACGACCTCGCCAATTATGAATTTAAATGCAGGGCGATGGAATGACCGGAGTTCGCGAAGTTGCAGCAAAGGTTTCAGCTGTATATATAAATCAAGGTTACTACAGTTGCATAAAATGACAAATCGTCAACTAAACAAAATAAAATTTACATATTGAGGATGCATTTTGATGGCAGGAAGCGAGTGCTGAATGCTAACAGGACCATGTGTTTGACGAACACGCGCAGTTCTTGGTTTTGTGACTTCATAAAGCCAGTCCTCTGATATATTAAATCGATCAATAAGTTTTCCATCAGGCTATAGTATACAAATACAAGAATATGACAGTAAATCAGTAATCAGTGCATTTTCCGCTAAAACAAAAAATGCATCAAGCTAATACGTACGCGCTGTTTGTAAAAGAGTGACTGTGAAGCAGGTGGATTTTTTGCACGCTTTTGAATACCAACAAGGGTTTCGTTTGATATAACGAGTCGTGGATCGTCAAGATGAAAGGGAACTTTGACTGATGGAGTGTCTTCATCAAACACAACAGCCTCAAGCCAATCGTCCTTGTCTAAATGGGTGTTTCTAAATCGAGCTCGATCCTTTCTAAATTGCCAATACAAAAAATGATATTTTAGCAAAATAAACAGCATTTGTTAAAAGTGAACTAGATGTATATTCGTAGACATACCTTCTGATAGGCATCTCAAAGTCCATAGGCACATCCTCATCTTTGTCATTGATATCCCAAACAATATTTTCCTCCCACGACTCTAGCATGACAGGTGCCAAAAGATGGTCATCGACTACGCTTATTTTGGATTCCAACTTTTCAGATTCAACTACTTCGGATACTGCAACTACATTATCAGTACTATGATCTGGCAAAGGTTGCTTGTACGACTCTATTGGAAGCCGTGTTGGAATACATTTTACAAATAAATCTCTGTCGTCACGCATTACATCATAAAATTGATCTTTTCGAACTATATAAATAGCAAAACAATCCAATTGATTAATCAACATAGTATACAAAAATTTACTCGGAAATCAAAAAACTTCAAGTATAGCATACGTTTTTTTGAAATATCTGTACGCAAGTGAGTTGGACGTTTGGATATCTTTCCAGCAAAAAGCTGTGAAAACCGAAGTCTTCCTTGATCATATCCAGGAAACAGTTTGGCTAATTGCTCCTTTGTAAACACTTTTGCCGGTGCTTGTATAGGTATTTGAGAAAGGTTTAAGTTTACTGTTGGGAATACAGGCATAAATGGCATAATTTGTGGTATGTTTGGTAAAGATGGTACAGACGAAGCAATGTTTTGAAATGGCTGGATAGTTGAGATTGGAATCATTGGCATGAACTGTGATTGCGCTGGTTGAGATTGGGATGTATGTTGATCTTCCTGAGCAGTATCCCCATCATCATCATAATCATCTTGAAGATCTGTTGCTCGCTGAATATTGACTGTCTGCTGGAGTGAAAATGGAGCAGGGAATCCCGAAGGTTGAAAAGGTACTGGATAGGATGAATGTGCTTGAACAGATTCTTGTGATTGAGGTAATAAAGCAGTAGAAGATTGATCATCAGCTAGCTCTTGAAAATTTGAATAATCCACAGCATCTGCAGCTGGTTGAACTCGAAATGCATTATCTGCAGCATTTCCTGTCGAGCTATCATCAATTTCTAAAACACTGGTAAAGATTCGATCCAAATACTCTGTTGCTTCTCTTGAATTAAGAGTTTCTCGAAGATCCTATTTTTTAAAAACAGCGGTTAGTGCCATGACTGGAAATGACATTGACAAACACTGTCCATGTATGGATAGATCAAAATAATCAAAACGCTGCATAGATTCGAGATTTCCATATACATATATTTAAAAACTGAAGCCAAAATTAAAGTATAATTTGATATGAACGAAATCTAATAGCAAAAACACACTAACATAGATGCAGTACTATCAGTATATGATCTAGTTGCTGCAGACGAGATTTGAAGTAGTTTGCATGAAAGAGAAGCCCACACCAATAGCAGTCGATTACCTCATCTAAAACATCCTTATCCAAGTTTCCCTTTTCGTCAACATTACCAAAAAGGTATTGCACAGAACTGGACATACCACCACTCCCAACGATGCTGTTTGCTGGTTGTGGAGAAAGTTGAATCCAAACCAAAAATAGCGATTGCGTCCCAATAGATATTGGGGTCTGCACCCCATATTCATGTCATTAAAGTTTGGCTTGAATTGCGACTTTTTTGATTTTCAAAATACAAAACTTGACATATTTAGTAATGGGTAAGCAATCCAAACTAACAAAAAAGGATTCCAAGGCTGAAGCTGCTGGAAATGATTTGGTTGAGAAACCTCTTGTCACAGGCGATCCACTAGCCGTAACTTCTACCCAAAACATTCCTCAGCTTGCTATTAAACAGACTAAATCTAAAAAATCGAAAAAAAATAGCAAGACCAAAGAAAATATTGCATCTGCTGCCACGTCGATCCTTGGAGCTGTTGGAAAACTAGATCCCAAAATCGCTTCATTGTTTTCCACATCTGCACCTGTAAACCCTGTAAGCATGATGTTTGCTCCACAAAACAGCTGTATTCAACCTGTCATCAAGTCGATAGAACCAGTCGTGACTGCAGCCACATCCATCGAAACCAAATCTGAAATAAATACTGAAAATTCTTCAAAAAGTACTGAGATTGACGTTGCTGATGGATCCGATGCTGAAGATGCAACCAAGGCCAAAGAACAGTCGCTCAGTCGTCGAGAAAAACTGAAGGAACTCATTGCTCGTCAATCCCGTACTATTTTTGTTGGCAATCTACCTATTTGTGTTACTGAAAAGGTCGGGTATTTATGTGGTGTATCATATATGCTTTATGATTCAATTTTACTGACAATTTGAATGGTTGGATCACAAGGCAGCCTTGCAACAGTTGAAAACTCTATTTTCACAATTTGGAACAATTGAATGTATTCGATTCAGATCTATTGTAGGTTGGCATGATGTTGTATTTTGCTGTTTTTAAACTAGAAATTGTTTTCAATCAATATGGATGATATTAATCTTTGAAAATAGGCATTCAATTCAAAACTGCCGCGCAAATTAGCCTATTCTGCCAAGCAATTTCATGATAAGCGAGACTCACTTAACGCCTATATTGTTTATGAACTTCCCGAATCTGTTTCAAAAGCTTTAGAACTTCATGGCACATTGTTTTTAGAGAAACATCTTCGTGTGGATAGATCTGAAACAACCCAGCAAAAAAAATACGATCACAAAAAATCCATCTTTATTGGAAATTTGTTATTTGACATTTCTGAAGAAGCTCTGTGGAGTTTTTTTAGTGACTGTGGTGATATAAGTACGGGATGATTTGATTTTATTAATCCTGGTTTTATTTTAGATTCAAGTGATTAATCAATATTATTTGAATGCTGACATTGTGTTTACTATATAGCAAATGTACGCGTAATTCGTGATCGAAACACAAACGTTGGAAAAGGATTCGGATATGTTCAGTTTGCCGAGCGATCCTCGGTTTCACTGGCATTGAAACTGAATGATACAGATTTACAAGGTCGTCAAGTGCGCATTTCCAGAAGTAATCCAACATTGGCTGAAAGTGGTAATTCAACTACCAAAAGTACCGCCGAGGGACTTCGTGCATCTAAATCTGACAATATCAAGCGTGTTATGGGTCGTGTTTCAAAAAAAATTAAGACCAAGTCAGTGCGTAGTAAAGCTCCTGTCAACAAGAGCAAGTCAAAACCAAAGGCATCTGCTGCAAAATGAGCTTTCAAACCCAAGACAACTGTTGCTTCTGAATCAAGATTAAAAAGTCATGTCTGATCAGTTTGCACTAAACAATAAACTTTGGCATTTGTTGATTTGATAATTAGAGCACGTTTGTGTCAAGCCGAGCTAAAGCAATTGTTTTATTGTAGTATTCTTGATCTGGAAACTGTAGCATTTACCGCCATATTCACGTAAATGGAACACTTGTATTTATCTTGGCAACTTTGCTTTAGAATAAACAATGGTTGAATATTCATTATGCTTTCTACTACAAATCGACTTTAATTGGTACTCTTAATTCTTTCAAACACATCATCCATCATATAATACAATCACCCAATACTATAATGTTTATGTTGAGTCAAGGGAGAGTTGGAAATTGAACAAGTGTGGGATTGACTGAAACTGATGTCAACATTCAGTTTTTTATACAACATAAACATGCGGAAATACCAGTAAGCTAAAAAGTTTAAAAGACACGATATTCAGTAATCTGGCATTCGTCATTTTATGAGGCTGTTTATGATATAATTTGACACTTTATTTAGTGCTACATTTTACGTGAATACAGCTGATAAATGGCAACTATAGCCTCGGCTACAACAGCCATTGAGCATAACCAAGTTCTTTTCAAGAAAATCAAAAGAGGTGGAGTAGAATTTCAAAAGTACTACGACTATGCCAACATCTAATTAACAGCCTAATTTACTGCAGCATTTGAGGCATTTGATTTACAAAACAACCAATCGTGCGATGGTAAGATATGCTATTTTTATTACAATAATAAGCGCTTTTTGTCAATAAGTAACAACTCGGTTTACTCAAACTGTTGGGTTTAAAAGTCCGAGAAATAGGCACAATTATTCGCTCGCTCAATGTATACCCATCAGAGTCGCAGCTTCAAGGATGGATTAAAGAGGTATTTAGCAAACAGCTTAGTTCATTACAAACTTGCATCACGTTTATTAGAGCTTTGTACAATGCCATTCAACAGATATACTAATGTCTGATAATTTAGATGCAAGAAACTGAAAGCAGTGATTCGATTTCGTTCAGCACGTTTTCCAGGGTGGTTATGAAGATACTCAATTCCAGCATCTGTGTTCGAGATGATGACGAAAAGCTGTATCGAGCATTTCAAGTATTGGATACAGAGAAACGCGGGTTTCTTATGCCAGACGAGCTTCGAAGTTTGCTAACTCAACAAGGAGAGGTGTTTTCGCACGAAGAAGTTGAAGAAATGTTAACAGTATGTCATCAATTTAATTGGAAGATTTAACCTGTTAATCATATAGTGACTGATGTATGTTGTCACATTTCTACTAGGCTTGCACAGATCCAGTAGAGAACAAAGTTTATTATGAAGACTATGTTGCAACATTTTAATAATGCCCGTGTTTAAATGAAGCAGCAAACAATGAAATTTGGTCTGGAAAAGGGCACCCAAAAATCGTTTATTAATAGGCATTTTTATTTTCATCTTGGTATAAAATCATTAACCTGGTTCAATCATCAAAACGCACGTCGAAGTTGGGATTGGATTTTGTGTAGAGCATCTACAATCTGGGTTTCGTCTGCATGGATAGTGACAAGATACTTGCTAATTGCTTCATCAACTATCGGTATAGGAAAATCCTCCCTTAAATTGGACAAAAGTTAGCATAAAAGGATAATCCCAAATAAAAAAATCAATGAATGCATTACTTTTCATAGGAAGTTGTAGGGAGAGTCCGAACATGTTTTAGCCATTTTTCAAGCAACACCAAAATTTCTTGAATCAAAAATGCCAATGCCTTGTTTGATGACCATGGTGGAAGCTATCATTAGAAAATAGAATATTGACAATATTAGTATTTAAAATAAGCATATTTCAGGCATATATGTGGTCAAATCACCTTGGTTTCAAACAGCCCATTAAAAGTGTTGAATATGGTGGAAAATGGTACATTGATGCCACGTAGTGCATCTACCACCCATCCCTTGTGTAATGAAGAGTCATCTTCAAATTCGTAAGTTTCTTGTTCAAGCTTATTGATTAAAAATCCTAAATTGTAAACGCCAACCAAGTGACAAAAGCCATTGATTAATTTTAAACTCGTTAGTCAATGTAAATATGTACAATACATATTCAAGCATAACCACAGTGCGCTCAAAAATACCTAGTGGGAACACATTATCGTTTGGATAAAATCTCCGACCAAGTTCTTCAATTTTGTCGCCAAGAGCTTCAATGGGAGAGCGGCCGGTAGCAAGCGCTTCTTCTTTCGCTAATCGTTGAAAGTCACATAATAGAGCACATGTCAGTACCTAAAAATAGTCTAAACCCCTTCAACTATCTAAATAAATACCAGCCATCAGCTTACTTTGATAGAAAATAGCAATCCAAGCCGATTCTACTACACCACGAACTTGTACACCATGATCCGCAATATGAAGAATTGCCAAAACAAGATCATGCATTTGATAGGGCCGAGCATAGTTGTGGAACAACTTTAAAAATAGTCAGATCAAGTAAGCATCTATAAAATCAACATTACTAGGCACTGGCAAGTCATACCAAAGTGACATCATGAAGATTGTAGTTTAGATCGTTCAGAGCATGCTCCGTATTGGGCATGACAGAAACACGGTTGTAAATTTCAAATTGAAGTCGAGCAACCTATACAATATCAAGCATTAGAATCTTTATTATCCAAAACCCATTCAAGTTTTAAAAACCTATACATTGACCAAGGTACTTACATCCAAATCATCGGTAATTTGATTAAGAAGCTCTTGATTGCCACCAAACTCGTGCCCAGCAGAACTCTTGGCGTTTGTTACAGCTTTGGTAAGATACTCGATACGTCTGGAAAGTAAAAGTCTAAAGCATCACAAAATCGTGTTTAGTATAATTCAAATATAAACACGAATAAACATCACATCGATACTGCCAAAATTTACCCAGGAGATTGGGCCATAAACGAACAAATTTTGGCAGCTTCGGAAAACCGGCTGTTGCGTGCATAGTATTGACACAAATATTCAGCCTTGTTCAAATCACTCTTGTTGGCAATCAAGTAGTCTTCAAGATATGGTGATTGAATCTATATAGACATAGACATAGTCAAGTATTAGGACGCATAAAATATAGAATATGCATTCACGTTGCAATACTGCCACATGCACACTGCAAAATCTAGATTGATAATACCTGGAGCAAATCAGTATGGCGGCCTTGTTCAATAAGCCAGTCATAAAGCGATGTATGAAAAGCTTGATCAGATGAAGCTACAGCTCGAGCAAAAACTTGAGCTTTAATGGCTTCCATATCTTCAGCAGTCTGGAAATACTTGGAGTTTTGTGGCTGAGCAATCATATCATCAATACTGGCCAGCATTCCAAAAATTAATCGGTAGCTTTCAATGCGTCTATAATAAGATCGAGAAGAGATATTGTCCTATATATATCCAAGTCGTTTTAATATGATAGACTCGTAAAAATGATGTCGGGTTAACAAAGGCGTAATACACACGACTTACAAGGTTCAAAGACTCGGTAGTGTCTTGCTCAGCAGCATATACCAGAGCAAGATCCACAACGCCAGTATAGTACTGGAGACTTTTGAAGCTCTCAACAACAGTTCTCAGTTTTTCAAAATGGATATGTTTGACCACTGACATGAAAAGTCTGCAAACAGTATTAAAAATCAACAAAAAATTGATAGTTTAGTTTTTGTGCATATTCAAAGCAAAACAGGATTGCTAGGCTTTATACTCACTTGAGGGCTTCACCAATAATAGTGAGCTGCTCATTGCGACTAACCGCTTGTTTGGCTTTTTGGATACACTCAATTCCCTATAGCAAAACAGTATTAGCCGTAGGCAATATCATCACAAATCAGCAAATTGAGCTAAAAAGCAATGCCACAATAAATGCAGGTTACCTTGAAAAACATTACTTCGTTTGTTTGGCAAATGGATGGGCAACGTTGCTGCAAAGTAGCAGTAATAATATCCACTCCAATATCCTTTTCAATCTGCTTATTAACAAGCGATGTCATCAACATTTTACCAATATCTCGGCCTTTTGATGAAGACACAAGAGACTGGAAAGTAAATCCTTTAAGTTCGCGCTTCTCAGATTCAGTCATGCTAAATATCAAAAGACATTATATTGAGCCACACAAAATCAGTTATAAAATCAGATGCAGTAGAAATTACATGTATGCAGCATGTACTCACCCTGCAATCATACTAGGAAGTTTGTAGTCTATCAAAAGTGATACAAATGAGATTGTCTCAAGAGATTGGCGGATCAATTCGTGCATGTTTGCCAGAGACTCTTGTTCTTTCTAAAAATCCAATCGATCAGTAAGGGTTAAAATTGATCACACTAATCAAGTAAGGAGTCGGTAAATACCAATTAAAATATCAACTATTGAAACACACCTTCCAGGCCTCAGGATCGACGCCAGAGGGACGAGTATCAGGGGTTGGTAAAGCAGTAAAACGCGGATATCTTTACAAAAGTTAGCAACCAAATGGGTTGGTCTTTAGCTACGAGTGCGAACTACATACTTGTTTAGAAATTTATCAAGAGATGCTAGATTCATCTGCACTAAAATCAGATCTTGAATACTTTGCGTAGCTTCCCATTTCTCTGATCCATCTGCAGCTTTCCTGTTAAAGACTAGTGAGTTAAAATGCAACATGAAACAAGCCAAAATCAAACCAAATCGATACTTTTTTTGAATAAGCTCAACAGTCCAAATAGGACGAAGTGCACGCAAAAGGTAAAGTGCCAATCCGTCATGTTTGGCACTATAATGCACTTCAAATGTAGATACAGGAACTCCAAGTGGACCACCTAGTTGTGATTATGGATACGCGTTAAAAGGTAGATCAAATCAAAGACATATATAAAGTCGTACATACCTCCTGATAAATGGGGCTGACTTTGAATCAAAGTGGCTTTCCCACCAAATTCAAAAAAGAGTCTGGTGGCAAGTGCAACCACAGCTGGTAACAGAATATCTAATAGCAATAAAATAAGTACAAGAGTAATATGAATTGAAACATCCAACCGCTAATTGAATACCTGTAGGTCCAGATTTGATGGATCTAAAATAAAACGTGTTGGTTCATAAATGGCATCAAATGTAATAAATCCTGCTCAATTACAATTTACTTACGAATGGTCACACGCAATGCCAAGTGACATTGCACAGCTCTGATCTTTTCCATACGTAATAAAAAAGTCTTCAAACCCTCGAAGATCCTGTCCGTTAGAATGCTTAAGCAATTGAACCAACAAATCTATAGGACGAAGTTTGGAAATAGTGGATAAACCTAAACCAAATAAACCAAGTGCATACATAAAAATGTGTTCAATTACATGCCAAGTTAGACATAGTCTATCAACAGAAAACAAACTATGCAAATTTACCCATATTTGTCAACAAATGAAACCGCCTTGCCGGATATTCAAACTGCATCGCAAGTTCGTTAAGAGCCATTCCCGGGGTGTTTGCTACTGAATGTTTGTCCTTGCTTGATGGTTTAGTAGAAGCTTCAGCAATTGCCCATGTTTTGCCATCAACATCAACAAAACTTCCCAGTTCAGATAAAAACATTGGTGAAGTCTAAAAGTATTCAACAGGAGTTTGAATGAAAGACATCACACTTATGTTAGTAAGCAACAAACTAGAAAGGCAAAGCATATAACAAATTAAATGCCATACCTGTGCCATCATACCGCAGTTCATGGACACTCCAATGACACGATCAACCTCATCTGAAAATGACTGTGATGCAATCAGCAATCCGTTGGCATAAAATGCTTCGTGTATCTTAGCACTCCCAACTACATTATAACTGGATAATCCTTGTGAAACAACAGGAGGCCCCAGTGCAAATACAAGTCGAAGACCAGTAGGGCCAGCTATGGTATTTGAGTCATGCATGTAGCTATTGTGAGAAATATGCTGAGTACACGAAAAGTAGAGACGAATTCCTGTCGACGTCACAGCAACCATGTGGATTTGACGAGACTCGTTGAGCGACACTGGATAGATGGACACAATTTCGAATTTGGGCTCATCCAATGCACTTTGAGGAATAAACGCAGAAAAGCCTATAGTTCGAGAAAATAGATCGGATATTGTGGCAACACGAGTCATACCCTTTCCATCTGGACCAAGAGAGTATACCTAGTGATTTAAATCAAAAAACTCGGTATTTTTAATAATCCAAATCATTGATGTACTTTTAAAAGAATAAAAAACATACCGAAACATCGTTTGTTGGAGAAATAGTATATAGTGCCTTGAGATTGTTGTCAACAGTTGCAAGTTTAACGGCATCTGCAAGTTTAGTAAATATCAGTTGTGGCTATGCCAAGTATCACAGTCCAAAAATTGTCAAGAATAGTCTTACTTTCACCTCCCCACAGTAAAAAGGTTGGAATATACGATATGATCCCACTCGAGGTACGATTGATTTTCCTTATCTTTCTGGTTAACCATCCATCTTGAGACTATTTAAAAGCAATTATAAAATTAGTCAAGTGCATGACAAATGGAAAGCTATAATAAAGCAAGAGTGTTGTGGCAACTGTACCTCATATTCTAACTCATATAGCTGCCCATTGTTTCCTCGCATAAATATACGTCCAGTATCAGTACCAAATATGCTGGTCATGTTGACTCCATCCGAGGCAATAGACATGTCTGTACGATAAATAGACATAGATCCACGCGAGACTCCATCCTGTCCTTTCTTGGAAAATGCAACTCCAAGAAGAATGATTTCCAATGGGGTGGCCACCACCAAAACATATTCAATTTGCTCCAAGAACACACCTAGTTTGAAATCATTACAATTAGAAATAGGCTGGTGGCTAAAAATATCTATTTTGAGCAAAAGAATACCTAGAATTGGTTTAACAAGAGCTGCGCTAATGATGATCTGCTCTTGATCATCAAATGTGTTGATGGCACTAAATAATACATATATACTTTGCATTAGCCAGATGAAATTTCATGCAGACTAATGGTTGATGGCAGCACCATGCACTTGCCTATCGCCACTATCATCGTAGTTCCACAAATACAGTCTATTGTCAATACTGATCCAAACTCGATTAATCTCGGGAAATATTCCCATAAAACTCCGACTTTGAATAGCTGAATCAAAAGTTTGTTAAAAAATGAATAGTTAGTTGCAAGTAACGGTCATAAGAAAAGTCGGCAAACATCACTATATTGAAAAGACCACGCAGCCAAGCGTGAATATAATGCAAAGGGTTGATAAAATGAACTCACTGTCATATTGCTGGAAAATATAGTCTGGAAGTGACAGGAAACCATCCTTTCGCATGAAATTAAGCGATGCACTGGCTTCGTGATCTGGTGAAACAAGACCTCTTTGTATTGCTTCCAAACGATCTTTGTCAAAATTTTGGTTGAAAGGTTAGAATATTTGATACAGGACTGAATAGATTGGATGAATTGTTCAGATTACATACTTTTGCACAATTCATTCAAGTCATGAAAGCTAGATTCGTATAGATAGGAAATGCCATACGATTTATATATTAAACCCAATTGAATCCGACAAATTCATTGTAGAATAACAATTTGGTAGTGAACATCAGGTTAATCAATGTCGATATATCTCCAATAAAGCGGTTTAAAATGAAATCTGATTATTACAAATGAATCTATTGTTTCATTGTATATTATACCAGATTCTAATTCTAAGCAGCTGTATAACATTCAACGCACTAATTGAACCACAAAATAAAATGCAACGCACCAATCCTTAGCAGCTCGCATATCCAGCAAAGACGCAGCCTGATGAAGAGCATTCAGTTTAACTCCCTGAACAGCTGTTGCAGAATTTGAATCGGTGTTCATTGTGCTGGCCATCATAATAGCAGGCTCAGATATCGACTGGCTGATAGTGGGGATCTGGCAAAGTGTTGTTGTGCCGAATCGCATTCAATAGGAATCAATCACGTGCATTAAATTCACTTTTAAATTCCAGCTGCACGACCTGCAACGCGACTCGGATTCAAACTTTGTCATCTCGATTCGACAAACGACCACTTCAGACTCTGGCAGTGTAAAAAAACCTTGGAATATACAAATATATGGTAACTTGAATCATTCAATATATGTTGTAAATAGCAGCCACATGGCTACCAACTACGGTCAAGATTCAAATTGACTAATTTCAAACTATTTTTGCTACAATCTTGACCCAACCTATGTCATCTTGTTTAAACTTGCAATACTTTTTAGTCTGCCGCCTCTAAAAAGACACCCACCAAAGCATCAAAGACCACGCTTGGGTCCTCGAAAAAAGACCTTAAAAAGCCAAAAAGTTCTACATCCATTGGCGGTGATGTAGCACCAATGTTGGCGGGTGATATGGCCGAGGAACTTAAAAAATATCAAGAGGAATTGGCCATTGAGCGTCAAGAGCGAAATTACTTTCAATTAGAAAGGGTACACTATTTTTGATATGCCTTTACTGTATATTTATTTTCAAACTTTTGAATCCTTTCAATCTAGAATGGACATACCATAATATGGGTGTACAAAGATGTAGATGTTGCAAGACTCAAACGAGTTTGATATGGGTGATTGGAATAATATTCAAATAGGACAAGATCAATCATTTTTGGGAAATCACAAAAAATGAACTCAACACATCCAAATCAGAGCTACTAAACAGAGATAGAGAGCTTGAAGAGCAAGAGGAAAAGCATCAAGTAGAAATCAAGGTAATGGCTACGACACTGAACACGTTTGGTTGGGTCTGGCAATGATCAAACTGACCTTTTTAAATTTGTCAGGTGTACAAACAAAAAGTTAAGCATTTGCTTTACGAGTATCAAAATAATGTTGCACACCTTCAGTCCGACTCGGAACGAGCTTTACAGCTCGATCAAGAGGAACACTTGACACGCGAGCAACAGCTTAAAAAAGATAAGCGCTCATTGAAACTAGAACTCAAAGAGTTTGAACTATCTCATGAAGATATTATCAAGAATCTCAAGCAACGCCATGATCAAGAAATCACCAGCATGCGTAATGATTTTGAACGCCAAGCAAAAGAGCTACACGCCAAGTATGAAAAAAAGATGAAGGTGATTCGTGACGATTTGGAACTCAAGCGTAAAAACGAAATTCATGAAATTGAGGAACGGAAAAATGGTCAGATCAACGCACTAATGAAAAATCATGACAAGGCATTTACCGAAATCAAAAACTATTACAATGATATTACATTAAACAACTTGGCATTGATCAACTCTCTTAAAGTAAGGTTACTTTTGATATTTAGAATCCCTGCTGTCCAAGCACTCTGACTTTTATTTGATACTTGATTTATATCTAACACTACGTACCACACTATAGGAGCAAGTTGAAGACATGAAAAAAAAGGAAGAACGAAACGAAAAACAAATGGCCGATATCACTGCAGAAAACAAGCGTTTATCCGAACCGCTTCAAATTGCTTTGGCAGAGGGAGATTCTCTTAAACGTGAGTTGGCCCATTACGAAAAAGACAAAATGTCGTTGCAAAATGCCAAAGCTCGACTCAAGGTGCTTGAAGAAAAGTTTAAACAGTTGACATGGGAACACGAAGTCCTTGAGCAAAGGTTCTCGCAAGTTCAAAAAGAACGCGACGAACTCTATGAAAACTTTGTTGATCGTATTATTAGTGTCCAACAAAAAACTGGATTCAAGAATCTTGTACGTTAATCGTTGTGTTATGCTATGAAAAGCATGCTATGTGTTAATAACTGCACAAAGATGAGCAATCTGTACTAACTATAGCTGTTGCTGATTGGTAGATTCTTGAAAAAAAGGTCGATTCCCTCAAGGAAAACCTGGAAAAGAAGGAACTGCAGGTCAATGAGGTTCTTAAAGCTACAAATCTAGATCCAGCTGCACTTTCTAGTCTTACCAAACGTCTTGAAGATGTACTCAGTGCCAAAAACCATCAAATAAAGGAGCTACAGTATGATCTGTCCAAGGTCACCAAGGTATTTTGTTTTGGCTACTTTTTGCATTGGTATTATTTATGATACGCTAACTGGCTATTTACATCTTTCATCTACTTTAGGCTCATAATGATATGATCCGAGTATACGAAGCAAAACTCACCGAGTTTTCGATTCCAATCGAAGAGCTTGGGTTTAAACCATTAATGATGGCAACAAAAACCGCAACAAACCCTGCTGGTTTAGTTGCCTCTCAGTAATGTGTAGTGACATCATTGGTCAATTTCAACCTATCGAGTTTTAGTTGTATATGTTAGATATGGCTATTTGCCAAAGGAGTTTAGTGAAATGAGTATGCAACCAAATGTTTCGGCAATAGTAGAAAACACCACTAATTCAATGAATGTGCAAAAACATCCACTCGGGTTTAAAAATAAAATTTGATAATTGTCTAAAAGCTAAACCAATTGAAAAAATTGAACTCTACAAAGTTTAAAAAATATCAAGATGTTAATAAATTCATTGTTAAAATCTCATACGCTATCCGTCGACGTATCAATCCCATATCTTCTTGGGAGAATGTGAACGGAGCTTGCCGTGACAAAAACTCCATAAATGTGCAGGTAAACACGCCGCAGTCATAACCATTCTGTTGTGTAGGAATATTCTATAAAGCACAAATATACAATTGGTATCATGAAAACAAACTCAGATATAATCTACAATGGAATAGATATTCAAAAAAACCGTTACAAACCTTTGGAATCCAGTTTTCCCAATTATCCAAATCAAGCTGTTTCTTTTTTTTGTCATTGCTTTCTTGAATCAAATAATCGCGCAATAGCTTCAATTGTAAATTAAAATAGACAATCGCAGTACCAATTGTTAGCGCAGGTGTTTTAAATGGTTTAGAAACAAAGTTGATGGATAAAGCTATAGTACCTCAAGACACAAGTAGTTATCTCCCAACAACGAGTCATAATATTCAAATTGCGATGCTTTAAAATTAATAGCGGCGCAAGTCCAATGCATCCCAATATGAATTGGGATAATAATTAAATCTATTGAAAACAGATCCACCTAAAATATATTCTACTTTAACAATGGTCTGACATTTCATCACAGTTGGCTAATGCTCAGCTAATAGTTACCTTTTTAGTCCATCTCCGAACACTGCTATACCCTTGAGTTCTAAGCTTTTCATAAAAAAACGTATTGAATATATGGATTTTAGGATACTTTTCAGGAAAATCTTTGGACCGCTTCATACATAATTGACCATAAAAGTTGATAATCTAGCCATTGGATAAGTATAAAATCGATTACTAAAATGCCAATAGTAATAGTTTTAAAAATCAAGATGAACTAGACACAAATTGCCATACTTCGTCATTAAGCCACGAGGAACCTTTGAGGGTATGTATGTCTTTTTTGCAAATACTGACACTGAATCCTTGTACAAGTAATTCGACGCCAGGAGACATAGCATCTTCTACCTTCATTTGTGCCTCTTTTGACAATGGCACTATGGCCTTTTAAAATTTGACTAAACGTGTTAGATGCAATACAAACTGAATTCACGCAACAGCCTTTAGATTCAAAGTAACTGTGTTACCTGTTGATTTTTCTGCAGCTTAAGCTTTTTGATCTACGGTGAAATAAAAAGGATCAGTGCCAAATCTACATCCCACACAAAACACTCTTGTTTCAGTAGAAAACCAACCATTTCATCTTGAAGACTATCTTTGGCTAAAAGTGAGTCAAAGATGGGAGTTTGTATTTCTGAAGTTCTAATATCACTCAAACTATGCTCGTAAATAAAGTTTAAATGATTTAGTCTATACATCTCAAACCAATAAAATATTTCCATCATTTAATACAAAATCTACCTCTTGGAACTCTGCTCAACCTTTCTTCGTAGACTTTGAATCCATTCTGTATCACTAAATGTAGTCGAGAGAGCAGTGTGTTTACTGTTACAATAAATCAAGCATGGAATGTTAAAAATCAATCATATACATGTATAATTCAAGCAGAAGCTCGATAGTGCCCTATTGTTAGCACCTGACTTACGATGGTGTGTATTTGGGTTTCGGTGTAGAGCGTGATTGAGAAACGGCATTCTCTAGTCGTGCTTTTCTTTCCAAAGATTTTACAGCAAGCTGTTTAGATGCTTCGGTTTCCTGTGCAAGTTCACCGACTCTTACTTGCTTCAAATACGACTCTACAGCTACAAAATCACTAGCAGAACTTTGGAATCCTAGGTATTATTGATGTTTTAAAAGTAATGCGTTGATTTAATTTTGTGCAAAGTAAACGTGCGTATACGAATGTTTGTAGAATTGAAATACATCAAATATGCGTTTCTACCTGATCGAGTTGCTTCCGTATATCCCGAAATATATTGCTGGAGGAGCGAAGTTTGTGCCTGGTTGCCTCGCTGAGCTATCTACAATAAAAGTAAATTTTCAAAAACACAAGATAATCAGATTCAGTATATTGATTCGTGCAAATACAACCAAAATGCATGCACATCAAGGCTTGGAATTACATGATTCCTGATGTATGACAATCCATTGGTTGCACGTTTCTTGGAAACACGATTGCCAAGATGATAGGATACTGAACCATTCTGACTACTTTTGGTTGATGAAGGAATAGAATTGGCTCTGTTTGGAGTGACAGCCCAAGCAGTTGGTGACCACAGTCTTTTGATTGAAGGCTCGGTAATTTTGTTTGTTCTGGTGGGCGACTTTTTTGAAAATGATGTATTTGTAAGCGATACAGTTTGAGAATCTGTTGTATTGCTAAGACTTCTCTGTCTGTCCCATCGATAGGATTCAAGCGATGATGAAGCTTCGATGTTAGTGACAGTAAAGTTTGTAGTGGGTTTATACGAAACGGAGTATTTTGACGGAGGCATTGTAAGAGTGTTGAATGCTGATTCTGGAGGATAAAGAGTGTCAGAAGCAGTTGGAGTAGTACTTTTATGAGCAGATGGATCCTGACTAGCCGACTCGACGCTATCCAATTCTTCAATGTTGAATGGTTTGGGTCTTTTAGCAGACAAAAGTTTGAGGGGAGTCAGCAGTTTACTAAACAAATCAGCAACAAGCAAGGAAATGGGTCGCTTGAGTAGAGAATGAGTTTCTATATTATCAGGAGTAGATTCGCCAGCATTCAATGATGTCTTGCCAATGGAAGTATCCATCAATGGCTTACTATAGCAGAGAATCTGGTTAAATTCCAATTAAATTTGCACTCGACACCATCTTATCTGCATGGCAATAGTTTACCCAACACTGAATTCACATCGAATCAATCCAAAATACAATCAGTTGCTAGAATCACTTATTTCATTGGTTGATGAGATAATGGCTGCAGTGTGGCAAGTGCCTTTTGCAGATTATCAATCGCTGTAGGAATATCTTCAAACTGCAAAGCGCTAATCGCAAACTTGGCATATCTTTGAGCTTGAGAAGTCGTTTGGTGCAATTGCTCATCAAATAGTGCGTTTGAATATCCGCTCACTTCGGCTATTGGTGTTTGGGCTTTGTGTGGTGGAATCGCATCGTATCCAGACACTAATGGTGTTGCTGGAGGTTGATGGCTAACTGGAGTGGGCAGTGATCCTTCAAACGGAATATACGGAGTGGGATGGGATGGATAGGATTGATGGAACGAAGAAGAAATAGGCGGCTGATCGGTATGTGCAGATGATTGATATCCCGTTGGAGATACAGCCACAGTTGATGCTGTCAATAGCGATGAAGAATGTCCATTATAAGCATTTTCAAATGGTACTGTTGAGGCTTCAGTGCTCATAAAGCGAGGATCAATCGGAACGGAGCTATCAGGAGTCATATTCGACTGGCTTTGCATGAGATTCATATGTGACAGATCTGCACTGATCGTATCATCTGGTTCTCCACCTGGTGGACCTGGTGTTGGCGTTCTGCCTTCTTTGATAGCTTTGATAATATCGGCTGCTTTAAACTTGGCATATCGAATTTTTTGCTGGACCTATTTGACCGGATATAGGTTGAGTTGTAGTATAATACCATTTTACGCGAATAAGCTATAAAAACCCATTACCAGATATCAAGACTAACCTCGGGATCCAGCTCACCAAATGTCTTGAGTAATTCCAAAAAGATGGATGCTGCCAGGAATGTTTTGGCAGTTTTTCTGGAAATACGGTCAGATCGAGACAGTGAGTAAACCATTATAGTAAAGCCTTTTGCGACTGCATTTAGATATTGTCAACTCACTTGCTTGCCTTGCCTGCTCTGTCTTCATTATCAGCATTGACAAAAATCTTTAATGCAAAGTTTTCTACATGTGCGTATCCAACTACATCATTCCCAATCGCTTCGTTTCCTGCCAGATTCGCCTTGTCCTTTATATTGAAAACAAGTTATTTTCATATAGTATCATGTTGAAGTCCCAAATGCAATCAAAAACTATCCGTTAGTTTACAAAGTAGCTATAGATAGTACAACTTGGATTATAAACCAAACTACCTTTTCCAACAAGTCCAGCAGTTGCAATAAAAACGCCTGGCTCTCTTTACTAGTCGCTCCTGCTTCAATAGCAAGTTTTGCAGAGTAATAGTTGCCTAGGACAGGTATGCATTGTCAGCCATGTGTTGAATTCTAAAAGGATTTAGGATGCAATGGACACTAGATAGTCATGATTGAATTGGCAGCTGCGCCAGGGATTCTATTGATAAAATCCTAAACTGCATCCTTGTATACTGATAATCAAATCAGCAAAAGCAGTCCAAATAGGCCAGACTCACAGTAGTATGCCACAATGGGCTCTCTCGCCTGCAGTTCCTGTGCACGCTGCAGATATGTCAGCACAAACTTGAGCTCATCTGGTGGGTTGTTCATATTGGCCAGCTATAAACGAAAGTTGCATTTTATTGCCAAAACTCGCCAAATATGTCTTGCCAATCAGCCCTAGTTCTCAATAAAATTACTTTGTAATAGGTCTCGGTATCAGTGTGTTCAACCCTATCAGCAATCTATCCTTATCATAGTCAATTACAGTAGATTCACTTTATTGATATACTGTCAAAACACGTATAGATTACTTGAGATACCTCCTTCGAGCTGCATAGTTACAAACACTAGAATAATCAGTTTTTAAACCATACATCTACGAATGGCACGATACAGTATTCGGCTTACCATTAATAAACCAGTTGTTAAGTTGAATAAGTTCTAAACCGGTATGAAGGCACATGGCTTGCTTGGCCTCTTCGCTCGGATATGGATGAGCCTTATGCTTGGTGATCCAGTCCTTTAAATAAGATTGCACTTCTACAGAGTGGTTTGGTCGCGGCAGGCGAGACTATCAATGCAATGATCAATATATAAATTAAAAATCAGTCGTGATTTTAAATGTTTCAATTCTCAATATAGAATGATTACTCTACCTTTAAACCTGTATTTTTGAGAGCTGATCCTTTTACAATCAAAATCGTTTTTGTGACAGAAGCAGGGTTTTGTTTAGTACGTAATATATCAGAAACGGGTGAATCTTTGCAATGCTTGAATTTTTTTGCAGGTTTGGCAACTCCTATTTCCTTTATCTTGGCATTACCGCCGTGGGGTTGACTAGGATATCCAAGTGTAGATACGCTTGACAAAGACTCTGGTGAATCGGCATTGCTTGAAATGGACAAAACAGATTGAGATAAATGCTGAATCGATGTGGGTGCAACTTGAGTAATCTCCGAAGCATACTTGATAGTTGGCACTGCTGAAGTGTGGGCAAACCCGTAATGGATATCTAGAGGCACCATATTTAGCTTTCCTGAAAAATTAGTTGCATTCTGATGCACAGAGTCAGTATTGCAACTGATCTTGACAATACTGTATTGAACATGTATATGGTTGGTCGTGAGAGCTTGAGGTTCACCATTGCACTGCACTACAGCTCGTTGTGGAGAGTTGCAGAGATTGGAAAAAGAAGCAATATCGCGCTTTCCGATTGCGTATAGTTTAGACCTTGAGCTGCAGTTGTCAATGATTTGATGGACTAAAACTACAACCATAGAAACAACCCAGCGATCTGGGCTGTTTTCAGTAAGTTGTGCACTGAACACTGCCATTGTGCACATGATAGTACTATACTCGGCAAAAAGCTCTTGAATAAGCTCCAAAGTAGTTTGCAAGCTGTCAAGACTGACGGTAGTCTCTGACTCATCTCGAAGCTGCCATAACTCTAGTATTAAAGGATACAAGGGATGGGCAGCCAAATGGGTTGATCCAATGGTCATTTCTTTTTATATGACTAATATAAAGACTTTGAAATCGTATCGGAAAATGAAGCAATGGATTGGCAAATAAATACGTATTTAACCGTTTGAATGAGCTGTCAAATGACAGTTCGAGGCGTAGATGTTAGATAAACTGCAGTCAAGCGGAAATTGTCGTTCGGTTGGAGAAAATCGTTGAATTTGTTCAACTGCCACTTGAATAGCGGTGCAACTTGAAACGGTATTTAAACAAGAGCTGAAGCTTATAAAAAGTTGTATTTATAATTTATCAGTGCACTTTAAACGGGGAACTAGTTGGTTTCTTTGTTCCGTCAAGCTAAAGTCGGCTATTATTGACTAAACGCGACTCCTTACAGCCGTTCAAAGTCCAACACTCAAATATCGACTCACAATTCAATTGATACAAGAACTGGTCAAGTCTAAAAGTACGCAATATCATATATTGGATGTCAAGTTTGTTTACACTAGAGTGAATGTCACAAGATTGCATTTTTTATTCACTTGCACATACTGCGCTTGGTTTGCATCCGGTCTGAATTGACAGCGTGGGAATTCAGAATTCGGCACCAAAAAATAATCCTTTCAATCTACAGCACCACCTCACTGTATAGATGCGTTGGATTGACTTGTATAAAAGTCACTTTCAACAGAGTTCAATTGACCCATCAAATTTGACAGGTCGGATATTGACAGTCATAAAAGAGGGTAGAATCCCGCCAGCATCCTTGAAATAAATCGCAAGATCCTTTCTTCATCCCGACCCAAGAGCTTAAAGTAGCACCTGCCAAAACCAAACAATGGATATCATTGAGCAGGCTATTCATAATGTCAAACTCCAACTTGGAGTACTTCCAATAAGTCGAGAGATTGCTGAAGAAATATTACGCTCGGATTCAAATAGTTACCAATCGCAATTACTTCAGCACATTGCTACTGATTCATTTGGAGCTGCTATTCCTTTAAATCACTCATCTCTTTTCACAGATGCTGCCAAACCACACATTAAAAACACATCTAGTCACGGATCAACTTTGGAACAAGGTTCCGATGAATCAGCAGCCAATATGCCTAAAATAAACTCTGACAACTCAACTACATCTGGATCCACATCAGAGATTCCTAAAACTAATCCAGACCCACCCAAAAAAAACGTAACCCAGCATTCACAAGTGACACATAAAGCATGGGATCCAGCTACTCGCAACCAAGTCTTTATCATTCGTCAAATATATACTGAATATCGAGAAACCATCACATCTAATTTAACAAAAACCTGGCTATCTATGCGAAACAGCATGCTTCAGCATGCGTCTCTGCTTCCTGTTCCAGATGAAACCATTATCCAGTTTGATGAAAACATGAAAAAGTTTATATCTCGTCAAATCCTGATTCTCCAATACGAATCTCTTCGTCACATTATGCGGCTCGTGGCAAGTCCCATACCAATAGGATACGATGTTTCTTCCGAATCAATCAAAACTAACGAGGAAATGAACCGGTTACGTGTTCAAGCATTTATGCCTCCTGGTAGCGACTTACTTTTAAACTATAGCCAAGTGGTCCTGTTGGAATCAAGCTTTGCTGTAAGTCAGACCCATTCCAAACTTGAAAAAAAACGGCTTGCATATTTAACTGGATTGCGAATAGGAGATGTGAGCAGATGGTGAGCACGAATGCATTTATTTTTATAATAGCAAACTAAACTGTCATCAATTTTAAAAACTGACACGCTTTAAATATTTGACAGGTTTGAAATGAAACGAGTTTCCAAGGCAAGTGGTCAGATGTATAGAGTCGAAGCCAAACTTGCCATGAGCTATTGTAACTTTGACATGGGGTCCACTTCCACAGCAATTTCCAATGCAATCAACAACTACATCACTCCCCCTACTGTGAACATGAACACGCTAGTATCACTTGGAATCCCATCCACCAACACATTCGGCCATTCCATTGCGTGGTGTGATCCAGTCCAAGCTGCAATGCAACCCTTGCCGTCATACAGAACATCCAATCAAAGCACATTGGATGTTCTTCAAGATCAGCAGCCAATCGTGTCTTCAGACTCGACACACGATATTCAAGTCGATGTCATGTCCGCCATGCCTTCCTTGACAGGATTACACACATCGTTATTTCCACACGCACCCCTAATGTTTATGGATCCTTCTCTCTTGGAACAGTGTGGCCAACAAGAATTTTATCCAAATCCACAAAACGAACATGTCACATTGGCCAAAGTGCCGTTTTACTGGAATTTTACAAAAAGCTGACCGAATACAGATTGTTTATTCTTGTTTCATGGAAATAATGGCATTCCTCGTTATGGGTTTACAAGGTAGTGCATGATTTTAGCAGTTCAGTTGGATTTCCTTGTGTGAGCATCCATCTCCTGGCTGCTTCAGTTTCCGTAAGAACTATGTAGTATCAAAACCAAGTATACACGGTACAAAAAGGATCAGATAACAAGTCCGATAAAGTAGAAGCTGATTAAAAATATATACATCACTTACTGCCATGATAAACATTGTGTGAGTGATAAAAATCCAAGACATCTGAGATTTCTGAAAGAGAGTAGACAGGCATTTCAAACTTTGTCAAATGCTTGGGGTGCAATTTAAAATGTTTTGAAAATTCATCCGAGTGGGTGGGATTAAGTGACAATGGTAAAATGACTCCAAACTCATCTCGTGCTTCTAGATCAACATCTATAGGTTGAACAAGAGGTACTTCAGCGGTCTTATTAACTGGCTCTATTTTTTTAAGAAGGTGCTTGAGGTAATGCGAGCCAACAAGTGATTCTGTATAGTCTACAGCAGCAAGAACTACTGTATTTTTCTAGAGTTGGCATTAGGATAGCCAAAACGCATACATGTACAAAATGTCAATCACTATTTTACAAGTCAATATTGCATCTAGATATTGTACATTTGTACCTGTCCAAGTTCAGAAAAAATCTTTTGAATCAATGCAGCCATAGCAAACTTGTCGGCATTCAATGGTTGAGATGTCTTGTCAAAGTATGCAGTTTTTCTGTATAGAGCATTGATTTGGTCCATGGCAATCAAAACTGGCTTCCTATAGTGTAAACTATGCATTAGCTTATCTATTTAGTTTTGTTAAAAACAGCAAGGCCAAACACGTACCTGTTTTTTTCAGTAAAGATGGACTTGATTACCATTTCTAGAGCAGCAAAAGAGGATACAGCATCCATGCTTATTGCTGATCGTGCAAGATCGGCAACGGATTTATTGCTCTCGTCTGCAACCAAAATCTTGGAAAGTGCCTTTTCGTTCCAATCCAAAAGCAATTGCAGGAACTTTGTGGTTAAAGCAGGTTGATAGTAGGTATCATTTGATGCCGAGATTTCATATGGTTCAATACCACTCGTCCATTCAGACACTAAAGGCGATATTTACACAAGTCATTCAAACTATGATTAAAAATTCAAACATTACACTTCAAAAAGTAAATACATGGACTACTCTTACATCTAAGAACAGGAATAATGATCCAATCCTTGCTATGAAAATAACTGGCTGTTTGAATCAATGCAGATGATTTACCCGTGCCGCGATTGCCATCAACTATCACTGCAGTACTGCACACTTCCTTGATACCTTCATTACTCACCAAATCAATGAGTTCGGCTGTTGATCTTCTAAACATGAGCGCTGGTGTTTCAGTCAATTCAAACTAGCATGTATTAAGCAATAATGCGCAATGAATGTTAGTATTCATCAGTTTATAAAATACTTTCAAAACTAGTGCCAATGGATTGTAGACTTGCTTGTTTTTTTAAATTTGGAGATAGTTTGGTAAATTTGGCCATGAACTTTTCAGGAAGAGTAGCAAATCGATTCAAGTTCTTTTCCACTGCAAAATTCTTTATATCAAACCAAAGAGTTAGTCGGAAATAACTGTGATAACCGAAAAGTTGAGCAAGATCACCCATTATAAACCTCAACGTATGAACATGTTCAAACTTACTGGAGACCAATGCGTAACAGTCATATCATGGGCTGACGCAGAAGTAGGATTTGCCGTTGAGCCAGTATGGTTAACTTGGCTAGTACTCTTTAGTATCGTAAAGGTGACACACAGCAGTTGAATTAATCCAGTCATGCATGAGATCAAAACTGAATGATTGGATCATGAAATATAGCGTGCAGTGTATACCTTTGAAGAAATATAAGTGGATAATTTGAGTGTTGTAGAAACTGATCTGTTTAAAACAGTAGCTCTTGATGTAGTGATGCCCAATGAGAGTCGGGTTGCTGCAAACATGATTCAAGTTTGAGCAAGTTGATGTTCAATACAAAAAACGAATTTATTTTTGTTGCATCACGAAATCCTGTTTTATTTTGCCAATAGTAAAATCTACAGCACATTGCGTATCTATTGAGCAGAATCATGACATTCAAGACTTGATCTGCAGCAAATAAAAATAGTTTTATTTATTTTGACTGACATCAAGATTGTTATTGTAAGCTCATTGAATTCAAGTTAAAATGACAATTGGATTCTACTTTTACACTCGCAAGTATGTTCTACATGCACTGGCTGTATACAAGGTTGGAAATATATACGATCATCTCTTATGTTAGCATAGAGAACAAGTCACGTGGATAATGGTTCAACTCCAATGAAAACAATAGTGCTGAATGGCATTCACCAAGACAAGCTTATCAATTCAAAACTACTACAATTAAATCAAAGCGTATAAAAACAGAATGACAATAACTGCTCCAACATTTTTTGTTTTGGTTTGCTCGGGCCAGATAGAGTCTGCTCATGTAAGTTTAGCCATTAATATGAACGCAACGGTCGTCTAGATACTATCTTAACCCTGAAACATGTCACGTCCTATTGTGCATTTAAAGTATATTTGTACACTTGGTAATGGAGCTAAAACCAACCAACATGTTATTGTTTTACTTTTAAATCTGAATTAACAGTTTCCAGAATACGATAACTTATATTGCAAGTTTTCTTTTCTATTTGGTCAAGATTGGTCGATATTATCGGTGAGTCCGCTATGCATGTATAAAATTTGATATCTGGGAATCAAGTGCTAATGTAGTTGAGTATATCTTGCGCTTTCATACTATACATGCTTCTATACATTTGTAATTAGGGATTGGAAGAAGGCATTTCACAGTTTGCAAAAGGCCGCCAAGCTACCACTGTCACCGACCTAGGACATCCCATCAAGCCATGTGTTTGGAATTTTCCAGTCGATATCACATTCAAGGCTACTAATCCATATGGTATCGAGTTTTTTAGTTTTAATTAATCCATATCCCTAATCTCAGTTTGTCATGAAACATTAAGATTGAAAGTAAACCAATTATGCTTTATCAATTGACACGAATCATGTCTTAGGATGGCCACAACTCCTTGTAACTGTGTATGGACTGGACACATTTGGTCGAGATGTGATTCGAGGATATGGAGCAGTACGAATTCCGACAACCAGTGGGCAGTAAGCAATGGGTTGAATGATGGCTGAAAGTAATGCGTGTTTTAAAATATCAATACTACTATTTTAAAACTGATATCATCTATTCAATGTATGTTTATTTCTGATTTTAAATAGGCATACACTCTATATATCTATGTTTGTTCCCATTGCAACATCACCTTTTAATCAATTTTATTCGTGGATTCAAGGTCGTCCACCAGAATTTCTGGATCCTAAATTCGCAGCAAAAAGTAATGGTAGAGAAAGTAAGGATAAACCAGTGCTTTAAAGTATAGTTTACTAGTTACACATACTGTATGCAACAGTTGAAAGTTTGAATCAGCATGTTTATTCATTAAACCAATCTAATGATTCTAGTTACAAGGGTTCGGAGTCAAGGAACAGTCAAAGTTCAGTTGAATGTATTGACAAAGGATCTTGAATCTTTAGGATATATAGTTGATTGTCCACGAGCACGGTAGCTTGGCAAGAATGCGTTACACAATGACACTAAAGACCCAGCATGACTAATCTGTTGCAGAGCTGATCACCTCAGTTTCGACAAAAAACTTATTCTCAATGATAAATCTAATACATTGCAACAATGCGTTCTTGTCTTTTTTGAAATCTGTTTCAAGCAACTAAAGCCACGAATAATATACATAATCCATGTCGTAATAAAGTGTTAATGGTTTCAAATTACAATTGATAGTGCATAGGATGGCAGAGTATGCGTACCATATTCAAAAGAGGACGACGATTAGTTCCCTTGATTGGCGCTGCTGTTGGATTTAATGGTGTATGTGTCTTTGGAGCAGACCGAGATTCCGCAAGTTTAGAAAGATCGTGACTGTGCCTACAATTGCTTCCGTGTCTACAACAACCTTGTTTAAAGAATTTACAGACGATTTGATTACTTGATGCACCTTTGTGCTGATTCAGCTTTCCAGTCATGTCCAACGCCAATGTATCATGACTAGCCTCGAGTTTAGCATTGGATGCATCATCCAAATATATAGTGCTATCCTTTTGTTCAGATGTGCCATGCTTTTCTTGGACAGTGTCATTCTTCCTGATTAATTGTCGCTTGTCTGCATTACGCCCCTTGAGTTTTTTGCCATTTACATCAATAATATTTCCTTGTTTTTGTCGTTGCTTTTCATCCTCCATCTATAAAATATCCAATGTGGATTGAATTGAAATCACCAACTTGAGTGAATAACATGAATCAAATAGCACTCAATTTATAATACTACCTTTTGCTTGATGTTGGATTCGGTTGGAAATTTACGCTTGCGTTCTTGGATCCATTGTTCAATATCCTTTGGTGTATCCAAATTAAATGATTGTGCACTATTTCAATCAGTTAGCACAATAGCCATGCATTCAGAAAATAATGGACAAATATAAGCCGAATATTAAATACCTTGGAGGTTGTATTTTTAAACTCTCCTCTTCATCTATACTTGAATCATCAGTGTCAGTGGATGAGTTTATATTCTCGAATGATGGGTTGATGGACTGTGAGGAAATCCCAACATCCATACATAATTCTTGATTTCCAGCATTCGACTGATCAAAACTAGATGTACTATCTGGTATACTATGAAGTTGGTTTGTCGAGTCTTGAGATTGAGCCAAACCTGCATAACCATTTTGACTTTTTTCCTTGTTTTTGACAGTATGTCTGTTTTTTATTTTATTCGACTTTTTTTGCTGCTGCAGTCTATTGTCAGTTGTATTACTTTGCAGCTGGTTTGGTTCACCTTGAAACTGTAAGAACTGTTGCTGATTGTACGGGTTTGTATTAAATGCAGCCATAGTAGACTGGTATGATCCCCAGTTAGAATTATATTGCGATGCATATACAGGATAAGGATAATATTGCTGATGTAGTGGGTAATGTGCCTGATATTGCTGGTGGGAGTCTGGAACAAATGAATGCTGATGAGAAAGCTCTGATGATTGAATGGAATGAATAGTTGAAGATGGTGGAGGAGGAGGTCGATAAGACGGTGGAAGAATAGTTCGATTGGATTGTTTGAATCCCATGTTCGCAGCTGGTTTGAGTATAAAATAGAAATTTCATGAAATTATAAAGTTGCCCATCGTGACTACAGTCCAAACTCCAGCATGCTCTATTCTGGTAGACCTGCGTATGCCGACAAGGAAAACAATGCGTTTCATATAAAACAGAACAGCAGTACTTCATTCGCACCTAATACTTCAAGAAAGACTGCTGACAATGGCACTGTTTCTATGAAACGCATTGTTTCTATATCTACTCCAACTGCTGCCGGTCTGCTCGTGTCCATGAAACATCCAAGTACGATTATCATTTGCATACAAATGGTCATCCAAAACAACAACTGTTTGTGGGTTATTTGTTGGTATCTACTATGCTCTCATACAGCTAAACATATCAACCATTCAACGTGATGATTAGAAACTGGACAGAAAATGCGACACACTGCACTGGTAGAAAAGTCGAATACAGTCCAACGCTCAGAGACTGTTAAAGGAGTTGTCCAGCCTGTACCAGGAAAAAGACATTTTGGATCGACTACAAAGCCTTCTCTATCCAATACCACCAATACGAAAGGAAGCTCTATTATGACTGGGTCTGTGTCTATTCGTGCACTGCGAGATGTCACTAACCAGACTCCAGGCACTATTGAACGATCTGCATTAAAAAAATCAAAGGCACTCAAGCTTCCTAAAACTACCGGAAAAAGCGGATTAGGAAAAGGACTGCAGATTTGGGCAGACGACACAAGTTCAATAGGAACTAATTCTGGTAAATCCAGTAGTAAGAAACCATCTGCACATACACCATCAGACATCGCTGTCCAAAAATCGATCATTGACAACACTGCTTATACAGAGCCTTCAGCTGAAATGTGCAGCAATGATGACCTCACAGTTGAATACATGGCACCATCAACGCTTACGACAGGTATGTAAATCAGTCATACTGCAGTTCTGTAGTATTGTTATTTAACCTTTTTCATGAAAAATTTACTTGCTGCGTATATTGCATAACTGAAACATTGCTTCAATACTATAGCTTATCGTTTTATGGACGATTTGGAGTTGGACACTTCTGTATTATGTAACGCTCCTACTTTTGAATATGTGACCAAAAGCACTATGGATATTCTTGCTCAAGTTCAACAACTTGATCTCTCGGATCCAGTTCCATCTCTACTAAAGACAACCAAAGCTTCACATCCAGAGTATGATTGTCTCGTTGATACCAACGATTTCAACTTTGATTCGTCTGTTCTCATGATTTAATTGTCATTAAACATTGGATCATTGTCTAGATATGTGTTGGTAATCATGTCAACCTCCATCTACCCATTATATTATCCAAACATTTCTTTTTTTATATACTTCAATAAATGCCTTTTTGGCTTACAATTATAACTTTGGTCAGATATATTTCGATAAAAAATAGTTTTACAGTTGTATTCACGTAAAATGGGATTTGTATTTATTTTACTTTTATCTTGCTTGAGAATAGTCAATATTTAAATATTCATTGTTTTATATTACAAATTGACTTTAACTGTCATTCTTGATCCTTGTTCCAAACACTATCCATCACACAATCTATAGTTTGAACTGGAATTACTCCTTTGTCCATATTTGGTATAGCCATGTATTCTACAATCAACACGTTTTGAACCATATCCATTGTAATCTGGTGATTGACTTTACTGTTTTGATGTATCACTACAACTCTACACTCATTATTGTTGTATTGTGAATCTGATACATTCGCGTTCGAGTTCAAAAAACAAGATTGCATGTTTGAGTAATGCGACAGTTGTTTGCATGCCAATCGCACAATGTTTGATTTGTACAAAAAGAGATTGAGCAAGTGTCAGAAATGTGGTGTTTACTGAAACTGTAATGTTCATGTTTATGTAGTTGTTCTATGCAAGGATGAGCAGAACACAGTGTTATCTAGTCAACACATCAATTATTCATGAAACTGTTTATTATACTTTAATATCCTTGACTAGTGTCCCATTTACGTGAATACGGCTGTAGATTGGTAAAATAAGTTATTCTAAAAAAACGAGTTTATTAAATGAGATGAATTCGAACCAAATCTTTGAAATCATCCCAACTAATGTATGTTCCTTTAAGGTGTCGAACACCAGACTGTGGGTCAAACGACTGTCTTCCATGCAAAATACGACGGTTTGAAAAAATGGCACAGTCCCCAGGCCGCAACAAAGTAGTATACAGCAACTCTTTTCGATTCAAAATACTTTCAAACACACTGAATGCCTCGTAAAAGGGCAAGACTAAGTCTGGTGTGGCATCCAATGGTCCTTGAAATTGAGGTGCATAGTATACTTGCAGGCCAAGATCTTGATCGTTTTCCAGTATTGTTGGGTGACGATACTGCATGTGGTGCAGATCTTTCTGATACTTGAACATGATGGGCACTTTTGTGAGAGTCTTGTAGTGATCTGGATACTCTCGCTTGAGCAATTCTACAGCTATATGAGAGTCAACAAAAGTAGATTCACCCCCAGTGGCATTGTTTTGAAGACAATGAAGAAGCTGTAGTCCTGGCGGAGACTCATAGTACCTATAAACAAAAGGTTGTCAGAATTTGTATATTTAGATCAAAGTAGTCATTTGATGAATGCTATAAATCCCCAAGCTTGTATTGTAATTTGAATCGTGTCGAATTTGGCAATCTGAATGTTGGTTCGACTCGAATGAAATCTAACGAGAAAAACTTGAAATGATTATAAGCTAGCAGGAAATATACTTACATCAGATCCATGTGAAGTCCGAGGTACAGCGATGTATACGCAATATTACTGGCATCAGGCTCATTGCGTACATCCCAGCTTGTTCCATAAAAGGTTTCTTGAATACATCCCATACGCTTGGCTAGATGCTCCACTCGCTTATCGTCCGTGGGTACATCTGTAAGGAAGCAGATCCCAAAGTCGTGTAGCTGCTGTATGACACTTCTGAGGCCACTATAGTGATTAAAAAACTCATCATACGATACTCGATGAGTGCATGCTTTCAGATATGCACCATCCCATCGAATTGAGCGAATTGTTGATGGAGATCGTGGCTGTTGATTATAGTTGTTGCTCTGCAACCATTCAATGCTAAACTCGCTTTTATGAGGTTCTGACTTTACTGGAACACCGTTTGATTGACACAAGCTGTCAGCTGGCCATTCAATGACCAAATTAGTATTGACCACAGATATGGAAACAGGCTTGACAGTGGAAGATACACTGGCAGACGAGTGCAGTTTTTGGCCATTGCTCTCCAAGATGCAAGATGGACACTGACAGTTGTCACGTAGCCAAGCATAATGGAATCTACCACCATCGTCTGGTTTGATATTGGCTGGAGACCTAGGTTCGTATCCTGGTCGTCCCCAATACAAAGCAACACCATCTTCTCCTGTTTCCGATATAACCATGTTGACTTGTGGTAGATGCATAGAAGACCAGCCGGCCACATCTGTTTCTATTCCTCGAACTTGAAATCGTTGTACTGATGATATCCTGTCCAGTCGCGCATAAGGACGAGGTTGATAATGATCAAGGGCAGCTGGCTTGAATGGATATGCTGTTGCAATGTTGATTCCTTTTGAAATAGCATTGCTAGTAGACAATAGTCTCTTGACCAGACTATTCTTCACAGCAACACCATTCCATAAACAAGACTGCTGTCTGCACACAATAATATTCATGCGTAAAAGCCGATCCAGAATTCTAAACAAGAAATTTCAAAATAAACAACTTGACAGATAAACTCATGATGTTCGTTTTGTGGCTTATTGTCTTGAAGTGTTCGTCTTTATTTGATACACTCATTCACGTAAAATGGGATTTGTATTTATTTTACTTTTATCTTGCTTGAGAATAGTCAATATTTAAATATTCATTGTTTTATATTACAAATTGACTTTAACTGTCATTCTTGATCCTTGTTCCAAACACTATCCATCACACAATCTATAGTTTGAACTGGAATTACTCCTTTGTTCATATTTGGCATAGCCATGCATTCTACAATCAACACGTTTTGAACCATATCCATTGTAATCTGGTGATTGACTTTACTGTTTTGATGCATCACTACAACTCTACACTCATTATTGTTGTATTGTGAATCTGATACATTCGCGTTCGAGTTCAAAAAACAAGATTGCATGTTTGAGTAATGCGACAGTTGTTTGCATGCCAATCGCACAATGTTTGATTTGTACAAAAAGAGATTGAGCAAGTGTCAGAAATGTGGTGTTTACTGAAACTGTAATGTTCATGTTTATGTAGTTGTTCTATGCAAGGATGAGCAGAACACAGTGTTATCTAGTCAACACATCAATTGTTTATGAAACTGTTTATTATACTTTAATATCATTGACTAGTGTTGCAGTGACAACTAAAAACCCTTTAGATAAAGTGATGCACATTATATGGACTGCAGATATGTCATGACTTGACTTATCAAATCCGCCTTCCGATTGCTAGTTATATCCCATTTTACAGTTGTCAAGAATTGATTAAGCTGTAGTACACTAAGTGTAGACAACTAGAGAATAATATTTTTTAGTAAAAACTATCAAGATAGACACGCAATCATACAACCGTCAAGTATACCTTTCCCTGTGATGCCAATATTTCAACGTTTTGAACGTCCATAGGCTTTGAAGCTAGTTTGGAACGTTTTGCTTGCTTACTACCTGTACTTGTCACCTTAGTCATGACAATATAGTACACGTTAGAACACAAAAGTATGATCACCAATCTACAGCCGTATTCACGTAAATGGGACACTAGTCAAGGATATTAAAGTATAATAAACAGTTTCATAAACAATTGATGTGTTGACTAGATAACACTGTGTTCTGCTCATCCTTGCATAGAACAACTACATAAACATGAACATTACAGTTTCAGTAAACACCACATTTCTGACACTTGCTCAATCTCTTTTTGTACAAATCAAACATTGTGCGATTGGCATGCAAACAACTGTCGCATTACTCAAACATGCAATCTTGTTTTTTGAACTCGAACGCGAATGTATCAGATTCACAATACAACAATAATGAGTGTAGAGTTGTAGTGATGCATCAAAACAGTAAAGTCAATCACCAGATTACAATGGATATGGTTCAAAACGTGTTGATTGTAGAATGCATGGCTATGCCAAATATGAACAAAGGAGTAATTCCAGTTCAAACTATAGATTGTGTGATGGATAGTGTTTGGAACAAGGATCAAGAATGACAGTTAAAGTCAATTTATAATATAAAACAATGAATATTTAAATATTGACTATTCTCAAGCAAGATAAAAGTAAAATAAATACAAATCCCATTTTACGTGAATACGACAGTATCAAAATGGCATTTAGTATACAAATCCAAATGATAAAGTCCATTCAACTTACTGTTCGTTTCGCAATGTCAATCCCCGTTGTCGGCTCATTGTCATTGCATTGCGAGTTATATACCTGGCAAACCTAAAGTGTAATTATATGGTTTGTCAATATGGCGATATATATTTAATTCTCATGCAAAAACTATTACTGCAGCTAAACTTACAGATTTAAAATTTTGAATAAAGTCACCATATGTATCATGAATCTCTTGCTCATCTGGCATGGTAGCGTCAAGAGTTTCACGAGGACAATCTTGCCCAAGTGCCAAAGCTTCGACATAAGCATTATGGCGATCAATCACTGTAGTCAAAGTTAGAACTGATAATCATAAACAAGTTTATTTTTAAAATACCAACTCAAATAAACCAAACTCAATAGATATCTTACCAGGATTGTTAAAGAGAGAAAAGTCTATAGTAGCATTGGAAGCATGATTCAACAATTCACTTGCAGCATCCACAAGTTCGGGTGGGACAAACCTGGGAGCATACTTGCGCACTCTCAAATCATCACCAAACGGAAGATAAATACCATGAAATCCCGATAGTAGCTCTTTACCAAAAAAACCAACACCCTGTATTTGTGGTAAAAGTGCAATCATGCGTGGTACAGAATTCACGCGAGCAATAAGCTTGCATATTGCCAATTTGTTTCGATTCGACATTTGTTTTAGTAGATGAGAAAACAATGAAGAACTTCCAGAGTATTGCTATGAATTGAACCAGTTGAAATAATATTAAAATTGAATAGATTGTGTCGAGTATAAAAAATGGTTTGAGTTGCATAACAATACAAAAACTACCTTTTCATCTGGAGTAATAAACACCGAGGCTTGAAGATTGTGCTTGGCCTTTAAATCCGAAACATCCATAAATCCAACCAAAACTAGTTGCGGCTCTCCAAATGATTTAATATTGCACTTTTCTTCATTTGTAAACACAACCTAAATTACATATTGTCAATACATAAAACAAGTATATATACATATATTCCAACAAGCAATCACATGCAAGTTGAATGACTCACTTTTTCGGTTTCAAATGAATAGCATAGCTTGAGATCATCAGGAATCATCAACTGCCCCGTAGTCTGATATATATTTATCAAACATATTTCAGAAATGATCAATACGTTGTATATCATAATGTCTCATGCTTACCATGCACGTTAATATAGACTGAAAATCTACTTGTTTCATTGTAGAGTGCTCGAGATGTTTAACTGATTGACCGTTCTTAGCCTTTACAAGATATGTTCTGTAATTTCACAAATCCAAAATATACATATCAATAAAATCAAACTTGGCATACAATTCAACATGAAATAGATATTCTCACCCCTTTACACCGATTCTAAATCCTCCTGGAAGCGTAAATGGAACTCGAAACACAATACTTTGTTTAAATTTTTTAAGCAGAATGCGATTACAAAGTTCCGAAAAGTTGTCACTTGAAGGAATAGTAGTCAGATCAACATCATCTCCCAGCCAAAACTCGGGAATTTGGTTGTAAAACAGATTCAGCGCAAAAAAATCTGTATCTGATTTGTCAATTGCAAACAGCTCCACCGATATATACATGCTCTCCAGCTCCTGTTTTGGGAAATGACCGAAAGTTAACTATCCATTTGTATCACCAGCTTCCTAAGCCAATTCTAACAAATATTAGTTAAATGTAAAAACAAAACTTTAAATTACCGAAATACGCGAACGAGTGGCTGCCAGTGATAGTGCATCAGTGCTGGTTGGCAGATCTTGGTTTGTAATGACAAAGATGCGTTTTCGTGCCAGTCGAGGTGCACTATAGTCGAAAAATGTATATTTGAGTTAGTGCACTAATCTATGAATGGCTACAGTTGATTATATCAACACAACACCTTTTTGAAAATATAGACAAGGCAACCCAATATACATCACTGTAATTATATGGGTCAGTAGCAGATCCGATCTGACTTTCAAACACAGAAGAATCTACACTGTTTTTAGATGACTGCAATAATAAAATGCGTTATGCACATTTACTTGACAAACTGGTACCTTTGGCCATATGTTTTAACTCGAGAATTCGATTGATATCAGGGAGATCTAAATCATACTTGACATATATTGATTTTGCGTGCATGGCATTCTGCGTTGTATTCTTGAATATAAATACAAGGATTGTATTTTGAAAAACCAATCAGTAGTTTGATGTGTTATTTTAACGGTACTCTATTGCTCTGACAACAAGCTTATACTCACAGTTCCGTAAAAGACCAAGCCAATGGTATCTGAATTGCTTTCAAAAACCTTGGTTTGAAGATAGGCAGCAATGCTAGATAATGCAGTATTGAATGGAGAGATCGATTGGCCGTCGGGCACTTGATGCATTTGGAATGCTGCATCGACTAGAAATAAGTCGCAATATTTGTCTTGTAATCTCTCCTTATAGCATTCAAGAGTAGTATTGAGAGGAGTGGTGAATCAGCATCCAGTAAAATCTAACAGATGGTTCTTGAATCATGACATCTGATGCAGTATTAATATTTACTTTGGTTTCTCCTAATCCTGAAAAATACTCGTTAGTGTCATCATCGTCCGATTCATATGGCAATACCCGCCAGTTTGGTATAGACGTGGTTGCTGTCAGTGACTATAAAGCAAGTTCGATTAGAATGAAAGTGTTATACAACCAACTCAAAAAAAGGATTGGCATTCTGCAATACACTACAATCTAGCATGCATTACTCTATCTGAAGGACTGCCAGTCGCCATAATACAAGAGTCAAAGTATAAAAATAGTCAGCTTCATGAATGAACAATTTTAAACCACTCATGGCTATGACAAAAGGATGAGAACAGAGGAAATGAAAAACTGTTTGAAACCATCGCCATGGCTGTGAATCGTGTTTTAATCATTCAAATCCGATTCAATCGCTTTCGTGTGTGGTCAAGTTTCGTTGTTGCTTCTGCAATTCACTACCAAACTCAGTATCCTTTTGAAGCTTGAGCAAGGGATTTTGGGAATTACAGGCTTACATTGTGGATTGCAAGCTTGCATCGCCATCAAAAATAAAAGCTTTATACAATCTAGGCTTCAGAAAAACACTGTATTTGGTAGTGAATTACAGAAGCAACAAAAACAAATCCGACCACACACAAAAGTGGTTGGATGAAATTCGTGCGATACTTTCTCGTGCACATGATGCACATTGATGGCGATGGTTGCTGGCAATTTTTTATTCGTATCTTCATTCTTTCCCACTGTTGATAGTCGTGAATGATTCAAAAAAACTACAAGCGCCCATATCCACACGCCTCATAATTGAATCCACCCAAAATGTGCTTTATATCCACACGCCTCATAATTGGACCCATCCATATCTCTTTTAATTCGTTTCATATTCACGGTTTATTTTGCATCCACTCACGATTTGCTAATTTTCTCCATATTCATCGCCTCATAATTGGACCCACTCTCTTATTTAGTATTCGTATAGCTTAAATATCGTGTTTATATCCCCTCGGATCCTTTACGTTATTGCTATCGAAATGTTGTTTGCGAAAAGTATCGGATGGAAAGCCATCCTTTTTGCAAGCTTTGGTCTCAGCGCTATTGCTGCACCAAACACCCCTCATACTATCAGCATTACCATGGATGGTAAATAGTATTGCAGTCCATTTGGATCATTGATTACATGCACTGCAACACATTTAATCAAACATTTTATTTTAATTACATTTTACAGTTGACGACAGCTACTCTCTTACTTTTGATGGAACTGACTACAGTGTGTCTTACTCTGATTCGAGCTGGTATACGATCAAAACCTACACTAAAAATGTTACTGGCGACGGCCCATGGCTGATTGCAGTTCACGCCAATGATTACGGAACCATTGCTGGTTTATTTGCAAGCGTTTTCTTGGATGGATCTCCTTATTCCACAACCGCCACAGCTAATAACAAATTCGTCATGAGTCCCAATACGCCCTCTACCAACTGGAACACCAATATCAACTATGACGACTCGCAGTGGTTTACTCAAACCACTGATAACTGCCCAATAACCAACATGTGGAGCTCTATGCTCCCTTCTCTTGATCAACAAACCAAAGGACAAGTAGCCCGTTCTATGTAAGTTGTAAATATATACTACGAATTCGCGTCATGTTGTAAATTCTCTTATAAATTTTACTTACATTTTGACGCAAATGTAATCCATTAAACCGTGTAGGTGGTATCCTGACTGCAGAAACACGGGCACAGTTGCAAACCCTAAAAACATGTACTTCCGTTTGCTTGTGACTCCCCCACCTGTAAGTCCGTCTACATTAAATTGTTTTGATGCCATGATAAAATAAGTCATGAAGACTGCTAACAATGTATATTTACTCTTTAGACTGCCCCAACTTACGGATATACCAATCAGGTTTCGACCATTGCCGCTTACGCGTCTGCTGCCACTACCACTTCACCAGCAGCGGTTGTCACTACCACCTCGGCAGTTGCTCCAATTGCTACCCACGTTATTACCATTACCGCGGTTGGTAAGTATCACTGCCACGTTTATATCGTGCCAATGCACATACTAACAGTCGATTATTTGCAATAGTTGATGACTACTACGAGATGAAAATCAACTCTGTGCAGTACACCGTTCCTCAAAACGAAACCAACTGGAAAACTCTCCGAACCTATAATCAAGTTGTGTATGGCGACGGACCTTGGTTGATTTCCATTACAGGACACGATACCGGTGGTGCTTCTGGTCTGTTTGCCGCTGTTTACATTGACGGCAAACCATTCACGTTCACCGGATCAACTGGCAACAAATTTGTCATGATTGGTAATACTCCTGCTCAGGGATGGGATACCAATGTTAACTTTGATGACAGAGCATGGTACACACAGACCAGTGATTCGTGCAACTCTGTAGTTATTGGATGGCCATTTATTTCAACACTCGATGCCATGACCAGACCTCAACTTGCTCGTGCCATGTAAGTTGACTATTTTGATTAGATATGCAGACTAAGCTATAGATCAGTACTAACCAGTCTGTAATGTTGCAGGTGGTACCCCGACTGCACTAGCACTCCTGGTGATTCTTATACCCCTAGAAACATGTACTTCCGTCTTGTCGTCACTGCACCAACTGTAAGTTGCTGAACCATTATGATTGGTATAGATTTAAATGATCGTGGTATATCGACTAATTACTGATTGTACACGACATTAGACTGCACCGACATCGATACCAGTTGCTCAAGTCTCGACCACTTCAGCAGCGGCGGTTGCCACTACCACTTCACCAGCAGCGGTTGCCACTACCACCTCGGCAGTTGCTCCAATTGCTACCCACGTTATTACCATTACCATGGTTGGTAAGTATTACTGCCACGTTTATATCGTGCCAATACACATACTAACAGTCGATTATTTGCAATAGTTGATGACTACTACGAAATGAAAATCAACTCTGTGCAGTACACCGTTCCTCAGAATTCGACCAACTGGAAAACTCTTCAAACCTATAATCAAGTTGTGTATGGCGACGGACCTTGGTTGATTTCCATTACAGGACACGATACCGGTGGTGCTTCTGGTCTGTTTGCCGCTGTTTACATTGACGGCAAACCATTCACGTTCACCGGATCAACTGGCAACAAATTTGTCATGCTTGGTAATACTCCTGCTCAGGGATGGGATACCAATGTTAGCTTTGATGACAGAGCATGGTACACACAGACCAGTGATGTGTGCAACTCTTTAAGCGATCCTTGGTGGACATTTATCCCAACACTCGATGCCATGACCAGACCTCAACTTGCTCGTGCCATGTAAGTTGACTGTTGATTAGATATGCAGACTAAGCTATAGATCAGTACTAACCAGTCTGTAATGTTGCAGGTGGTACCCCGACTGCACTAGCAACCTTGGCAGTACTAATGCTCCTAAAAACATGTACTTCCGTCTTGTCGTCACTGCACCAACTGTAAGTTGCTGAACTATTATGATTGGTATAGATTTAAATGATTGTGGTATATCGACTAATTACTGATTGTACACGACATTAGACCGCACCGACCTCAATGCCAGTTGCTCAAGTCTCGACCATTGCCGCTTACGTGTCTGCTGCCACTACCACTTCACCAGCAGCGGTTGCCACTACCACCTCGGCAGTTGCTCCAATTGCTACCCACGTTATTACCATTACCATGGTTGGTAAGTATTACTGCCACGTTTATATCGTGCCAATACACATACTAACATTTGATTGTTTGCAATAGTTGATGACTACTACGAAATGAAAATCAACTCTGTGCAGTACACCGTTCCTCAGAATTCGACCAACTGGAAAACTCTTCAAACCTATAATCAAGTTGTGTATGGTGACGGACCTTGGTTGATTTCCATTACAGGACACGATACCGGCGGTGCTTCTGGTCTGTTTGCCGCTGTTTACATTGACGGCAAACCATTCACGTTCACCGGATCAGCTGGCAACAAATTTGTCATGATTGGTAATACTCCTGCTCAGGGATGGGATACCAATGTTAACTTTGATGACAGAGCATGGTACACACAGACCAGTGATTCGTGCAACTCTGTAGTTATTGGATGGCCATTTATTTCAACACTCGATGCCATGACCAGACCTCAGCTTGCTCGTGCCATGTAAGTTGACTATTTTGATTAGATATGCAGACTAAGCTATAGGTCGGTACTAACCAGTCTATAATGTTGCAGGTGGTACCCCGACTGCACTAGCACTCCTGGTGATTCTTATACCCCTAGAAACATGTACTTCCGTCTTGTCGTCACTGCACCAACTGTAAGTTGCTGAACCATTATGAGTGGTATAGATTTAAATGATCGTGGTATATTGACTAATTACTGATTGTACACGACATTAGACTGCACCGACATCGATACCAGCTGCTCAAGTCTCGACCACTTCACCAGCAGCGGTTGCCACTACCACCTCGGCAGTTGCTCCAATTGCTACCCACGTTATTACCATTACCATGGTTGGTAAGTATTACTGCCACGTTTATATCGTGCCAATACACATACTAACAGTCGATTATTTGCAATAGTTGATGACTACTACGAAATGAAAATCAACTCTGTGCAGTACACCGTTCCTCAGAATTCGACCAACTGGAAAACTCTTCAAACCTATAATCAAGTTGTGTATGGCGACGGACCTTGGTTGATTTCCATTACAGGACACGATACCGGTGGTGCTTCTGGTCTGTTTGCCGCTGTTTACATTGACGGCAAACCATTCACGTTCACCGGATCAACTGGCAACAAATTTGTCATGCTTGGTAATACTCCTGCTCAGGGATGGGATACCAATGTTAGCTTTGATGACAGAGCATGGTACACACAGACCAGTGATGTGTGCAACTCTTTAAGCGATCCTTGGTGGACATTTATCCCAACACTCGATGCCATGACCAGACCTCAACTTGCTCGTGCCATGTAAGTTGACTGTTGATTAGATATGCAGACTAAGCTATAGATCAGTACTAACCAGTCTGTAATGTTGCAGGTGGTACCCCGACTGCACTAGCAACCTTGGCAGTACTAATGCTCCTAAAAACATGTACTTCCGTCTTGTCGTCACTGCACCAACTGTAAGTTGCTGAACTATTATGATTGGTATAGATTTAAATGATCGTGGTATATCGACTAATTACTGATTGTACACGACATTAGACTGCACCGACATCGATACCAGTTGCTCAAGTCTCGACCACTTCAGCAGCGGCGGTTGCCACTACCACTTCACCAGCAGCGGTTGCCACTACCACCTCGGCAGTTGCTCCAATTGCTACCCACGTTATTACCATTACCATGGTTGGTAAGTATTACTGCCACGTTTATATCGTGTCAATACACATACTAACATTTGATTATTTGCAATAGTTGATGACTACTACGAAATGAAAATCAACTCTGTGCAGTACACCGTTCCTCAGAATTCGACCAACTGGAAAACTCTTCAAACCTATAATCAAGTTGTGTATGGCGACGGACCTTGGTTGATTTCCATTACAGGACACGATACCGGCGGTGCTTCTGGTCTGTTTGCCGCTGTTTACATTGACGGCAAACCATTCACGTTCACCGGATCAGCTGGCAACAAATTTGTCATGCTTGGTAATACTCCTGCTCAGGGATGGGATACCAATGTTAGCTTTGATGACAGAGCATGGTACACACAGACCAGTGATGTGTGCAACTCTTTAAGCGATCCTTGGTGGACATTTATCCCAACACTCGATGCCATGACCAGACCTCAGCTTGCTCGTGCCATGTAAGTTGACTGTTGATTAGATATGCAGACTAAGCTATAGGTCGGTACTAACCAGTCTATAATGTTGCAGGTGGTACCCCGACTGCACTAGCAACCTTGGCAGTACTAATGCTCCTAAAAACATGTACTTCCGTCTTGTCGTCACTGCACCAACTGTAAGTTGCTGAACTATTATGATTGGTATAGATTTAAACGATCGTGGTATATCGACTAATTACTGATTGTACACGACATTAGACCGCACCGACCTCAATGCCAGTTGCTCAAGTCTCGACCATTGCCGCTTACGTGTCTGCTGCCACTACCACTTCACCAGCAGCGGTTGCCACTACCACCTCGGCAGTTGCTCCAATTGCTACCCACGTTATTACCATTACCATGGATGGTAAATAGTATTGCAGTCCATTTGGATCATTGATTACATGCACTGCAACACATTTAATCAAACATTTTATTTTAATTACATTTTACAGTTGACGACAGCTACTCTCTTACTTTTGATGGAACTGACTACAGTGTGTCTTACTCTGATTCGAGCTGGTATACGATCAAAACCTACACTAAAAATGTTACTGGTAACGGCCCATGGCTGATTGCAGTTCACGCCAATGATTACGGAACCATTGCTGGTTTATTTGCAAGCGTTTTCTTGGATGGATCTCCTTATTCCACAACCGCCACAGCTAATAACAAATTCGTCATGAGTCCCAATACGCCCTCTACCAACTGGAACACCAATATCAACTATGACGACTCGCAGTGGTTTACTCAAACCACTGATAACTGCCCAATAACCAACATGTGGAACTCTATGCTCCCTTCTCTTGATCAACAAACCAAAGGACAAGTAGCCCGTTCTATGTAAGTTGTAAATATATACTACGAATTCGCGTCATGTTGTAAATTCTCATAAATTTTACTTACATTTTGACGCAAATGTAATCCATTAAACCGTGTAGGTGGTATCCTGACTGCAGAAACACGGGCACAGTTGCAAACCCTAAAAACATGTACTTCCGTCTTGTCGTCACTGCACCAACTGTAAGTTGCTGAACCATTATGAGTGGTATAGATTTAAATGATCGTGGTATATCGACTAATTACTGATTGTACACGACATTAGACTGCACCGACATCGATACCAGTTGCTCAAGTCTCGACCACTTCAGCAGCGGCGGTTGCCACTACCACTTCACCAGCAGCGGTTGCCACTACCACCTCGGCAGTTGCTCCAATTGCTACCCACGTTATTACCATTACCATGGTTGGTAAGTATCACTGCCACGTTTATATCGTGCCAATACACATACTAACATTTGATTATTTGCAATAGTTGATGACTACTACGAAATGAAAATCAACTCTGTGCAGTACACCGTTCCTCAGAATTCGACCAACTGGAAAACTCTTCAAACCTATAATCAAGTTGTGTATGGTGACGGACCTTGGTTGATTTCCATTACAGGACACGATACCGGTGGTGCTTCTGGTCTGTTTGCCGCTGTTTACATTGACGGCAAACCATTCACGTTCACCGGATCAACTGGCAACAAATTTGTCATGATTGGTAATACTCCTGCTCAGGGATGGGATACCAATGTTAGCTTTGATGACAGAGCATGGTACACACAGACCAGTGATGTGTGCAACTCTTTAAGCGATCCTTGGTGGACATTTATCCCAACACTCGATGCCATGACCAGACCTCAACTTGCTCGTGCCATGTAAGTTGACTGTTGATTAGATATGCAGACTAAGCTATAGATCAGTACTAACTAGTCTGTAATGTTGCAGGTGGTACCCCGACTGCACTAGCAACCTTGGCAGTACTAATGCTCCTAAAAACATGTACTTCCGTCTTGTCGTCACTGCACCAACTGTAAGTTGCTGAACTATTATGATTGGTATAGATTTAAACGATCGTGGTATATCGACTAATTACTGATTGTGTATGACATTGATAGACTGGATCCATCACTGCCACTACAACTTCTGAGGATTGTGAAGAGGATGATATCACAACAGCTATCAAACCAACCAGTTCCGCTACTGTTTCTCCTATCCCAGGTCGTAAATACCGTGGTCGCACTCGTCCAGATGACACAATTGTCGTAATTCGTCTTGCAGATCCCTTCCTCAATTACGAATCGAAAAATACAGCTATATATGGGAGCTATGCACCACCTGCCCAAACCATTGCTAATTACCGCCCCTGAAAAAATTCATTTTCCAGGTTTTTAATTGCTGAAATAAAATTCTATTTACAGTCGTATTCACAAAATCAGAAATGTGGTTCAACTGTGAATGTTTTTAAATTACAAATTCTCGTCGTGTTGACTTGGTTTTTATATTTTTCAGTTTCTTTACACATCAGCATGTCAACCTCGAACATCAACGACAACTCTGATCTCTACAATGTAACATTCGTTACGAGCACCATTGGTTTGTCTATTCAAAGAGTTGTTTCAGAACTAAAAGATATGGGTTTGTTTACATACAGCGAATCTATCAAATGTCCGAGATTTTGAACAATACCAGTAGAAACACCAACTTCAATCAACTAGGCGCTGTCTTTCTGACATGGATAGTTTCCAACAACTTTGAATTACAACTATCAACCTTTGATAACCCAATAGCAAATGCGCGTTCTGAACAACAGGTTCATTGGCATACATTGGCTTGGAATTCTAAAAAGCATGAGCTGAATACTCTACACACAACCAAGGAATACCTGGAGCAAGTATGAAGCTAAAGAAGTTTGTTGTATTCTGAATCTCATACATTCACGTTCGAGTTCAAAAAACAAGATTGCATATTTGAGTAATGCGGCAGTCGTTTGCCAATTGCACAATGTCTGATTTGTACAAAAAGAGATTGAACAAGTGTCAGATGTGGTGTTTACTGAAACTGTAATGTTCATGTTCATGTAATTGTTCTATGCAAGGATGAGCATAAAAGTCAGTAAACTTTGTCAGAGTTTACAGGACACAATACTGTTTAGTAAATTTGATGTGAATTACATTTCATGAAACTGTTTATTATACTTTAACATCCTTGTCTAGCGTTTCACTTTACGTGAATGCGGCTGTAGTTGATCAAATGAGTCACGTGAAATTGCTATGAAAACAAAACTTGATCAAAAGATTAGCAAGAATTTCGATAATTCAAGGAAAGGCAAAAGCCAAGGTTGAGCCCAAACATCAATTCACATTTGAGCGCTTGCATTAGGACTTTGAGGCTCTGGTCCTAGAGCATCGATATACACTCAATCAATTTCAAGCCTGTTTATATCCTGTGTTGATTCAAGCTAGTTCTTTACTGATTCAAGTTTTGAAGGTTAAAACAGCTTAGGCCAGCATCGCTGATCTTACATGGTTCCTACTCTTACAGACTCTGGCCGTACAATGACCATGACAATGGGCCCTACTGCATCCCACTCTGCAGATAATTCTAATACTGCCGCAACTTTATCTCAGCCACAAACCTTGATTGCTTCTGTCAACACTTTGACTCCAAGTATGCACCAACCCAGCTCTTCACATACTCATATCAATGCGATTATGGAAGGATCAACAACCCCTTATTCAACAGTCAATATCGTCACAGGCTCTACTGATGTTTTAGCTTCCTTGGGAAAGCAAGGGAGAGCAACCAATGCATCTTTGCTAATTCATGAAAAGGATAAAGGTGCCAAGTTATTGGTGCATGAAAGTACAAGTTTAAGCAACAAAAGTGCCAATGCAAGCGATGCACATTTGGCATCTATATCAATCCATACAGAGACAGCAGCTACTCGATCAGCTGTCAATGGTGCTACTGTAAGCTCTTCCAACTTACCAATATCTACTGCAGTGGACATTTCTCAATCCGCTACTAGAGCTGACACATGCATTCCTTTTCGACAAGACTCTCCGCCTGCCACAGGCACTAGAGCTTCACCCACTACTGATGATGCTACCGAATCATTTAGTTCACTTCAAGCCCAACCTTTTATCCCATCACATTCTACTTGTTCATCTTCCGCAGCGGCTTTAATGCAATCCCCTGCCCTTAGTCCGTCCACCCGACCAACATCTCCGTCCAACGCATGCGACGATTCATCCACTACTCAATTAGGATTAGAAACCCAAATCCAGTCAGGTACCAGTGATCAGAGGCATGGCTCGACCAGCTATCTTTTGTCTTCTCAATTAAATGGCAGCCATCACATTCTCAAAAAGCCATGTCAAGAACAGCTAATGGACGAATCTTTGGACAGGCAGCAAGTCGTGATATCATCTGTATCATGCACAACACTCGATAAGCCAGCCTCCTACTCACAAGACCGATTGGATCTCACAACAGAGTCATCTTTGACTCGAAAGAATTCACCAGTGGTGCCGACACCAGTACACAGAATTAGGCCAAATGACAATATACCACATGTTTCAACAAACAGCAAGTCTTGTACAGCTTCCCTAGATCTAATACATGATTCTAAAGTCTATTCAAAAAACCCCTCTTTCACCTCGGGTGTGTATTGTAATACGGATTCTAATGAGATGATAATGGAAGCTTCGGCTCATGAAGTCGAAAAGAAAAGTACAAACAGTAGACCGCCTGATCTGCTAGAAGATGGAGCTTTGTCTATAGAGTCACGAATCAGAGATTGTGCAGCTCAATCTGTAGAGGTGTCGATAGATGAACCAGAGGACAAAGTAAAAATCGAAGATATTGACAAGTCAATGGAAAAAGACGCGGAGGAAGAGCCCATTCTTCAAGAACAAGGCAAGTACCATTGATGATATCCGAGTATAAAACATATGTATATGTTAACCTTTTTACGCTCATTACATATTAGACATTCAGAATGAGGCCAGACGAAAAGAGGCGTTAGTCTTTCTTTCTCATATCGAAACCTATTTTGCAAGAATACAGCAACTGTAAGTACATGTATGCTGTGCTTACAGCTATGATAGTCGACGTCCTTTTACTGTTTCAAATACTCGTTTTACTAAATTTCTTTTGTGGCTTTGTAGTTGGTATAGTGGACAAGCAGCCTTTGCAGATCGCGAAGCAGAAACCATACGGAATGGTCAGTACCACCTTGTAGATTGATGTTGAAGTGTAGGGCTTGATTCTAACAATATAGCACATATCTACATACACTACCTTTTTTGGTATGAATAATGCACTACCTTTTTTGGCTCAACTTCAGGCACTCATCCGAGTCTTTGCAGTTTACTTGAAGACATTGAACAGAAACATACAGATCATATACGTGTTACTACTGGGTTGGAGAGGATTGTGGCTCAGCGCAATGAAGTCACTTATCAAGCTGCTGTTTACAAGGCACACACAAACTTTTTGGCAAAGAAGCTTGGGCTTCGGAAAAAAATGCAGGATCAATTGCGTCGAAAGAGATGGCAGCTTCATTACGAGCGTGCTCACATAAACGATTCTATTAGAGGTATATATGTTTGCATCCATGATTGGATTACTAGAAATTAACTCATCATGATTAATATTTCACTTAGATGCATGGATATTAGATGAAGAGACCAGAATTAAGCGTCGTCGAATTGATCAGGCCAATGTTGATGAATGGAATTCTGTCATGGAAGAGTTTCCTGGGTTTCCTGCATGCACACTTTCTGGGTTATCGGACAAGGACAGAGAACTGGACTTTAAAGAACTTGGGGTAAAGTGTGATTGACATTAGTCTTCTCATGCTAAATATAGTTTGATTGGTCATGGTCTTTCAAGACGTTGTTGCGATATCTAATAGTTGAATGATTAACAGATGGCACCGTCACTACCAAAACCTGCAGCAACCCTTTCGCTTTTTGCTATCTCAACATCAAACAGATTGCCACAGACATCTACAGCCAAATCTCATACAGACTCTTCAGCTTTACCTCCTGTCAGTCTAGCATGTGACAATAATTTACCATGTCTCACGTCATCTGCACATACCACTCATGGAGAAGTGAGCCTTTCAACGAATATGTCTCAGCATATATCACAAGCCCAGTCTCGTCAGCAAGCATTGACATCCCAGCCACACATGCATCGACTAGATTGTCATCAAGATAATCCTTTGAAAAATACTCATGGGTCAATCGTTCGAGCGGATTCAAGCAATGCATCAACAGGATGTTCACAATCCGTCTCCAAGCTGAAGCCTCAACCTCAGGCTTTACATCTCGCACCCTCACAACTGCAATCAAATCACACTACGCATAGCACATCTGGCATGCCTGTCATTACATCAGACATGCTAAATTCAAACGTACATTACACTTCTCAATCACTCCCTGTTGAAGCCATGACTGCTGATGGTCAGCTACGTTTACAGGGCCACTGGTACAAGGTAGATGATCGAGCAGATTTGTATGACAATGGGTCCAAATTCACCATCAAAATTGTTACAATCGGTGATGTAGACCTGATTGTGCAGCGAACGGATGGATCTAAAACCAAACTTCCTCTTGCATTTCTGGTTGATGGACGGGTAAAGCTTAAGCCCAAACCCTGACTTGTACTGCTTTGTTATTTTCCACAGTGCCTATCCCACCACTTTTTTATAAACTTTATGTGCTTTACAAACGTTATATAAAGGGGTTTATAATAGAAAAGGATACTCTGAGAGATTAATCCGTACATATTTTAGTTTACAGCTAGCAATAATGATGAAAATGGAGAGATTGTCGATAACCATCAGTATATCATGCATTTACAAAGATACTTGCACACAACTCACTTTACTATACTTTTGTGTATTACGATAACAATCCGACACGACCAGTTTGCGAATCCTCTTGATTCAATGCCATTTGGTTTTAATCTGACACGATCTTTGGTTTTAGTCTACACATTAACCTAAACTCGTCTTGTTTTGGAATTCTTGTGTCCAAAATGCTACAACAGTATCCTGCTATGTATTCCAACTCGACAATCAAATTGAATTGGAATAAATACTTGTCCCATTTCTGTTATCAGCTTTAAATACATATCTGTCCAGAATGACAATTGACATTTTTATGTTGAGAAAAATAGACTCTTCACGCATGGTATTGAATACAGCAATGGTCAAAGCTTTAAGCCAGTGGTGGTCGATTCTTCCAGTTTCAATCCTGTCACTAGACCATTTTCTTTCACCAATGTAATACGCCTTTTCCCTGTCCATCCAGGTGAAGATGTCGAATGCCGCTCATCCCCAGGCAGTGCCATGACTACATCACCCTGACCAGATTTGCCAATGTACTCTGGCAATATTGGTTCGATAGGTCGCAAGTATGTATGTGCCGAGTCAACCATGCCTTTCAGCTGTGAGAAGGACATGGTTGACAGCTCTTTCAGCATGATGAATTGCGGTGGTAGAGTTGTTATTTCTGCATAGGTAGGCAGAGTCAAGATGAAGGGTGAATAAAATGACCAGTTATACTTGGTTGAATATAAAACCACTCACTCTTTTGTTCAAATAAAGACAGCGCATGAGTAGGTGTCATCCACTCGGCAGTGATGGTTTCATCACCATCAGCTGCAACACGTCCACCCCAACCACACTCCTGATCCACTACGGTCATAAAAAAATGAGTATCAAATCGCTTTGGCATGGTTGTGGGAGTGATCCAATTTGCCCAGTATACTAGCCGAGAGAGAGCAGGGTATGCATTGAGCTGGTTTGCCATGACACGAAACTGACTGGCATCATTATAGACTCGACCACGCCAGTCTTGGAGTATAGACGAATCAGGTGGATTATGAGTGATATATACGCCGGATTCTTCAAACGTCTCTCTAAGAGCTGCTATGGCAAGATGGGAGCCAACCTTGGAAATGGGTGATGGAATAGTGCTGTGGGAAGTAGATCTCGTCCATAATGGATCGAAATCTGATGGGCTAATAGCACCACCAGGAAACACTGTCAAGCCACCAAATGCACCATGTGGGGATCTAATGAATGATCGTGGATTGATATCAGACAAGTACCGTATATCGAATGACTAGGAATGAGTGACACTACCTTTTTAGTAAGAGAACAGAGAAATCTGGAGTAGAACCAGCAGATAAACGACACACAATTAGACTAGCAGCAGTTCTAATCGACGCTTTTGTAGGAATCAAAGCCGAGTTGGTTTAGTATATTCAGTGGTGTCGATTAGATACAACTGCAATATTACTTGTACTACACATCAAATGAAAGTCACTCACACATGGGAATATGAGATCAAGTTTTGAACTGTTCAAATCCAATGCACTGTAGTCCTGAGGGTGTTGAGATCGTAATAAATTGTTGCGATCATCACTGGCTTGACTACATCGACTCTTATACAATGCTCGAAGCTCGTCTGCAACATGCCTCGACTCTTAAAAAGCTTCTTGATGCTGTTAAAGAACTAGTCACTGATGCCAACTTTGAATGCAATGAGACTGGTATTGCTTTACAGGCAATGGATACTTCCCACATCTCTCTTGTGACTCTGTTGTTGCGTTCAAGCGGATTCGAACATTACCGTTGCGACAGAAATTCCAGTCTTGGCATTTCTCTTGCTAGTCTAGGAAAGATCCTCAAATGCGCTTCTAACGAAGATGTCTTGACTCTGCGTGCTGGTGAGAACGCAGATGTCCTGACACTGGTCTTTGAGGCTCCCGGTAAGCATAACCATAGTACTATTGCTTCAACTTATTCTAGGAACTTGTTCCAGATCTATCTTTGTATTGTTTCAGTGTTGATTGTTTTATTCTGCTGGGCAGTCATTGTATTGCTATTGTGCTGTTGATGGTGCACTGCTACTTGTACTTTTGCAAATAGTGCAGTTTGGATCTGTTTTTATTTGGTCCTGTAAAACAGTACTCTTGTTACAGTCTATTTAGTACTGTTTTGAAGTTTCCAGTTTTTGTAGTGCATTAATGCTCTTAATTCTCTGTTTATTTTTCTGCACGATGTGATTAATTTTCGGACACGAATAACCTCGCCTTCATATTTACTAATCATTGTTGAATCCTCTAAACGTCACTACTATTGATCCAGACTCTGAAAGATGTAGCGAGTTTGAGATGAAATTGATGGATATTGACAGTGAGCATTTGGGTATTCCCGACTCCAACTACGATGTGGTTGTCAAGATGTCCTCTGTCGAATTTCAACGTATCTGCCGTGATATGAGTACTTTGTCCGAATCCAGTTGAGTTTTTTATGATCGGCTTGAATCAATATGCTGTATATTTAAGTAGAGCCACAACTAACATGCTTGAATTGTTTCAATACATTTTTTGCTAAACAGTTACAATCGAGTGTGCAAAAGACAGCGTTCGGTTTATGACTGAAGGTGATATTGGCAGCGGCTATATTACTCTCAAGCCAGGCATGTCCATTGACGATAGTGAAGACACATCGACAACTATTGAACTCCAACAAGCTTGCAGTCTTACATTTTCTCTCAAGTATTTGTCCAACTTCACCAAGGCCACCCCCCTGTCCAAGACGGTTACATTGAGCATGTCCAACGAGTATCCATTGTTAGTAGAATACAAAGTGAATGAGATTGGATTCATTCGTTACTATCTTGCACCTAAAATGAACGAAGCCGAATAAATTTCTCGCAAATTTAAACTCATCATACAGTTGCCATTTCCAAGTATATACAGCATCAAACTCCACTGATTCATTTTATTTGCACTAGTTTTATCATTTCAACATTATTTTTCAACTTGACATTCATTGTCAACAGCCATTAGTCTCAATATAGCTTTAAATTTTCCTGTTTGCTTTAACCACACGTTGAATTTGCTGGCAATTTCATCTTTTAAATCCTTACTATGTTTGCAATGATTATCTAAAATTTCAAGAGTCTGTTTAACCTGATGAACAAGCAAGTGTATTGTTTCTAGCCGCATCTTGAATGATTGTGGGAGTACCGACATCAGCCAGTCTCGATCCAAACTACCATCACTGGTTTCCACGACGATTGGATACGTAGTATCAACTATAATACTGCTTTTGGGATCAATTGATTTTTGTTCTTGAAGAACCGACAACGTATAGTTATTTCTAATGCGGCTGATTGGATCTAGTGATACACTCTTTTTCAAAACAGCGTGGTTTTGTGTCCAGATTGGTGTTTTTTGTTTATACTCTTGATCAATTTGGTTGATGGGTTGATTGAAGATGGACTGGGATGCAAGCAGATCTGTCGGAAAGCTATTTGCAGAGTTTTTGCTATTGTGTTTGTATACTCGGTTGAACGGAATTGGCATGCAGAGATACTGAAAGGGATCCATCAGAGACACGTTGCTTTTTTGTAGTGCGTCAGGAGTAGATTTCCAACATGTAGTTTCACTAGCAACTCCATTCTTGGTATCTGGCTCTTTATCACATACTTGTACAAACTTATCCCACATATTGTATGAAATGTCTAATCCAGAGTTGAGCACATCGTCACGCATACCTTGATAATAGGTGTTACAGGGAGCGAGTACTAACTTTATGTACTTGAAAACATGCTGATCTTTAAAATCCCCCACATTAGAGTGACTATTTAAGCAAATGCCTTGTCCAACAATCGGTCTTGAAAGAGTATTAATATAAGCCGTGACATGATTCGATTCTGTTTGTGATGCAAAGCGTTGATTATATGGCATTAACCAAACCATGAGCTGCCCGCATACAGCAGACACGACCAATCCTTGGGATTGTTTGATTCCAATTTGTTTTGAAACAGCACCGACAATAATTTGGGTATTGCGACACTCGGAGATAAAAAGCGATGTAATTGGACCAAGAATGTAAACATGAGTATCATGACAGCGGTGGATGTAGACTGCTGTATTGGATATAAATGCTGAATGCAAGACAATAGTTTGATTCCGTTTTCGCGATATCAAAACTATTGCAATTAAATTAGATATGTTTATCATGAATCAGCTTATACAATTGGTATCAATCTGTTTTAAACTATTTAAATCATGGTTTAGCCTGCATAGACTATGATCTACCTTGTGGTGGTTCATGTGGATCTTGAAGCCAATACTGAGTGTCATCAATACCATATGCTATTCCATGTCGAGTGAATTTAAGCAAACGGTATGAAGGCATGCAATCTAGTATTGCCCACTGGATAAACTGGTTCATTCGTGCTATTGATACTGGATCGGCTAAATCTTTTTTTCCACCTTTCCATCGTCTTAAAAACTCGACAATAACTGGCTTTGCGTCCATTATTGTGAATAATTCAGAAAAAGCAGATGTGCTGGTGGCGCCCATCATAGATTCCAATGAACTGGGCTTGTCATGCTGGGTCCGAGTCGTCAAGCATGGATCAAGATCATTTAAATTATCTGTATTCTGGGTTTTTGATGAGATCCAATTACCAAACAACTCTTTTAATCCCATGGTAATATTTTGCTGTCGAGGAGATACCGTAATAAAAAGAAAATCCAATACTGATAGCCAATCCATATCAAAATTTTGGAAATCTGGACAATCAGAGGAAAAGTCTTGATTTTCAAAAATCATTATAGCTGTGTTATCTTTTGATTGAGTTCCTTTATGGGCCAAATAAATTAAAGTCAGCCATTGGCTTCCAGACGATCTCCAAAAGTTTGAAAGACCGAGACGACCTTTCACGAGATGGGACGGAAAATGCACTTTTGAAATGGCCGACTCGTTGCAAATCAAAGATGATTGTAAATTGAATACACTATTTTTTTCAGTATTATGTTTGGTTGGAGATAGTAGTGCAGGTATGGATTCTTTTTTTAAAATAGAATCCGCAACAGATGGTGTAGCATTATTGCATTCATCACTTGGTTGCTGCTTAAGATAATCTGCCAAGCTTTTAAAAGGTAAGAATGTGGCTAAAGTATTTTTGTTAGACTTTGCGATATTTATAGGATTACAAGTCGAATGCATGTGTTGATGCAGTTGGTTGATGGGGTTTTGTAAGGATGGGTTAGAGCATTGGTTATGGAAAGAGTCTTTATAGTGAGGATGCAAATACAGTTGATTAAATAGCAAAAGTAGAAATGGAATTGCAGGAACAGGAGTGGACAAAAGAATGGATACTGGGTTCAAGTCTGGTCCAACCTTTGGTATGGGTGTGCATTGAGGTGTGGAATCCTGTATAATGGCAGGTAAAGTCGCGACGCGTGAAATAGCAGTCAAACCATCTAAAGCTGCAGATTCACTCATAGCATCTGACTGGCGCAAAATGAGTGCAAACGTTTCAAAATAAACAAGTGTTTGTATAAAAGTAAGACCTAGATGCCTTTGTCCAATATTCGTCCATATGTCAAAGGATAACTGGTTCGAATGGTACTTTGAAAATGAGCTGCGTGATGTTGGTTCTGAAAGTTTAAAAATATCAACTGCTACTTGGCATAAAGCTGAGTAATTAAATGCCGAGTTCAATGGATAAGGAACAAGCGCAGAGTCAAATAAAAAGTTTCGTAGATATAGTGCCATTTATAACAAAAGATTATGTATACTGCAGTATAAGGTTTCGGCTTGAATAGTGATTTGATGAAACTAGGACAAATGCAAGCACGTACTGAATGCTTTTATAAATTGTTAAACTTGAGATCTACATGGCACAATATTTTAAAACCTGCTGCTATTTTTTCTATAAAAAGTACAACAGTATGAATTCAAGATGATAATAGTATAAGCGACTCGAGCATTTACCGAAAAATTGATGTATAGTTAAAAAATAGATGAGATTGACCGACTAATGCCAGTATTATTTACAATCATATTCACGTAGAATGCAGCATTAATAAGAATAATAAGTAGTCAGTTTCATGACGTGATTGGTTCCAATCTACCGAATATTGTGTCCGAGTCCTTTTCTTGATGGCTGACACGGAAACAACAGTTGTATTTCCGAGATTGTTTACTTGAACTAGAATGCAAGCGTATTTGATATTAAAATAAAACAAAAAAGAGTTTAACATTGTGCTGATTCAAATTAACTTGTAGTAGCAAAACGACGAATTTAACGATTGTTGAATCCAAAGCAATCACTGCAAGATAAAACAAGTATTTTACGTGAATGCGACTTGGTTTCAGTTCGCAAACCTCGACATTGGATCATCTCGGCCATCATTTGATATAGATTGCCGACCAATATCACTAGTGCTTATATTTGTTTATAGTTTTCAACTCCATGTCTGACCCACTGCCCCTGCGTATTGTATCGCCAGTGCAAGCTCTACAGTCCAAACCAACCTACAATGCAAATGCAAATGCAGCACTGGCTGCACCTGCCATGACGATATCTACTGCTGCAAGTAGCAGTGTTAATGTGCCTTCAAAAAGTATCAATTCTCCTGTCACTACTGATGAGGGCAGTCATTCACTTCCTAATAAAGATAGCAAAACCCTCCCATCAAGAGCCTTTTCAACCACTACGCTTAATCAAATATTCAACCAGATTCGTCCACATCAATTTACATCATCCTGCATGGTTGATTCCGAAATCCAAAAGCTAATTACGCTGCTCCTGCGAGATTATGTAGCATCTTGGTTTTCAATTATTTCAGACAATGATGAGTTTATTACCGAGCTTATTCGCACCATTTCCCATGTTATTCGAGAATGTGAGCGACGACTCAATCGGGTCGATTTTGTTGCGCTCGCCTGTCGAGACTTGCCAGAGATTCTACAACGTCATATCAGCGACTATAGATTGTGCTGTGAAAAAATGGGCACATCTTATGCAGGGGGCCGATCTTTGGAAGAGCTTTTTCATGGCTGTCAACCTCATATTGCTTTGAATGATACTGCTTCCGAGTCCGAGTATTTACGGGGTGTAGCCGAGATTTTGCTAGATACATTACTCCCAGAAACAGAGCATCGAAGTGAAAGCGTTAGGTATCTTTTGCGCGAGATATTGACCAACAATGTGCTTGCAATGCTTCTCAATATCCTCTCAGAACCCGACTATCTTAATTTATTGTTTTTAAATGTAAGACTGATCTAGCTTATGGTAATGACTTGGATGGAATATGTAAACTAGCTCGAGTTTAACCATTTTATGGCTGGATACATGTGATATTTAGCTTTTTGAAACAGACAATCTTGAAGAATCTCCAACCAGCGACAATCTACATTACTCGGCTAATTCTCCAAAGATAAATATAGAATCTCCTACTAAAAGTAGTATGTTCAATGATCTCTATGGCACTGGTCTAACCTCTGATGAGACGGATATTGGATTAGCATGTGGATCAGATGCTGAAAATGAAGGTGCAGCCAATTCCATTTTGTTTCAAGTTCAGGCGCCAAACAACCTGTTTGTAAAACGGAGAAAAGCACGTCAGCAAAATCCACCGCATGAAACAAAGAATTCATTTGTCAAGTTCACCATGGGTGGATTAGAAAAAATGACTAGCAGCATCGACAAGTTTAAAAATCTTGTAACTGCTCGTGATCAAGATATGGAAACTGGAGCGGATCGACAGTCGACTCGCTACGGAAAACAATCAGATCGCAGAATACAGAAAAAAAAGCTAAAGGCGTCGGAAACGGATCGCGAGTTTGAAGGATATGCAACCTCGTCTAACTCTGCAGCTATTGCGTTTGGAAAAGATTCTAACAGTACCAATCTATCTAAATCATCAATGAAATTGCAAAACGATGGAAGCAGCAGTAGCAAATTAAATTCTGACTTGCTTACTCCACAGTATGACGGTAGGAGATTATCAGATGGCGTTTCGCTTGGTCACTACGAAAGCGGTGCCAGTGACAGTGATACTATCCCACCTTTACTTCAAAAAAGTCAGCAGAATCGCTTACAAAACAAGGGATTGATACAAAAACAATATCAAGAACCTATGCTTACTTGTGTCGAACAGTCCGAACAAGATCAGCAATTGCAACCAAGAGGCGATTATAAATCATACTATACATCAACAAACGGCGTTTCGTTAGCACAGATAAATACCGATCCAACTAGGATAGAAGATAAACTTGTAAAGGATGAAGGAGTATGGACTAAATTGTATGCACAATTACAAGACGTTTGGAAGTATGGTTGTGCGCTATACCACGAAACACGATTTGGACCGTGGCATCTTGGTCCGATTGATACTACAAAATATGATCGTCAGTATCTCGAAGAGCCCATAATGGATTTGCTTAACGAGGCGTTTCAAATTCAAACCCATCAACGATGGGTTTTTACGCAAATAATGTTTTTTGCCAAACCAATTTTACACTCAGTGGCCGCACCTTTGGTTAATAGGTATGTATTTTTATCTGACCAATATCTGCTGATACTCGACTATTTCATTAAAATTTGACATTATGTCTAGTTTTTATAATGTATATTGAGTTTATACTGATGATTTTCCGTGCTACGTTTTATAAACCACTTGTTATAGGTTGATTATGAAGGGAATCTATTTTTTGATATGCGAAGAACAAATCACGTTTTATTTGCTGCTGCTTCGTACAGCATTTTGGCCAGACAACATTCCTGCTCCTAGTACATATAGTGTTCGTAGCGAACGAGAAAAGAATGAATCAAAACAGGAACTTGAAGCTCGTCTGATAGCCATGATATCACGTAAGCATAACCATGAAACCACACTTGTACTAGTTGTTTAAAGCTTGCTGACATACTAATCTAATGTGTGGTTTTTAATGTGTAGCTCTTTGTGCACCACTTCTTGGTCAGCAACTTGCAGAAGACAAAACACGATTCCTTTTCAATGTCTTTCAAAACAAGACGATCAATAAGCATTTGATTTTTGTGGTTGTGGATTTATTTTTAGCACATTTTGCTCCCGAGTATGCAGAAACTCGAGTTACAAATGACTAGATGTTTAGTTGATACTGGTCTTTTGGTGAAAGATGGAACTTATTTTTATGAAATAAACAGCACTGCTCAATGAGTCTGATCTGAAAACATGAATAAATGGATATTAGTGTGGCAAGACTTTAAAACAATGCATTGCAGAGATGGTCAGTTTTGAATAAATTTGCGGTATTGGGAAAGCTGTACATTGTACAATTATCGGATTCATCCATTGAAATTTAGATGTTGAATTTGAGTGGTCATTGCAGGCTCGTCTTATATCCTAAAATATCTCGTACATTCGCGCTCTCCAACGAACCAGTGATTGCACATTTCAGAAACGCAACTGTTTCATGCCAGCTACCAAGAGATCAGTAAACTTTGTCATAAAATTCAAGACACAATGCTGTCCAGCAATTGACGCCAATCATCCAAACTGTTTATTATGTATTTTATCATCCTTGTTGGTTTTTCATTTTACGTGAATACGACAGCAGATTGCTAGCAGAAGATCAGCTACCATGGAGTCTCTATTGACTGGAAACCCATATTTCTCAGCAGGGTAAGACACTTGAAAGTATGTCGACTGAATGATGGATGTGGTATTTCTTTGCACAATCAACACATTGATGTTTATTGGTATTATAGATTTGGTTTAATTGGCATCACTGCAGGTCTGGCAATTCTTAGAAAAGGAGCAGTTCATGGAGTTACAATGGCACGCCGCAAGCTACTTGTTTCACTAGAGATTCCAAGTAAAGACCATAGCTATTCATGGTTTCTTCAGTGGATGACAGCCAACAATGCTCGAAATCTAGCTGCATCTACTGGACAGTTGGCTAGAGGACCTGGTGGACTAATGCGACGGATTCTTCAAGCTCGGCCACATCAGTTGGCTATTCAAACTACCTTTACTCGACATGAGAATGGTAGTTCATCTACTGAATTTCTGATGGTTCCTGGTAGAGGAAAACATTTTTTTGAATACAAAGGGGCTTGGTTCCAGGTAAACGAAGATTCAAGATTCAGTTTACGAATCAATTCTAGATTCATCTGTATTGACAGCTTGCCTATTCTTGTAATGCAAATTGCATTAGGTTGAGCGACAGCGGGAACAGTCAACTATTGATCTGACAACAGGCTCACCATGCGAGATTGTCACTGTTACCACACTCAGTCGAGATCGTGCACTATTATCCCAGATTCTCGAGGAAGCCAAAGAAGTCGCGCTAGCAAGCGATGTAGGAAAAACTGTCATTTACACTTCGTTTGGACCAGAATGGAGAAAGTTTGGTAATCCTCGTCGTCGACGGCCACTTGATACCGTTGTGCTGGATCAAGATACCTCCAGCATCATCTACAATGACATCAAGGCGTTTCTTGCTGGTGGATCATGGTACCACACACACGGTGTACCTTATAGACGAGGATATCTACTATACGGACCACCAGGGAGTGGAAAGACTAGTTACATTCAGTCTCTTGCAGGAGAACTCGGCTACAACATTTGCATTTTAAATCTAGGAGAAATGGGCATGACTGATGATCGGCTTGCACATCTTTTAAACAATATTCCTGCTCGAAGTATTATCTTGCTCGAAGATGTAGACGCAGCCTTTCCAAGTCGCACTGCGGTATCCAACGATCCCAACACAACCCATGTACAAACCAACTCTACTCGGTCTATGCTGACATTCAGTGGCTTGTTGAATGCATTAGATGGTGTTGCTGCAGCTGAGGAGCGTATTATTTTTATGACTACCAATCACATGGATCGGCTAGATAATGCTCTTGTTCGACCTGGTCGTGTCGATGTTCGGGCGTATATCGGAAATGCTACAGAACTCCAGGCACGGGCCATGTTTTTACGATTTTATGATGGACAAGTAGACCTAGCAGATCAATTCACCAAAGTGTTGGTGGAGCGTGGGGCTATTGGGAATATTAGTCCTGCACAGTTGCAAGGACATTTTGTAATACATCGAAAAAGTGCTCAACGTGCTCTAGATCGAATCGATATGCTCTTGGATAATTCCTCACAATAAATGCATTACTACTTGAATTTTGTTTATTTGGACCAAGTCGTATTCACACAAAACACTAAACTTGGTAGTGTCTTGATATGAAATAGGTGTGGTTGATATGCTTTGAAGCATACTAAAAGAAACCATTGCTACACAGATTATTAGTGGAAAAAGTATGCTTTTTATCAGAAATATTACAACATTAGAATTCAAACCAGGCCGAGTCAATCATGAGCAAGTTAGATGCCAATGTAAAGAGAATTGAGTATTGAAACAATAAGCAGATCTTGTTATTAAAGAATGGTACTACCAGTCTGCATTCCCGACTCCCGTGTTGCAGCCTCTAAAGACCACGATGTTCATATCTAAAAGCAACGTTAATTTATTTACAGTTTGACTAGGTTTACCTACAATTTGCTATTTCAAAATTCAATATTCACTCCATCTACAATGGCATTTTGGGATACTGCAATACATGGTCGAATACATCGATACAGCACCATTATACAACTGGCCCGCATAATAATTGAAAAACTCAACAGGGCCAAATCCCTTGAAAACATGGCAATCCAAACGTCTTGTTTCCCACCCATGATTGTATAGTATGGGTTGATTCCAAATGGATTTTCATTGAATCCCATTACCATGGCAAGAGGCTGCAACCAAATCTGGATTGAATCATGGAGTTTCTTGGTTGGGGTGGGTATGGTTGGTAAAAGCAGTCGAGATGTGTACTTGTTTTTCCGGACTTCCAAGTCAGCATTGACAATGCGGAGTATCATGTGCTGAATTTCATAAGGAATTGCTTTAGACGATTCGATGGTATCATATGGTGTGGTGTTGACAGGTGTGTATCGTATTTGAGTCAATGCTCGTACAACTTCCATACGATATGGCAGATGTGCTCGTGTAAAGATCCAATCAATCAATTCGTACTGACATTGCAGAATGTTGGTAAAGTATGCTGGTGGGTTTTGTGCAATGTCTAGGCCCGGATAGATCAAAACCTGTATATTGCTGATAATGACATAGAGTGGCCATAGCATCCATCCAATTGTGAATGACATCAAGAGGATTCCTGGTAAACTGGCCTGTGTTGCGCATTCACATGTTGCAGGATTGGAATATTCGCATTGACCCATTTGGATGTTTTGCCAGCTGATGAGAAGAGCAATGATTCCTGAGAGCAAAGCAAGGTGGATTGTGCCAATGCATATTCCAATGCATACAGTGAGTTTTTTAGAAGATAGAATGTCAAGAAGTATGCTTTTTGCATGATAAGATGCTTTACTTGCGATTCGACACAGGGATTCATATAGCATTTGAATATAGATGTTTGTAGACGATACAAGGCCCTTGTAATTAGATTTGCGTTAGCAGTGCAAGAATAAACAAGCTTTACTAACCAATGGTGTCGTGTTACTAAAATTCACGAGGTTTGATTCACATTCTATTGTCCATTCCAATGAATAGAAACACTCAAAGGGTCGATCAAATATCTGCATACCCCAAATACATGCAATACTAAGTCCTAGATATGGTGAAGCAGATATATTTTCAAATCTATCAAGTGGTTTTGACAAACTTGACAGGTCTCTCGCCAACACCACCATGACAGTCAAACACAATTCCACACACAATGTTCGAAAGTGCTTCAGTCTCTTGAGGAGTTTCTGCCTCAGAATAAACACGAACAATGTCCTCTGTACCACTGGGACGAACAAAACAGCGACCTTTCGAAAAATTCTTTGTATGTTCATTGATCTTGGCCTGAAGACCTTTGGGCGAAGCAAGCTCCGTGTCTGCATTGATGGGAACAAAAAGAGTGCGATCCAAGACCTATAGTTCAGTTAAAAATAGTAGTGTCTAAGTGATGGATACTTTGAAAATCATCTTGGACAATTTAAACCTATAGAATAGCGTAGCTCTCACCTTGACCTTCTCTTGCTTGCTAGGCAAATCAGTGTACGCCTTGTCCCAAGATTCAAACGACTGTTGGAGATTTAAAAGAATAGCCTCTACCATCAGCATGTCAGAAAGTGCATCCCCAACAGTTTGGTTGATAAGATCAGCAAATGTACGCAGCATCCCAAGGGCTTTGATCTCTGCATCAGATTTACTGAAAATAAAACATCAATTTCAAATTCCAGATTCTTTATGCAAATAAAAGTATAAAAATGGAAACAGGATAGCCTACCCAGCAGTGACTTCAAAAGCCTGAATAGCTTTTTTACTGAACAAGACAGTGCCATGACCGTTGGCTTCAAAGTAGACGCCTACATCAAAATGCTCAGCTTCGTGATGAAGATGCTTGACACCTGTTGGAGTAAACACCACTGGAACTTTCTGTATTCCAAACCATTACAAACACCTGCATTAAAAATCATATTGCTAATTTACAAAACACATTTGTGGAAGGACATACTAAAGTATCTTTGACGTATCGAGTGGAGCTGCCATTTGCATATGCAGTCTGCACCAAACCAACTTTGAGATCAGAGCCATCAATATGTTTGGCATTCGCAGTGCGGATCAAAGCCATGATATATCCAGCAGCAAGAGTGGCAATTTTATCACCATCAAGAAGCTTAAATGTGCCATCTACAGGACCTACTGGTTAGCATGATACAACACGAACATGAATAATTACCCATAACTTACCACTGTTACAATAATAAAACACAATACGATCAGCATCACCATCATACGAGCACCATCGTTGTCCTGGAATCATCTCAAGACCTTCTGATGCCTTTTGATTCAACTTGACAAAGTCTGCACCACACTATACCCAAGAATTCCAGTCATGAGTATATTGATAGTGAACAAAACTTTAAAACAATTACATGGCAATTAAAACATAAAACTGTACCTTGAAATTAAGCTTTTCGCTGCTAGCCGTGTCGGCATTGACAATGTCTACATTCAAATGATGGGATCCAAGAACAGCCATAAACTCACGCAGGGCATGTGCACCAATACCATTGGCAGCATCCACATGAAGTGTTGGTAGTGGTGTAAAACCATTCTATTGTTATAAGTGGACAATCAACATGGAGACACACCATCAGCAATCGACCATACCCATGCAGTATTTTCTTGGATTGATCTGCATATCCAGAGCAATATATACTTACAGCAAGGTTCTTGAAAGCAACAGCAAGCTTTTGATAGTAACCCTTGGTAGTAGGTTCGCCATAGGCGTCAGTAGTTCCTGCAGTATTCAGACAGCGAGTGACATAATGAAGCTGTGGAGTCGTCATGAGCCCAAAATCAGTGAATTTGGTGCCCATAGCCAAGACTCCTTCCTGCAGAGAAGCAACAAGAGCAGTCCCGCTTGGTCTAAGATACACAACTAAAGGTTTAAGATCTGCACATTCATGCTGACTGTCCAGCACAGAATAGTTTGATCTTACTGACCTGGTATCACGAGCCACAACCACAGCAGCAGGCTGAGCAAGATCGATATGCTGAGAGGCGACAATAGCCTTGATGGCATTCACCAATTCCTCGTCTGACGCAGCATTTGCCAGATCCATCGCATAAACCTCCCAAGACTGGTCGAGCATCTCGCCAAGAGGCTCAACAAGCTTTACTCCGTTGTCCTATAAATTGAATGAGTTGGTCATCATGGTTGCTTATATGAACTAGTAGGGAGTTGAACCACTAATACGGATCTGGTCAATACCTGAGCAGGATTGTGAGAGGCAGTCACCATGACACCAATAGTCTTTCCCTTGAGGCACTTGGACCGCAGGGATGCAAGAACTCCCACTCGATACATGACCGAGTCCAACAAACTGGCACTATAGATCGTTATCAACAAGTCGATGTTCAAGAATGCAGTTAGAAGAGTTGCACACTCGCATAATAGTAGTTGTCTATCTCACTTCATACGGAAACCAGCAGTTCCATAAGAGTATTTATGATCTGGACGAGGGTGTTTGGCAGAGCCATGAACAACAGCAGTGAGCATGGTGGCAGTCATTTTTTAGTAGATTCAAGAGAATGCAATATTGATGGACGCGATTACAAGAACAGAAATGGGACAAGTATTTATTCCAATTCAATTTGATTGTCGAGTTGGAATACATAGCAGGATACTGTTGTAGCATTTTGGACACAAGAATTCCAAAACAAGACGAGTTTAGGTTAATGTGTAGACTAAAACCAAAGATCGTGTCAGATTAAAACCAAATGGCATTGAATCAAGAGGATTCGCAAACTGGTCGTGTCGGATTGTTATCGTAATACACAAAAGTATAGTAAAGTGAGTTGTGTGCAAGTATCTTTGTAAATACATGATATACTGATGGTTATCGACAATCTCTCCATTTTCATCATTATTGCTAGACGTGAAACTACATCAGATTGAGTTTTCATCACAAAAACTTGAATGAATTCCTACTACGCACAAGAGAATGTATTGTTTACTGGCACTCCCATGGAAGAGTATTTATTGGGTAATGATAGTCTTGTGTTGATTTACTGCCAACTGCATACTAAATACTATTTGGAAATCAGAATTCAATATAGATGAAGCCCATGAAGCCATCGATCCCATACTAGCCAACCACGATAGTGTAGCATTGAACCATCATTCCAAACTGCTTTCATTACCATCATGGCCTAGGATATTATGGAATGGGTTTAATGGACTATACTTTGTTGCACTTCATTCCTGGCGTACAATATCAAACTCTTTTGGATTTAATTATCCTACTGTTTTGACAAGTGATCACATTGCATTCCGCTCATATTATGAAAGTATCCTTAAAAGGCTGATCGTCAGTCAAATATATCTGGTGCATGGACAGTATTCAGAACTGGAATATACCACTGATTCTAAACCCATACACCTCTATGGCTCTAGTCTCTGGCTTGGTCATCTCGCTGCTGGAATCACTACTCTTTCATTGGGGTTGTTTACTGGTGCAAGATATACCAGTCTTTCCAAAACGGCTATACATAGCATCATGTCTATAGGAGTAGCATATCTGTGTTTGAAATCATCTTTTGTGAGTTATTTTTCAGAATGCAGTAGATCGTTCCAATCCAACTGGTGTATATTGACTTGCAAAGATTTGGTACATCTAGAATGTAAAGTACATGGACATACTGCGAAAAACCATTCATAGGCAGTTATTAGACATCACAGACAATGTAAAGTTGTATACACGATCCATGCAGAATGCATTTCGGTACATTCAGGATATCGAGACAATGGCACGAGGATATCGACTGTAAGTCACTTTTAGTATACTGCTCAGACAACCCTTCAAACTGGTCGAGTCTATTTTAAAACTTGTTTAATACAATATACAGTGGTGCTATTCACGGCTCTACTATTTGTCGAGTTGAGCGTTCATCCAACATCAGACACTGTCTCAAACTAAGAAGATCTATATTCGACATTGTTCAATACGAATATCAAGCCATATACAATATAATATCTCCAGAAATTTGTTTAGAATTTGATCAAGATTTGCAGAAAAGTATTTGTATTGAAGAGAGATTCTCACTGGTTTCACTCAAGCAATATTTAGCTGGGCTTTACGAATTACGGATCAAGTTGCTTGATGTATGGTTAACTAGCGGTCTATCTGCATTGAACAAGGATAGCTACGAGATATACATTAAAGAAATGTTGGAACTTTCACAATCTATGAACCATTATCTTTGTTTGATCCAAAAAGCCATTGGCGACCTATCATCTGCTGAGCAAACACGGATAGGTGAGTAAATTTGCTATTCTACTGTATGAATGCAAAAGCCAAACTTTGAAATATCAAATCTAATCATCAAGTCAATCACAGGTTCTTCGTTGTTTCTGAACGGATCTACTATCAATCATAAACCTCAAAACAGCGCGTCTACTTTGCAAACCAAGGTTAAATTGGCAGTTCGCGAGCTATCAGCCAAGTTATTTTACTTGAATGAAAGACTAAACATAGGCACGTAGTTTTGTTTGTTGTGTAGTTGAACAGCAATATGTACTGATGTTTAGCGGGTTTGTTATGTATCTAGATACTGAAGACATGGTTGATGACTGGAGTGATGCTATATCTACGTTAGATTTGCTGAGCAAAGAACTGAATCAACTGTCGCATGAATGTGCAGCGACTGCACAAGAAATCACTGGTTCCAATATAGATCATTTAAATAGCAATACAGCCCAATGCATGCATGACGAAAATTTGAATGATGTTACAAAGCAAGATATCAGTCAAGATGAACACGAGGATGTCATTCAGTTAAATGACACTTTTGACTCTTTATCTACCCAAATGGTTGCCATTGGGGAAATGTTTGATTCGGAGACATTGATGGAATCAAAAGCAGATGAAATGGATATCAAACCAATCATGTCAAGAGAGGAGCGAATTGTGCACCGAAAGCAGCAATTAGCAATCGAGGTAGTACTTTGTGAATCTTTTGTTGAATTGTTTTATATTTATTATGCATCTACATTAAAAGGCACGTCAGTTAATGTTTTTTATTGATTGGGGTGTGGCAGGCAAAACAAAGGGCAAAGGCAGTTTCACAATTTGAAGTGATGGCAGAGCTCACCAATGTACTAGCTGTTAGAAAAGAAGCCAAAGCAGTGCATCCTCAATAGAAATTTTAAATGCGGATCAAATCCAAGACATTTCTACCATAGTGACCACCTGAAAATTAAGTCCATTATCAATTTTATTTGATGCAGTTGTTTATTTATGATTTGTTGGTTTAATCGGTAAAAACTTCCTCATCATACTCTAACCAGTCATGATCGTATTCCAAATCATCATCCAGCCATTCCGTTTCTCCAGGATCAATACTATCGATCACTACCTCTATCCTTTCTGGAGCAGTATCCACGAATAGCTGTGGGTTGTGAATATTAAAGCACGACGATACATCCAGATACGATAGTTTGACGAGTTTTTTCAATGCCACTGTAACAGATTTGTCGGTGATTCTTGTTGCAGCTATGTTCAAAAATTCTAGATTTAATAGTAGGGTGCATATATGCACTATGGATAGATCTGATACTCGGGGAAGACAACTTGCATCTAGAGATATGAGGTGAATACACTTGGCGATTGCTGCAATGCCCTCGTCAGTGATTTTTGTACATTTGGATAAAGATAGTGTTTGAAGTTTTGGACATGAGTTTGATATTGCAATAGCTACGGTATTTCCAATGCGTGCGCAGAACTCCAGATCCAAGTGGATACTAATGCATGATAATGATGATAATAGACGGGTAAGTTCTAATTATATGAGCATGTTCAAGCCTTAATTGTAGATGTTAGATCATCCCAAGATTTGGATATAGTATTGGCTTGGAGTGCGACGGGGCATAAAACGTTACATGTTAGTCCATTGCTGTACTAATGACTCTGCCCTGGCAACCATCAGCCTTTCCCAGCGATGTGGAACATTGACCAGGTCAATCTCTTGAACCAGCAGACCCAGTCTAGGCAATATCCTACTTGAATGAGCAGTCACTGTCCTGTTGGATAGAACTGCTCGAGCAAACAAGTCAAACTGGTCCCACACTTCAAACAGGGGTTGTTTGTATAGGATTGGAACAGAGAGAGCATTCCATTGTCTGGATGCTATGGATATCCTTCCAAGAGATTGCTGATCCGTAAATGACAAGACCAGTTGCAAGAGTTCCTTTGGAAGACTACTCAGCAGAACCATTGCAGCTGTGACAGGGAAAGGAGCTTGTTAGGATTTGAATCCAAATGAACAATGTTGGCAGTGAATTTAGCCTCGATTACCAAACGCTTTGTCGGCCGGCATAGATGACAAGCCTTGTGGGCTGGCTACACTCGTCTACGTTCGTGGCATTTGTAAAATGAACCATTCTACCAATCTTGTGATCCGATCGGATTCATGTCTTTCAAGCAGATTGGCTTCTGATTGTCATGGCCAAGACTTGATAGATTAGCAAGTTTCCTTTGCTGGATCGTCTTGCTTTGTCACGTGTAAAACCATGTAAAATATTTTTATTGCGACAGATTGAGTTGGCATCAAAATATTCAAATCATGAGTATTTCTGACAAAGAAACTGCTCGTCATCCGATTCTACCAGAAACAGTAGCTACAAAAACTCCTAAAATTGAACTTACAAAGGAGCAGCTTTTTCAATTGCAATTGCAGCAGAAACAAGCCGCTTTAAAAGAAAATGGAAAAGTGATCAGTAAGCGTTTGTTCATTGGTGGTCTCCCTCTGGATGTGTCCTCGGAAGATTTGACTGCCCGATTCTCTTCGTTTGGTACAGTCTCTCAGGTGGATATAAGATCAAAACCTGATCAACATCAATCTTATTTCGCATTCTTGTCGCTACGAACTACAGTGGGGTCGCTAAAGAAATGTAAAGTTTGATTCAACTGGTCGTATTCACGTAAAATGTAACACTATCTTGCAGTGATGGCTTCGGAATAGACAATGGTTGAAGATTCGTTGCACTCGAGCATTCTTATCGAGTGTTTTATTTGACGTGAATACGGCTGTAAATATCATGACTTGTTTTTCAACTTGGTAACCTTTTATTTTACAATAGGCATTTCAATCTATCATGGTACAAAATGGAAGGGTCATGCGCTTCGAATTGAAGAGTCCAAGCAAGATTACTTGTCTCGGTAATTATTTGCTCAAGCCGTATTCATGTAAAATGGTGCAGCTTTGTATTTACTTTACATTGCCTCTTTGAAATCATCAATGATGGAGTATTGTTGCACATTCTTGATAGAGATTGACTGCTTTTTTGAAGCACAGCATCAACATATAGTACAATCAAGCTATAGTTTTGAATCTACTTTTTCTGCTCATTTGATATAACCATGCATTGTAGGATCACCAGATCCATCGTAATCCAGTTCAAGTGAACAATTTTTCAGAAATGCAACAATTGTTTTCATGCCAATCTCGCAATGCTTGATTTGGATGAAAGAGGGATTGAAGATTGAGCAAGTGTAGAGTCTACTGAAGCTGTCATGTGAGCATTCATTCAGTTACATAAAAATAGACATGGAGACCAGTAAACCTTGTCAAAGAGTTTATAGAACACAATACTGTGTAGTAAATTGAGCGAAAATTAACGTCAATCATGGCATGATATTGACTCCTTTGTTTAGTGCTCCATTTACATGAATACGGCTATATATTAATGTGCTTGGATTTTGATTGTCAGCACAATTGTAACCATTTCACCTCTTGTAAAAACACCGTTTTATAGATTGCAGCGCGAGCAAGATGAAATTGCAAAAGAAAGCAAAACTGCATTTCGTATCAGCAAGAAAAAGCTTCGTCGACGAGCCAATCAAATTTTAGAAGACATGACCGTTATTACCGACAATACTGCTCCTCCAGAATGGGCAAAAGTTCGATACAATCGTCGTATACCAGCCATGAAAATCCGCCATCCAATCAGTCGCCGTATTGTCACTGTAGATCCCGTTAAATATAAAACCAATTTCCGTCGATTTGAAATGGATGCATTTGAACGACCTATTTCGTCATTAAAATTATCCCCCCTATCAACACCTGAACAGGACGAAACATTACGTAAGCGGTGTGGCATATGGACATCGGATGAATTAGCATTTGTTGCACCCAAAATTGACGAAAAAATGGCACTTTCTACACTACGATTCGATAAAAAGCCACGCAAAAGATATCATGCAACTACCGGTGAAGAGCTTCCAGGTGATGATCGTGCTCTTCGATACGAAAGAAAGGCATTGCTGAATATTGCTGGAAGGGTGCTAAATGAAGATGAAGATGCCGTTTCTGCTATTCATCATCGCAAATCGCTCATGCCCGCACCCCAGCTTGATTCTACTGATGCAGTTGCTGGTGTAGTATCATTTACTGACGATGAGGATCATTATTCTTCATATATGCCATTGTATGGAATGGATGATGATGACGATGACGATGAGGATGATTATCTTGGAATTAAGCTTGCACCTGGTAAACAAATTGTCAAGACTGCACTCAAAACTACTGCACCAACCCCTCTTGCCGGTTTGTTTGATGACGACTCATTTGAAGTTACGCCTGCTAGTTTTGGAGCAAATCCACTCAAACGACCTGCTAGTCCAGGCTTGTTTGATGATGATGATGAGCCAAGAGATCAAGAACAAATCAAGCGCCAGTCAGCTCTTGATCTATTTAGTGATGATGACAGCAGCGATAACGATCAGAGTAAAAGGGAAAGTGTTGATCTTATGCACTTGAAAAACCAGCTTGCTGGAGTCGGCACCGGACAGTCTCAAGAGGTGGAACAAATGAACTTTTCACAGATGTTGGACAAAACCTCTACAACGGCAAATCATTTGGAACCATTTACCATCGTGACAACAATGATGGCTAAAGACAGCTCCTCTTCCTCTTCCTCATCTTCATCCTCATCTTCTTCCACGGCATCATCGGATTCGAGTTCCAAAAATGGATCAGACAATGATGAGACTGGTACATCAGATACCAACATGGATGGATCATCTGATGAATCTTCCAATAGCAGCAGTTCTTCTGATGGAGATAAAGATGGCTCTGATGATGAACACAATGATAAAAAAAAGACTGTATCTACCAAGAGCGACACGGAAACTTTGGATGATGATACAGATTCAAGTGATTCCGACGATGACGATGACAAAAGTATAGAAGCCAGCAAAAATCTGTCAAGAAAAGGCAATCACAAAGATCCCGTCGTGTCAAATTTGTCATCATCTAATAGCAATGGGGAAAAAACTGAGCTTGGCAATCAGTCAAAGAATACTGAGATGGAAATTGACAAGTTGGAATTAAAGTCGCAGGCTGCTGATGTAGATCAAAAGGGATACAAAGTTTACACGAATATACGGGCATCACTATTTGCATCTCAAGATGGTGAGCAAGCTAATTTTATTTGCTGAATTCATGAATGTCAGAATAATGTTTGACTTGGTTGATGCCAATTGCTATGTTTTTTAACAAATCCATATCTGTTCTTGTATTTGCAATTGTATAGCACCTGGGTCCCTTTTTAATCTAGGAGGTGATGGTCAGGATGACAACAAGATGGACACGGATCAAGTCTACACTTTAGAAAAGCCATTTGATTTGCTTGGTACGCTACAAGGATCATCTGAACATGCTAACCCGGCCACTCAAACCGAGACTAGCGCTCAAAACACCAGAGATATTTTTGGAGAATTCAGTACTTCCAAATTCTTTTTTGCTCATCAGGATAAACCTTGTATGGCATCTCGATCGATTCTTACCACACCTGACGGCGAATCAAACATTTTTCAACGAACCAATACAGTGTATGTATTTCTTGCACTCTTGTGATGGAAGTCAAAATCTATGTATGATTGGTGATTAATACTATTTTATTGTGTACAGGGAGGAAATTGAAAAGAACTGGGAGGATCTGCGAGGCGAGTTGACGGAAGAGTTTAGACAAAAACACAGATCATCTGTAAGGAGTCAAAAAATGCACAAGTCAAAATAATTAAAATAGTTTTGGCAAGTGGAGAATTTAGAGCAATTGATTCAAGATGCTCGAGTTGGTGAATAGCAATTCCAAGTCAGCACCACATGTTCATAAAAATAATCAACAAGATTACAAACAAGAGTCCGAAAAAAGTAGATTCTGCGGTGTGGTGATTATAGTTTGTTTGGTATGCAATCCCTCTACCATATCGTTCTTTTGGGATATGTTTGCTAGATCCAGAATGCCATCCGCTAGGATAGATAAAACTGTTGTTTAAATCAGAATGGCTTGTAAGTATACCCTATGATACTATTCAAAACTCGATGGATCGAGTGGGACATCTAGGCCAACCTACTTTGAGGCTCCACTTGGGACAAGCATGCTCATCGTTCACAAATATCAGCCAAGTGATAAAAACAAAGTTGTTCAAAATGCGGATTGAAAATCACGTGAAATTAGTGTCACGGGACTTGCAGTTGAAACAAACTATTTACAAGAACATGGCTCAACATCTAGTCATAAAAGGTTTAAAGTCAGACACAAAGCATGCATGGCACAAATGTCATAATTTTGTATTGGTATCAAATCTTGAACGAGCAGGTGATTCTCTAGCCTGACTTGAAGACGGACTATTTTGGTTAGATCCAGACCCAGAAGCTGTTTCACCACCAATTAAGTTGTGAGCATCAGATCCAAAGTTTCTGCGATCAGCAACCAAACGCATTAGTTCAGTACTGATAGATTGGCAAGTTGCCTGTGTTTTGATCAACTCTGCTCTTAAATGATGCGTCTCGTTCATAATAGGCGCAATTTGGTTCCCAATGCGTGATGTCATGTCTCCATTGATAGAGTCTAGTTCAATCTTGATACGATGCATGTCAAATCCCATTTCCTCCATCAGTACCCGTAATATTGAGGAATCATCAAGTTGAAGTTGCAGTTGGGGAGGTTGGTCTGAATTCTGGAGAGAAGCTCTTGGCAGAGGTGATTGGATTGTTTCAGCTATATTATTTTGTAATTCAGCTAGTTGTTGAGCAAGTGTGTCTATTTTTAATACAGTTTGAGACATATCTTGTCTGAGTTGCTGATTCGCTTGGATAAGAGTGTTGAATTTGTTTTCTGAAAATACAAGATAACCCTCAATGGCAACGTATGGACATATTGAAAGATGTAAAGTTTCTAGATCAATACGTGGTCCTTGCCATGGACATCCAAACTTTTTTAGTCGACAAAACACGGATGCTCTTTCACAGGTCTTGTTGTGTATATCTGAGTTGGAACGAGCATATGTGATACCACAATCTGGACAATCAACCTTTTGCTGGAAAGGACATGTGTGCCTATGACTCTGGTAAAGCATCCAAATGTATAAACGCAGATTAGCAAAGCTTAAACACGTTTGACGATTCGAGATTTACACACCTCTTGGTCACAAAATTGCATTGACTGATTACAAAAAGTACAATTAAACGGTCGATATTCACATTGTGAAATATGAGAGTCCAGTTCCTTTCTAGGTACGTTTGATTGGCATCCATCGAGCAAACAGGGCACGAGAGTAAAAGGACAAGCATTTTCAAGATGTGACAGTAAAGACTGTCGTTCCCCTTTCCAAGAGCAAAGTTTAGATTTGTGGATACAAAATGTTTGCAACTCATTGACCATGTTTGCGACAATCATGCTAGTAGGAAGCATGTCATCCAGACATAATGTACGACGATCTATAGGACAGAAGCTTGTGCGATCGAGAGGAACCGAGTCAGTAGGTGAAACGGGAGCCGACAATACAGCGGTAGAAATACAGTCAAGACAAAAGGTATGATCGCAAAGAGAAGTGACTGAACAAAAAGTCAATATGATGAATAGTTTAAAACACAAATTTAGCAAGAGACAAACCAGGATTGACGAATGGATGACAACAGATTGGACAAGTGAGGTTGATATTAACAGAGTCGACGTATTCATAGTCAGTGCTTGTAAGCAAGGTGATTGGCAGTGGATGATTGGATGAGATGGACATAGAAGGAAGTGAGACAAGTGAGACGAGTGAGACGGGAGAGACTCTGCTTGTCACGACAGTGTCAAACGCATTAGAACGATCCAAGAGAGAATCCAAGCCAGTTGTCGAGTAGTCGCCAGAAGAGTCCATGCAAGAAGAGCAAACTGCAGTCGACTGCAAGTCAAGACTATACACGTGATGGTGCACTAGAGTGGATTTGCCATCAGACTGGCTAGACTCTCTCTTGTCTTGTCTAGGCTTTGATACAACAGGCGATCTTGGCTCTTAGTAAGTCTGATGAATTCATGGTCTGGGATTCTCTCGAGTCTTTCAGTTGCTTTGTTACTTTGCTTGCAACTGTTTCTTGGCCAATCTGGGCTTTCCTGACTGATTCTGGCCTTTCTTTGGATTATAATCTTGCCAGCTGTGAATTCATACTAGCCCATCTCCAAACTCAACTATGGCTACTGTCGACCCTGATAATGGATGGAGGTTCGCTCAATGCTTTGGTGACAAGGGCGAGATAGACGATGTTACTGAAGGTGTGTTACTATCATTCCATGTGCAGGTTAACACCAAATTTCTGGCTGGGATTGTAGTGGTTTAGACAGTATGGACAATGAGTTGTACAGGCCTTGCTTCAAGTGGAAATCCTTCTGCTCTATAACTGCAATCTCTGTTGAGTGGTATCCATGGTCGATACTATACTGACTGGGTGCTGTCGAGATTGGTCTTGTTTCAAGTGTTGGCCATATACGACCTTTTGGTCATGTCTAGTTGGTGCTGTTTTTATCAAGGTCTTGACTCTATCTTGTCGCTGCCTTGGATATCTGCCCCCGGCTATCTTCTGCTGGTGTTCTTCCATCCATATGCCGCGTATTTCGTTGGCACTAGCTCGTCGTTTTTCTTTTTACGTTGGATGGCTTTGAACACCTGTTGGTGGTATCTTGCCAAATGTGTCGTAATAGCGCACTTGCTGTTGGCTCTTGCCTTATTTTCATGTATCTTGTAGATATCAATATGTCATTTGATTATCTGCGTGCTTGTAAAAATGATACCATCTTTAGATTTTGGTCGAGCATACTGTGCCACTAAAAAATATACTATAGCTACAGCGGTCCATCGATGTGTTATGGATAGTCATGTTGACACTATTAACAACAGGCATTTTTTAAGAAATTAGCTTGACAATGATTTGTGTTGATCCACCTGCAGTTTGAGGTGTCACAGGCTGTCGTGCTTTCAAGTGCGCCAGTTAATCTGATTCCTTGCAATGCTTTAATCTATGCCTGTTTGGATGGCTGTATGCTACAATCTTGAAGGACTGATTATAGACTGCATTTCGCCAAAAAATGCAGTCTAGATCTGCAATCATGCGTTTTAATTAGTCCTTGTCTTTTTGCAGTCTTGACCAAAACATATCCATCACTGATCCACTGATTTTAAATATTCATGGTCTTTATCTTGTCTAACTCTGACATTTTTCTAGCTTATTTCGTTGTTTGGTTTACTAACCCAACATCATACTATCCATGCGACTTTGTTTTTTTGTAGCTGATATTATTTCTGCCGTCGAATTCGACGATACTGGCGACTACCTTGCAACTGGAGATCGTGGAGGAAGAGTCGTTCTTTTTGAACGTAACGAAGGCGTAAGTGATTCCAAAGTTTATATTTCAAAAAGTCGGCATCTTTAGTATTGACTAAACTAATATATTGCGTATATTTGCAGAAAAAATCGTGTGAATACAAGTTTTTCACTGAATTCCAGTCTCATGAACCCGAGTTTGACTATCTAAAGTCACTTGAAATTGAGGAGAAAATCAACAAAATCAGATGGTGTAAAAGACAAAATTCAGCTCATTTCCTACTTTCTACCAATGGTAAGCAGTTTATTGTAAATCGGGGTTGTGTCTTTGATTTTGGAGTCGAACATAAGCCATGGACGGCTCCATTTACTCATTTTAATGCGAGAATTTAGACAAGACCATCAAACTCTGGAAGATTTTTGAAAAGTCTATGAAGGTTGTCTCTGAAAACAATGTTGGCGATGGCTCTCAAGGTCCTACTGGAATTACCAAGGATTCACTCAAACTTCCTAAACTGATCCATCATGGTTCAATCACTGCAGCCATTCCTCGTAAAATATACCAGAATGCGCATACCTACCATATCAACTCCATTTCTATCAACTCGGACAACCAAACCTATATTTCAACAGACGACTTGCGTATCAATCTGTGGAACCTAGATATTTCGGATCAAAGTTTCAGTAAGTTTTTCATTCTAATTTCAACTGACTGGCCTGAGATATTGGATTCGCTTTCAAACTTGCTCCGCTACAAATGACTAAACCACTATTCTGCATCAATCTTGTATTTAATTAGATATCGTTGATCTTAAACCCGTAAATATGGAGGAGCTTGCAGAAGTGATCACAATGGCTGAATTTCATCCAAGTCAATGCAACACTTTTGCTTATAGTAGTAGCAAAGGTGCCATTAGATTGAGCGATATGAGAGCTGCAGCCTTGTGCGACAAGCACGCCAAGGGTACTTTAAATTGCATGATTTTGCTATTTTACTTTCATTATCGACATTGTCAAATAACACTACTGTTGTCAATTCTTGACTACTCTGCATTCTAATATCTTGAACTTGTCAGTTTTTGAAATTGAAGAGGATCAATATAACAAATCGTTTTTTTCGGAAATCATTTCGTCCATTACGGATCTCAAGTTTTCTCGTGATGGGCGTTATATCTTGACACGAGACTATCTCACCTTGAAGATTTGGGACATGAATATGGAAAGCAAACCAGTCAAGGTGATCAATGTCCACGATCATATCAAAACCAAGCTGTGTGACTTGTATGAAAACGATTTCATTTTTGACAAGTTTGAATGCACGTTTAGTGGGGATGGCAGGCAAGTATTTTGAACTTGGTTGTTTTGATTTAGGATACTTGGTTTTCTTGGGATCGTATTTTAATATAAACGAAATTATGATGTGAATGTGTAGTCAAGTTCTTACCGGATCATACAGCAACTACTTTCATGTTTATGACTTGAAAAATGACAATGACATTCTGTTGCAAGCAGACAAGAGTGCTTTTAAAGCAAAGCGATCTGTTTCTGCAAAATATAAGCCTGCTGCTGGACGCAAGCTGACTCGCCGCGACGAGTATTTCCATGTTGACAACCTCGACTTTTCCAAGCGAATCTTGCACCCGTCGTGGCATCCTCGCGAAAACACGGTCGCAATTGCTGCCACTAACAATCTGTTTTTGTTCCAGGGATAAGGTACGTGCTTTAGTGTAATTCTAAACTGGCTATATAGTAGCAGCCATAATGCCAAATGCACGATTCCTTTACTAACAGCACAATGCTATTTTATAGTGTGTTTTGGGGATAACTAATTGTTGTCTTGACAAGTCTGCTGAGCGTTTAGAATTTTCTTATTGTGCACTCTTGACACTCTGCCATTTCTATCCAGCACTTTCTTTTTTACCTTTTATCGTTACATGCTCATCTCAACGACTCGCTCATTCAACTGTCCTTTCGCCACGTTTATTTACCCTTTCACGTTAGGCATCCACATCTCTACTACTATGAGAAGTAGATTCTAATTTTTCCGCCTCTTTTACCTGGTCTAGGTGGTCTTTTGGTATTTATCCAGACCAGAATGCCACAATTATGTTGCCTCTAGTCCCTCTATACTCTCTCTAGTACTTTGTCTATCTCCACCTATGCACACCATTCTTTTTATGATGATCAATATCTAGAGTTATTTTTCTATTATCTTTCAAGTTACATTTGGAACTGACTTGGAGAATAAGAATACGATGGTTTTTGGAAGGGTTTTACGTTTATTTAAATCGTTTATAGTCGTGAGATTCAGTAAACTTTGGCTGATATCTGCGCTTCTTAGTGACAGGGACATATGCTTCAATAATGTTGCGTTCCTGTAAACTCTTGAAGCGGTCACGGAAAATGTTGCCTTCAGGCTTGAGTGTACGCAGTGAGCCCGACAGCTCGTCTTTGAGTTGAATCTCGAAAGGTGCAGCTTGGAAACTAAATTTGACAAACAAAAAGTGCAGAGTTGAACTTGGCATAAATATAGTGGTATGCTAGTGACAATAGATAACAATTTAGTACCTGTATTTACCAACTCGAGCTGGTTTAGTTTCCTTGAGTGTTTCTCGGAGTGCTTGGCGTTTCGCTTGGTTCAATTGCATTGCTTCGGCTTGCTTTTCCATTGATTCGTTAATCGCGTCCACACTAATTCGCAAAATCAAACAGGCAATACAATGTTAGAGTTTAGATAGCCTATTGGCAAACATAAAATCAAAATCAAAATAGCCATACCCATTGATCTGTTCGAAAAATTCATTGCGCTCATGTTGCATTTTTAATCGACGCTTATACTCGATATGTCGAGCCCTTCTACTCCGTTGATTCTGCGTCTTACGAGCTGGATTTTTCTTTTTAGCAGCAGCTTCATCTTGCAAAGTTTCCGCCGTTTCACCTTCTGCAGCACTATCCTCCGCTTGACTATCTTCCTCGTCATCCGTATCATCAAAGTAGTCATTATCGTCCTATTCAAAAAAACACCCAATTCAGTCATCTAGTTCAAGTCCAAAAAGCGTTTACAGATGGACGTTTTACCAGCAAATCCAACTCCTTTGGGTATGAAAGCTGTTTTTCCGCCTCTTCTTCTTGTGCGATTTTTTTAAACTCGATATCGGCTGCAATAAGAATAGCTGCTTGATGATCATCACCCTTTGGATTGTATGATGTGCCTGGGTGACTAATGCGCACTGCTGGGATGAGTTTAGGTCTATAATCACTTGTCGTATATTTCTAATTTTCATCATTTAAACAAGAGATGATACAGATTAGCAAGTGAATCCATCAAGCAATAGAGTTTTACAAAATGTAAATCCATCTATTCCATTTACAGCAGACTCACTGCAATATAGGGTGGTAGAGTACGTGCTAAATATTTGTCCTTGACTGCATTGGATTGAACAGCATCTACAAAAGAATTTGTCGAGTCAGATTTAAAAATAGATATCAGTAAGTTTGAAATCTACAACTAGCCAGATTCTTGGATGCAATTGTGAAAATCTCACCGCTTCCCCATAAATCAAAACCGCCTTTTGCACGTTGAACCATATCCTGCTGCTTACGCCTTTCTGCCTCCTTTTTTTCTGCATCGGATCCAATACTCAGACCCAATCCCTTTTTACGTTTAGCAAGAGTTTCAATTTTTTTGGCGGCAGATTTAGACACCACACAAGACTTTGTGGTTAGCTGGCCATCTGGATCAACTACTTTTGTTGTTTTCTTTATAAACCTGCGTGACAATAAACCTGGAATGGCCGAGTCAGATTTAAGCAGCTGGTCCATATAAAGAGGTTTCAGCCTCAATTCCTTGCGAACTAAAAAAATCATTAGCAAATGTGTTGCAAAACATTGTTGTTTAAATTCAAAATTGGGTTTATCTGCATACTATTTTGATCTCCCTTGGTATCGGTGAAAAAAAGAGACTCTGATGGCATTTCTGTAACACGGCCGCTGTATATGGAATCATGATTGAGTGGATGCCATAAAAAAGTAGATTTTGATTTTAAAAACCATTAGTATGTGTATGAGAATCAATAATGCAAACAAGATTTTCAAATAAAAGTGGGTGCGATTCACATCTCCAACCAACTACATAGTCAATCTCTGCGTTGATGCAGTTCAAACTTGCTGAATTGAGTTATTTTTGTTAAAACATACCCAAGACGTTCTTGAGCTCGTATGTCATCCAAATCCTGTTCCATTTCCGAAATATCAACATTCTTGCGCCAAGCCTTGGTGCCCTTTCTTAGAGCCGGCTTTTTTGCTTTTTTTGAACCAATCGATTGAGCATCTTTCTTGTTCGATACAGAGGATTGATGTTTGTCTGTCTGTGACTTTAGTTGTGCCATTGCATAAGCGATTTGCAGAATTGAATTAAAAAAAATTTCGTGTATTTTTTGTATGGAATAAAAATTCAATGGCCAAACCCCAAAATATATGCGGTTTCATCCAACATTTACACTGCTTTGCATTCAGCTGGTCTAAACTTGAAGATACGCTGTATTATCTCGTAGATTGATTCCAAACACAATAGAAAGCCATTCAACTCGTGTATTATTTAAATGAAACTCATACCATCGGTTCAGTTATACAATGGAGTAAATATTCCATGTATTGGATGTAAGACTGGAATGTTGATATCAAGATGCGAACTAGTCTGATGGTATGATTGTTATAAATTCAAAATAGTGGGCACTTTTAAACTCAAAGGAGAAGAAGCGGTTAGTGTTGTTCAAGCAGCAATCAAACTTGGATACTGTCATATTGGTAATGTGAAGACCTGCTCATGATGGTATGGCTGCTTTTGAACACATCGGCTCATCTTAATAATTAATGTATTTAGACTCGGCTGCAAGCTACAACGTAAAAACTACAAGTTTGACCTAATTTGAGAATTCTGTTTAAACATGACGAGTTTATATGGCTTACTTTGAATCTATTACCTTGTCATACAATATATTTTTCAGAACGAGCGAGAAATTGGTCAAGCGATATCTCAAATGATCCAATCTGGGATAGTTTGTCGAAAAAAGTTGTTTATTACGTCCAAAATTGGTCCAAAATCTCAAGGATATGAAAAAGCTTGTGAATCTATCAAGAATTCGCTTGATAGATTTGGTTCAGATGTAGGATATATTGATCTCATGCTTATTCACTGGCCAGGGAGTCAGGGTATGAAACCAGAAGATCCTCAGCATAAAATAAATCGAGCTGGTACGTGGCGAGCAATGGAAGAAGCATACAAGGCTGGATCTATTCGAGCTATTGGTGTAAGCAATTACACTGTCAAGCACATTCAGGAATTCACAACAATGATGCACGAAAACAAATGCACAGATCCAGACGATGTACTGACGATGCCTATGATAAACCAATTTGAACTTCATCCCTTGCTATGGAATGATACCACACAGAAACTGATCGAGACATGCCATAATCTGGACTGTCGTGTTGCGGGATATTCGTGTTTTGGAAGTGGATTATTGATTGATGGATCTGCTATTGGAAACAACGGCTTGACACTTGCCGACTTTTCAACCAAGATCGGTGCTACTGTGTCGCAAGTTTTAATCAAGTGGGCCATCACTCGTGGAGATATTGTAATGCCCAAAGCCAGATCTGAGGCTCACTTGCTCGAAAATCTTAATGCTGCATATTTAGAGCTGAGTGACGAGGATCTGAAATGGATTGACTCTCTGGCACAGATTTCAGGAATCAAAAGATTCTGCTGGGATCCTACAAATGTATGCTGAAATCTGGCATTCACTTTACGATCCCATACTTGTGACAGCTCGACAAAGCGTGAATTTGTCATTGAATGAATCGCATCTTATAGTGTATAGGCTTGAATATGAAATCCACATATTATCAGTCGATATTTAGACAAGATCGCTATGTTGCTAGTACACAACTTGGAAATATATTTTGCTCAAGATCTGCAATCTTCACATTCTTGATCCAACCTTTACTTGGACTGAAATTCAACCTTGGTTGCCGAGGTCAGTGGAAATGTCATCGTTTGTAAAAAAGCAGTTGAAGACTGCTAGAGAAGCTCTGGCTGCAGAAAACTATGAATATGCAGAAACCACTTGTGCCGATATCCTTGAAAACGACTCTACCAACTACAATGCATTGGTTTTTCGTGGTCTTGCATTACTTCAACTTGGTCGAACTGACGAGTCACTGGCTTCGTATAATGCTGCTATTTCTGCTGCTCCTTCTCAGGCACTAGCATATCAAGTAAAGCTGTTTTGTATATTGATACTAGCTGTGCACTGGATGCTTGAGCTTGTTTTAACACTACCGATTTCTTATGTAACCTTTCAACTGCAGGGGCTTGTAAAACTGCAACAGGAAACCAAGGATCAGAATGGAATATTGTCAACTCTTGGCTCGCTGCAGAATATTTACTTGGAATCGTAAGTCGAACTTCAGATTCTCGTCTGTACATAAACCTTCCATTTGTGTCAATTTACAGCCAGTCACGTAAAATGGAACACTTGTATTGCAGTCTCTATTTTGGTTTGGAATAGACAATGCTGGAGTATTTGCTGCGTATTCTTGATAGAAACCGACTACTTGAATCGACATTCTCAATTCTTGCTTCAGATACAACTTCCGTCATATGACGATCAACTATAGTTTTGAACTGGACATGTTCCTTTCTCATTTGGCATAGCCATACAACCAACAAGTTTGAAATCAGACTCATTGAAATCCATATATTGGGTTCAATTGTTGTCAAACTCTTGTATTCGCGTTCTAGTTCATGGAAACAATGGTTTCCATGTCAATCACTCAATGTCTGGTTTGTACAAAAAGAGATTGAACAAGTGTCAAGTATGGGATGCATTGAGCTAGAGATGTCAAGATTCGTTTAATTTTTATACAAAATTGGCACAAAGCCAGTGGATTTTGTCAGGGAGTTCAGAAAACAATATTATTCAGCAAATTCAGTGGAAATCATTTCATAGGATTGATTGCTTATTGTAGATACCCTTATCAGTGTTTCATTTTATGTGGATACGGTTGTAAATGTTGGAAACCAAATCCTGATTTACCTTTCATTGCGTCAAATTGATCATCTACCATAATACAGTAAAGATGCAGCAAAATGTTTGGACTGCATTCAACAACAACTTGATATACATATGGAAAAAAACAATCAGCTCGAGGTAATTTGAATTGATAAAATAGATGTCATTTCTGTTTATAGTAAAATTTGGAAATGTTCATGGCTGTTGACTTTACTTATAATGGTAGGCTATTTGTTGTTTAAAAAGCATGCTTCCCGGATCACCACTTGCAGAACTATCACCTGCTGCTTTGCCGTCAGCAATTGAGATCTGGCAACGCATTTTGGAACTTCAAAACAGCCACGATTCTCAGACAATTGCTCGCGAAGTTGAAGCTCGTCGTATGCGACTTGGTTCAGATCCATTGCCTGTCATAAAAGCTACTGTGGAACGAGAAGTTGTGTTGAGCTCAGAGGTATAATAGCAGTTTGTATTGACAGATGAGTTCAAATGAGGATCTAACTTTTTAATTCAACTTAGATTGATACTATTCTTAAAAGCCTTTTATCAATTGATACTGATTTAAAGAGAATATCCGAGTATAATTGTAAGCTTCTTGGCACTCTCGCAATAAAGCTGGCATATGCGGACCCTAGTGAAAAATCAGAGGTAATACTACTGGCTTTATCATATTTGAATTGACATTGTCTAATCAGTGCTGCATACTTTTTGAACTCGTTAGATTCAAACAGAGATGGACTCTATTGCCAACACGCTTGTGAATGACCAGTGCACTTCCCCGCTGGCATTTGAAACGCTGTTGGAGGCAGAAAATACTAAACTGGGTATCACTATTCCAGGATTTATAACGCCTGTATAACCACTCATTCAATTACTCATTATATGTATTGCTTTGGCATTTTAGATCACCGCAACGAAAAGCTTATTACATTGGCGTCTACTTTGACTGATGATTCTGCAATTTCACTTTCTTGTAAAGCATATCTGCTGAGAAAACACGGGGAAGATTTAGATCTGGCTTTACAGTATTTGATGGTAGTGTATAGTATAGCTAGCATTTGACTGTATTTAGCAATAGACTATTCATTTTGCCTGCTTGAATCTGGTTGATTGCATTAATAGAAAAGTCTCGAGCAAGCTCCAAACAGCGTTTTTACGCATCATTTGCTTATCTACGTATTTCTGGACAAGCGTAATTGGAAACAAGCTATCAGTATTTGTGAGAATTGTGAGATTCTCATATCCAAGTATTTCAAAAGCACTGGAAGAAAACTGGATGGGTGTGTATTATTTGTTATGTGATCAACTGTGCTATGAAATTCAATCTATTCCACAATACTAACATTTTTATTTGTTAGTGTGGAGCTTGATATCAACCTAATGCTGGGAACAGCATATGTGGAACTTGGAAAGCGATCAGCAACGCAGGCTCTTACAGCATTTAGATCCGTTTTGGAAATAGATCACTCCAATTTGGATGCGTTGATTGGACTTGGCGTTACTTTGGCAACCATAGGAAAATATAACGAAGCCATTAGATGTTTTGACAAGGTAATTACAATTGACGCTACTAATCAACGAGCACACATCGAGTCTGGATGGACGCTATTTCTGCAGGGCGAATATCCACGCGCACTTGATCGACTTATTGAAGCTCAGCCTTTTGGAAAATCATATCTTATCAAGTATCGACTTGCAAAAACGTACTGGATGATCGATGGTGAGTTTGATTGTCTATTCACTTGGATTTGAAGTACAATATTTATCGATTTAAAACGAAACTAAATTAACTCGATATGGTTTTCAATACTATGGCATGCTGATGCTCAGATAAATACCGTGCTGATAAAGCATATGTTCACTCTTTATTGATTGAGGCTGCACGGCTAAACCCAGACTATGCCCCAACATTTACGTTGCTTGGAATGTATTACAAGGAAGTAGAATCTGATATCATACGAGCCACAAAGTGTTTTTTGAAAGCAATATCTATTGATAATGAGGAGGATGGCGCTATCAAGGCTCTTGTTTTTTTGTGGCTGGAGAACGACAATGTTCATCAGGCGGTGGCTTTGCTCAAAGAAGCTGCCGTTAATCTTCCACGACTATGCTGGATATGGAAACAGCTTGGAATTATTTCGTTGGTGAGTTGTGTATGATAATTGGACTAGATTCTTTAGCAGGCTAATGTTTAGTATAATTAACATGTCAATTACAGTCACAAGGAAACACCAATGATGCGGTGGGTCAATTCCAGACTGCTTTGCGACTGGATGCAAAGGATCGTGTTTCCTGGATATCACTGGGCGAAGCCTATGCATCTCAGGGTAAATACATGGCTGCTCTCAAAGCCCTCGATCGAGCTCTTGAACTGGAACCACAGGCCCAGTTTCCAAAGTATCTCAAAGCACTTGTTTATCACAAACTCGGCATGTTTCCCGAAGCAATTTCAAATTTTCGCACAGCGCTCACCGAGTTAGAAAACAGTCCGTCTTTTAGCTCTACGGATCAAACTGCGGCAGCTACCACAGAGATGAAGCACGTACTTGTACCTACTCTCAAGGGTCTTGGCGAGGCTCTTCTTTATTCAGCTCGAACTTTGTATGACAGCGGTGCATATGGCGCATGTGCCTCGCATCTTTTTGATGCGATTGAAGTTTGTTTGAAAAGCTTTTTAATTGCACCTCGTCTGCTGTGCACTGCAAAAATTCTTGGTGATGCGTGCCTTACTTTGGCCACCTTGGTTCCTGGTCTTGTGAGTGATTCTCACAGTCAGGTAATTGATCAACTGATTACATCAATTCCTGACATTGACAAAGACACATACAGTGGCTGTGATATGCCTTTTGAATTGAAAGAAACGGACACGACTTCCATTCAACGAGTTTTTATTGGCGCTGCGTGGGCTTATTATCGCGCCATGCTGATTGCTCGAAACAATCAGCAGCCAGCTGATGTGATTGCCGTCTATGCGCATGACCTAAGCATTGTCTACTTTCGATCTTACAAGCATGCTGTTTTCAATCAAAACTCAGAACAGTCATCCCGTTTATTGAAACTTGCGATAAAATATGTTCAAGTTGCCATTTGCATGAATCCTCAAAAAGATTTATACTGGAACGCACTTGGCGTGTACTCGAGCTCAATTGATCCTAAACTATGTCAGCATGCACTTATTAAAGCTGTTGAAGTCAATATGACGGTATGCATTCTGATTTGCTGATCTGATGCAGCGATAAATAATGTGTTGGCTATTTGCAAGTTTATGCTGAATTGCTTTGTATTGATTATTTAAATATAGAATCCTCGCGTGTGGTGCAATTTAGGGTATTTTTATATGTTTATGGATGATATGGATCTAGCCGGGCAATGTTTTTCAAAGGCGCAGTTTGTAGATCCAGATTGGCCACTTGCATGGTTTGGCCAAGCATATTTGGCTAAACTAGCAGGAAGCAGAGAGGTTTATGAGCTAATGAATCATGCACATGAACTTGGGAATGCGTCACATGTAAAGATATGCTTGTATATTTGCCACGATTGTTAAACTGTCGTTTCAAAAATAGTCTAACTTGTAAATACTAGTTTGATATTCTGTATTCGTATGGTTTAGAATGCTTTCGTAGTTCTGCACTGACTCCATCAACTCTGATTATTGCGTCACATTGTCTTTTGAAATGTGTTGAGCGTTTTCCTGAAGAACCGGCAGCCTATAATCTATATGGACTTATTTTGGAACGTCAGCACCAGCACGAAAATGCCACCAGCGCATTTGAAGAAGCAATTCGACTGCTTTCTAAATCTAAACACGCAGATCAAAACCACATTCAAAAACTGCTAGCACTTGTTTTGGAGAACAAAGCAAGATGCGAATCTGCTGCTGGCCGTTTTCACGATGCTAATACAACATATAAAGAGCTGGCCAATCTAGACCAGCCTGCATCTGTATTTACATTTGTTGGTCAGGGCTTTGCTGCTTACTTTGTTCAAGATCTAAAAACCAGTCTCATGTCATTTGAAAAAGCCCTCGAATTATGCGATAGTAACTCTAGCGATGATGCGACTGCCAATCGTCTCAAAAATGATACAATCTTGCTGCTCAGTCAAGTTCTTTATGCTCTCGACACAGACGAGCATATTGAATTGGCAAAGCAACAACTATTTCAATGGTAAAAACAGTTGAACATTTAATGACTGGAATTGCTAAAATCAGACACAATCTAGCTCACTTTGCTTTTTAAATTTCATATCTATTATCAAACTTATTTTAGCATTTCCAACAATGCTCAGTATGTTCCCGCCATTATTGGTCTTTGTGTAATGGGTCTTGTTAGACAGGACTGGGTATTGGCGCAAACCGCTGCTGCAGAACTCATCAAGCTAGATTTAGAAGTAGCCGAAACTCTTGATGCCGATATAGATTGGGTTCTTTGCTCATTTTTTATCATGCTGGTAATTGAATACAATGTGTTGTATTGAGAATCTGAAACTATAGCCGCGATGTTGTACTGACCGAATTTTTATATCTGAAATAATGGCTGTAGAATGGCCAGACAAAAACTGCTCGAGGATTTTTAAGCAAAACAGTTCATCGGTATCCATGGAAAGCTGCTCGATGGTCAAAGCTTGCTGAGCTAATTTATTGGTGAGTACACTCTGTTCAACTCTACATCATACATGAACTAGATTTGATTCAAATTTAGAAATCATGACTATCTATGTATGAAGAAAACTGACCGTTAAATAGTCATTCACCTGCTCAGAGCGATGTTTCGGCCAAATTAGCAGCGTCTGGCTTGGAGATATTTATTTCTTCTGGTTTGGATTCGCTTAATCCTGTCAAAACCACTGATGTGTCAGATATGCAACGAATCCGAGGTCTTGCGCTACTTTCTGAAGGAAACCCTAAAATGCATCAAAAAAGTCGAACCACACTTTGTCAAGCCATTCGATCCTCTCCTAGCAATCCTGCCAATTGGCTTGCCCTTGGATTGAATCAATGTGCAGATGCTGTGTCAAACTCTGTAACGTCTATTGAAAGTGCTGAACCAAAAACTAATGATGATTTGAAAGTTGTCGACAGTATTGCCGAGTCGGCTATTACTGTGATAGATACTTGCACAGATTCATCTGAAATATTGAGTTGGTCTCATTTGCTTAAAGCAGAGGCTCTTTTACAATCTACACTCCGATTAACTGAACTATCTGAGATTGAACAAGTTATTCAAAAGGCAGATGCAGTGATTAATACCTCAATAACGAGTGCGGTAAAGCGCGCAGGATACGTGCTTCTTGGACGTGCATTACTTTGTAATGGCGATACGACAAATGCTGAGCGAGCTCTTAAAACAGCACTACAATACGATGATGAATATTGTATTTTGCCATTGGAAGAATTAGCAGCTTTTTACGCTGCAAACTCCAATCCTTCAGCAACAGAATTTTGCTATCGTCAGGCAATAGCGGTGTTGTCCGATAATACCAAAAGTAAAACCCCTACACTATTGCGACTAGTACAGCACTTTATTTGTGTAAATGACCATACGAATGCATTGGAAAACGTCAACATGGCATTAGTTGCCGATTCCGCAAAAATAATATCAAGGTTTTTTCAGACTTTGATCCTAATTCAAACTAAGCAGTCCAAGGGGAAATTGGCCAAGAACTTGACGATACTTTCTGAATCTGACGAGATTGACCCCGTTATTGTTAATTGGCTGGCATTGAAAATCGATGTGTAAAATGAAATTGCTTGATTGAGCAGTGATTGAACTTGCCCATGTATTCACGTAAAATGAACACGTTTATCTTACAATGACTGCCTCTTGATTTGGAATAAACAAGAGTTGAATATTCGTTGTGCTTTCCTATTAGAAATCGATTGCCTTTTTAATAAAAAGTATCAGTTTTTCAATCAACACAACGTTTATATGATACTCACAAACTATAGGTTTGAGCTTTGCTTTTTTCCCTTTTAGCATGGCCATATATTGTATAATCACCAGATTCACTTATTGCAATCCAAATATCGGGCTCGATTTTTTGATGGTGCCAATCAAACCCATCCTTGCATTCGCGTTTGGGTTCAAAAAAATAAAGATTGCCTCTAATAATGCAATTGCTGGTTCCATGCCAGTCACCAGGGAAATACAAATCAACTAAATAGTTTGCAAAGCAATGTTGACCAATAGACTTAGTGGAACCAATCATTTCATGATACTAGTCATTATGTATTTTGGTATCCTTTTGTTTCATTTTACGTGGATATGGCTGTAAATATCACTGACATTTGACAGTTCACTAGCTAGTAATGCTGGAGAAAGCAGGTTGGACTTTGCCACCCATCAAAATAGACATTATAGTTTATTGGTAGTTGATTATAAATAAGCTATGCACCCCACTATCATACACCTGACTGTATCACTGATACAGTACATCGATTTAAACGCGAACACGAAAATTGATTATGGAAAGCAAGTTGACATTGTGCGTGTTCTTGCCAGCGCTTTCCCATATTTCTGATTTCCTACACATTACTTATCCAGAATCAAATCAAAAGTTATTTTTAATCTGTCTGCATTCAATATTTAAAGAGTTATCCAGCACGCTAAATACATTGTATTCGTTTCAATTTGATATTGGTGCTTTGGTTTACACAATTTAAATGCCAGCGGCAAGTGAGGATATCAGAGTATGTTATATATGTTGAGCAATCTAAAGTGTCATTATATCCCATAATCTAACAGTTGCTTTACCTATTTTCAATGTGCTATCATTGACAGTCGGGAAAATGCATTGGAGTATATAGGTTAGCATATGATTTGTATTAAACCTCTCATTACATGATTAGATTGCTTAGTCAAACCATACAATCATTTTGTACATGAGCTTTGTTTTATTGAATGACTAGTCCATCAACAATTAAAGTCGAATAGCATGTTCAATATTCGGTATTTGCTTACCTTTTATTTAAAATATTATCAATCCAACATACCTATCTTTGCATTTAGAGGACACGAGGGTACCGTATATAGTTTAGATGTACAATGGAAGGGTGGTGTTGCACCAAGTCGAGCCGTATCTGCATCTGCCAAATCACGCCGAAAAGTTGGCACAGAAGACTCTGGTTTGGACGTAGCTGTTCTTGTCACAGGTAAATGAATGGTTTTCAAACTATAACTACCTGTCATATAGTTAAGCATTGGATAGTTGCTACTTGATTGCGAGTTGATGGTGTCAATCGTATGTTCAAACTATGGCTACTTGTATAGTTTGATGGCTTGATCACGATCGACGTTTTGATTACTCATTCACAAGCTCATACTCGGCATCAATAAAAGTTGAATACCGAAACTAATTTTGTACGAGGTTGTTTATTTAAATAGGCTCACATGATCAGTGTGTTGTGATATGGGAAGTCATTACCAGTCAATTTGGTAAATCAGATCTTTCCGTCAAGGTAAGTGAACAAAGATGAAATTTTATTCAATGTGTATATTCTTGATCTATTTATACTTTTATTTTATGCTCAAGGTGGATCAAATCAAAAAGCTCAAAGCACATACCGGTGACGTATACGCGCTCGAACTCCTTCATGACGCAGAGAACCTTCGACGAATAGGCACCTTTGTATCTGGTGGTGATTATACTATTCGAACATGGAATAAAGATGTGAGTCTTTTTTATCTTGATACAACTTGATCTCATTCTATTTTTTTGATTGTGTATAAAACTGGTAAAAATAAACTTTTGATATCTATGCACTGACAGCATGACTATTGGATGTAATGTGCTAGCTTTCAACTGCAAGTCAAACACTTCATGGTCATACAGGATACGTGGCGTGTTTAAAAGTCCGCGGAAAACGGGCATTCTCTGGCTCATGGGATACAACGATTCGATCATGGAACCTTGAGGTTGATTTCAATTGAACGGCTTAATTGTGGTATATGTTTCCTTGTATCTAAACTAGTTTTTAATCTGTATCGATGCTGTGGATGTTTTAGACTGGAAAAGGCATGCACGTGTTCAAGGGCCACAAAAACATTGTCAACTGCATTGATGTCATTGACACGGATGTCTTTAGTGGAAGCTGGGACATGAACATTATTCAATGGAGTCGAGCTGTAAGTCGGAATGCAGTTTTTGAATTGCACAATCTTGACTCGATCAAGTTGAATGTGTAGACTATTCAAAGCATGCATTGTTAATCCAATTTTTGAATGTCATGAATTTATATTTTGAAAAAGACTGGAGAATTAGTGCATATCTACAAGGGACACACGGATGGAGTGCAGTGCATTCAGTATTACGAAGAGCAACTTTTTAGCGGATCAATGGATAAAACCATTAGAGTATGGAATACAAAAGTGAGTTGTTTTGTTAATAAAATGTATAATACTTTCAAGAATGTAAAAATACAGAATGGCGGTAGATTATGCTAGAGTCGATTTATAAAACTAATCTAGATTCATCAACTATTGCCATTTTAGACGGCAAAAACCATCAAGACATTTCGTGGTCATCAAGGAGGCATCGAGTGTTTACATGTAGTGAATGGATACTGTTTTTCAGGATCTTACGACAAAATGATTAGGTAGGATGCTTTTTCAAGTGTGCCTACTCATTCAATGCTTTAAAACACATATAAAATTAACCTGTTTGAATATATATGCTGTGCGGGGTAATTACAACCAGATGTTTCAAGATTGATGTAAGTAAAATAACGGCAAAAGGTTGAATATTTTGGAATTTAGCTTCTAATCCTGGTGTTTTTATCAACGTGTACCAAACGATATGAACCAACATTGTCGATTTTCAACACTATATAGTCTGGAGACTGTGTGATGATGTTTTCTGGGCATACAGATGGAGGTGAGATTGAATATGTAGCATTTCAGTTACGCTAGATAAACAAGACATATGCATGCTAATCATTTGCGTATAACCAGTTTATTGTCTTAAAGTATTTGCGGGTGTATTATATTCAGGCTCAGGGGATAAATCAGTTCGGCTTTGGGATGTCAGGGTAAGAATAAAATAAGCACACATTAAAAGATTTGGACCATTCAAAGAAACGACATAATGACTGTAGCATGTCACTTTATATTTTAAAATAGGATCTCGTGCAGGCACGCCCAAAATCATGGTGGAGAAAACTATTTTGCTGTGGGTAATCCAATCATAAATACAGCCAGGATTTCATGGACAAGCAGCACATTTACACTCTAGTTTCGCACAATGGAATGCACCGTATAGTGTGGTATCGCCAGCCAAAAAACTTTCTAGTATAAAACCAACGTTGTATTAACCCACTCCCCCGAAACAAAATAGCAAATGGTATTAAACAATGCAAAAGAAACCAGAAAATGTGTACTATTGTTTGTAAAAAGTGGGGTACCACAACTGAGTATGTGAGTATGGTTCTTGACCTTTTTTGGGTAACACAACTAGGCTTGAGTGGAAGATATTGAGAATACTATTCTACGACTTTTTCAACACAATCAAGACTATTTAAACCCCACGAGGACCAAGACGATCAAGAGAGCGTACACCCTGCTCTTCCCATTCCTGCTTTGAGATCCAGAAATTAGGACGATCCTTCATAATATCTCCCAAAACGGCACCACCGAGAAACACCATATGCTTTCGACGAGGAGGATCTTCAACACGAATTTTGAATTTCTGTATAGTGCAACGAGACAATGGCATTGAATAGAAAGAAATCAGTTGAAAGCAATTACAGGTAGTGCAATGATAATGCAATGGCTGCACATGACTTACGCTTAGTCTCGACACATCCGACTTGAGAACCCGTTCAAGGTAGAGCTGCTTGACTTCCTTTTCAAGACGACTGGGAAGTCCTGGATACATTGAGGTACCACCAGATAGAACAATGTGTTTATATAGCTCACTTCGAATATCAATTTCACCAGCTTGAATAGTATTGAAAAGAAGCTCTATAATGGGTGATGAGATGGATTAAAAACATAAAGTACTAAACTAAAGACTACACAACTATGCATACCAGCAACACCAGGACTCTCGACATCCACTAAATGAGGTTGGAACAATGCCTCTGGCGCTTCAAACCGCTCTGATCCAACCTTGATGACACGCCCATCTGGAAGCTAATATAAAAATAATGATATTTCAAAAATGAGTGATTTGGATTAGTCAATCTAGTAAGACGCACCGTACCGTATACTGCTCAACAAGCACTGTGGTTTCTGTTGCGAGCTTGTGTTCCAATTGAAGATCGTAGCTATATCAAATAAAAGCTTGTTGAATGAAGCAGTCAACTTTGGCACTTGAACAGATGTGAAACCTATAGTAAGAATGACATACCCAACGTAACAAAGTTTCTCCTTTAGTTGACGAACAGTCTCAAAATCTGCAGTTCTATTGAAAGCGTAGCCGCGTAACAGCAGCAAGCTAATGAGATAGCGAGTGATGTCACGACCAGCAACATCAAGACGACGAACAAGATGCGGAAGTGCGAATCCCTCGTAGACTGGCACAATATGAGTGACACCATCTCCAGAGTCGACCACCACGCCCGTTTGAAGACCTAGTTTGAAATCAAGACATGTCCATTATGCACGAGGAATTAAAAGGCAAAAAGATGCAAAGGTTGGAATGAAACATAAACTGAATAAATAATAGTTTAAACGATCTTTTATACCTTGAGCATAAAGCGTGAGGACAGCCTGAATAGCAATATAGGCACCACCAAACCCATATTTTTCAAACATGACCTCGACCATTTTTTCTCGGTTACGTTTTGGATTCATGGCGGGCTCAGTTAGTAGGATCTTGTGCTGAGCATAGTCGGTGATCTTGAGTTTCTCTTTGAAAGTGTAATCCCATAAATGGTACATGTCTTCCCAATTGCGCACAATACCGTTTTCCATAGGATATGACATTTGCAGCATCTGGCGAACAGCGGATGCTTCGTCGCCAACCATGACATCCTTGAGAGTAATATCGCCAATCTTCTCTTCAGCTCGAAGAATAGGACGACCAACAACAGCCGGAAAGATGGCTTCTGGAAAATTGGTGCCTGCATAACCACATTTGACAAACTAGAATCCATTTGATAGTGTTTGAAAAGCCCAAGTAAAGATCCATAGTAACAATAAGACAAAGTTAGCAAACGATATTATTGTCAAGGCCAAGCCAGATCAAAGACTTGTCAATGGACAAGAATTAGTGGCGGGAGAATGACGAGAATTGCAACCATTCAAGCTGGTTAGAGAGAGACAGAAAGGTAAACAGCATCTCGAGTATCGACTGTAACAAAGATTCTAATACACTGTATAGTGCAGTATGTTCAAGTTACCACCAATTATAGATTAAGAATAAACCGATGCATTTATTGTCATTGCAAGATACAGACTTGCAGATGCTTCAGACTTTGCAACACACAACCATGGTTCCAGTACGTATTCAAGCACTACAGTAAAATCCAGTTCCATCTCCAAGTATCATCCAACATGAGTAGCACTACATACCCCGGTGCCGTTATCGCATACAATAACTTCGCGACTCATTTGAATTTGAAGACAAGAAACGAAATCAATTCAAACGTTTATCAGAAATGGCGACTCTTGTTGATGGAAGAGTTTTGGTTTCTGGACCGGAAAGTGCAGCTGCTGTTCATCTCTTGCCTTGTCGAATCCAACACAACGGTCCTGCCAACGTCACCAACTATTTCGTTGTGAATTCTTCCGATTCCACTCAAACTGGCACTGTTTCGTCCACATTCAGAGGACGAGGTTTACAGGGTGTTGCACTGACTGCTCCTTGTGAATACTCGTTTGTTGTTTTAGCAAACACTCGCTCTCCTCATGGAACTGAAGCAGATCATTACTGGAGACTGCAGAATCGTTTTAAAAATATCACTGTATGGGCTCATGACGAACATGCTCCTACACAACAATCTGAACCATTGTTGAATCTACCCAACTGGATCCAGTTGGCTACCGAGGTAAGAGTTGGTTTGATGTCCAAGTGGGTGCGTTTTTATACCAGATACTCATTGTCTCTTTATCTACAGATCCATGAGCCTGTTCATGTCTCATCTGAAAAATAAATATATTCCAACTATTTCATGGACTATCAGTATAAACTTGGTCTACAATCAAATAGATCATCATTACTATCCAAACTCTCTTGTTTATTTATAATGGGTAAAATAGTCCAAAAACATCGGATTCCTAATCAACTCTGGCACCACCAAAATAAAAGTATAGAGTGCAATGTTCCTATTTTCAAAGTTGCATAATCAGTAATAAAGCATCCATTACTTTTGTAGTGCTACCTCGGCGTCAATTTGAGATTGTAACGCATCTGGTCCAAAAGTATAATGCCGTCTTTCTTTGTAAGAAAGCGCTTCTGCGTCCGATATTCCTGCTGACTTTACTCCTGCAATCTGGTCAAGAATCGAAACACCATGCTTTACAGTAGGTCGTCTTTGGGTTGGCAGAATAGATAAAGACATACTCGTCAACGGTGTCTGATTGGTGTTGTTAGAATGTAACGAGCCTGTATGGGTCTGTCGAGCTGTCGTTTGAGTTACAGAGCAATGTCCACTGGTATCGGCAGGCTTGCGTAGTCGGAGATCTTTAACTCTGGGATCTGCTTCTACAAAAAAGGACCGCGTAGCATGTCCTCGATCAGCTGGTAGTCTGTGCGCTTTTCTGTTTGTAGCAACAGGAGTTGGCACATTTTGACTAGCATCAAAAAATATCGATCTTTGTCGTTTGGTAAAGGCTGCACAGGTATCAGGAGTGGATGGAAGACCAGCTGCATAGCCTTTATATGGTGTGGAAATGCCTGTTTTGGCTGTATCCAATAAGCTCTTATTACGTTTATCTGTAGGTGAATCTATGCATGCTTTTAAAACAGGAGAAAGAGGTGATGCTAGTGTGTCTGATCTATCATTACTTGTTACTAGACTCTCCTCAAGCGGGTGTGTCCAATCAAGAAATTTACTGCGATACTCGGAATGATACATGGCTTGAAGTTTTGCAACTTGACTTTTTGCCTTTAAATATTGCTGTAAAGCCTCGGTTGGATTAGGTATACGTGGGCGACTTGTCTCGGCATCTACAGGACTGATGATCGTGTTTTCAAATGTCTTGATACGATCACCTCGTTCAAATGTATTTGGATATACCTAGTTTAAATTGAAAATGTCAATGTTACATACCAACACATGGAAATGAATAAAAACAGCATACCTGTTGGCTTGGTGCGCGGACATTAAAAGTTTTGTACATGTTATTTTGAACAACAGGATTGGTATTCCCATAACCAAACGGCATTAGAATCGGTTCGGCGTTTGATTTGCTTCCCTTTTGCAATTGAAGAGATGTCGATGAATGCTTCAGATTATCTCTTGAATCTGTTGCTAAATTCGATGGTTTAAGCATATTAGTTTGAATCGTAGATTTAGTTTTATGGTGTTTGTCTTCAGTATGATCCATGCGAGATAATGTTGGCCGATCAATAATCAAATATGGCTTTTTATCATCCTTTGCTTGTCCTGTTGACGCCAAAGCTTTATCTCCTGTGCTACATTGATCAGACTGTACATGCCGAGTCAAATCTTGTGAAACTACACTGCTTGTCGCTTCTGATGTGGTATTTGCAGGCGTATCACATTGTTGGCTCAAGACTTGATGTGCTGATTCTGGAACTGACTTTGTTGAACATGTTTCGTTTACAAACTTGACTGTATGCGTAACAGGACTAGGTTCCGTTTGAACAACTGGCGCAGAACTCGGCATATCGAGTTTGACTCGTAAATCTGTATCCAATGTCTTTAAAGGCTATAAACATAAAATACTGATTAATCCAGCACGGAATTGACTTCATTAATTATCCCAATAGGATGTACACTTTACCTGCGATGTTGATGAAGCTGTTTCATATGCGACATGCTGGTTTGAGCCAAGGTGCTTATCTGAATGCAATGCTGATAGCATGGCTGTTTTCCAAGTGTACTGACGCTAAATACATTACAATAAAGCATAACCCAAAAACCGTTCAAGCGAAGTCGAGGGTGAGTATACACAGCATAACGATAAGCATTGCATAGTATAGAGCATCATGTTATCAGATATTGATTGGCTGAAGTTAAACCTGAGCATACCTGATATTCGCTTTGCCACGGATAGAGAACATCTGGAATCGACTGCAGAATCGAGATATTATCAGGAATAAGCTTGGAAATAGCAACATCGGCTACAGATGACGACATGTAAAGTAGTCTGTTGAATAGCCTGATCAAAGTTGCAGTAAACCGAGTCTTGTCACCAAAAGCATGACATCTCGTGATTAAACATCACTTTTATGCAGTCGTGACTAGACTGATTACTGAAAGTAGTGCGTTTCTACACAAACTTACCGAGTGGGTTATTCAAGAATTCTTGTCAAAAAACAAGCACTATTTTACCATTATTCATTTCAATTCAGATTCAACCATTCTTGAACTCTATACGACTCCTGTATTCAATATATCTGATACACTCGCGTTCTAGTTCAAGAACAATGATTGCAGTTTTGGAAATACAACTATTGTTTTCATGTCAGTCATCAGGAGAAATATCAGCCAAATAAAAGGTTTAAAAACAGTGTTTTCCAGTAAACTAGCATCAATCATTTTATATAAGACTATTTATTATAGGTGAATGTATCGTATCGAGGTTACTAGCTGCAATTATTTAATATTATATTTGTATACCTGGTATTCTTTGATGTTGTAGGCCGAGATGAGTGCCGACGGATGAGTGAGACCCAACGAGAAACTGAGACGAGGAGTGACTGAGTTGCAGTGGTTTAGGACCTTGACATGGCTTAACAATTGTGGAATTACCAGAGATCAGGTTTGTAGTACAATTGGATCATATATGAATGTGGTCTTGAAATTGATGTTACGATTACACCCAGATAGGATCCAATTGCGCCAAGATCATCGCCACTATGTAGCCCCTCTCTGTGAACCACATAACCTCCAAGTTCTCAAAAGTTCCCAAATTACTGCAACCCAATCTCTTTCTATAAAAGAGATGGCTTCTTTGATTTAACACTATCGTGTTAACAATAGTTGCACCAAATAAACTCGATATAGATTCACAAATATGTCTAGTTTGTATTGATTCCATTTCAAAGTATTTGCAATGTTTTGTTAGAAAATAGGCTTTTTGAAATATTGGTGTTTGTCACTTGATGGTCTATCCAGTAAAGTATCCCTGTTGTTGTTGAGTTGCGTTTAAACCAACGGATGATCAGTGGTGTTTGGTACAAGATCATGCTTGAATGTTTATTGTAAGATTCCAAGTATTCTCAATACTGAAATGAACCATTTTGGTTTAGAATTGAAAATGACCATTTTTGTCAAATATCACCACTGATATTCAAGCATCATGTGTCTTGAACTCATGTATGCAAATGTCAAGTCTAACCAATGTCCAGTGTCAATCTTTGAATGGAACTGGCCATGCGATTGATGCTTAATGACACTTTTAATTAAGCCTGATACCAAAGTCGGTTTGTATTTGTGTCTCATGAGTTCACAAACAACTATAAAAGCAGATTGTCAATTAGCAAACAAACGAGTTGCATTTGCGTTTTTATTAGTTTAACAATAAACACATTCTAGTCGACAATCTCATGGAATGTTTAAACTCTTGAATATGCTTGAACATTTACAGAAATTGAAAGACTTGAACATCAGATTTGCAAATATTTGATTTTGTGAGTAGTCAATGAGTAGTCGATAAAAGGTCAGTATGGTTGTGTTTTTACTGGACAAGTCTTGGATTCTGCTTGGTCGATAAACCATCAATTCGTGACGCAAGTCTTGATCTGTGTCTTGCCAAAGTCGATCAATTTGATATTCCCTTGACCAGTTAAAAGCATGTTTCCTGGTCTCAAGTCCTCATGAATCACACCAACCGATTACAAGTGTCGAATAATCCAATTCAACTCATTGTCTGTTCTCCAGTCACAGTGTTTTCCAGGAATAAAGTCCAAACCAATCAAGTGAAATACTGTTCGTAATACTCACATTCTCCATAATAGCGTGCAACATATTGTAGATTGAGTTTGGCGAGCTTTTCGTAAATTGATATTTGATTAGCATTTTGAATACATCAAGATTGTTGTAGGAATCACAATGTTTGACAACAATGTTGCAGTCATTGAGTCGAATGACTTGACCAGTTGCTCCAAATCCAATCACAGTACCAGAACAAAGTGAATCCACACTCAGATTATACTTGATTGTGCTTGAATCATTACTGTCAGAGTCTGTTGAACTGGAGTCTAATTCCTGCTGTTCAGTTTGATGGTCTTGTAAAACAAGTTGAACAAATAGATTGCCTGAATACGACTAGGAGAACACAGATCGTTGTAAATGGAATGGCTGATACGCAGAGTATCTCTGACAGGTTGCCAAACCAAATAGGTAACATAACAAGTCACACATTCATAGATCAGATTGTTCAAAGCGAGATATCCATAAACTTGGTCAATCACTGCACACATCCATATGTCCAATATCTCCACAAGTCATTTCTGTTGGTTGGCACTGTGTATCCTCTTGATACATCTTTACAAGTCAAATGGTTGTCCATTTACAGAATGACGAACAGGCAGATCATTCGAGTCTTGCTTTCAATAAACGACAAGACTTTGGATCAAGACCAAGAACATTGTCCGAAGCTCCAATAAACTCGAGATGACTCTCCACTTGAGTTGCTGTTTCAAGCGTACAAGGGAAAACACTAGCCTTGCTTCAGATTGGTAATAATCTTCTTGGTCTTGAAGTATTCAGTTGAAGTTGTAAAGAATATGTTTAATGTATCAACATTACTTTCAAGTGTGAATGTAATTCCTGCTGTAGTATGCAAAGCAACACCATCTCCAATGGAAGTTGTGTGATATTCGTACTTTGCCGAGTCTGCTGTAAAGTCTTTTCATTTCCACATACAATTGTGTTTTGGGATGGTTTGTTCTAGTGCCAGTAGTTTGAAAGAGTCTCAACATCCAGCAGAGTGTTTGATAACAAGCTATCGAGTCTTGTTACTGTAATGCTTTTGACGACATCTTGCCCAGTATTATTGTTTGATTTGATGAGTGAGTTGAATGGGTTGATCTCAATAGTCGCATTGTTTCTAATAACGGTAATGGGATCCCAGGAGTTGTAGTTGGTCTCTATTCCATCCACTCTCTATTCTGTAGTGGATAGGATGGAAACCAGCTACAACTCTTGGAACTCCATTGCTGTTCTTGGACTAGATCAAACCACTGGAACTGATCCACTCATCAAATACAACAGTGATATGCCTGGTCAAACTCTGTATCATCAACACTAGACACTGCAGTGGACATCAACTCACTTTACAAACCATTCTTGTGAACCTTGTCCAGTCAATACACTTGTATGATGAACACAACTGTTGTGTGTCCAACATTCAATCAAAACCATTCATTTGGATCAAACCATCATGAACATCGACATCAAAGACATTGACACAATCCCTAATGTTTTGTATTCAAAAGTCTATTCTGGCAACATACAAATCGGAATAGAAATTCCAGTCGACAGACTGACAACTACACAATATTGTCATGATTGGTGTCAGTGGATGTGAACAACAACCTGCTATGGTTTGTGTCGATATTGTGTATTTGACTGTTTTATCGACCTGATCCTGATTCCAATCCCGATTTGAATGCAACAACAATCCAGTCCAATTCACAAGACTCGACTTGAGATTGAACATCAAAAACACTTGGGTTGCAGCAAATATAGTTTGGAAATATCAGTTTTACAAAACTGGATTCAAGCAACACTACTTGGATGTTGTTCAGTCTGGTAAAAATTGACCATATGATGCATCTCGGATCAACTGGTAATGCAGTGGTTTGATTCGGTTAGTTCTACAATGTTGTATTTCAATGATTGTTACAATCTGAGCATGGTGCAGTTGCTCAAGATTCTGGTGCTGAACAACAAACTCTTGAACCAGACCCGACACATTGCTACAGCTCAAAGTGGACCATCAACAGTCTCGAGTAAGATATGCTACAATCCAGCGTGTATTGCATGATGGTTTACTTATTTATCTTGCATTCAATCTCATCCATTCAATAACATCATTCATTACCAATACAATGACACGACACGACATGGCATGCTTGAATTGATCATATTGCACTAATCACTACTATACACTGAATTGATCTACTGGACCCATCAAAACCCATATATTTGTGATTGATCAACATTACGATATTCAAAATGTACTGTTAAAACAGCTGTTTTTGTGCAACAGCAACCAATACAACTAGGTTTACTCATCATGTTCAACATCACTGTTTGTGTTTTTGTCGTCCGATTTACAGCTACCAGCAGTGTGTGATACAATGATGATCCCAATATACTTGTAGCAACGTGAACAATAGTGCTGTTTTTGTTCCATATCAAGCGTGTTGTGCATTTTTGAATGTAGCGGTATTCATGTTGGAAATCAAAGACTATTGTGAAACTAGAGACTCGACAGGTGTAGTAATAAAGCTGGTTGTTTATTACAAAAGTATGTATTGTAGCTTGTGGACGTTAGATACCATACTGATAGTAGTTAACTGGGAAGATTGTTGCAGTAGGTTAAAGATGACAATGAAGGAATGAACCAATGTATGAATTGCGTTGTTTATTAATCCAAGCTCGTGTCTTTTATAAAGTGAGATAGTAGTGGAAGAATACTAAGATATGAGGGACATAGCTCAAACATCATTGTTGAGGATTCCTGGTTACTACAGTTCTTCCATCAGTGGTGACTACGCTTATGTACCAAACATAGAAGCTCACACAAGTATCCACATACACAATGCATGTCAACAGACTGCGCATCTCAGCAGTCCAAGTCTCATTACAAAGATCACATATTACCAATATCTAACATGTATCTGGGCCGTGATCACCAGTTGTGATCACCAG